GGCAAAATACAACAGCCGCGGCCGCCCAATCAGAGTGCCACAAAAGTTTGAGTGAGGAACTTGTTCATATAGGTCTATAGACTACTCCACCAGAAAATCTCATGATAATAACCATTGTGTGTGGCTCTACAGCCTCATTTTTGGTGGACCTATTTTGGTGGTTCGGCGCATTACGCGAATCCGCGCATTACGCGCACGGACACGGTAGTCGAGCAAGAGCCGCCACTAAACATGAAAGTCGCAACCACGCATGAAGTAATTCAGTACATGCTTAACTTTGAAGGTGACATAGTCTAAAGAGTCTCAATGTGCGGAGCTTATTATACTGGGGTCTCTACTTCATGGCTGCATCAATTTTGCCAGCAAAGCAAAATACATGAAGGATGTTTGTTCGAAAGAAAGACGTTACGAGCATGCAGCTGAGAAGACTATCTATTGGGAGGGGATCAAGAAACCAGAAACTGTTTTTGAATGTGACATACACATGATAAAAACTGCGTTCAATGTTGAAATTGTCAAATACCATAGGTATCTGGGTATCTCCTAGGATCTGTCATCGTATCTCGCTAAGACCTGCGGAAACACAACAATTTGAGTAGTGATCCTCCATGTGGACTTCCCTGCTGGTTTCCACCGGGCATATAATCCATGGTCTCAGATCATAAGTCACCTAGCGTTGCAGGTAGACTCGATACGCCGTAACTCGAGGCTGAATACTGGAAAGCTGCCTCGGTCCCTGCTCCCACCTATGCATGCGGGTATGTTGTATTGTGGATACTGCTCGGGCTTCAGGTGAACCCAGCCCCATCCTCTTGTCCTTTCACTTTCGTAACAGGTTTCTGCTGCGCCAACACCTCGATTATGCCCGAAACCTCCTCTGCCTTCTTCCTCTGCGCCTCTTCGTCCGCCGGATTCTGTAGAGTATCAAGCCCTCCGAATAACCACAGCTCCTGAAGGTCCCGTATCAGCGTCGCGATGTCTTGCGTCGTTTTGATCTACCACCATCAGTCAGTAAGAATATTCACGACAAGTGAATCCTCAAGAAAAGGCAACATACCAACCCAGCAGTCTGTTCCCTAATCGTCAACTCCTTCCCAGCACTCGTTGCGTAGTCATTCGCCGCATTCATAGTGCTCGGCGGCGCACCATCCATCTTGACCGCTTTCAGGATCGTGCTCAGGTAGCCATTGCCGGCAGCAGGGTCGGGATCATCGTTTCGAGGCGTGATGGCGTCGCAGAGAGCTTCTGCACGCGCTGGGGGGCGTCAGTGGGCGTGTCTCTCGAATAAAGATATGAGGGACAAGAGTGTGAAGGTGAATAGTAAAAAGGCGCCGTAAATGCCCAGCTGTCTACCCATCGCTGCAGAGAGGAGAAGAGAATGTCTAGAGTAGAGAAAGCATGTCTACGTGCATAGCATCTGGGTCAGGCACTCTACTTCGTGCTCTCCACCTCGTACTCGAACCGAACAACGAAGAACAAACATACCAAGCAACGCCTCCTTCGTTCGCTTTGAAGGGTCCATACCAGCCTCAGGAGCCAGCCTCAACCCCAGATTCGGAACGTGGGGAGTCGGGTCGTGAACTCCGCATCCTCTCACGATGTCCACGAGGCTAGCCTCGCTTCCACTTATCGATAAGCACACGCGTGCACGGTCCCAGACGCGTAAATCCGTCTAGAGCAGCAATGTGACGAGCTGCATTTCGTGGGTCGGGTGTGACCTGGACCATAGGATGGGAAAAGACGTTCAAGAGCCGTCAGACCCTGATCTCCAGATCGACAACCCTCCAGCACTTCTGTATGCATCATGGTGTGTGTTTAGTTGCGAGTAGTATGTCGATCGATCGTAAAATGAGATGGCAGAGTAGAGTTTTAGCCTCATGAAAGTACTGATTCCGTCATATAGGAAATGGCCGCGCTTGGTATAATGATTCGCAGGGATGCCGCAAAGCTTCTGGTACGGTCAACTCCTCTCCCAAAACACTATCCTCCGCTGCAGCACTCGCTACAGGCCCTTTCAACTATCGACTCGCGAGGCTGGGCTGCGTCTCCGCAGTTGAACAGCAATTCATGTGACGAGATGAAGGGTACGCCCATCTAATATTCCCACGCCACAGCTGAATACAAGGGAATGAGCTGTGGCTTGATCTAAATTTCGTCTCCAGGTGAATGGAGGGAATTGTGGCGTCTATCCAAATTGACAACGTCGAGGTCTGGTACTGGATGCCTGGAACGACACATGAACGACAGGAACACCGTCCCCTGTCGATCTCGGGTGGTCCGCGCCCGCTGGCGATGATCCGTCGATCTTGGTCCACGCCTCTGCCGGCCCAACACTAACCCAACTCAACTCCTTCATCGCTCCCTTTCCGCCTTCTGTGCAAGGCTGGCATCCCAACACCGCACCAGTTGCAATTTGACATCAACGCATAGCTAACGCTACAACGCCCTATAATAGGCGTCCCTGTCTTTCCTCCCGCCTGCGCCCCTAATCGAGTCAAGCGCGCTGTCTCTTCCAACGGCCTCCTGCTAAGCTGGATGGTTGCAAGCTCGCTTCGCATTTTCTAGCCTGAACAACGACGCTGGAAGCCGATCCCTTTCTCCGAAAAAGCATAACTAGAGAAACTAGAACGTGCCCCACGACGCTGCGCGACGCACAAAACGGTAATGTGGTGCTAGGTTCGGAAGTCGCTCCGCAACGTGTGTGCGCGACGAGTGCATGCCGCCACTCTCCAAAAGTCGTGGTAGACGGTGGACTGGATGAGATAGTGATGTCAAGGCCTCCCGCCCGTCTGAGCAAGGAAGGTTCTAGAAACACGCAGCTTCGAACAGAATCCAGGTTTCTGCACCCTCTCGATATTGTCCTCACACGCCTGTCCTTGTTAGTGGCGCGTCCCCGCCGCGCAGCTGAGTGGATTTGAATTGCTCATGTATCGTGCAGGAGAATACGCTGTATTTGTGACGTGTCAGATGAACTTACCCACTTGACTATGTGCACCGAGAGCGTTTCGTATCTTGCGAAAAATCCTCATAGGTGAAATTGTGCTAAAGATAGCCCATGTCACTCAGGGCAACCAGATACGAAGAACGGTTTGTGGCTGGCTGATCTAGAGCGGGAAGAGAAAAGGACCGTTTGGAAACATCCAAAGGAGTTGGTCAAGAGCACGTTGAGGCTGAAACTTATCTGCCCATGACTGTGACTGATGTTGTGAATCAGATTATATGGACTGAGCAGCATGTGCTGGGCCCTGATTGATTGATGGTGTTGTGTTGCTTGTATGCCTACCCTATCGTGTCCTGTCCTGTCCTTTTCCTTCGTCATAACAAAAGAAATATTCTGCCTTGTAGTGCCTACGTTGATCCTCCAAAAAGTGTGATAACGCCGGAACGCCTTGCTTGCACGTGTCCTCCCAGTGCTGAAGTGCTGATGTTGTATATATAGCGACAAAGTGAACGTGGAGCAACAGGCATGTCAAAGAGGTTGCGGAGCCGCAAAGGACTCTCAAGGACACACCAATGACAACTGGAAATGTAGTAAAAGCGATCAGTGTGCAGCAACAACCATGCTCTTGCGGGAGAAGAGAGAGAGCCTCTGCCTCATGGACTTCTTCGTGAGCTGAGGCTGGGATGCTACTTCGATGACGGATTGGTGCTTCTTGTGCTGCGTCTGCGGCGCGACATCTGGTATTGCAGGCGCCGAGGTGATGGTGGACAATGGTCTGCTGTAGTCCTGATCCTTCTTGATATGCTTGGTGTGATCATGGCTGCTGTTGGGCCTTGAAATTTCTGTCGCTGAGCTCTCTGCAAATTTGTCAGCTATGTTGCGTTGTGTCAGTGTTTGTGTGAGACTTACGCGACGAGGCCACGGAAGCATCCGAAGCTTGAGAGCCGCTAGAAGAGGGCTTACCAGCTTCATCTGTTCTGGTCAGACATGCCGTAATACTTTGTATGTTCGAACGTACCGTCTTCAGTGATGGACATGACTGATAGGGGGCTTCTCCTCTTAGTAACAGAAGAACGACTGTTGATGGTCTTCTGGGCCTTTGGTCGATGCTGTGCAGGAAGCTGGGGTACAGCAGGTACACCCGATGCGTAGCTGAAATAGTCGCGACGCACAGGCTGGCGTCCACGCGAAGGCGTCTCCTGGCGCGACTGCATCATCGTAGAGATCGAGAGCTCACTGTTCGTTCTCCTGCTGAGGCTTCCATAGCGACTGTGACTGGGAGAGGAGGCGATAGAGCTGGGACGTGATCGTGAGTTTGGCGAGTTTACAGACTGGCACAACGCGGCGCCGGATCTCGCGGATGCACTGATAGAGGGCATAGACCTGCTCCTTCGAGCAGCCGCAATTCTGGTCCTCAATTCCTCGGAGCGCATGGCCGTGGGAGTGGCAGACAAGGCATCTGCACCAGCGTGAACAGGAACATGCTTATATGGAACCTTGGATTTCGGTTGTTCTTGAGCAGCTACTTTTTTCTTGTGTTCTTGAGCGGCTTCCGTTGCCTTCTTGAGTTTCGAGAAGAAAGCCATTGGTTCAAGTAGGAGATATGTTCGATCACCCAGGGTGGATGTTGGAGGATTGCAGCGAAGTTCCGAGTTGAATATTGCGACCATGTGTCAAACCCAGGCCGTGGATTATACTTTAGCAAATAGTGGCTCAACAAATAATCCACCGGCCTGAGCGAAAGTTGATTGCGTTTTGTCAATGCGTGTTTGATAATGGCGCTACGGAGATGGACCGAATTATCGCGATGCAGCCATAGGCATTAGCCGTGACTGGTGAGTATTTAGAGTCGTTAGCTCCCGCTCGCGTCTATCAGCCCATCAGGAACCGTTAGAAAAGCGCGTGGCGAGTCCTTCGTATACGGTTGAGGCGGACGGAATAGTGGATATGGAAATTTGCGGTCGAGCAAAAGCACAGAAGACAAGATCGGTGGTCTCTTTGTGTTGAGGTGCGACGCTTCGACTTTCAAGCTTCTGAGCAAAACCAGTTTCTTAGTTTCAGAGTGCGGCCATGACAGCCACAAGCGCATCTACGACTAAAGTTAGCACAAATTGCTTCTCGGACACAGATAAGAGTGAGGTGATGCCCTCGATTGGTGCAGGAAGTCGAGATCGAACGCACCCCAGGAACGTCGAGGGACGTCAAGAACGTGGTCACCCTGTGCATGCTCATCACTGATAACGCAGTCAGCTGTACGGAGGTATCTGGGCTGTGCGAACATTGGCCAAGGGGGATCCGTGATTTTGGACTCTGCCGCGCGCTGACGTTCTGTTGGCAGTTTTGCGGTCCCAGCAAATCAAAGTTCCAGCCGGATAGGCCTTCAGCAACCGGTTCCGAATAAGACTAGATTCCGCTAGTACCAACTGAACCACTATATGTGATCAATTATCGTCGTGCCGTGTTCTGCTGCAACGATTTATGTAGCGTATCGAAAGAATAGCGGGCTCCGCCCAACTTTGGTGAGCGTCAAAGCGTTGTACTCTCCGCGGCCAGCGAAAGCCACCAAGGACGAGCTTCCTGTTCAGTGAGGAGAACATACAGCTTGGATCTGCCTCTTACCAGCTCGATTTCCCTTTTGGCGATGTGTTCACAGAGCTGGCCTCGATTCCCTGCATCCAGCTGCATGGTAGCTACTGATTTGCGTTTGTGTTGTGTCAACGCTTGCGCGGTTCTGTGGAGATGCTGAAGTTCGCTTGTATGCTTATACCAGCCATCGCGTGCGTCTCGATCATCGACGGTTGGCTGTCCCATCCACCAGGAACAGGTGGACCTGATGCCGGCCGGCAGCGTATCTTTGGGGAAGTTCCACTGTTCTGGCTAGTCCCGCCAGGTGGACCCTCGTCCACTTCTGAGTGAAGCTGAACGGTTGGCATCTGAATAGAAGCCATAGATCAATGGATGGTCGTCAGCCTCAACTGTCGTTGCTCTTGCTCGTGCTAGACCCCGACCAGAGGAAGAGCGTGCCATGAGAGTCCAGACAGACGCAGCCATCAAGAGATGACTAGCATGATTCGACATAATGTGGGGTAAACGTGCGTTGGGAGAAGGGAGGCTGAATGAGTGGTTCAGGGTCTGCTGCGCTGCAAGTGGACAAGCTCAACCGTGCTTGAGCGCAATGAGAGACCCTGACGCGTGAGCTGTAATTTCATCGAAGTCGAATACCTCCAGAGGCATGTCCGTCGTCAGCGCGCGTGACGAGCTCAAGAGAAGTTGAATATAGAGCTGAGACACGTGATACACAAAAGCTCGAGCTAACGAATGGTGACACCATTGCGCGCCAACGCAGGCAACCGATCTCAACAGCGCAAGTCAGAATATGCGATTGACGATGTAAGGTACAGGATGTCGAGAATCCGCAGATGGGATGTTATGCAGATGGTAGCGTGATGTTGAAGGTGGAGATCAAGAGATCAGCGCCAAGCACATGTCGTCAGAGGCTCAGGTCTGGGAAAGGAGTGCTGGCGCCTGCTGGCGGTGACAATTGCCACACCAGATCGAAGCTCATGCACGTCGCCGCAGCACTTACCCCCCATTGCGCACTTATCCTCTGCATCCATATCCCCGCCGTGGTGTTGCGGCTCAAGTACTTTAGCCTTTGCCGCGGTCCAGGCTTTTCTTAGCAACTCTTATCGATACCATTTCCGCTGCCGTGCTGCCGTGCTGACTAGCGTTGAGTTCCGCTGTCCGTTCTGCAGGCCGCACTGGCAACGCGACACCGGCGACGATCATCCTCCACCGAGTACCCGTCGCAGTCACGATACTGCGCACCGAGCCTGTCGCTAACCCCACGCGCATTGCGCATCGCATCGAGGCGCCCCGCCCCCTTCCTGTCGGCGCGCACGCAGCATCTGCCGCCCGCCCAGCGCGAACCTCGCACACGACGCCTGACCGGCATCACGCCCTCGGAACCAGCCGCGCCGCCCACCTCTGCCTTGCGCGCCCCGTCGTGACTGCATTCCTCGCTGCGGAGGGGACATCTGTCGCCGCCCGAGTGCTGGCAGAGACCTCACGTGGAGAATGGCCCTGGTAGCGCCACCGGCCCACGATCGCAAGCGCGTCAAGGTCTACGAGCTCAAGAACAATGACTGGTTCGACAGAGGCACGGGCTTCTGTAGGGGGGTCGTAGTGAATGTACGTCCACGTGAATATGTTGCAATGGGCACGGCTGATATGCGCTGCAGCAGGAGGAGGCCAAGATTGTGGTGCTGTCCGAGGATGATCAGACGCGCCAGCTGCTCGAGACGCGCATTAGCAAAGACGACGGCTACCAGAAGCAGCAGGACACACTCATAGTATGGACCGAGCAGAATGGCACCGACATGGCCCTCAGCTTCCAGGAGCCAGAGGGCTGCGCCAACATATGGTGCGCCTATCGAGTGTAGCATCACAGTGCATGCGCTGACAACGAATAGGGACTTCGTCAATGACGTGCAGTCGCGCTTGCAGCAGCTAGCACAAGGTGCGTTCCTTCCTCTTGCGCTCTCATGGCAGAGCTGATCTAACGCAGACGATGGTCTTTCAGACGATATAGACCACATTGGCCCCATAATGCTCCCCAACCCCGACCTTGGCAACCTCCACGAGATCGAGAACCACATGCGCGCTGCAAATTCAACACCAGGCGGTCGCGAAGCCCTGGCCAAGTTCATCCTGGCGCAAAAGTACATTCCCATGCTCATACCATTGGTCGACATGGCAGAAGATCTCGAGAGCGTATCAGATCTGCATCGGTTATGCAGTATCATGAAGATGCTCATCTTACTCAACGACACCTCCATTATAGAATACGTGGTGCAAGACGACATCATCTTGGGTGTCGTTGGGGCGTTGGAGTGTGAGTGTCGTTGCGCCGATCTCTATGTACTGATTCGCTAACTTCCACAGACGACCCCGACTTTCCACTGCACAAGGCAAACCACAGACAGTACCTCTCCGACGAATCTAAGTTTAAGGAAGTGGTCAAAATCGAAGACGAGTTGATAAAACGGAAAATCCACTCGACGTACCGCTTGCAGTACCTCAAGGACGTTGTTCTGGCGCGCATTCTCGACGACCCCACCTTCTCGGTTCTCAACTCGCTCATCTTCTTTCACCAAGTCGACATTGTCCAGCACCTGCAATCGAACCTCCCCTTCTTGAAAGAGCTATATAGCATATTCGGTACAAAAGAGCAAAACTTGCAGCGCAAAAAGGATGCAGTCCTGTTCATTCAACAGTGTTGCTCGATAGCAAAGAGCTTACAGGCGAATGGTCGAGCCCAGCTGTACCAGAACTTCATCAGCAATGGCCTGCTAGAAGTCATCCAATTTGCCCTTAAGCACCAGGATGCGTCTGTACGTGTCGCAGGAACAGACATACTTGTTTCTCTCATAGACCACGATGCCTTAATGGTCCGCAGCTACATCTTCAAGGCTATCCAGGAGAAGTCGAAACCGCTGACAGACACGCTGATCGAGCTGCTCCTGATCGAGGTCGACCTGGGAGTGAAGGCGCAGATGGCAGACGCGATCAAGATATTGCTGGACCCCAACGCCAACTCGGCATCGATCGAGGCGCTGGGGCGGACGAACAGTGACTTCTTGGCAAAGATGAGAGGTCAACTTCCGTCAATACCTCAAACCGACTCCTTCATCCAAAACTTCTACGACGAGTCTGCACGAAAGCTCTTCCAACCCCTCAAGGAGCTTGAAAGCAGGGAGTCGAGTAAGTGATCTCGAATTTGTGCCATGATCAAGCTAATAGTGTTCAGTGGCCGATCTCTCGATACAAGAAGTGTCCTTATACGCTCACCTCGTTGAAGTGTTGTGCTTTTTCATCCGTCAACATTCTTACCGCAGTAAATACTTCATTCTTTCAGAAGGCCTCGCAGCGAGGGTAGGCCAGCTTATGAGCTGTCCAGAAAAGCACCTCAAGCTAAGTACGAACGCTCAGTTCCTTTCGTCAACACTTGCTGACGTGACGTAGCCGCTCTCAAATACTTTCGCACAGTCATTGCCCTACACGACGAAACACATAATCGCCAAATCATTCAGCATCAACTTTTTGAACCGATCCTACAAGTTTTGTTCGATACAATGCCGCGGGATAACCTCCTGAACTCGGCCTGCCTCGAGCTTTTCGAGTTCATCAAGCGTGAAAACATCAAGATCATCGTCCAACATCTCGTCGAGACATATCGCGAGAAACTTCAGGACATCACATACGTCGACACCTTCCAGAATCTCATTCTGCGCTACGACCAGATGCAAGAGCCAGTGACCACACAAGAGCTGGACAACTCCTTCACTAGCGTGGAAAGCGATACACCTGCAAGGCCGTCCAGCTTGGCCAACGGTGGCAAGTGGGGCCAAGGGTTGAGGGATGTAGACGCGGATGAGGAAGCATACTTCAACACGTCCGACGACGAAGACGAGCTGGCAGCCCCAGGAAAGACAGTTTTGAATGGAGCATCGCCAGTGCGACCACTGGTGAACTACCCGGATGACGACGCCGAAGAGGACGACATCGACATGGATATCCCACTTGCCATGCGCAACACAACAGCACTCATTCAGACCAAGGACGAAACCAAGTCACCGAAAACGACCAGCGCTGTAGGATCACCACCAGAGCGCATCTCGGAGAAGCGCCGCAGAGAGGAGGACGAAGAAGATGAGCTGCTTGCCAACATATCGACAACAACCGCACCCAAACGTCGCGCTTCGACATCAAGCAACACAAGTACTTCGAGTCTACGCAGCCTACGTCGAAAGTCGCCACAGATCAATTCCGGGAAAGATGGCGGAACACCGAAGAAGATATCAATATCGCTACCCGTGAAGAGCGGCGGCGAGAACAACGAGAACGAATGAGAGTATTCCATTACTTGCAGCGACAACACGGAGGAGTTCAGACAGGATATCGGCAAGCTTTACGTATACCCTTTGGTAAATCGCACACGAGCTCGCATTGTATGAACTGGGCTTTGCCAATCAATCATATCACTGGATGGGTATGGGCTTAGCGGCATGGCATTGAAGGTGTAAATACTGGCGTTCTATTACCTTGATGCTTTGGGAGGGGCGTAGCTCGGATGGATGCCAGTCTATCGACGTTGGATTCTCGAGCGAAGGACTTCGTAGCGTTGGTCGTATCCGGCCATGTACTATATACTTAGCATCCTTGGGAGCAGAGAATGGAGAAACATAACGATCGCTCAAACCTCGAACACTAAGGATCTCAGTGATGCCTGAGCAGACAACATATCATATACGAGGTCACGTTTCTTCGCGTCTCGCTAGCGCGTGCCTCTCGCGTTTCTTCCTTGAGTCAAGCTCCGCCGTATCCTGCTTCGTATCAGATCCAACCCCCACATCATCCTTACAACACCGTCAACACACACGATTCTCCTCAAACTTCAGAGCTTGAGGTTCTGACTCTCCACGAAGACTATCCGCATACTGATCATTCCAACACTGCTCACTCACTGCGCGCGATGAGCAACCCCGACCCATCCCCCACACCCCCACCCAACGCAACGCACTCTCACACCACATCCACACCTGCAGCCACCACAATGGCATCAAAAAGCCTCACACTCATACTCGCCACCACGCCTACCTTAGGGATAGGCAAGGGCGGCGGCCTCCCATGGCCACAATTGAAGAAAGAAATGGGCTACTTCGCGCGCGTCACAAAACGTACCTCACCAACCGGCATTAGCGAAGGAGACGCTGCGGGAGAAATAGCGAACAAGAGACAGAGGGTCAATGCGGTGGTTATGGGGAGGAAGACATGGGACAGTATTCCGGAGAGGTTGAGGCCGCTGAGAGGGAGGGTGAATGTCGTTGTTACGAGGAGTGTGGATGGGTTTAGGGGGAAGTTGGAGGGGGAGAAACAAGGAGAGGAGGGGGTGGAGGGGCCTATTGTTGTGGGGAGCGTGGCGGATGCGTTGGCGCAATTACAAGGCGATAGAGTCGGCGCGGAGGTGGATAAGGTCATGGTCATCGGCGGCGCATCGATATACGAGCAGGCTCTGAAGCTTCGCGAAGCAAGACACGTCCTACTCACGAAGATTCAGAAAGAGTACGAGTGCGATACTTTCTTCAGCGAAGACTTGGGAGGAGACGGGTGGAGGAAGGCAAGTGAAAGTGAGTTGAAGGAGTTCACGGGGGAGGAGTTTGAGGATGGGGTGGAGATTGAGGAGAAGGGGGTGCGGTTTGAGTTTTGTCTGTATAACAGGGTAGAGTAAAGGGCTTCAGCAACTCGAATGCGCAGGCGAGAGCCCAGCCCAGTCAGACCAGCTTCGAAGCAGTCGAACACGGAGAACATGTGGGCGATATAGTAAGACTGAGTCCAGCAGCAGGACTCACTCTCGTAGTTCTACTATTGAAGCTCCTTGCAAGGCTTACAATGGTACAGACTCGGTACTTGATCGAGGTGGTCCACAGCTTCCGCAGCTTCCGCAGCTACCCATGCTTTTGTATCACCCGAGATAGTAATCATTAAAGCGCCGCAATCCGAGGCACAAATGACGCCAGCGTAACACTTCGCTATCTTATATCTTGTGTATCCTCGCGTTGATTGTCTTGATCATCAACTTCTGATCATCGACTTCTGATCATCGACTTCTGATCATCGTTATGGTCATCCTGTTGCGCCTACCCAAACTTCGGGCAACCTACGTCACCATGTAAACAACGCTTTGGTTTTATCTTACCTTTCGTTCAACCATTCCCTGCACGATTATCGAGCAATGGTCGCACACGCTTACACGGTCGGTGTACACAAACTGGCCGTGCGACTAGCTCAGAGCTCAAGCGGAGTATGTTGGCCCGTGGCCCGCTTCGAACGCATCCGAAACTCGTCCGCCGTCAAACAAACGTATTGCAAGTTACAGAAGCTTCGAGACAAACACCGAGAGCTAGTATAAAACGCAACCGAACACTAGCGATAACAGACAACCGAGCAATCGCCATCAGCATAGCTTCCTGAGTCCCTGCACAGCAACAAGCTCCGCAAGCCATAACTCCTTTACAATGGTCGAATTGGTCAAGAACCTCATTCCGGCCGAGTACGGGTACGTTTACCCTCCCAATCTCTGCTTCCACTGCAAGTTGAAGCCAACTGCTCGCCTTGCAAGCAGCAATTGCTCTTCCTCGCAACCCCTCATTCTCCAAAATACCAGCTAACGACCCCTAGCTACGTCCTCGGCGCCATCGTCAGCACCTTATTCGTCGGCGCCTGGCACGGCGGCCGTGTCAATGGCTTCCGCAATGCCGCGAAGATCCCCTACCCCTTCGAATACGCGTCCTACGAGCAAGTTCAGACTGCCTCGCCCGCATCCAAGAAGGCCATGTTGGCTTTCAACTCGGCCCAGCGTGCACACCAGAACTTCGGCGAGAACCACCCCACCGTTATCGGCGCATTGCTCATTAGCGGACTGAGGTGGCCCGTTGCTACCGCTATCCTTGGAGCCGTGTGGAGCGTCAACAGGGTCGTGTACGCTATTGGGTACACGAACACTGGTGAGAAGAGTGGGAAGGGCAGGTACTATGGTGCGTTGTGGATGATTGCGCACTATGTGTTGATCGTCATGAGCGGTATCTCGGCCTACAAAATTGCTGTGGCTTAAGTGATCCAAGCCGTGCTGGGAATAAGGAAGGAGAATGGCATGCCTGGCACGCAGTCTATCATAAGAGTGGCGCACATCACAAAAATGGCCTCGCGGTATGGCGGAAGTGAACGATTAGCAGTCGTACCTCGTGTGGAGGCGATGCCTCATAGCTTGTAGTCTCCTTGCCGTTCGGCACAATTCGATCCAGCAAGCAAACAACATATCAGATATACCAATGTATAATTCAAAGATCAAGTCTTGATCGTCAAGTCCCCTCTTCTACGCAAGTTGTGCAGTATTGTCTCCCGCGCTATATCTCTTACTCCTTGCGCACCAGAAAATCATGTATACGAACAACAAACCAAATTTGCAATGCTAGGAGGCCTTCGCAAGAGTGTCAAATTGCATGTCCGAACATTATCGTAAAGAGCGACTCAGGTCAGTTGTATTAAAGTCATCTATAGAAGTGCATGTAAAAGAGCGTAAGAGGAAAAGTTCATCTTTGCATTTTGGGAGGTCAAGTCAGTGCAACCGAAACAACGTCGTTGCCGTTCATCCAACTCATCAGTGCAATCCAAACACCGCCTTATTGTAATCATCTACTTACGAAGGAATACATCAATCATCCGCGCCCACACCATCGTTGCCATCGCCCTCACCAGCCTCGTTATGGGTGGTCTGATCCTGCTCAACCGCGCCTGGATCGTGCGCAAGCGTGGCTAGATGCTCATCACGCGTCACTGACCGAAAGATGGGGCGTGGAGATGATGAGGTGGTCGCGGCGTTGGAAGCAAAAGTGTCGGAAGTAGGAGTGTTGATCCCAGAAGTGCTTGGTGTGGAAGCATTGGATGCGGCGTTGCGGACAAAAGTGCCGTTCCACAGATCAGGATCGCAGGTGTCGGTTTGAGCATCTTGGGTGGTGGCAGAACTGGTGTGGTTCGAGGTCCGGTGGGCCTGGAGCTGTGGTTGATATTGAATGTAGAGCGCGGTCTCGAGGAAACGACACTTATCAGTCGTAGGGAGGTCTGAAGGAAGCCCACGGATCAGGGCGATCGTGCCGACGCCGGGAACAGTGACGGCGTCGACAGTGACGGTCTGAGCAGAGCGCGTGACGGGTTTGAAAAGCATACGGACTATACGCTGAGGCAGGACATCAAATTTCTGCGCTTTGAGGATGTCTTGGCGAGTAGACTTGACCCAGTTGACAGAAGAGTTGTAGATCGTCACGCCGAAGTTGACGGTGGCTTCTAGATCCAGATCAAAGCAGACGGCGGCGTTGTAAGCGATGAACAGAATCAGAAAGGCGAGCATGAGCGTGTTGGGGATGTCGATGTCCGAAGCGCCTGAGACGAATTTGCTCATGCCACCGCCGATTTCGTGTGCCGGGTTGGGTGAATAGCCCATGTTTGGTGGTCGTACGAAACGTTTGTGGAAAGTAGAAGTCAATGGATTCTGGTATAAGTAAAGTATGCCCTTGGTGATTGTATCGTCCTGCGATAGTATGTGATGGACGTAGGTTCACACCGAGGAGCGGCACTCTTATGTAGGCACTGGGCGACAACCGCACATGGTCCTGTTTGTCAAGACATCCTCAGACGAGCAAGACAGGATGCTCAGCATGTGAGTGCTGCTATTCGTAGATGGACCTGTGTGTGCAGCTCAGCCCTACTGTAGCAAACTTGTTGGCCTGTGCAGTGTCTTGCCCTCAAAGCGAATGACGGCGCGCTTCCTAGGCAACCTGATGGCTTGAAAAAACCTAACACTCTGCAAGCTGCAAGAGAGGAAAAGGGGTTTGAAAATTTATGATCCTTCGATAAAAGTTGCGGCGCTCGGGCACGGGTCTTGTACACTGATGTAAGAACATTGTAGGGGTGAAGGGTGATTGACGTTTGTGTAACCTCGTCAAGCGGAAAAAAGTCGTCTTCCGCGCACACGGAAGCGGAGCACCGACCCTGAAGTTTGATGCACATCGTTTCTGTAGGATTTGAAGGCGCCTAGGTAGTTTGTGAGTGGTAGTGGTGTGGCTGTCTTAGGCGCATGTGTGCTGTGGCGCCTGCTGTGATGCATCTAGTTTCAGCCACCGTGTGCTGACCCTCCTCCCGCGAGACGTGCGGTTCATGTTGTTCTTTGAGGTCCCAGAAATCGGGCTTCTACTAAACCTCCAGAAGCACCTTGATCGCGCCCAGGCGTCGAACATATTTTAGGGGGCAGGGCAAACCTGGATGGACGGTAAGTCTGGTTGACGCAAATGAGGTTCGATTTACAATGCCCCATACGCAGGAGCCCCTCGTATGCGTGGGGGCAAGGCATTTTGGCAGTACTTTGTATGGCACATGTCGCGCAATCTCAGAGATCGCCCACTGGCCAAAGACCAGCCGCTCGCTCAGCTTCCGCCATCAATGCATCCACTTCCGGCTTCATGAGCAGCATGTAGTCTTCCTCCGGGAGCACTGGTCTAGGATCCTGGGCTCGGAATGTAATAATGTTTTCCTGGGTGTCAAGATGCCAATCCCACCAAGTAGCTTCGACGTTGGGCGCGCCGGGGGCGTCGTACCTCTGAAAATGATCCTCTTTCATGATCGCTCCAACCAACGAGCAATAATCGCTTCGATTTTTGCCCTCCCTTTTCGCATAAAGCACAAACTTGATGGTGTTGATGTGCAGCAGGCGGCGCAAGAATGAGATCACAATCTTGATGCTAGGGCGCGTCCATTGGTAATGCCAAAGAAATACAAGCTCGTCTACATGCAGTTGTTCCAGGTTGTAGAGATAGCTGCCCCAAGATTGCATTTCAGACGTATCTGGCCTGTACACGAGCTTTCGAATACTTCGTAACTTGTAGAGAGGAAGTCCCTGTAAGCCGGTGCCGTGTCCGTAAGTCCACAGCATGAATCTGGTCTTATTATATGCCAATTGTGTAAAATCTCGATTAAATTGGTGGCATACGAGGAGTAATGACATGTTCTCAGAAGGCCGGTAGCCACCCTTGTAGTTTTCCAGGTGGCGACCTATGTGAGGAATTCCTGTTCCTGGACGTTGCTCCAGGGCGTATTCCGCTATACGTAGTCGCAACTCGACAGGCAGGTCTAAGAACATGGCTGAGGGTAGTCCAGGGCTCGATCTTCATGAGTGAGTAGTGTGATGGCTCTGCTTGTTGTTGTTGTTCAGGTGATGAGGGAAGATGGGGTCACGCGGTTGAAGGCGAGCGACCACCGATTCCGGCCCGTGCGCATGAAGTAGTCCTGCCATCTTATCAGATTTTCACCCCCGCTTATCTCTCACCTGCAACACCACGCTTCGCGCCGACTCTTCCACCCATGCACATCGCCTGGTGCACAACTTTGTTCATCTTTAGTCTCGCAAATGTAGCTGATGCTCTGAGATCCGGAAACTGGTGCCCCCGCGCTTGCGATCTAACCCTTGGCTACGCAACGTTCAACGACACAGATCCGTGGCTTTCCCGCAAAGTCCGACAATGCCGAAGCGATCTGAGAATCACTTCGTTGTATCTGTGCTTCGACGAATTCTGTAACTGGAATGACGGGGAGATTCCGAAGTTCCTTGCCGAGAACAGCAAGTGGTGCGACGAGCATGCGGGTGTAACGTTGCCTCCGTTCCACGATATTGTTGATCGCTGGACTCCAGAGGATAGAGCACAACTGCCGAGACATAGCGCAGAGAAGGCTATCAAATGGCCAATCTTGAACACTGCAGTACTGCCAGAGAAAGACTTCTTTGAGAGAGCATTCACAACTTTGGTAGGCAGCACGACTTCGTGGAACCACTGCAGAGCGCTGATTGGCTCCAGGATGCTGCATTCTTCGAGTACGATATTCATCTTGTATATGGATGGTACATGTACTACTTCTGGGTAATCCTCATATCATTTGGTATTGGAACCCGCCTCTTGTCTTTGATCACCAACATTAGACGTCGAGAATGGCAAGCTGTTGCCAGCGACGAGTCAACTGCTCCAAAACACCAACGTGGCTTTCTGAGCCTGCCTCATGCTTGGATCAAACGTTATGTTACCGTACCTGCTGCATTCGGTGAGCGCTGTTCACAGCCTCTTGGTTGGTGCACAATACCACCTCGAGCTCAAACACTCACGATTGCTGCCTTCATTCTCCTCAACGCAGTTCTGTGTTGTGCAAGCTATCGATTGACGGATGGCAACCTGTACTGGCCAAAGAAGTCCGCTCAATTGCTACGTTTTGCCTCCGATCGAACGGGGATTATCTCGCTTGCCAACTTCCCTTTGGTATGGCTTTTTGGCATGCGCAACGATGTGCTGATGTGGTTGACCGGCTGGGGTTTTGGCACTTACAACGCGTTTCACAGGTGGGCCGCAAGGGTAGCAACTTTACAAGCTGTGATTCATAGTCTTGGGTACACTCTGATGATCTTTGATAGTGAGTTTTCAATGTTCCGGACCACATCATCCACATACGAAAGAGCTGACACAAAGTAGGCGGTGGCTTCGCGCATTTTCTGGCGTATTGGAAGAAACACTACTTCTGGAACGGCGAGCTGGCTACCATCGCCATGTCACTTCTCCTAGTATTCTCATTTTACGGCATCCGCCGAGCACACTACGAGTTCTTCCTTGTCACACACATCGCCCTCTCGATTGCAGCACTGTGGTCAATGTACTACCATGTGGAAATCTTCACCAACGGCGAATGGAACATCTTCATCTGGCCTTGTCTCTTCGTCTGGATCTTCGACCGCATGCTTCGCGGTCTCCGCATCCTGGCATTCGATTGGAAGTTCTGGAGTACTAAGGCTATTGTCAGCTATGATCCAGCATCCAACTTGGTGCACATGAACGTACCGATGCTGAGGAACCGCATTGCGCCAAAGCCGGGCACGTACTACTACATCTACGTTCTGAATGATCTGCTGTATGTGCACCAGAACCACCCATTCACACTGGCCTATGTCGCATCACCAAAGGAGAACGAGCACATACGGCTCTCACCAGTGTCGTCAAGACCATCTACACGTCACTCAAATTCAGCTTCGTCCTCTGAGTCCGACGCGCTGCTTGCTCCGAAGCATGCAGAGGTGTCAGGAGCATCGATGGTGTATCTTATCCGGCCCTACGATGGCTTCACATCGCGCCTCAAGAAGCACTGCCTCTCACGTCCCAAAACACTCCGTGTCAACATTGAGGGACCATACGGACATAGTGTGCCTTTGCGCGAGTACTCGAACATTCTGTTCGTCGTGGGCGGGACTGGAGTTGCGGTACCTTTGTCTCATCTCGCTCATCTGCTGGGCTCCGAGTCGACTGTACAAAGTGTAAAGATCGTTTGGGCAGTCAGAGAACATGCGTTCCTCGCGTCCATGCTGCAGGAGTTCAAACCTCTGCTCGGCGACGAACGGTGCACCCTTGAAGTGCACGTTACTCAAGGTGTCGAACATAAAGACGATATCCCTGATCACACTCCACGCGGCGTGACAATCGTAGTTGGCAGGCCGAATGTGCACCTGTCGGTTGAGGGATCAGCTCAGGATGCTGGTCAACAGTCTCTTGCTATCGTAGCATGTGGTCCTGTAAAGATGGCAGACGAAGCTCGCAAGGCTAGCGTACAGATGCTTGCGGATGGATTCAGGGGTGTTGACTATTTTGAAGAGTCCTTCAAGTGGTAGAACGATCTGCATACGCACGGCGTTTCGGCAGTTGCTTTTGGATATACACTTAGACTATATACCACTGCTATGAGCCCTTCTCTGCAACAAGTTGACTATACCAACCAGCAACCTCCCTAACAGACTCCTCTAGTCCTCTTATCGCTTCTCCGCCGAACAGCATCCTTTCTGTCATCCTTGAGTTCACACGATACGGCATATTGATCGGCGTTCGCTCCCTTCCCACCTCAAATACGCCTCTCTCAATTCCAGCCGCAAATTCACTTTCGACCATCCTAACCGCCTTATTCCAGACCTGGTTTCCATCCAGGCCCTCCTCTGTAGTCGCAGCGGCAACGAATCGAGGCGGCACGTCCTCATCTTTTACTTTCTGCTCATTGAGCGCCTCGACATGCACTCTTGCACAATCCTCAACGTGCACGAATCCAAACGCATATTGAGGGGTGTTGTCATCAAATATCAGCGCTCTCGTCTGCCGGTCCATATGCTTCTTCGCTTCCTCCGCCGTCTTTACAAACTCTGAAGTTCCTATCACCGTACCGGGAATAACCTGTACGATTGAGAAAGGCATTATGTTGCTGGCCCGGAGCTGATCGAGATAGTCCATGCACTGGGCTTTTGCGGCGCAGTAGGCCTGGTGGGAGCTCGTGAGAGGTGGTTGGTAGGTAAGTGATTCAGCGTTGACTTTGACGTGTTCATCGAGAACTTTTGCCATGCCACGACCGTAGGTATTCCCCACTTCTGAGTCGACTAAACCTGCGCCGGCTTGTGTGAAGACAATTCGTTTCACTGTTCCGGAGGACTTTGCGGAGGATAGGACGTTCTTCATGGATTGTATGAAAGGGTGGTAGATTTCGATGTCAGGATGTAGTGTCGGCAACGGCCACACCCCGGCGATATGAACAACGTACTTCACGCCAGTGAATGCTTCATCATAAGCACCTTCGATGGCGTTGTCTGGCACGACTGCGTAGTCAAGACGGTCCAGGTAGAGCTGCACCGAGGGGTCTGATTTGATGGTCGCAATGGCACTTTCGCGGCGCACGATGCATCGTACTCGATAGCCAATTTTGAGCGCGTAAGCTACGCACGCATATCCTATGGTTCCATTTGCGCCTGTGATCTAAGACAATCGTTAGTTGTGGTGTTTTGATACCTCTTTACCTATGACGTACCGCGACTAGTCCTATCCGAGGATCTGCCATTGTCACCTTGTAAAGTACAATCACGCCGTGCGCGATTGAATGTTGCTCACGTCGTGAAGAGATTGAATTTCTATTATGGTTGAAACAAGCTCATGATAAACCCGCAGCAAGGCCGCTGCAAGGCTTCATTCGGTTCAACAGCGGTTGTCGAAGGGCGCGTGGGATGTGGGATGCAACGGCAGCGACGTCAGAGCCTGGACTTTCCGTAAGTGCCGATCCAGCCCTGGCGATCTAGACTTCCTATTTGTGTACCCATCGATTGAAAGTAGGAACACCCCTCAACCCGTCTTAGACAGATTGGGGCAAAAATTCTGACCGTTTCACATATACGCAACATGGAAGAGAAGACTGTTCCTCCTGCAATCGTGCCTGCGGTTGACCGATCGTGATATGGTGTCAAACGCACCTGAGGTACGCTCCGAGGGCTTCCCTCATGCGACGAAAACAAAACTCGACATTGTTATTGTAAGTAACTACCTTGACCCTGCCTTTGAAGGACTGTATAGAACTACGTCATATTGTCCATATATATGTCTGACGTCTTGACAGATTGGAGCATCACTGGGAGGTCTTGCGACCGCTCTTGCCCTCAAGCGTCTTCCAACGACACATGCCCATACGCTCACCCTACTGGAGCGCAGCCCCAACCCGGTCCTCGACAACCAGGGAGCTGGCATTGTTGCAGGAGGAGACACGCTCGCATTCTTCAAGAGATATGACAGATGTGACCGCGAACTCGCCGTGTCCAGCGTGCGCAGGCAGTACCTGGACAAAAATGGCGAGATCGTGCACAAAGAGGACATGAAGCAAAATATGACGAGCTGGGACCTGGCGTACTATGTGCTCCGCGCGAATGTCGATGGCTTGAAGAGCAGGTATTGCGAGGTGCCAAACACCGTCGACGGCAGTGCCGAAGTCAAGCACTTGCATGGGTACAAAGTCACAGGCTTGTGGGAACAGGAGGAGAAAGGGGGCAAACTTGTTGTCCAATACGAAACCAGCGACAACAAGAAGGGCTCTGTCGAAGCAGACCTCGTCATCGGCGCCGACGGCCCCAGCTCCACGATTCGCTCTATCTTTGCTCCCGACGTGGAGAGGAAATACGCCGGATATGTCGCTCTTCGTGGAACCGTCCGCGAAGATCGCGTGAGTTCAAGGACCCTGGAGGCGTTCAGTGGGCGCTTCACATTCTTCCATTGCCCCGGTATCCAGATCCTAGCGTACCTCATCCCTGGCGAGAACGGAACCCTGGAGCCTGGGAAACGATTCATCAATTTCGTGTACTACAAGAACACCAAGCCTCAGAGCCTGGCAGACAAGTCAGCCGAGTTCCGCGAACTCATGACTGATGTGAACGGCAAATACCACCGCTTCATGCTGCCACCGGGCAAAATCAGTCCCAAGGCATGGGAGAAGCAGTGCGATATTGCACGCGAAATGCTTCCGCCTCAGTTCGCAGAGCTTGTCTGCTCAACAGACAAACCCTTCGTACAGGCTGTAACCGACATCATATCGCCGACCAACGAATTCCTCGACGGGCGTGTCATCTTGATTGGTGATGCACTTGCGGGCTTCCGTCCACATACCGCTGCCAGTACGAGCCAAGCTTGCTTTGATGCCATGATCCTTGCGGACATGATTGAGGGCAAAGTCGAAAGACTCGACTGGAAGAGGCAGACGTTGGGTTTTGCCAGGACAATTCAGGCTCGAGGCGTAAGTATGGGGGAGAGAAGTCAGCACGAAGACTTGCCCCTGAGCGAGCACATCCAGGATCGAAACCTTGCGAGCAGACCGAGGCAGGATGATATCTGGCCTCACTGGGCAATCGCGGATCTTGATTGATGAGTTTACGATGAAATGAATCCGGATGCTGTTTTGATTGGCGAGCATAGATTCTTGCGGTGTATATAACCTATCGGACCCGAGGATCAGGAAGGTCGGCCTTTTTGTATTGCTGCGGGGCTGCGACATAGATAAAGGTTGTTGTAATGGTCAGTTGCTTCTTCAATCAAAAAGTATGTTTTCTTACCCGGGCCTACCTCCCTCCTACGGTTTTGCGATTCATACACAACCATGTCCGAGATGACTGGCATATTGCGAAAGGCCGGTCAACTTGCCGTGTGGATGAGGGGCCAATGGCAGAGTGCTGTGCCACGGAAGCTAGTGTTTAGCGCGTTGATCTAGTGAATTCCTGAATGTTAATCTCGAAGTTCTTGACCCTCACATCTGATATCCAAAGCATTCGTCTCGAAGAAGTCAAGAGGGTCTCTCCAAACGAATGCAAATGCATCGATTCCTTCGGGGACCTTTATAGCAGCGTGAGAGCCAAAGCGTCGACAACTCGAACCCAGGCATAGCCGGAACCCCTAATAGACGTCACTGAAAACGTTTCTCGGCCGTCTCACTATAGCCTATTTAGGCGTACCACCTTGAGAAGCATGACTCGAGAAGACTATATGATCTACCGTAGACGCTCATAATACGCGCACATCTAATCCTCTCCCGCGTCCGTCACTCGTTCACTCATCACTCATTAACATCTGCACGAAGACTTTCAGTTGCTCATCAACAGACGTGGAGAGCCCCTTTATACTACCACACAGCATCAACTTGGAATCGAAATCTCAAATCGTCATCATGGCATCCATGCTCATTCTCTCAACCATAATTGGCCTGGCTCTAGCCCAACAGGGCCGCACAATGACCCTCCCCAACGTCTACGGCGACGCAAACTCCGTAGCCGCTTCAGTCGTCACCGCCAACCCTTCAGCCACCACCTTCGCACTGGCCTGCATAGAAGCCGACTGTGGTCTCTTTCCCGCACATACCCTTGTCGTAGGCCCATCAACTTACAACGTCGATATGTCCGACCCCAACACCGACTTCACAGCAACTCAGGACTGTGCTCTCGCATCCAACAGTGCGGTCTGCAAGGAAACTGCTGGTGGCAGTGAAGCGAACTTTCCAGGATCGAGCACCACGACGTATGAGGGCACTGAGATTGGGAAGTTGACTGTTACGGTTACGGCTGGGGAGGACAAGCTTGTGCAGACCGGCTCTATGGGTGGAGCCTCATCCGCTATAGCTCAGACCTCAACTCACAGTGCGTCGAAGAACGCTGAGACAGCGAGCATCACGCCGGCGCCGGTATCAGGTAGCGCTGCTGTGTCTGCCAGCGCATCGAGGACGGGCTCTGCACCTGCACAGGTTTCCGCTGCGGGAGCTGCAATCAATGCCATGGTTCTTGGTGGGGGTTTCGTTGGTGCAGCAGCAGGTGTGTTCGGTGGCTTGCTGCTGTGAAGCAGCTCGGATTTACGATTATTAGCGTAGAAGAGGTCACGAAGATGCTGAGCTATAATCGCATTCGAACGAAGCATGATGGACTCTGCTTCAGATGTATGGAAGATTTGAGTAAGCAGACTGGCAGATTTGAAGGTAGAAGGCGCGTTGGATACCACGTGCACTAGCGCGGCCGTGTCATCTCCTTGCTCCTTCGTCCAGTGCTCTGTCCAATCTCCATCCATCCTCATGCAAGATTTCATTCTTTCGTTCTTTCACCACAGCTTAATAAGCCAACAGCTCTTGCACGCCTTTCTGCTAGCTCTTGAATACCTCGACAATAAAATCCTACTGTTAGAATTAGTCCAAGCTGACGATCGGAGGGACCGTTGCACGAACGGGAGCAGAAGAACGATACGTGCCGGGGAGATACCTTCAATGGAATAGTTAGAGATATTGACTGAACGAAGATGTCCTCGAAAAGCGTAAGATGGCTATTGGTCTGGGCCATTGAGGTTCGGTAGGTTGTATTGTTTCCTATGCTGTCATTCATCCCTTTTAATCTACCAAGCATCTGTGTTCACCTCAATTCGATAGTCTATAGAATCTACCTTCACCTGCGATGATGGAACGCCTTTGAGAGAGACCGTTTGTAAGTGGATCGACACCTGCACCACTAACGACTGCTTTACTCATCTGACTCCTTCGACTTCGACTATACCACTGATCGACTTGGTTCTCTCGTGACACATTCAGTCAACATGAGGATCAATCTCATGCTCGGCGTTGCCCTCTTAGCGGGAGTTGCAGCCGCACTCACAGTCTCCAATCTGATTCTTTCGGTCGACAGCGTATCGCAAGACCACTCCTGCAACCTCACTGGTGCCTTCGATATCTCACTCAATTCGACCGCTCCTGTGACCGCCGCTGCCGACAATGAGTATTGGACCGCCAACGTGGCGCGTGGCAGAAAGTTTCTTGAGGCCATGAAGGACACCGATCTCGAGGCAACTACCATATTCAAAATGGACAAGACTGCGAAGAGCAAGCACGACGGACACCTCAAAGCTGAGATGGGGGATTGGAGCTGAAATGACAATACAGAGGAGCAGGGCTCGGGCACCAGGTACAAGAGCACCAGAGGACCGAACGAGTGCTTTGTTGCGGAGCACTGGACGGCCCTACGGTCAAGAAGAACCTCCTGAGTAAGCCGCCGAAGGCGAAGGGCCAGAGGTACGAAGCCTGTGATGGGCCAAATACTGGGTATGTGACAGCCTCCAGCATCTGTCCAAAACAACGACTCCATACTAATACCTTCGCTCCCAGATCACTGAAGGCTATTGCCGCATCGGTGTCATCGTCGCGGGTGGTGTAACCATGGCTCTCGGTCGGAAATCACCAGCGCATGGTGCTGAGGAGCTCTGGGCCGTCCACTAGCAAGCAAGCTCCCGAGAAGATTCATCTTCGGAAGGTTCCTTTCTCTTCAAAATCTGCATATCTGAACATAATTCGAGAACTGTGGCTAGCGCATGTCCTCTGCGCCTGGAACTTGCCCCCCTACAACAAACTTTTTCTTCGAGCGTGATTTCAAAGCTGAAGCATAGTCTGCTCCCTCGCATTTTCGAGCCCATTGTTATTCAACCGCTCTCTTTCCGGCGCGGTGTCCTGCAACAGTTTTGTCCACTCGTCTTGTTGATCATGCTCAAGGTCGTTCGCAATTTCGGCAGGTGTCGGCCGCTTTCGGGCGCAATGAGGATCTGCCCTACATGTCTGGAGAAGTGTTTTTGCCATTTCAAAGAACGCCTGAGTCCCCTCCTCAACATAACGCATCAAGCTGAGCCTCAGTGGAGTTGATCTATGACATGGACCAAAGTCTGGATCAACACGGACATCTTGAAGTAAAGCCTCAACAACTTTGAGGTTACCAGAATCCACCCCTCGCATCAGTGCAGTCCGGCCGGACTTGTCTTTGGAGTTTGGCTGTACATCGGGTCGTTTCAGGAGATCTGAGATCATCGTGATTGCACAATCATCGGCTACCATTGCACACCATGAAAGGGCAGTCCGTCTGTAATAATCTCGTGCGTTCGGCTCGCAGTTTGTTTTACTCAGAATGAGTCGAAATGAACTGAGATCACCCAACTTTACAGCAAGTATAAGCGCGGTTGTACCATCGTCGTGGAGGCGAGCCGCTGGATCCGAACCAGCGTCCAGGAACATTTTGACATAAGCCTTCCGTCCTTGGTGGAGTGCCCACAGCAGCGGTGTCATACCATTCTGTTTCGTAGTCTCAAGATTCAGCTTTGTTCTGGCCAACACTAAACTGACCACGTCCTCATTATGTGGTTGGCAGATGATCTCAAAGAGCGCCCGTTCGAGGCCTGAATTGTCATAATCGGAATCGAGCCCTACTTCGAAGAGTTGTCTTAGAATCGAGGTTCGACCGCTTTGGTTGATGCGGCCACAGACTGCAGCCAACACGGCATGTTGCCTGTTCGAGACCTCGGTGGCCTCGATACAAAGTCTCATGATCTTTTCAAAGCCTCTGTCAGCAGCATAAGCTAGTAGGCAAGTATGACCACCCCAGAGATGAGATTGGTTTATGGCGCTGGGTGCCTTTGACAGAACTAACTTCAAGTATGGTAGATTGATGCTAGCAAGCGGGTCGTCATTGAAGTTTGGGGGGGCTAAGGCTGAAGCATCGACCGCACTGCGGAAAAGCGATTCAGTCGAAGTGGCCGGAAAAGAGGCAAGCGTTTCCACAATGGCTTCAGATGACGCATTCCGGTAGCATTCGTGGGCAACGTCATAATCCACATTGAATCTTTCGGACTTCAACGCAGCTTCCAACAGCTCAGTGTCCCCATACTCGCATAGATAGCTTAAAGCGTGCCGGCTTGCTCTGTAGTTCTCTTTCTTCAAAGCAAAACTTCGACGAGGTTTTGATTGCCCTGGTATAGTGTTTTCTTCCTCAGGAGCTGGAGGAAGACCAACTAATGCACGGGCTGCTGCGTTGTGGCCGGCATATAAAGCTGCCAACAGGGGCAAACCAAAATGACCCCCCTTTAGGTAGAAGTGATCATCTCTTTCGGGGTGTACTCGAATAAGTTCGTCAGCCCCATACTCACTAAGTAGATATAGGATGTGAGTGCTGCGGTCGATAGACCTGGAGGTCGCGGGGCATAACAAAGACCAGATTTGTTCGTAGCTATGCTGGAACATCTCAAGGAACGAGGTCTGGTCTAGGCTCGACTTTTGTACCCAATTGGCATGATAGAACATGAAATCTAATGCGTACTGTACTAAGGGAGCTTGCTGGTGAACAGACTCTGGCTTGGTAAAGCGCGAGTAGAACTCCACATCGGAGGGGTGACCAAAGACTGAGCGCGCGAAGTCCAGCTGCCGCAAACAAATCTTTACAAGGATGCTGTGTCCCGATTCGTGTGTGGTATCCTCAGCGGATCGCAACATTATCATCCCGTCTTCCTTTATGAAAAAGTCCCGTACGGATTCGTGTATCCATTGCACAGTCGGTTCCTTGGATTTTGTGATCTCCGCCAAACCCTTGGAAGCATCGAGCACAAACTTTCTCAAGTTCTCAGAACTCATCAGTACGGGATCACAACACTGATCAACCGTGTATTTTTCATCGCAATACGTTTCGATTGCTATACGAAACTCGTTTGGCTTCAATGGTCGTGCGGCGTGCAGGATGACCTGAACACAAACACAAAGGTATTCCAATCTCAGTCGATCTCTGGTCAGCATATCAGCGAACAGGTTATGCAGCCCAGCTGGGATTTGTGCAAGTCGCTTCTTCAGGGCTTTGATCCTCCCTGAATCGTATTCTTTGTTCAGCATAGGAATGACGAGATGCACCCAGAGAAAGATTCCAGATGCTTTGCGCAGAATCTCGGCCCTGACATCCTCGAATTGCGCGGTCTCTTTGATTTTCAGGTTGGCATCAATGTAGACAGTGATGTCGTTCGTGTGCTCCGCTTCTGCTTCGAGCACAAGCTGGAGGCCAGTCCGGATACTGATCTCGGGATAGTGCCTGCTCGAGAAGCACACACGGAACTCCGCTGCTGACTCAATTTCCCCAATCTCTTCGAAGAATGAGACCATGTCGCGAATGTCATCCTCGGGACATTCGTCCAGAGCATCAACAAAACAAACAACACGTTGGTCTCCGAGCTTCTGAAGGCTTTGTACAAATAATTGGCGAAGAACCTCATCCTGCCAGCCAGATTCTTCAATCAGGTCGAGTGTAGATGTGCCAAGGTCGTCGTCCTCGAATATCTCCCAGGCTTTTGGTGCTTTCTCAAGAAGTTGTAGAAGCAAAGCACGGTACAAGCCAGATGTTGTCTTTTCCAGGTCCTCGCCTCGTGCATTGAAGAAGAAGGAGAGAACGAGGCTTCCTCTCATGGACTTCTTAGCCTGAGAGAACAGAAACTTCATCATGATAGACTTTCCTGAGCCCGGCTTGCCCTTGATCCAGAAGAAACCACGGTGCTCATTTATCTTATCCACATGCATCCAATCACTGTATTTCGGGTTTTTGAGTAACCATCGACATGTCTTGGCTTGAGCTTGCTTGAGGGTGAGAAGTCGAGCATCTCTCTGTTTGAAATGGAGGCTAGCCTTGATTGCGTTACGTTGCTCGTCCGAAAGCTCGTGCTTTTCTGGCCTGGTCTCCGGGCTTGAGGGTTGGTGGATCTCTTCATTGGCGGCTTTTTGGCTGGGATCTCGAGGTATCTTTGGACCAGCGACATGATTGACGGTGACGATATCAGCACAGGAAAGGTCCTTCGAGTTGCGGGTGTCATGGTCTTGTCGCTGTGGTCTCGGAGCTTGGACTGTACGGAGTAATGGAGTATCTAGTCAGTTGTCAGCATCAGATTCAGTATGAGTATGAACCTTGAAGTGAAAGAGTCCGGCGGCTGAATTCATAGGATTCCAAGCACACTGACCGCTAGATTGTCCAGTGTCGTTATCCGCTATTCGTGTACCCGCCACTTCAGTTGGCTTTATCACCGACAGCACTTCCTTTGCATATGCAGCTGCAACGCCCGCGGCGTACGCCTGCCATCGATCGTTCTTGTGCGAGTCGGCGTAGTCGCTGATGCCACGAACTACCAGACATGGGAAGGTGTTCATCAACCCCGCCGCTTCCATTTCGAAGCACAACACGCCACCGAGCTGCGCGCTAGCCTTGTCCCTCTCAGCAGCATTCTTTATCACTTGATTCCCTGACGCGATTGTGCCGTAGTGCACAACCACTTCTTCCTCGTCATTTCGTGGCTTTCGAGCTTGGATCCTGTCCACGCTGCACATGTCGCACGTTTGGCTGCTGGGGTTCTCGTGGTCATACGCTGCATCGTAAAGGACGTCAGGCCCTGCCCGACTTCGCTGGAATTTTGATCGCTCCAGCTTCAAGACGTGCTTGGACAACCCACTCTCTACGAGCCACTCGTTCATTTGGATCCGTGACAATGCGTTGAGCAACGCCTGAGGCGGAGAGTCGAGCGACCCTTTCCGCACAAACCCGTCTCTAGTCGTCTTTCCCATATCATACTGCACCACTCCGCCATACGTATTGTCAGGTTGGCTGACTACCACGTCCCCGAGCCGGACGTCTGCCTTCGCGCTAGGAACACCTCCACCAATACCCACCATCAGCCCGAACCGGATCTTCTTGAACGTAGCTAACATCTGTGTCGCCACAACAGCGGCTGAATTGTTCCCAGTCTGGCCAGCAGGCAGACATCCAATAGCTACGTTGTGCCCCTCAATTGAGCCGAGGACGTACAAATTCTCGTCGTTATCGCCTGGGTCGCGCTCGAGGTCTTCGTGCTTTTCATCCAGCATGAGCCGCGCTGCCGCCAGCTCAACGGGTAGAGCGCAGACCCATCCTACGGTGTAGTCGGTGCGGCGAAGCTGGCGCCGCATTCGCAGTCGTTTATGATGTACGATTCATATAAAGGTAGGAGGGCAGGTTGAAGAGGATGTTCCGAGTGTTTTTGCTAAGGAAGCTGCAGCCTGGTAGCCGCTCAGCCTCGCAATTTGGCGGCGCCCCATGTTGTCAGCTGGGACTCGGCAGGCTAAGAGAGGAATGTCGAGATCCAGCGAATACTGCCGCTGATGCAGGCGCATTTAGATTAGCACCTCGCTAATCGGCTGCATACGAGTGGTGTCCCCATGCGCGAGGCAGGCAGAAGAAGCCTGATCATCCATCCGGTCAAGGGGGGGGGGGGTCCAGAAAGATTAACAACAGACATGCCCAGCTCCCTACCTGTCGCGAGCGATAGATTCTCATACTAACGCTAACGGACTCAAATGCAACAACTTGCCGTATTGCGATTTTGTACGTGACTGGTCTTCCTAGGTACCTTGCAAGTGGACCCCGGCTGAAGCAAGCGTAGCGGCAGGAGCGTGGGTATCGAAAGCTGGGAGTGTTGGAACCAGCACTGCAGAAGATGAGATGAATTGGAATGAATCTATCCACGAGTGCTGGAAACCAACAGGGCGTCGTGAGCAATACCTGAGCATACAGCAACCTTCCCTCCTCAGTGATAGTTCTCTGACGATAGGCACAGGATGTCACCACCTTAGCTTTCAGTACATGTATTTCTTACGTTTACCCGCAATCGTCATCCGATAGTAACGGCTTCAAAGGCTGATTGAAGAGGACATTTTCTCGATAGACACGCTTCCAGCGCCAGAGCTTGTGAAATTGTTTCAGATCCCTTGTCACTTGCTTACTAACGTATATCGTCACTCGAACGGATTTCTCAGCTTTGCTGAATACTTTCAGGACGATGGCCATCTTTAATCGCACCGTAAGGGATATTCTATCGTGAATCCAAGTAGCTGCTTATCTCGCAACAGACACAGGGTACTGCGTCTTAGCCAAGATGGCCGCTCGACACTCCAAGTCAAGCTACACATGACACGAGATGACCTTCTGTTCACAATGGACTCCTAGTGGATACATTATGCTGTGCATTGGCGTGCTTTCCATCTTCAAGAGACTGCTCCAGGACGCCCTGTTACGCCTAGCAATCTTACAACTGCTTGATGAGCCATACTCGATGCACGTGCCTCTTATAGAGGGCATTAGTATTCATGCAAAACTTGTTTTTATGGTTCATGCGTGACATTGTGCGTGGTGTTGAAAAAGTGAGTATCATCGCACGAAGAGCAACAAGACGCTGATATCCATACGTAGGGTCGCTCACTTCCGATCCGTGGATTGCAAGGCTTTCTTCCAATGCATGAGGCAGTACGACCTGCCATCAACGCCTTTGAAATACTCCGCGTCTCTGTTCAGACAGTAGAGGTGATGCACCTGAATCTCGTTCATGTTTCAAACAGGAACAAGCAAGCAAGCAGACTACAACCACATATGGAATTTCAGGTCCAGATGCTCCGCAACTTGCTCCTGCGGTCACCATCAAACAAGGAACGATTGCAGAACGAAAACGACTGGGTATGTCAGCCCCTTCATCTCTAGGAGAAGCAAGACTAAAACATGATAAGGTGCATAACATGATTGCGCAGCAGGACAGTCAGGCCATGACAGGTCTAGGGGAAGCAGCAAAGCGGGATAGTGGAGCCGTGAAGACAATTGCAGTGGTGACTATGGCGTCCCTGCCTCCAACGTTCTTATCGGGCCCGTCGTCACATAAAGTACCCAGGTATACTAACACAAATCAGGCTATTTTCAGTATGAACTTCTCTGACGATTCACCCGCACCAGATACAATGGGATGGTCAGTATCTGACAAGTTCTGGGTATACTGGGCATGCGCCGTGCCGTTGACTTGTCTGATGCTGGCCATCTGGTTCTGGGGCCAGAGACTGTCAGGAGCGCGAAGTCAATGAAAACACCTGTCGGCACCAGCCAGTCCACCTCAGATAAGCGGCTGGAAGCAAAGCATGTCTCACCACCTACACAAGAAGCTCCTGAGTTCCCTATTCCCCTTCCACCAAGCATACACAGCGTCGTCTCATCGCACGTCGCAAATCCCCCGTAGTCCTGTCCTGAGCCTGTTGCTTTTTACTTGCCGCATTCGATTTGGGGCAAGCGATGTCCGTTTCCGGTTGTGTTTGTTCGTGTGTTTTCGCTTGCCAGATGTACGCCCCAGTATGATTGCCAGATTTGAGGGTGGTGGATACGTTTTGCAAGGCAACGAAACGGCCTTCTGCCGCACGCAGGACGTACACTTCTTCACGCACACCCCCTCACCGTTGAACACTCCTCTTCTCCTCTCACCAGAGCTAACGCAACCCACGCCCGCAAGCAATCGTCCACTGAACAACTCGCTCAGCGATAAGGTGACGGCCAGGTCAAATCTAAACTTGGCATACAGTATCTCGATCGGTCTTCTGTGCATGTACACCAGCGGTCTACCTCGCAACATATAATTCTACGTCACACGCGTAGACAATAGTTAGTTCACGACACAAGGGTTATGTTGATCAGCATCTTCGATCTCCACTTCGGTTACCAGAGCGCTTAGCTAATTACAAGGTGAGATGTTGTACATTCTATTCTACTTTTCGTAACATGCGGGTAGTCCCACCAACGCCATGCAATGCCCATCATACCCATCCATCATACACATCCGTCATACAACAGCCATATCGTACTATACACACATGTCCAAAGCTTAGATCAAGGCTTCACCCCTGAACATAGCCTCCTTGACCTCCTTCACAACATCCGCGCGGTCTCCCGCGCCAAGCAAGACGATACCGCGGCCGCGGCGGCCCATACGTCCAGTACGTCCGAGGCGGTGAATGAAGTCGATGGTGGTATGCGGGACGTCGTACAGGATAACGTGGCGCACGGATACAGTGTCGATACCGCGGGAACCGAGGTCAGTGGTGACGATCACTTTGGTGTTGGCGAGGGTGCGGGAGGTAGTGGCCTTCGTCTTGCCCTCGTCTTCCTCACCCTCGAGTTCCTTCTTCTGTCCGAACGAAGGCGATATCGAGCCGTCTGTGAAGGAGGCGAGGGTTTTGGCTTGACGGACGGGATCCGTATCCCTATGGAAGGCGAGCGCGTCGATGCCCTTCTTGCACAGATACTCTGCAACAGCTTCGGTGTCTTCGCGTTCGTTGACGAAGACGAGGATGCGCTTCGTGTTTACTTTCTCGTTGCCTTCTTCGTCGTTGTACTCCGACGCGGACTTGCCGATCTGCCATATGCTGTCCGCACACGCCAGCATCTTGTTCCCGCGGTATGGGTCTTTATTCACGTCGACGACGCCGAGCTGCACGCGTCGCGGGATGGCGTGGAGGTTCGGTGTGACGAGGCGGTGCATATCGGGGAACTTGTCGAGCAGGAACTTGTCGAGGTATTTCGGAATCGTGGCGGAGCACAGCACCAGTTTCTTCAGCGACGGGGTCGCGCGGTCCAAAATCTCCGTGGTGCTGGGTTTGAACGACCGGTCGAAGAGCGAGTCGGCTTCGTCGCAGATCAAGTGAGTGACGCGGGCGAGGATGTTGGGGTTGGATTCTGCGATGCTGGCGAGCAGGGGCGGGGTGCTGATTACGACGTCGACGCCATGCTCGTTGAAGAGCCGGTTGCGGATCACGGTTGCGCTCATCTTTGCGCTGATGGGCGCGGCGCGGAACTTGACCGTGTGCGAGAGCGATTTGGCGACGGCGCCGACCTGGGCGACCAGCTCGGCGGAGGGGACGAGGATGATTGCGCGAGGGCGGGCGGGGTCGACGGCTTTGTTGACGCTGGGCTCGGGGACGTCGAACATGTCGTTGCGCTTGGCGGAAGGCTTAGAGGCGGCGTCTGCGGCGGCGTCTGCGGCGGCGTCTGCGGCGGCGGCCTGGGCGGCGGCTTCTTCGTCTTGCTTCTCTCGGCCTTCCTCGCGCTTGATGGCGTCGAGGGTGGGGAGGAGGTAGGCGAGCGTCTTGCCTGAGCCGGTCTCGGCGGCGAGGAGAAAGGCCTCGGGGCCTGACGCCTTCTGCGAGACGCTCCTGGTGCGCTTCTCTTTGCGTAGGCCGAGGAGTGCTGGGATGGCGACGGCCTGGGCGGGTGTGGGGTTGCGGTACTCGAGGTCTGGCAGGGCATCCTTGACGGCCGCCTGTACGGTGTCCATGAGGGGGAACTTGTCGAAGGCGTCGTACTGCTCGAGCTTGCCCTTGACGGCCTTGCGCGATGCGTAGGGGATCTCGTGGAGCGAGCGCTGCATCTTCAGGGCATGGAACGAATCAGGCTTCGTCCTCCTCTTGTCGCTGTCCCGCGCGCGCGGGTTCTTGTCGCGGTCCGCCTGTCCCCGCTCGCTGGCCCTCTCTCTTTCCCTCTGCAGCATTGGCGGTGCTCGCGTCTTGTTCAGAAACGAGTACGGCTCGCGGGGCTTCCTCTTCGGCTTGTCGCCGGCCGGTCGGTCGACAGAGCCCGACAGCTGGAGCGTGTCGCGTCCATGCGTTGGACGCTGTCGGGAGCGCTCTGCATCGTCGCGCCCCCGCGCTCTGGGTGCGCCCAAGCGTGCGTTGAAGGCTGCAGCGTCGCGGCTTCGCGGTGCGTCGCGGTCTCGGTCTCGGTCTCGGTCTCGGTCTCTGGGTGGTGGCCGGGAGCGCGGGGGCAGCGATGAGCGGTCGCTGCGTCCGCGCTGTACTTGGGTGTAGAGACGGGCCTGGAGGGTCGGGAGAGACCGCGGCGCTGTTCCCAGCAACGAGCGCGCCTCGCAGAAGGCGCACACACGGGTGGCCTGGCGCAGCATCACAACGGCGGCAGTGTATCAGAGTGCCGGAGAAGGTGTAGAGGGTGCCGGAGAAGGTGTACAGAGTGCCCGCGAAGGTGTACAGAGTGCCGGTGAAGGTCTACAGAAACTCGTGCGCGCCCTCCTCTCACCTCTCTCACGTGCGCTAGCTGCGGCCACTTTTTTTGGCGCGCCACAGACCGCCCGCGCGCGACAGCATCGCCCTCTAGCGCTGGGCACGGGCGGCTCAGCTGCGAACCGTTGCGCTGTCGCCCCGTCGCCCCAGCAACCCCCTCCACAGTGCCCACTGTTGACAAACCTGATTCACCCCGGCCGATCAAGTGCCTACAAGTGCCTGATCTCAGCTGCACAGCCCATCCTTTCCTCTCGCCCACTACACCAACAAAGCGCCCGCGCTGGATCTGCCCTTCGCTTCTTTGTTCGTCTTCAGTCGCTCCGAGCGCGCATCCTTATCGATTGTTTGTTAGTCCTCTGTTGACTGCGTGCATCCGTCTGCACCACGCCGCCTCGAGGGCGCCGCCATTCTTCGCAAACATCCCAGCAAAGCACCCATCCGTGCTGCAGTCTTCTCCTCAGCACTGCGCGCGAGCCAACATGTCTCGCAACGAAGCGGTAAGCTTTGCGGCATCCATCCCTTTTCGCACACGTCATTCCTAATCACGTGCAGGTGTCGCCGCTGCGCATAAACAAGACGCCGACTGCCTCGCCCGCAAAGGGCAGCGGCCGTCCGCTCTCAGAGATTGGAGCTGGCGAGCGCAGGAGGAACTCTCCGAGCTTCGACCAGACAACAAAGGTACGCGCCCACCCCACTGTCCCGCTGCGCCGTGCCTTGCATCGTGTGTCCGCAGCTGCTGACGAGGGCCAGCGCATGTACCTCACCAAGGAGACATCGCCTTTTGGCTCGTCACCGTTCCAAAACAGCCCGCGACTGTTCTGGAAAGAGCAGACCACATCGCCCCGGGACCGCTTTGAGAACTCGGAGAACAGCTTCACCGAGGACTCTCAGCTGCCGCTGTCGCCCAAGCGCAACTCGATTGAGAACCTCAAGAAGCAGGCCCGTGTCAAGAACAGCGGCATCTTCGCACGCGAGCAGATGCATGCTTACGACCCCACATCGGTTCAGCCGCTGGACCGACCACTTGCCGCTGGCCGACCGCTCAGCACGTCCGTCCAGGGCAATGCCTTTGGTGGTGCTGGCCTCGACGGTCTGCGCCAGCACGACGGCTCTCCAGAGAAGGCCCCCCACCACCGCCGCGGCGAGAGCATGAACAACATCCCCACACTGAGCTCCATCAAGACATCGCCGGCAAAGCTGCCCACACAATCCACGTTCGGCTCGCCCTTCTCCTCACCGACCAAGGATCGCCCCTCCTCATCCGCTGGTCGCGCTTCTCCGGCCAAGTCTTCTCTTGTCAACAACGGTCGCTTCAACTCGCCGCAGTACAACCCTGACTCGAGCGTCCTGTCCGACGACGACGAGATGACGCACCAAACACCCCGCGTGCTGCGCCGCCATGCTAAGAGTGTGACCTTCGACGCTGCCCCACCCACAATCACAGAGTACGAGTTGGTCACACCCGACCCTTCAGCAGCATCTGGCTCGCGAGAGGGAAGCTACGAGGAGACAGACGAGGAGGAAGAGATGAGCTTCGACCAGGACGACAGCTTTGACGCATCGCTGGAAGACACCGACAAGACACCAGTCGTTCTCCCCGAGGACTGGCGCCACGTGAGCCCGGACAACGCAAACACATCGTTGACTGACCTCTACGATGACGTTTTCGATCCGCGCGAGACCAGCCCAATGGCAGGCGCGCAGCCCAACGGTGCGATGAGCGGCTCGCGACACGGCTCACAACACTCGGAGGGCTCGCCAAGGCCACTCCCACCTCTTCCTGGCATGAGCTTGAACCGACCGGACTCGAGCAATGGCGAGGCATCTCGGTCGCTGCCCCAGCTTCCGCCTGTCTCTGGCTTCTCCAAGGCCGACCTGATGAGCAGGCGCGAAAGCTCCATGTCTCTAGAGGACAGGCTTCGTCTGATGAACTTCGATGGCGACCGCGACACATCTACGCCTACTCAGGAGAGCCACAACAAGACCGATGACGACGGAGTGGAAGTCCATGTCGATGAGGTGGATGCCGATGCGTCGGTACTGACTGCTGATAACGAGCAAGATGCTTCGATTCCTCGCATCTCGCGCGAGTCTATCCTGCGTAGGGTGAAGAGCCAGAACTTCGATGACCACGAGGACAGCTGCGCCTACGACGCTGAATCGAGCCCTGAGCGCAGCTATGGTAACCTGGCTGATCTGGATCCCGATGTCCCGATCCCGTCTCGCGAGTGTTCATCCAACTTCGACGAGACTGTGCACCAGGCTCAGACTAGCCCTGAGCCGGAGGCGGACAGCGTCCTCGACGCCTACCAAGATGTGGATGGCTCGGCGATCTCTCAGCTTGACGACCACGAAGCTGGGCCGTACGGCGGTGAGGACTTGGAGCGTGAAGGCTCCGACAGCTCGGTCATCCGCCATCCTGTAAGGGATGATGACACCGAAGATGCGGACTCGATTGGAGACGATGTCAGTGTAAGCCAATACTCATCTCAACCAGATGAGGAGCCCTACGAGACGCCCGTGCAACAGGCTGCAGAACCGTTCGTCGAGCCGTTCGTCGAGCAGGTCGTCGAGCAGCCCGAGGAGCACCCTGAGGAGCAGCCAACCTCACAGAGCACCATTGACAGCTCTGGGCCACCGACGCCCACGGTTGTTGCTGAGTCACCAAACGCGGCAGAGAAGAAGGCTCGCCAGGACGAGCTCTTCGCCAACTTCGACCGGGAGCAGTCGATGGACCTGAGTCTCGACCCTCTCAAGGCCTCTTTCGCAACTGCGCCAAGCCCTCTCGACACAGCTCCCAAGATGGAGGCTATGCGCGACTTCTTGCAGCGACCCGCTGCTCCCGAAGCCACTGAGGAAGGGGCTGAAGAAGAGTACATCGATTCAAACGAGCCTAGCAGCCCCGACTCCGTCATCCGCCACCCAATTGTCCTCTCACCTCCTGAGATTGACTCCGACCAAGAAGTACCTCAGTGTGAGGCTACTATCCGAGGCACTGGCGGTCACAAGCTGAGGACTCGTCCGTCCCTCATCCCTGACGAGGTTGATATGGCAGCCACCCGCCGACAAGTCAGCGGAACTTACCCTCCACCAGTTCCTGAGAGGAGCCCCAAGCGCCAATCTCTCAGCTTCGAGATTGGCCATGTGGACGATGACTCTTCCCAGCTGAGCCTCGCCACCAGGGAAAGGCGCATGCTTGACCTGGACTTGGGTGACGATGAGAACGACCTCAGCTTTGGTCTCGATAACGAGTTCGACAAGATCATTGAATCCCAAAAGGTAGACCTCCTTTTTCCTTTACCCGATTTCGCTCGTTTCCCAACATCTGTGGCTGCGCGACCCAATGCAGCCGCTCATATGTCAGGGGAAGGGTTCGTGTATCCGTACCATGTCGCTAATCCGCCCGAACAGAAGGGTTACCTGATGCGAGAGAACACCAAGGTTGTTGTTGCCAGCAGCCGTCAATTCAGCGACGAAGCGCGTCCAACAGAAACGCCTGCCGCTGTTGATCCCACTACTGGCGAGAAGCTTGCTAAGGCTCCAGCTCGCAAGGCAAGCGGTAGCAAGCAGGCATGGACGACCGAGCCATGGAACGGCAAAGCCCGCCGCAAGAGCCTTCGAACCGCATCTGGAGCTCGCAAGGCCCGCACATCCGGTGTCGCACCTCCTCTTCCAGGTCAAGACTCTGCTGTTGCTGCTGGCCTCGATGCCGTTACCGAGCAAGGTAATGACGAGTTCGAGGATGGTGAGGAGCGTGGCCGTGTGTTCGTCAAGGTGATTGGTGTCAAGGATCTCGACCTGCCGTTACCGAAAAGTAAGTGTACCGAAACAACAACGACTAATGCAACGCTAACATTACCCTGCAGCTGAACGCACGTGGTTCCAATTGACGCTCGATAACGGACTGCACTGTGTCACAACATCATGGTTAGAACTTGGTCACTCTGCCCCGATCGGACAGGAGTTCGAACTCGTTGTCCTGGACGATCTCGAATTCCAACTCACCCTGCAGACCAAGCTTGAGCCGCCAGCACGTCAACCAGAGGTCTTCACGGCCGCACCTCCAAAGGCCATCACCAAGAAGACATCGGGCTCTACGTTCCGCAACCTTCTTTCGTCTCCCAAGAAGCGCAAGGAGCAGGAGCGTCGCGCACAGGAGGAGGCCGACCGTCTTGCTCTCCAGCAGCAGCAAGAAGCTCAGGCTGCAGCCAAGCGCAATCAGAAGGCCACTGCGTGGGACCTTCTCCACGACCTCGTCGGCCAGGACGGTTCGTTCGCACGTGCCTACGTCTGCCTCAGCAACCATGAGAGCCAGGCTTACGGACGTCCTCTGACTGTCGACATTCCTTGCTTCAACGAATGGGCCGTCGATGACAGCGGTGTCAGCAGTGTCAAGAGCAAGCGTGGTGGCGTCGTTCGACGACCACCGTACCGCGTTGGCAAGCTTACTGTTCAGCTTCTCTACGTTCCTAAGCCAAAGAACGCAACCGACGATGACATGCCCAAGAGCATGAATGCCTGCCTTCGCGAGCTCAAGGAGGCTGAGGAGGTGAAGGGCAAGACCTGGGAGGGTCTTCTGAGTCAGCAAGGTGGTGACTGCCCGGTGAGTGCACCCTACGAATACAGGTTGGATTTCCGCTAACGATATCATAGTACTGGCGTCGTCGTTTCTTCCGCCTCGATGGCACAAAGCTCACAGCATTCCACGAGACGACACGGCAGCCACGTGCTACCATCAATCTCGCAAAGGCAACGAAGTTGCTAGACGACAAGAGCGCGCTCAAGCAGCCATCTGCTACCAAGTCTGGTGGTCGTCGCAAGTCTGCATTCGCTGAAGACGAAGAGGGTTACATGTTCGTTGAAGAGGGTTTCCGCATCCGCTTCGCTAACGGTGAGGTCATTGACTTCTATGCCGACGGCCGCGAGCAGAAGGAAGGCTGGATGAAGGTCCTGTCCGAGTGTGTCGGAAAGGACATTGCTTCTGGCAAGGCCTGGACCCACATGGTGCTCGAGAAGGAGCGCAAGGAAAAGGCACAGAAGCCCAGGTCGCAAGCTGGAGCACCCACTCCAGGATCGAAGCCACCGCACGAAGGCGGAAACGCCAACCGTCGACCATCGCACACCCGCACACAATCACACGAGGTGTGCAGCAAATCGACGCCCTCGAGTCCGGTCAAGCCAGCGCACGCACGAACACAATCGTTTGCGCCAACACCACCACCAAAGGAGCGCGACCCTCGTATGGCGCCTGCGCCCGCACCGCGACCAAGGCCGCAAACGCAGATGCAGCCCAACACAGGCAGCAATAGCCGCAGAGACCAGGTTCGATCGATGATCTTCTAAGCACATCCTATATCATCAAGGCATATCGATACCTATCGCTACGCTTCCATCTTGGATATTCACTTACATGCTTTTTCGCTTCGATGCAGATTCTACGGAGACTAAGATTGCGGTTCTTGCGACGACAGCGCCGCCGAAGTGCTGTGCACTCGGCTGACCGAACCATTGACTTGGATTCGACCACACACACATCTGGACCGACGCTTGTATAAAGCTTCTTGGCTACACGTCCTTTCGTTGATTCCAGTCATCTCTTTGGTTCGAGATGAAAAACAGGACCCAAGATGTCCGGGGTCGAGTTTGGGGATGTCACTTCTTATACCTGTCTTTTATTGTGCGCATTCTCCTAACGTCACATGTTTGGGTTCGCTTGTATTGTTTGGCGTGTCTGGTGTTGGGGTGTATTGCATGAGTAATGTCACGACTGTTCTGCCTAATGATTGCAGATGATGGGATGAGTCGAGAGCAGGAAATACACATGATGTTCACATGATGTTCAAAGCACTTGCGCGTCTTACCTGAAGCGTCTTACTTGAAGCCTGCGTGATGGATACAAGTAGGCTAACGCAACATGACAGCTCCATGACAACGGTGCTCTAAGTATTTGGCTCGGCTGATACTTGATACACACGTGCAAACCTTCTATCGGGTTGAACCACCTACAGACTGTTCGAACGAGCAAGCGTCGTACTCAGGCTACTCGATACTACTCGATGCTCGTGATCATGTCGTACACTCGTTTGTAACGCCAGCTCATGCACGTCGGGTTGAACATGCTAGTTTGTGCGACAGACATGTATCCTCGAGCAAACAAACCACAGTCAGCGTGTACACAGCAGCCCGGTTCAACCCAAATCTGGAGCTTGCCGGTTGGGCAGACTTCGAACGCATCCAGCGTCTCGTATCCTCTCCTATCTTCAGCATTGCGTGTTGTCGAATAACGTGTCTGCTTACTGTCGCGTTCGAACTAGGCACAAATCTTCTGAATAGCATCTTTCCTTTTGTTCCTCGCATTCTGAGCCCGTATCACACCAGTTGAAGCACTCCCGAGGCGCGATGGGGAACACGCCCTCCACGCCACCCCCGCTCGTCTCCATTAACGCACCCGGCAACGACGTCCTCGTCCCGTACGGCACGAGTTTGTATGCTATTCCGCCCCTAACGCCTGGATACCACCCGCCTCATGCGCATGGCAACTGTAAAGGCGCGGGCTGTCAAGGTGCTTCATCCTGTCATGCATCTGCGCCTCGAGGCCCAGTGTACACTCGCGTTGGCACAAGACCGCGTCGACAACGACACGGGCACACAGAGCCGGATGTGAATATCCGTGAGTATGAGTATGAGGAAGATAGCAGGAGTACAGAGTTAGGTGAGTTGCCAGAGACTGTGAGGATGAGGAAGGGGAGTAAGATGCAGGGTCCGAGACAACATGGAGGAAGGAGAGGGATGCCGGGACCGTATGATGGGGATCCAAGGCCGAGTAGTGCGCCGGTGGGGTATATGGGGATGAGAGGAGGGCAAGGGTATCCGGGGATGCATCCAGGTGTGGAAGATATGGGCGTGGGGATGGGTATGGATCCGAGTGTGATGCGTCCTGGTATGTATCCAGGCGTGTATCCGACAGGTCCTGGTATGCCACCGCATATGTCAGTGCCGCCACAATACGCTTCTCACGAGTCGATGCATCGTTACCCTCCTGGTATGGGCGGCATGCACAGCGCGAACCCGTACGCGGCTCATCCACCTCGACCACCACCGCCGAGTACAAGCTCTCCGCCACCGAGTCCGAAACGAATATCGCCAGCCGTTCAAGCGGCTATTGATGCAGCGGTACAAAAGAGTGCTGAAATGGCTGGCAAATCCAGATCCACACCTACTAGGTCGAGAACCTCACCAGCGGCATTGGCAAAAGACAAGAACAATGAATGGGGCGAGGGAATTGATACCTGCATTTGCACGACAGATTGCAAGTGTCGAAAGGGCGAGCGCGCAGCTGGTTGGTACGAAGGCGTGGCTGATATTGACGGTGAGGAGGTTCCTGTTCGAGGCAAGTTGAATACTCGATGGGTGCTAGTTGATGATCTTGGAAAAGACTGCGGTGATCATACGGATTGTAAGAAGAGCTCCAGTTCTAGCTCCACCAGCAGCGACACGGAAACTTCGCAATCAAAATCGAAGAAGAAGAAGAGTGACAAGAAGAAGTCGGAAAAGATCAGCAATGCTGGCAAGCTGGAGGACCTCCAGGCTGAGATTGACAAGATGAAAAAGCCAGCAGGTCTGAAGCAAGGACCTTCGCCATACACCGGTCATGGCCCCGGCCTTGGTCCTAGCGACATGGAGGGTTGGCATCCTGAGATGATGCAGCAGTTGCGTATGATGGAGATGAGCGGTGATCCGTACAGGATGGGCCGCGTGAATGGAATGGACGCCACGGGAGCGATGCAGGGCAAATTCAATCCTATGACCATGCGTAATCTACGTGGTCCGCGGATGCCGCCGAGGCCTGGAATGCGGAGGCGATATGAGGATGACGGGTTCGTGGAGAATTATGAGGACATGGGAGGCGCGAGTCCGGGGAACCCTTACGCACACCCAAGTGCAATGAGCGCCAAGAGAAGAAACAAGGATTCGATGCAGCCGAAAGGGCGAACAGGGTTCGGTCTTCGAGGAGGTCTTTTCGATTCTGACAGTGAACCGAGTACGGCAATACGTAAAAATACCAGCAAAAGAGGCGGAGGCACTTTGGGCGGTCGTCTGGCACGAAGCGGAAGAAATCGTCCACATTTCGAGTTCGATGATACCAGTGTTAGCTTTGGACCGAGGAGACAGTCAGGTATGGAAAGCTTTGGAACGGATGAGGACGGCGAGCCTCCGATGTACAACTTGCCCAGTAAGTCATACATGCTTAGTGTGATGATTTTACACCTGGCTGAATCTTCCGTAGAGCGCGGCGTCGGAGACAGGGACGAAGGTGCATCGCCGCGGAATGGACGGTCTCGTATCAGTCCACCGGGGGGGAGGGGTGGGGTGCGCAGTGGGCGGACCGTGGGGAAGCAGGCGCGCGCTGAAACAGATGACGATGAAGACTATTGAAGCCCCACGGTAAGCAGCTGTACTCAGATAGAATCAAGTCATCTCAGCTGCGCGATATCTGTATTTCGGGAATTAGGTTTCTGAATCTACGATCCATGAACTTAACCACCAATTTTGACGTCAGAATAAGCATGAATCCAGTCACCAAAGCGTAATCCGCTAAGCATCCCCTGTACATAGCTTGCATCTGGAACACGAAACAGTCTGTAGTGGCTATGCTCCGCGGGTGCAGGATTGTGGATTGATATGTTGACACAACGTGGCTCCGAGGTGTTTGCACACGTATCAGTCGATGCCTCGTAGGGGCGATCCTGGCCAATTCGGGATCACCCGGACAGTATGTGGATTCATCGTTCGAATGCTTGCCTGAGTATCATCAGTTCAAGTACAGTACTGGGAGCCAAAGTACCCGCGGCGTTGCAAATCCAAGCAAGCAAACTTTGGATGTCGTAGCCTTCAGAGTCATTCATGCGTCTGTGATTTGAAGCGCCAAGATGTACGTAGTGAACAAGTGCTGGAAACACTAATTGTAGCTTCAGGACTGATTTTCACGTTAGAAATATAAATAGAAGAGAAGAAGTCGTAATCGTGGTATTTGCTATCATGACGGTCAGGTCGTCTAAGGCTTGGCTGTTGATAGCCGCCAGTGATGCTGGAGAAAAGAAAAGTAGGTTGTTCGTAAAGGCGATCTTTGCGCCACGTCTCTCAACGCGTCGGACTTCGACGACAGGAGTGGAGTGTTTGGTCGCAGTCCATAGACGCCAGTTCCTTTCCGAAGGTAGATCGATAGAGTTCATCTGCTTGTAAATGCATTATCCACGGTAGATACCGAAACCAACTCCTCGCTCAAAGAAACAGATACCCTAGGTGAAAAGGAAAAGAAGTAGGAACTTCGCGTCAATCTGATGGAAACGTAAGAAAAGGCCCAAGCCTTTATAACGGAGAGACTGAGAATCTCAGTGAACTGCTCCAAATGACTAGGCGATAGGAAACCCACCTCACTAGCGACTATGGAGCAGTCCAGCCCATACCGTTGGATGTCACGCCGTTAGCTTCAGCCAACTTCTTGCCCGTCTCGCTAAGCTTCAGGATCGTGCACTTTGTCTCGCCCCACCAGTTCTCGAAGGTCTGCACATCTTCGGTAGCAACGGAACCAGTGCGCTTGGCGTCATACCACTCAGTGTCGACCTTATGGCCGGTGTGACGAAGACGAGGAAGGGCTTCCGTGCGCAAGTACGACAACTCTGAGGCGTACTTGGCGTCCTGCGGCTCAAGTGGAGTGGAGAAGGAGCGCTCGCGTGTTGAGCTGCGCTTAGTCTCGAGATCTGGTGGTCCAAGGGAGATGGGAGCGGGAGTGGCCGCAGACTGAGAGAGCGAGAAAGTTGAAGGAACAGGGGAAGCAGAGCCAGAGTCCGATGCTGGGGTTCCGCTATAGGTAGGCGATGAGATGTCAGACAAGAAGACGCTGCTAGCGTTGCTGGCAGTGCGGAACTTCTGTGGGCGGAGCTCGTCGAGTTCGACCAAGATCTCTTCCTCTGGAGACTTCTGGTCAGTGCGGGAACCGTTGCTGACCCCACTGTGCTCTTGAAGACGTTCGAAGCCTGAAGTAGATTAGCTTGGTATGCACAACACATGCAGTCCTGACATGGGTAGATATCGCGCATCAATGCAGCCAATGGCGCAACGCGTCGATAGACGGACAAAAATAGCAAATCACATACCAGTCAAGGCTGAGGCGCCAGCATGCTGAACAGCAGCAAGGCTCTTCTGCACAGCGGTGGGAAGACGGTCCCAGGTTGCTTGAGGGCAATACCATCCTTTGAGGTGAGTCGGGTCGTAGGCAAAAGCGTCGCCGTCCTTGGGACACGGCGTCCTAGGTGAGTCGATGTAAGGGCTTGACTTTGGGAGAGATGACGCGAAGCTCCGGCGGGTGGAGTTGCGACGACTGCGAGGGCGAGATGACCTAGAGTCGTGGAACTGGTTGGCGGGAGCCATGTTAGCCATGGCGGAGGTGGGTGTTGAGTAGGTGAGTGTGGCAACTGCTTGAGGGAGTGTGGAGTGTAGAGGTCCTCGAGGTAGTGTCGAGGGTGAGGTGAGCTATAAGCTAGGGCACCGGCCAACTGCCCGAGTAGTGCGCGAAAGGAGGGTGAGGTGTTTATTTGTATGAGCGAGGGCAGAAAATTCCAGATAAAAGTATGGGAGAGGGGTGGGCGGAGCCCTGTAAGGTGAGGGATCGCGGCTGTGGTGTCAATCGAGACTCGGCGTGCGGGAGAGCGAGATAAAAAGGAATGTGGAGTACGCTGGGGTGTGGGTAAAAGATCTGCTCTCTGCTAATGGGGATGGGAATTTCACTAATTGCCATGCAGTGACGTCGCGCTTTCCTCAGTGAAAGTGGAATATGACCCAACTGAAACACGGAAAGTGAATGTGGCGGTGCCGCCAAGTGGGAAGGGCCGACCTATCAAAGATCAAAGAAGGAGCAGATCAGGTCAGGAATTTTCCAAATGCATCCACACGCGCGTCGAGCAAGAAAGTTGAGGCGGAACAAGGAAGAGTTCCAAGGTTACAGATGCAGGGATAGCAGCCCAACTCTTCGGCCCTAATGCCCAGCTCAACGGCGCATAACCAGTTGCTGCGCGTGCTGCGGCACTATGCTGCAGTCCCTAAGATGACATGCGACTGCAGGCGTACCCCGAACAGGTAGCGCAGTGCTCTGCTTATGCAGGCGCAGCAATGAGTGGTTTCCAAGGTTGTGTGCTGCAAACGCTGGGTGCGTCAATACTGGGAGATTGAGGACGGCAAGATTCACCCGCTACGTCAACCTTGGAAGGTCCCGGGTGATGCCGGGGCGCTTGGAAGGCGCGAACTACGCTCGAAGCTAACTAACGGTCGGGATACCGAACGCGGACAGTTGCTGTGGTTTAGCCGGGTAACCTTGCCGTACCAAGCTTTGCGTCCTGGAGGCTGTCAGTGAACGGTCTGCGTATCGCAAGGTCGTATAAAGGCATGCATACTGTCGTGTTCCGATGCGTTTCGAAATGCTGTTTGATGAGGCCAAGGTGCACAGTTTCAAGAAGCGGCCGCGCGGTCCGTCATGTGTGCCACAAGCAGGCCAGCGATGGGACAATCCAGACGTTCGACTATGAGGCAAGAAATGTGGAGCGTTGCGTTCGGTCCCTGTCACACAAGCGATGATGCTGCGTGATTATAGGTGACAAGCTGTTGGGAAGTTCTGTCGACAAGCCTCGACTTCCCCGCATCCCTAAGGTTTGGGCACCTCATTTTGATTGCAGGATGCGTCTGCTTGCTGTCAGGTCCCAGGAGGAGGATAAGGAGGAGGAGGGGGTGGCTGGTCGCTACAACCCGCCCAATAGAGGTGATTAGAGAAATGCTGAGAGCAAACGAAGCTGAACATGTTGACTTCATTGTGCTGCAGCTGGCTAGTATGGCAAGTCGCGACCTGTCTTCCCACAAGCTTCGGTCCAGTCGTTAACTGTTGGGCATCATCGACGTAACCAGGGTCTAAGCCACGTTCATACACTGCACTGTCAAGCGATCCCTTCTCAATACCCTGCTTTCGTTACACATGTCACTCATCTCACGTCCGTGCTCCAATGAGGTCCTACACTGCAATCTTGTGCAAGCCTACTCCAGTCTATTCGCGATAAGTCAGCGTTGAATCGTTGAACCGGACAGTGCTTTGCAAACCTCTGGATCAAGTGCAGCCCAGATGCAGTCTCAACAACCTTGCTCACTTGTCCCTTCTCCAGCGCAAACGATGCCTCTTCGAACTCCTTCTGCATATCGCCGCGGCCGAAGAAGCCCCTGTTGAGCGTCAGCATTCGACCGTCACACCTGTTTACCGCGGCACTCACAGGTCGCCGCCCTTTCGCGCACTGCTGCAGTCCGACTCGGTTGTCGCCAATTCCGAGAGCGACTTGGGCTCAGCGCCGTTATCTTGTGCAGTGCCCTCGTACGCCTGGATCTGAGCCTCGTAGCCCTCGATGAGCTCGCGCGCCTCCTCCTTGGATCTGGTGATATTAGGTTCTCTCCAGCTGGCCGGACGTCTGCTGTCCCTGTGCTTGACGAGAAGATGGGCTGCGCGGATCTTGTCGCCAGAACTTGCGTAGTTGGCGGGCGCGACGCCCTTGGAGCTGTGGTAAGCTGCCATGTACTGCTTGAGCTTCTCTGGGTCGGTGCCCGCAGGAGGCTCCCATCGTGAGTCCTTGGTCGCGGCGTGGAAGTAGTAGGGCAGGTTCTTGCTGTTGGAGCGGCGAATCTCCCAGCCCTCGGGCAGTCCTGTTTCGCTGGACGACTGCGCGTAGTATTAGTTGCATGGCCAACAATTGATGCTTGCAAACAAGGCTATCGCTCACCATGATTGCAATTCAGGCTTCTGTATACTCAATGACGGGACAAAGAAGCAGACAGGGCAGAGCGGGGTAGGTACAAGCTATGCCGAGAGCTGAGTTTACGAGATGAGGTTGCACCGACGTCTAGTCTCGATGGCGAACGAATGTGGGATCGGCGCAAGCTTGAAGCGGGGAAACAAAGCTGACCTACGTGGGTGGTGCCTGCGTCTGCGCCAGCTTGCCAAGGAGCGGTTGACGGCGCAACGACCGGGCCGCGATTCTCTCATTCACCATCGATAAGCAAGACTCACTTGTCACGACGCGCCACACAACAACATTCGACACCTCGAAGACCCTCGCACACATCTGCGCAGTAACACGACAGCCCATACTCGATCCTCGCCACATTACAAGCAAGCGCAAACTACACCCGCCATGTCGTCCCCCGCAGAAGCAGAATATGGGAGCAAAGACACGCAGGATGCAAACAAGCAGATTCTCTTCCGCTTCTGCTCTGAATGGTAAGTACTCCCTTACACCACGTTGCGCATACAGGTGCTGACTTGCGCAGCTCAAATTTGCTGTTTCCCCGTGAAGACAAAGCCGAGAACAAGCTGCTGTTCGCCTGCAGAACATGCTCCTTCACCGAAGAGGCGCCCTCGTCCTGTGTCATGAGGCACGAAATCGCATCGACAGTTGGAGCGACGGCTGGTGTCACAGCAGAGGTCGCGCAAGATCCTACGGTTGGTGCCTCCAACCCCTCTCCCCAGAACGCTGCTCCAAAAGAGAAAGAAGTCACATGCTGCACCATGTGCGGGCAAGACATCATGTGCAATGTGTGCGGCGAAGACTGGGCTCCGGGCTTCATGCTTGAGGCTGAGGACGAGCCGTCACACGTGGAACCTCAACACGACATAAATCATGATTTTGAGTTCTACGATGATGACTTCTTCGACGACGAGGATATGGAAGACGTCTTGTCATGAGCACACCCCTCTGTTGCTTGCCTGATTCTTTCGAACCTGCTCGCTAACAGTTGCGGCCAGCTACCGCGCGTCCAGAAGCAGTGCTCTTGCGGCGAGAACGAGGCTGTCTTCTTCCAGTCGCAACAGCGAACCGCGGACACGGGCATGGTGAGTGTGTCACTCCATTCTTCCAACTATGTCTGACGTCTTCCAGGCCCTCTACTACGTTTGCTGCGGCTGCGGTAAAGTCACGCAACCCTCATGAACGATGCATTTATGATAGGCATTTGGCCGGCGTTTGGACCTTTATGTGCGGCGTGGAGTCCCGGAGAATTAATCTTCTGATACCCGTGGGTATTTATACAATGGCATACACATGTTTTACAGTGTCCTTGGGCTCCATATACTCCTGAAAATGCAGTCCCCCATGTCCTTTACTTCAAACATCATCCACCTCTTAGACGTGCATCGGCGCCAGCGACAAGATCTTCGACCACTGCTTCTGCCTCAGCTCTGCCGCCACAACACCGCTGACTCTCGACCCAATGGGCTCGCCGGCCTTGTTGATCAGCACGCAGGCGTTGTCGTCGAACTTGACCACGCTGCCGTCCGGTCGCTGCCACTTCTTCGCTGTGCGCACGACGACTGCGTGGCGGACGTCTCCGCGCCGTACTTTGTTTGCTGCGCTGACGGACACGCTGTTGCCGGTCTCCGGGCCGAAGTTGCGCTGCTTCTTGACGACAACTACAATGCGGTCGCCTGGCTGTGTTAACCACTAGCTGCCTCCTGCTCGTATTTTGTGACTACATACCAACTTTTGCCGGGCGCTTCGATCGCAGGACATTGACGCACTCGACTATGGCGGCGCCCGAGTTGTCGATGCAGTTGACGAGGGTCTAGAAGCGGCGCATCAGTACCTGCCGCGGTGGCTGCAGCGGGGGCGGTGTCGCCGTACCTTCAGCTGGATCATCGTGAAAGACTGTGTGCGCTTGTCCAAGATTCCGCAAGGCGTCAGATGGGGGTTACGCGGCGATTGCTGGTGTTTGCCGTTGTCAATGCTGCGCGAACACAACTTTCCTCCGCGATGTTCAGATGTCGTCGGCAGACCGGCGATTCCCGACATCTAGCGCTCGCTTGCGCACCCTTCACTCGCGTCAAAGCGACAAGTCCCCCTGCCGTCGAGCCCCCGGGGTCCGATCAAAGACCGCAAAGGGCCCCCGACTCACTCAGCCCCAGCCTTGTTCTGCGCTGACCGTCGTGCGCTATCCCAGTCTTCGCTGCCTTTGTGCGGCGCCGCTCTTTCCTCTCTTTCCCGTGGAGCGTTTGTTCTGCGCTGTGCTGCTATTGTCTTTCATTCTTGCGCGTATTGTCCCTTGTCGCCGTCGCTCCTTCCAGATGAAACTGGCTTGTTGGCTATTATACGTCACCCCAACCACCCCTTTTAGCATCGTCACCTCCTGTCAGCTTGCGGAGTGCAGTCAGCTTTGCGACTAACACACTATCTTGTTATTGCGACGTTTTGCGCATCATGCCACGCCAAATTGGGGGGATTAGGGGCGGTCTGACGCTGGAGAAATTAGCATCGTACGACGACGTGATTACGGACGCGCTGGTCGACAAGGTGAGTCGCAACTTGGCGGGAGCGCGATATCTCGGTCGCGGAGGGTTGAGGGAGCAATTGGACTAAGCTGGGCGCACCAGGTCTACTACTGGACCACCATTCGCAAGAACCATGGCGGACGCTTCGCGGCTTCTCGAGGCATGCACGAGGAGGATATCGCCGACCGCATCCGAAAGCACGCCATCTGGGAGAAGGGTCCCGCCGAAGCGGTACAGGAGCTGCTGAAATTGCCGGGATTGCGCAAGTTCATGGCCAACATGAAAGACGAGAAGGATCAGGAGCAGTTCAAGCGACATTTGAGGAGATACGTCAACATCTACATGCCGGACTGCCCATTCGAAGTCACCACGACCAACCGCTACATGATCACTGAACACGAAGCGTCGATTACCGCACGAAGAGACATCAATCCGCGCGAGGAGATCAAGTACCTGACTGGTGTTCAGGTCGCCATGACCGAAGAGCAGGAGCAAAAGCTGGAACTGGCACGCAAGGACTTCAGTCTCGTCATCTCTAGCAGGAAGAAGACGCGATCCCTCTTCCTGGGACCCGCGCGCTTCGCCAACCACGACTGCGATGCGAACGCGAGACTGTCGACCAAGGGCTACGATGGGATGCAGATTGTTGCGGCGAAGCCAATCGAGGCGGGTGACGAGATCACAGTGTCATATGGCGAGGACTACTTCGGCGAGAACAACGAGGAGTGTCTGTGCAAAACATGCGAGGATCGAGGAGTCAATGGCTGGGCGCCAATGAAGCGGATAGAAGAGAGCGAAGACGAGGAGGAAGAGGAGGAAGCTACACAGCAGCCAAGCAAGAAGCGCAAGTCAGAATCTTTGGAGCCCACCCCGCGCAAGAAGGGTCGATTTGTAAAGAGGTCACCAACGAAACCGCGCGCTTCAGAACATCTACGAGAGGCGACCCTTAGAAAGGCGCACAGCACATCGTCATTGCCAGTCAGTAGTATCGAGGACTCGGAAACGACGTCTCCAACAAAAGCACGCGACATCCGCAACCTACAGCGTGACGGCCTGCTTACGCCACTCAACATGAGTATGGATGAAACCAGCTCATCACGCGACACAAGCCCCCAGTCGCTTGCGCACTCACCAAAGTCTGCACACTCCACCGACGCAACTTCCATCGACGAAGATCACTCGCCGGAAAGCCTGCCAAAAATCAAGATCGAAGCCGAGACTCTGCACGAGAACCCTACTTTGGGCGTGGCTACGCTCATGACGCAAACCACAACAATAACAACAACAACAACAACAACAACAACAACAACAACAACAACAACAACGGTAAACGCCCCGTTGCCTTCCCTTCTCTTCCCCGACAACGACAGCACATCAGATCTCAGCGACCTGTCAGACAGCCTAGAGTTTGACAGCGAGCGTGAGCAAATTGTCAAGCGCAAATACCGCCCAGCACTACGCACAACACGTTCAAAATCTAACATCGACCACCAGAATCGCATCGGTACACCTATCGACCTGACAGCAGAGGACGTTCCTGAGGGATGGGTTAGAAACAAGCGCAAGCCCGGCGACTACATGACTAGCAGCGCATGCCTCTCGGCGAAATACAGCAAATGGGTCGAATGCCAGACATGCGACAACATGTTTGTCCAAGCGGATGGCTACAACACACGCAAAGAATGCCCGCGGTGCGAACGTCATTCGAAGTTGTATGGATTCAGGTGGCCGAAAACAGAGAAAGAAGGGAAGCAAGACAAAGAGGAGCGCGTCCTCGATCACCGCACCGTCAACCGCTTCGTTGACCCCGATGAAGAGCGCGAGCTGAAGCAGAATAAGACGAAGAAGATGCTGGAGAAGAGCATCATCGAGCGGTACTCGACCCCAAGGAGTGAGAGGAGCAGCCTGAGCACGAGTGTGGACGTGGATACGCCGCCGAAGAGGAGGAGGAAGGCGGCTAGGAAGACGATGTAGAGCACAGGTCTTTCACCTCCAATATCAACACGGCGAGACGGTCTGAGCATGGAGCAACGAGGTATACGTATCTGAAGAAAGCAAAGTATGGCGCAAGGCAAGATCATAGCATCTCAAACCGGCGCAAGGAGTATTTATACACGACATGCGACTTATTGTTTGGGTTGTCATCGATTGGGTTGCGCTTTGGCGTACTTGTAGCATTGAGCATTTGGTATGAAAGAGGGTTATGGATCACAAGTAGATTCATCAGTGTACAGTATCAGGAGAGGCAGAAGAACTAGGCAATATCGAAGATACACTAAAGTCTGCTTCTAATGTGACATGTTGTTTCCAACATATTTGACTTGACATGACATGTCGCACCCTCAGCTTCCCCAGATCTTGGCACTCCTGCGGACTTCAGACGTCACCACTCAGCAGCTGCCTCACACCTCCGCCCCACCACCATCCCACCACAATGTACTGCATACGACCCCGAGCCCTCCCACGCGCCTTCATCCGGCCTACCCAAGCAACATCCACCCACGCGCCCTTCCGCACCTACCAAAAACTCCCCTTCGGCCGCGGCGGGCCCCAATACCAACGCTTCTCCGCACGCTCAGGCATATCCTCTTTCTTCGTAAACTGGGCCGCGCGACCAACCTTCTACCGCGACGTCGGCATAATAACCTCCGGCGGTGCAACAGTCTACGTGCTCAATCTCGAAGAAGTGCCTGTCTCGGGGCGGCGGCGGTTCAACTTCATCCCCGCGAAGATCGAGGAGGCGCTGGGTGAGAGCACGGTGGCGGAAATCAAGCAGCAGTATGCGGGGCAGTTCTTGGATGATGCTGATCCGAGGGCGAGGATGGTGAAGAGGGTACTGGAGAGGTTGTTGCCGTTCGCGTTTAGAGAGGGGAAAGGGTTGAGTGAGATGAGTTGGGAGGTGCATGTCATTGATTCTCCGGAGATGAATGCATTTGTGGTACCGGGCGGAAAGGTGTTTGTGTTCACTGGTATTCTTCCACATTGTCGGGATGAAGATGGGATTGCGGCAGTCTTGGGCCATGAGATTGCGCATGTAGTCGCGCATCACACTGCGTGAGTCTCTCCTCTTCTGCTCACTCTTTTACTGCTTGAGGAAAAGTAAGTGCTAACTGACGAACAGCGAGCGCATGTCCCAAGCCCCCCTCATCCTGATACCAATCCTCGCCTCCCTCGCCCTCGACATCTCCTTCTACAGCGCAAACATGATCCTGCAACTCTTCCTCTCCATGCCTGCGAGTCGCAAACACGAGGCCGAAGCCGATTACATCGGGCTGCTGATGGCCGCGCAAGCCTGCTATCGCCCCGAAGCAGCCATGGAGTTTTGGGCAAGAATGGAAAAGAGTGGACAGCATGGGCCGCCCCAGATTCTAAGCACGCATCCGAGTAATCACAATAGGGAGGAGAAGATTAGAGAGTGGTTGCCCAAGGCAAGGGAGATGGCGGAGGCTAGTGAGTGTGCGGGGATGGGAAGGTATGTTGAGGATTTTAGGGGGGCGCTGGGTGGGGTTGGGAATTCATTTGGGAGATGGTGAGGAGGCAATGGTGTAAGGCTGGCTGGGGAACCTCTTCTTATGATGGTTATGAGGGCGTTCGTGATAAGTGAGGTGGTTGTGAGAGTAACTGTAAGAGTATCGTATGTATGAAACACTCCGCTAAGATTTGGTAGATACTTACGAATCGATTTTGTTCGATGCAGGGGTTGAAATCAGGGTTGAAGAGTTGGTGTACACTATGGGGTTTTCGAACAGTTCCGGGGTCGGGACTTGTTTTACAGGTACCCTGAGGGTATCCATTACTTCTCGATTCGCAAACCAACAAGGCACCAAAGGCGGCAACCTAGAGGGGAATGTTGCACCAAGTCACGAGTCATACAAGTACAGGATTTGGTGTTTCGAAAGAGTATGGGAAGAGTATCTACAGGAAGTACTTTATGATCTGCCCGCAATTCTCTGAAGTGCGTGGTGTAATCTGGGGGGTTTGCATAACATGCTGTGGTGAAATGAGAGAGGTAGTGAACCAGTGAAGCAGTTCTTGTTTGCGGGTGCGGCCCTGCTTATTCTTGGTAAGTTTGACGAGCTGTACAAGGGTTGCTCTGCTGATCAAAATAGCAGGAGCTGTTCAATACCCACTTTTCCGACTCCCGGCACCGTGAAAAGAGATCAATGCACCAAGATGTGAGGAAATGAGGTACCTCGCAGAACCGGGCTATGGTACAAGAAGATGCGGCTTTGGTTACCAAAATTCCCTGTCTTAGACTAAACTGATCAGCATCGATCTGGAGCCTGCGCAGATGGCCATCGTCCCGGCTACTCGGGTGACAAAATAAGCCGCACTCACGAAAAGTGTGCTTCTGCCAACCGAGATAATCGCTCAACACCACACAATATAAAAAATCTAAACAAAAACGGGATTGTAGAAAATATCTTATTCTATAATTCTGTGTTTTTCTAAGAATTGATCTCAAGTCGTTGTTGCGTAGTGTCGTGGCAAAGAAGGCAACCTTGTGGGTGTTCCTCGACTTTTGGCTGGTTTAGAGTGCAGCTTTTTCTGGCCCGAGGTGCCGGCATCATATGTGGTACTGCGTATTAGGAACGACCTATCTATAGTCTCGTACCGGAAGATCCAACCACATTTATGGCAATAGATCAACAGACAAAGGGTATAGTAGCCCTGCAACCATTGCGGAGACTGACTAACCCGGCTTTGTCGCTGCACTCCCAGCGGATACTAGTCCCAGTGGGTTGTGCAGTGGAGACACAGAACAGGTCTTGGCTCACGTCGTCATGGCATGTATCACAGCCAGCTAAGATCTTGCTATACTGGAACAAGCGAATCTACCTCAAGGCGCCGATCCACTGACTTCTCCCACATTCTGACGACGAGGGCTTGACGGACGATGATTACTTTCTCAGGAGCCATCTCGATCTCGGCAAATGCATGGATTGGCGAAGGGGCATCTACGTTTACCATCGCTCTGGGCGAGTAACATGGCGCCTCAAGGAGGAACTACGGCAGACACCCGTGGAGAAAATTCCTCTATCTATACCTCAGGGTCAGGTACTACCACGCTTCTGGCTACGCTCCCATCTCGTCAACATCTCTCACGGGCCCACCAGTGTCCAAGCGAAGGCTTGCGCCGATAAACTGTATCAGACCTCGGTCAAGTCAAGTTCTGATTATGAGTAGCTCATGACCTTTTCCGGAGCCACAGTTATACCCAATCACGGGATTCCGATTTCTCATCTGGCACTTGGTCTGAGAATCTGTCAGCACACGTGCCTTTCTTGTAAGTGCAACAAGACCATGTGCGCCGAGTCCAAGTGCAAGACTTCTAGACTTTCGTCGGGAGCATGTTGGTGTAGTTGCAATAAATGAAGGTATAACCGCGCAAGGCAGTCAGTCAGGGGGAACCGCGCGAAGCAGTAGAATCAGTATGTATGGTGTTGTTCTTGTTCAGTGTTCTGTGATTGCCCCTCACCCGGCAGTCCTGTTTACATGACGTATGTCTCGTGCAGTCAAGAGCAGGAGGTGCTTGTTGAAACGGGCAAGAGCACTGCACCAACACACATGACCTCTTTACTCCATAAACCGTCACAGAGTATGAGAGCTGCCCTAGAGGAAGAACTCATATTCCTTACACATTACAACATCGGGTTCTCTTCAGCAGCTCAAGAAGCTGGAGATTAGATATTCATGTTCGACGGTGTTGAGCATCCGATGTTGCTGCGCCCAATCGGTACGGATTCATTCAGGATCGTGAGAAATCGTTATCTTTGTGCTGCGAAGAACTTACATTATTGGGACGGCGAAACTTATAAGGGGATCTGGGCCAACAGACCCTATGATCTTGGGGACAGGCAAAATCGGTACATTGAGGTGTCCTGAGGGTGAGGATCTTTCATTCATGATTCAACCTACACAATAGCGATCGAGGATGAACGTCAATATCAACCCATCGAATTCCCATTCCGTTTGAGCTTTCAGCGTCAGTAATGATTGAACACTTCTGGTTCAGTAAGAGCGCTGTCAGATCTCCAGATGGGGCAGTGCTTAATACACAGTCTCGCGTCATGCAGACGTGCACTAGCATTACGCCTCACAAGCCATCGTCACCAATACACCGCCAACCTGGTGTAGACCATTTCTCTCCTCTCATCTTCTCTTTCATGACGTTAGAAATCAATCCTCACTTTGCCATCCAGCATATCTACGTTCTGTCAGCACACCGACGTTCGAGAATTCGATGGGCTGCGAAGCTGCCTTGCATGCGGCGACACATGGTTGCGCAATCGTGCCCAGGTGGAGCCTTACGTTTATACCGGTTTACGATGTCTGAAAATCGGGCAAACGATCCGGCTGATAGTTATTGCACCGGCCGAAGATTCAGATCTTTACACTGTATGCTCGAACTATCTGACTTGCGAAACGCACGATACCACGCAGTTTCATACGCCTGGGCAACAGAAGATGGGGAGAGCAGCAAGTCACAACCTGTATATTGTGACAGCAGCGTTCTGTATGTGACCAAGAACTTCGAGGCAGCACTGCGCTGACTGCGGCGACTAGGAGCATACAGCAGGTTCAGGGTAGATGCTATGTGCATAAATCAGTCGAATGTTAACGAACGGAACCACCAAGTCAGCCTCATGGATCAAATCTACCGAAGTGCCCTGCGAGTTCATGTCTGCATTCACTTGCCCATCACAATGGAGCTCGACCGTTAAGCCCGGAAACTCGTCATTGACTTGCCTATCAAAATGGAGCTCGACTGTCAAGCCTGGAAACTCGTGAGCCGCTGGAAATGCTGTTTCGCTGCCAGTATTTCAGTCGCGTCTGGGTCATACAAGAAATATTTCCGACCAGAGCAGTCACTCTACAGGTCAACACCGATTACGTGGAGCTGAAACATGGCGTGGAACCTCTTCTAGTTGGCTTTTGTTGGGGAGTGTGGACAGTACGTTTGTGCGGAAATGTTGACGGATTGAACTGATGTTATATTGAGTGAAGCTACGAACAGTATGTATAGGTGCGTAGCTGTAAACAACGCTAGTGTGACGTGGCAATCACTCTCATGGCAGGTGAGGTACGACAGGCAGAAGCACCCTAACCGTGACACACACCCCAGCTGGCGTAGACTCAAAGGCGGAGAGTCGACGACAGCTGATCAGTATCAGCTCAATATATGTAGATAGCGTCGAGGTCGTCGCCGTCAGCCTGACGCAGGCCATTCAGGCGCTCAGTGATATCGACGAGGCCGAGTTGACGGACGAACTCTGTGAAGTTCTGCTTTGGTAGTATCTTTGTGAGTCCATCGGCAGGCATAGGATCAGTAGGAGCCCATTGAACATTGATGCGTGATGCGGTGACCTCCTGTCGTATCCAGAGTTGGTGGATATCAACGTGTTTGACCTTTGTGTGAAGCTTGTGGAGCAAGCTCACGGCGACGAGTTGCGTCTATTGGACAAAGGAACCTCTTGAGAGCAACCAGTCGGTCGTATGGTGTCTCATGATCCATGATCAGGTGGATGTGACGGACAGCGATTGTCATGCTGATGTCTATGTTGAGGTCTGCCATTGCCCTCACATGTGTGCGGTATTCAGAGTGGCGGCGCTCCCATCGATCACACTCCCATCGATAGGACTTTCGATCTTCAGCGTCCAGGTCAGAGAGCTTAGTAGCTCTAGCCTTGTAATCAGTAAGTTGAGGCTCAGGAGACTCCGTCAACTCAGGCAGATTCTCCTTTGCTACATCGGGATTGATGTATTCCCAGAGCCCGTGGCAATCGGCAACGTCTTGACGAATGAACAACCAGGCAAACCAGTCGTCAGGCGTGTTCAGTATGACAGTGACACCCGTCACAGCGGGATCAGACCCAGTAGCCATTGCAGAGGCTGTAGTTGTGTATGATTGGATTCAAGCAGAGGTCCAGGCAGGGTGCGTCGTGGGTGAACGCAGTAACAAGTGAGAACAATCCTATAGTGCAGCCGGGCTCATAACTATCGAGGAGCGTGGACAGTACGCTTGTGCGGAAATGTTGACGGATTGAATTGAGGTTGTATTGGGTGAAGCTACGAACAGTATGTATAGGTGCGTAGCTGTAAACAACGCTAGTGTGACGTGGCAGTCACTCTCATGGCAGGTGGGGTATTGCGGTGGATTGTGAGTGATCCGTACGCATGTGGGAAGAATTGAAGGATTGAACTGAGGTTGTGTTTCACTATTCTGTGTGTTTGAATATGTTGTGGTCTCGGTTGAGACCCTATTACCCTGGTATATACTGTTCTGGAATAGCGACTTCCAGGGCCAGTATATAGTCGGCTTCTCCTCACGTAGTCTAAACCGTGACAGGGTACGACAGGCAGGAGCACCCTAACCGTGACAGCTTTTCTCCCGACGTCTTTTGGCGGCTTAATAAGCATCTTCCCGACAAAATGTATCCTACTACAAACCAGCGCCTAGAACGATGGTTGAGAGCCTCACTGATTTCGTCTTGCTCGGACCCAAGAGATAAAGCTTATGCAATACTCAGCTTGCTCAGTCTGCCTTCACAGTCGTCACGTACACCCTACTAGAGCAACCCCCTTTGGGGAAAAAAGGCTCTTTTCGATCAATTACGAATCGGATGTTAGAATACGTCCTTGCTGACGCAGTTGCTGCCTGCATTGTAAGTTGTCATGGTTGAGGTGTCTACTTGCAGTCGGCCGCATAGGCGCTTATCTGCTCATTAGTTGCTACGTCGCACGACTACATGTTGACAGCTACACAACATCAACGTAGACATTTCCTTATGTATAGCTCCCCTCCGTAGCAGGTAGAGCAATCAGTTTAATCCTTCAATCCTTCCCACATGCGTACTGTCCACTCTCCCCGGCATAAGTGCTGGAAATCTCGAGATTCTTCTACTGACAAAGCTGGATTGCAGCGAGATGGATCTGATTTCGGCGCCCAACTTCACCATCAAGCATTTGCACGAGTAGCTCGATGGTTTACATTCGACCCCGGACGGTCCTTTGTGGAAGCCTAAATCATGGACGCCTGAGGTTCAATACGCATCGCCGCAGGACACATCCGTCACTTTCGTTGAAACACGGTTCAGTGAATCAGATGTCTTCGCCGATTAGCGTTGTAACTATTAAATTACCTTACCGGCAAATTCTACCATGTCTGAGAGTTCAAGCACCTCATATCGACACTTCTAGGGGTTCAAGCAAAGTTCCCGTTACACTACTTGCCAAACGCTACAGAAACGGTGAGGACAGGTGTTATAGAGACTGGATCAGGATGTCCAAGTTACCGCGTCCGGTCGGGGATAAGTCTACTTTGCGATGCTGCGATTTTCTACCAAGAAAAAATGTGGTGTGTAATCAACACTCTTCGGAAAGCTCATCAGCGCCAGCTTTTAGGGTGATGGCAGCAGAATATTAGGCACCGAGTATGGCATAGGCGTTTCTCATCCGTACGCTCGTAATAAAGACCACGTTTCCTGGGTAGATGGAGTAGATGGGCTCTTTCTACTTCGGCCTCTAGGTGGCTCCAGATTTCGCATAGTCAGTGTGTACTGGTGGAGGCGCCTGGATCTATCCACTGACGAGTTGGCCAGTATCCCTCCTGTGTAACCTCAATTGATCGAAATATACTAAAGAAGAAACGGTAGTGAGAGTTCAGTTATATCAGGCTTTATCCATAATATCCATGCAGATTTGTAGTCAAACTGCGTGTTCAATCCTGCTTTCTGTTGCTGCTGCGACTTTTCAACAACACCTGTAATTCCAACAGGCGCTCACGGAAGATCGATAGAGACTGGTTCGCCCGCTGCGCTCGTCCAATTAATTGACTGATTGGTTTAACGTCCTATGTGAGTCCAAGACTATGGAAGACGAGATCGCTCGTCCAAATGAATTATCGGGTCAAATGCTGATGCGGTATCACAATACCGCTCTAACTCCATCTCCACTCTACGAGGCATGAACAGCTGGTAGGTGTGTATGCTGAGCTCAGCGTTATAGAAGGGAGATCGAGCAGCAAGTTGCCTCAGACCTGCGACCTGAAGCACCACTCCTGCAACGTTACTTCCTCATAACGCTACTTCCTCATAACGCTACTTCCTCATAACGCTACTTCCTCATAACGCTACTTCCTCATAACGCTACTTCCTCATAACGCTACTTCCTCCAATTCCCTAGAAAATACTTCCTCCCATGCTACTGCCTTCGACCAGGCTACCTTCACTGTCACTTCCTCGCGCAGAACCACCCTCCACGCAACTGGCGTCCCATCTTATCACTTACCCTCTTACTTCCCTCTCGCTTCTCAAAGCTCCACTCTTGCTCACGGAACAAGTGACGAGAACTTGTCATGCGTCTCAGCCATCAAGGAAAACCCAGTCTTAGGTACTTGGTAGAGGGGACCAGTCAATCGGAAGAATTGCCAGAGCAAAGAATAGCCTGGCAAATGAGAGTGAAGTGATGTGCAGTGAAGTAAAACTTGCAATAATTTATCCAATCCCAATTCCAGAATTCCTGAACTTTTCCAGTTCAACCCTACCTATTGCCGTGTCGGTCATAACAACACCCATAACAACAGAAAACAGATCGTAATCCAACTCATCAGATCCGCTTCATACATGACTGGCCTCCAAATGGCCGTGACAACAAATTCCCTGATCCTCCCAAACCTCTGTCCGGTCGCTGGATATAGATGGTAATGATAGATGCTATGATATGGTACGCCCGGAATGCAGAAGTATGTGGTGTGGTGCTCGTCCGCCGCGTGGTCAACAACATATGCGGCGTCGAAGGTAGCGACTCGGCGCTGTGGTGGGGGTATAATAATATGGTGGTGGTAGACATCGACAAAGTGTGGTGTAGCGTTGGCCAGTGCTGGTCATGAACCGTAAGCTCCGTGTCCCTCTTCGCAATGCCAACTCTTCAAACAAGCATTAAACGTGTGTCGTAGAATGTCAAAAAGCTCGTTGCCAAGAACTGATCAGACTTCGCCAGCATCTGCCATCGTGACGTCGCCAGCACCATCGTCTTCCTGGACAAGCGGCATTGTACGAGGAAGGATAGCGGACTGAGGACGGGGGTGTTCAATGTCGAGGTGATCAGGCATGCTTGCTGGACTGCCGGAGCGTGGTGTGTCGTAGTCCTCGTCTGGTGGTGGGGAGAAGTCCCAGACCTAATTTCGAGTCAGTCATTTCGTCACACAAGTAAGTACTCGAAGTGGTGTGACTTACCTCCATGATTGTGCGCCCAACTCTGCTGGCCATGATGACTGCCTTCTCTTCCTCAAACACAACTCTCCAAACTGCTTCCGCTGGTGTACTGAGTTCTCGTACGAGGGTGCCCTTCTTCAGGTCCCAGACCTTGACTCGCCCGTCACTACCACCGCTGACGATCCTCGTGTTGTCGAACTGTAAGCTGGTGACACTGTTGTCATGCGCAGCTAGTCTGTGAATCGCCTGGTAAGTTGCTAAACTCCAGACTCGAACCGAGCCATCTGATCCACCAGTCACAAGGATATCGTCGCGCATCTGGAGTTGTCCAACGAGTGAGGTGTGGCCTTGTAGCACAGCCAAGCATTTTCTGTCACGCGTTAGTAAAAGGACGTTAGAGGTGTTACAAATAACTTACCCGTCATTTGGATCCCAGATTCGGACACTTGTGTCCAGGCTGCCTGTTGCGATCTTTTTTCCATCGAATGCAATTGCGTAGATCTGACTGAAGTGACCTGTAAGAGTGCGCAGGCACTTGCCCTCTGAGATGCTCCAGATCTTCGCTGTGGTGTCGTAGCTACCTGATACAACAATGTCGCCGTGAATCTCCAGGCACCTAACGCTGGCCTGGTGACCGATCAGAACATGCTTGCAGATGCCCTTCTTCAGATCCCAGATTCGCAATGTTGTATCTCGCGAGCCGGAGATTGCGGTGTTGGCATCTGACATCTTCAAACATCGTACTGTCGAAGTGTGTCCGCGGAGTGTGAACTGAGGATACCTGCAATCGAACAATTAGCAACCTTCAAGTCTCAACTCATGCTCGAACGCACCCTGTAGCCAAGTTCCACACTCGTACATCGCGGTCACAACCACCGCTGACCAACAAATCGCCCCAGGGCACCATTGCCCACACACCCATAACGTGTCCTTGCAATGTTTTCTGGTGGTCACCGACTGTGTCAAAGACGTGGATTTTAGCGTTGTCGAGCGCGACTACGATGTACTTCTTCGTCAGATGGAGACTCGTCACCACACCTTGATCTGGTGTGATCTGTCGTGCGTCGCATACACCGCCGTTGCGCCATGCTGTTTCAACCATATACCGCTGCTTGAAGTGTGATCGATATGTGATGGCTTTCGACTTGCGCTGCGACGTAGTCCTCTTCGCATTACGGTCCAGACTTTGAGTTCGTAGCTCTCCAGTCCCTGCGCTCGGTGATCCCACTTCTAGGAGCTTGTTCGTAAGAGTGTCGTCTGCTCTCGATGCGCGGTCTGGCTCCTGCGCCCATGGCTGTTCGGTATCCATCTCGTCGCTCGGGGAGTCCGGTTCGTTCCGTTCGTGGGGCAGAAGCTGCCTAAATGAGTACTTCTGACACAATAACCTCCAAGCGCCGTCGTCGTTGACTAGTTCACGCCACTTCTTAGAAACCTGTGACGCTCGCGCGAGTGTGGTGGGGTCATCCACGCATTCGAGGATCTATACGGTATGTCAGCCGCCAAGACAACACTAGATCAGGCAGCAATCTGAGGTACGTACCCTTAAGGACAGCTCTGTGGGAAGCACCAGGAACGGGTCCTTTTTCAGCCTCGGGCTTACGAACTCGGCGACGAAGCTCAGTTCTTGGCTGTCGCAGAGGTTAAGCAGTTCTCCTAATAACCTCAGGCGCTCTGCCCTGTTCATATCACCGAAATGCCCTCGTATGGCCTTGATGTGTGAGTCTTCATGTTCGGCTGCTGTGCTCCAATCAGGTGCTCGCTGTGTCGGTGTTGGACTCGGCGCTGGTGTTGGCGGCGATGCTGGCGCCGAGGGAAGCAGGTTATGCGGTATTGTCGACGACAGAGGGCTCGTAGGTGTTATTATTGGGCGTGGTACTCCTGAGCGCGACAGTCTGCTGGGCTTGCGGGTGTGCGCAACGGGCGACGAGAGCATGGCGGCCCGCGATGACGATGCGGAGGCTGAGGCGGCCATGTCGGTGTCTGAGTCGATCTGGGCGCCGGCGCTGTGCTGGCCGTCGTGCTGGGGTGTGAAGTAGTCGTCGTCGTGCTCCATGGTGTGCGGTGGAAACTGAACGCTGGCTCTCATTCAGGTGTCGGATGCGCTGATCCTTCCAAGACTTGGTGCGACTGCTGCAGCGAACACAACCGCGGCGTGCAAGGGGAGACAGGCGAGGTATAGGCGGGCAGGCTAGGCAAGGGCTTCAGGTACAAGCGCGCGCCCAGGGATCCGTATATGCTTCTGAGGGTGTGAGGGGGCCGCCGCAGGTGTTTCGTCTGCTTTCGGGGCTAGAGAGTAGTCGAGGCAAGCGGTCAAGCACGCAACAAGATGAACCAGGGGGAAACTGCTAGATTCCGAGATGGCAACACGCTACAAGGCGAACAGACCGGGGTATCATGCACAGCAAACGCAGCACAGGCGCGATACAGAGCGAACGTGAAAGGATCTCGAGAGTGGTGACGCTGCATATTGGAAGTGTGAGATCTCTAAGGGCTGCTAACTACTGCAGTGCCAAGGGGGCGTCGTGCTAACCACCAAGCTTATTCACACGATCGTAGGTTAGCAGAACCCCTGCAGCTGCTCAATGGCGGATCCATATATTGAGAGACATCACGAGCACTGTCCTGCACACCACGCTGCCCTCGTCACCTTCGTGAACGTTTGCCGGGTGCTCTCAGGCACGTCAGGGTGCCATTTTTAGCGCCCCAACTTCACATCCTCAAACGACCATGTCTTGGTGCCTGTCTCATGACCACAAAACGACAGCCACAGTCACTGCACTCGTGAGCCTCAAACAAGAGGCCAGTGCGGAGATTGTCGGTGTGTGATGTCTACAAGGCTGAACAGGTATTCCTTCACAGCACCCACCACCGCCTGACGTAGCCAATGTCCACTTCACCGGAGGCTTTCCGGCCAAAGTCGCCAACATGACAGTGAAAGTTGGCGTCCCCAACATTTTGAAGGCCTGATTACGACAAGCCGTTCTGCAAACAAAGGCACTGCGAACGCCTTCAAGGGGAAACTTTCGTCGAAATCGGAGCCAGTTCCGAATGCTCTGATGTTTCATGGCCTTGAACAAAGGTCTTTCACTTGCACTAAGACTCGAGAAAAGAGCCTAAGGTTGCACGATTCGGGTACTCCCGCAGGATTCCGGAGATTACTGGGAATTATGCAAGGAACGTCGGTGTCATCGCTGTGCTTCGAGTTCTGTGAATTTTGAGGCGAGCAATTATGGGTTGTAGTGATGCTTTCAGTTGCCCTGACTTATTCGTGGTGGGTCTTCTATACAGTTGGAGTACATAGTATACAGCGCGCTTTGGTACAACGGGGGACGTGGAAACAGTGCAGGTGAGTGACTGCGTCACACATCTAAGCCTTGGTGTTCTCCTGCATCATCTTGCTTGACTGCTTCACGAGACTGACCTCTTCACCTGGGTCGCCCTTGAACTTCCAGAGTCCATTGACGACCTCATCGTCGCTTGCATTCTCCAGCCTCTTCAGCTCCCTCCTCATGTATCCTACAATCTGAGCGAGCTTCTGGAAGTCGACGTCCTCCTCAGAGCCCATCAAATTTCTCCAGACGGCAGCTGCCAGCATGGCATCGCCCTTCATAAGGCCCTCATCGTACGAGAGGAGGACAGCACGCCACTGCGAGAACATGTCTTTGAGGTGCTTCTGTCGAAGAGAGTTGGCATTGAACTTGTGCCACACGACGAGTCGGTCTTCAGCGGCATAGAAGGCGTGATTCGTCAGATGCTGGATCCATGTGCTGGCGTGCGATTCTGGCAGCATCCGAAAGCGTACTTGCAGCATATACATGTGGATGAAGGTGATTTGCGTCCAATTGGCAAAAGTGGGCTTGAGACCGAGAGCTGCGTATCGTTAGTAGAGCATCATCGAGGGGGCGCAGCAGCTTGTCAATGGAAGCCAAGGACACTCACTCTCGTACCACCACCCCTCACCTTCCCCGAGGTGCACACCATTCTCGATAGTAGGGATCTCGGCGCCCTTTTGCTGTGCCTGGGGAATCTTGTATTCTCCTGGTCTTGAGCATTCCTTGATCAGCTCTCGTGTGGCGCCATATGCAACGTAAGGCTCTGTCATCAACGGTGCCTTCTCACGCAGCTTCTGCGCGAGTCCAGACACGCCAGACTTGACATTGGGATACGGCTTCTTGATGGCTTCCGGTCTGACGTCTGCGTTGAGGCCGTGCGATGCGTGATATAGGCTCGGCGCGGTTGTAGAGAAGTTTCGTTGCGCGCGGCGCAGAGTTGTCTTGTTGCTCGACTGACCATATTAGCTTAGTTCTTGGAGGCGCAGTATCTTTTCACACCTGTAGCCAAGAAGAGCTCGCTCTTGAGAACGCTCGTGAGCATGCCCTGCAGGTGTAGTTGGACGCCATTGTGGTGGTTGATGGTGTTGAGCGTCGTGAATCCTCGCGATATTCAAAAAGTCGCGACTCGCGCCTTCCCGCAAAGATCCATGACCTCACCAAACCCTAGCTTCACCAGCACCAATCGAAGCATCACAACGACGCATCTCTCCACACAAACAACACAAGCAATATTCCCGTGGCCAGACTTCCATTGCTTTTGCAGGCGCAGCATCATGGCGTGTCAAAGTCAAAGGCTCTTGAGCTGCCGTGAAAACCGAACAATTGCAGCTATTGGCAGACAGAGCACGACCAATGAAGCCAAATTGATCAAGCACAGCAGCCCAGAGATGCTGCGCCAGCATGCAATAAAATCATGCAATTGAGCTGCCACCTGACGGCGTAATTTCAGGCTTAATTGTGTCGCGCATCCTTCTTGGGTATAATAAGTAAACCTCCGCGTTCTTCCCCGCACTCTCACCCCCCAGCCTGTCCGGACAACGCCGCCTTGTCCACATTTCAGTTGCCGCGCCGCCATGCAAGCTCCAACTTGATCTCGAACCTGCAGCAAAGCAGGCATGCGTTCCGCAAGTATATCTATCGCAGGGGCTTCCCACACCAATTTGGCACAGAATCCTTTATATATCAATGTCTTCTCGGATGCAAAGCACGTCTACACTGCTGGAGACATCGTACATGGCGTGGTACGCGTCGATCCTACGGCAAGACCTCAGAATGTGAGCATTATATTCAAGGGGATCTCGATTCTTTACGACAAAGACCTCGAAGGGTGCAAGACTGAGTTCTTTCGTCTTGAGCAAGAGCTATTCACCTCCTCCGGTACCGGCGAGAACTACGATATCCTACGCCAAGGTACGGCTGATGATGGCAAAGTCGAGCTCCCCTTTCAGTTCACATTCCCGCATGTGGCAGTCCAGACACCACCCGCGTCGCGGCGATGGCATTACTCGAAAGACTCTTTTGGCCATCCTCGGTTCCAGCACTCCCCAGGTTTCCCTCTGCCTCCGAGTTGCACCACGTTGATGAATGCCGAGATCGCAGTCGCGCCGGGCATCTCGTATTATCTGGAGGCAAGGGCAGACTCATCCTTAAGAATTCGACAAGAAGTAAAGTTCATGCCACCAGCGCCAGAGTACGACTTGTCCCTATTGCAACCAAACTTGGATTTTGGCACCAGTCTCCCGAAACAACAATGCCGTTATAAGTTCATCCGAACGCGAAAACTATTACCAACCAATAAGGAGAAAGGCAACAAACTCAGCAAAGTGAAAGACTTCCTAGTAGAGAAGGAGCTCTTCTTTGGCATCGAGACTTTCAGCGAGATCCCCTTCTACCGATTCAACGTCCTCGCTACACCTCCACGAGTGATAGTCATTGGTTCAAACTTCCCGATACATGTTATATTGCAACACCTAGATCGGTCAGCATCCATCCCCGAACCTCCGCCACTATTCCTGCGCCGCGTACGCGTACAAGTGATCTCCACTTACGAGACGTTTGTTCCGCAGCCAAAGAATTCAGTCAACCGTGCAGTCGAGCACATCGACCGCGCTCAACGCACGACCACTTTATTTGACAAGAAGTTCAGTTCTGGAGAGGGCGAGCCACTACAAGATGGCATCAATCTGGCCAATTTTGGAGAATTGCGGATATCGAAGGCTGACGAGGCGATCATACCGAGTTTCTCTAGCTACGGCATGACTTTGGAACACGAATTGCAGGTTGAGATATGGGGCGAGTGCGTCAAAAATGAATGGTCCGGAATAGTCTGCAAGGACAAAGTTCAATTTGTCTCAGGCTGGACTTTTAGTCACGTGCCAGAGGAGGATGGCGTGGCTGGAGCCGGACGGTCGCTTGCAAGGCCACCTCCCCAGGCATTTCCACCGCCAGAGTACGACACAGTGTGAGGCAAGCGGGGTTGCCTTGAGCTCCGCTTCAGTCAGACTTCGATGTCTTCTTTTCCAATTGACATGAAGAGTGTATGTTATGAATGGCTCACTTGTGGTCAAAATCTCACGTTCCAATGACTGTTGACAACTTCCGGTCTCTTTCGTATCTTCTCATCCCTTCCTGTCAACAGGGAATACTTGAGCCATGGCCGTAGCCAAGCAGGAGATCATCTCTCCACCCGCAGGTAGAAACAGCTCTCGCCATACAATGCCCTACTTCTTGCTGCGGCATGGCCGTCCCCATAGCCCACGCCCTTTTGGCAGTAATCTCAGTCAGTTCAACCCGGAGCCGCATTACCGAACAACGCCTACTCTTCTCTACCGATCAACGAGCCCGAAACCATGCCGCATACGATGCCGAGCTCAGCTCAGCTTCTGGCACAAAGCTCAGTAACTACCGGCGGTGCACGACTTCTGTGGTTTGTGCAAGAGATGATGAACGTCGCCTCGGTGGGTCGAGTACGCATCGACCCAAAGCTGAAAGTCAATGCTGTCGAATTCGTCAAAAGTCTCGATCGCATCAACACCGCTGATATTGCGCTTGAGGACATGAAGTGTCCATTCTGTTGGGTCGTTGTCGATTAGGCACATGTGCTTGATTAGCATATTTGATGCGGCCCCGCAGCGATACAAAAAGGCCGACCTTTCTGACTCTCGGGTCCTAAAGGTTATATACACCGCAACCATATTGAAGTCCGGGGAGAACCTGCATCCGAAGTGCTGGAAGGTCATTATGGTGTAGACCGTCAAGCGGGTTCACCAGGATGTTTTGGGCGTCATTAAGAATATCTTAAGACAGAACAACGGGGTTACAAGTGTCGAAGGTATCGATTTGAACACGAGACTAAAAATGAAAGGGCCAAGCGAAACGAAGAGGAAAAGGATGCTGCATCAGGCTTCCTTCACAATGTCAATCCGCTTCACTAACATCACCCATTATTGGAGAGAGCGTGTCCCTAAAGTAGTTATTCTCAGACAATTCTTCCTTCCAACCCCAAATATATTTTTACTCTTTCTCTCTGACTTCCACCGCTCCACCATGAACCACTTCACCCACCTCGAACCGAAGATCCCCCGTACACTTCGCAAACCGCACCAAAGACTATGAACACACTTCCTGGCCGTGCAACATGGTGTCAAAGCCCGCCATGACATAAGACCTATTTCCACTTCGATAATTACATGCCGATCCACTGCATAGAAGAGCTGCGCCACTACCTGATATGTCTCTACTATGATGAGGCTGTATACGACTACCTTGCCGCGCTGCAAGGCAACATCACCGCTTCTTTAGCTGGGGCACCCCAGAAGCTCATAATAGCGGACTACACGCTAAAGACGAGCGGTGTGGCGTACTACCACAATGTACCCACCGAGCTGGACGTCAGCGGCTTCACAGAACACTTGCTACAGAAGATAGAAGACGACCTCTCGGGCCTAGAATGGGCCGACGAGGTGTACGGATGCATCACCTCTGTGCAGGGCGATCTCAACTCAGACGTCGACCCGACGCTCTTCAGTTCCGAGGACTTCATCATCACAGCTGCAGGCAACACGCTGAACAAGTGCTACGGCCCCGTCCCTGCGCTGCCGTACGAAGCTGAGGAGTGTAGTATGCCGCTCGACTGTCTTGCTACCATGGGGAATTACTACAACGAGATCCCATGGGCACAGGAGCGTTATGAGCTTAGTGTCGAGCAGCGGGATTTCGTCCATGGTCATAAGCTGCTGAGCAAGTATCTGCCGATGGTTGCTAAGTATGGCATGACGATGGATTGTGTGGTTGCTACGGTTACTTATCATGGTGGTCTTGAGATTGAGGAGGAGTACTACTTGGATGCTATGGAGAAGCATGCGGTGACATCAGGTTATGTGGACTTTCCTGACACGTTCTCAACGGAGATGGAACAGAGGACTGGGTCTGAGGTTGTTGGATCGTTTTGGTATATTCTTATGTCCGACGACATTCTTGGGCCGGGTGCATGGTCATCGCGGGTCCAGAATGTTGACCCTAAGGAATTTATGGGCAGGCTCGAGTCTGTCGACATCTCCACCGTACTGGCGGAGGACATGAAGTGTCTTCATTGCTGGAATCAATTTGGAGAGACGGACGTGGATACTGTCGAGTTTCGAGTTGGCGAGGTCAAGCTAGATGACAACCCTGTCAAGTTGCCGTGTGATCACGGTCATCTTATCGGTAAGACATGCTCGATGCAGCTCATTGATGCGGATGATCATCTTTGCCCGGTGCGTCGACAAGACATTGTTGCTACGGTAGGGTAGAGCGATTGTGGGTCAGGGATCGGATCACAGGACCTGGACTGATGGACTTTATACCCAGAGGAATTAGGGTAGCGTCGGTCGATTATCTACATTCTTAATGTGAAACTGATATAGTGTTGAGTTCCCACCGCCACAGTGAAGTATACACGCACCTCAACTATTAGAAAACCCCTTCGGCGACGCACGTCTCCTGGCTTCAAACTGAAGATCTGTGCAGGCCCCGTGTTCAGCAGCCATACACAATCCTGAACCCCTGGATTGGCCAAGCAGGCGGCGCAACGTTTGAGAATTCCCAATAATTTGGCAGGCCTCCTCCGTCATAAGCCATGCCCATCTGGAATGTGAGCGTTTCGTTGCAGGCCGTCTCATTGATCACCGATACGCCGCCGACACTCCTTGTTTTCTTCAGGGCTTCTGGCTCTCCATTGACACGACCGAAGAGGTCCGCTCCATCATTGCCCTTGTATGTGTTCCAGGTCGCAATCGCATCCGGCTCACGCTCGACCTGGTACACATTGAAGCTCGGATTCGTGCCTGAGATCTTCTGAAGCTCTTCCCTGGGCAGGACAAATTCGAGTCGACATGTCTTGTTCGACTCTTTGGATGGAAGGCGTTGGAATTGCACACGGGTGGCGATCTCGCCTTCACCTAGGGTCTGGCGGCGGAGCATGAAGAAGCGTTTGGCTTGGTGAAGGCGGTCGACATCGTAATCAGGATAGCGGGAGTTGACAACAGCGAGATCGGCGGGATAGACCCTTTGGCAGACGTACGGCCCGCCAGACGGTGTGCTGAAGGTGGTGTTTGTGGTATCTGTTGCATTTGACAGCGGGTATGGTGCGGCGAGTGTCTGTCGCAGAAGGGCTGCGACGAGTGCTATGATGAGTGCAAAGCGCATTAAGACTGTGCTCAGTAAGATAGGTGAAGTTTAGTGTGATAATGATGTAGGTCGTGAGTGCTGCAGGTTAGTAAGAGGTCCAGTTCGTAAGATGATGCTTAAATGAGACAATGTCGAGGCATCAAAATCCGCGTTCCTACCTCACTGTTGTTTGGATGGTGCACGTGGCAGAAGCTATGGCGGCAGCTTCTGAGGTGAGGAAGGCACGACTGCGCAATGTCTCTGTCACGGACTCATCACGCTTGTCTCACCCTCGACCCACGCGTTCATCACATCCCACGGAAGCTGAGCGGAAACCATGACTAAGAAATACACCTATCAGAGAAAACATAAAGCAGTCACGACAGTACGCCCTCAGACGTTTCGATTTCTCGATCTACCCCTCGAGCTGCGACGCTTTGTGTACAACTTCCTCCCAATACGCACGAAGCATACCGTAATCTATGGCGGAATGCCTGAAAATCATCTGTCGGAAGATAAGCCTGCGACGTTCACTCTTAATACCAAGATCATCTCGGCACAACTCTTGTGCACATGCCGCCAGATCAATCTGGAGGCCAAACCCTACGTGGAGAGAATACTCGCAGTGATCAAGGAGGACATCCCACGTATCACCATGGACTAATATGCATGGTCGTATCTGAGTACACACGGCGACGTGCTGTACAGAACCTTGCTATAGTTTCAGATATGAGGTGTCATTGCAAATCTACGAAGCTGCATGCCACGACCGTTCCTTGGTTGCACGGCGATCATGCCAGCAGTGACCGGCGCATTCTTCCATGGTGTGGAGTACGAGCGAGCTATAGTGCAGTAGAACGTGAAACTTGGGCTTACAGGCCGCATGCTTAAAATGCAGCTTCGCCACGCTGAGCAGGGTGGCGATGAACTCTGGAAAAATATACAATTGGAAGATGGACGGGACGAAGGTTGCACATAACTGGGAAGGGCGGATTCGCTAGTACACATGGCACAATTCAAGGAAGGGAGTGACCACAAAGGGTAGATTCACGGGCTGCAGAGAAGTGAAAGTTGCGAAGAAAGATTTCGTTACGTCCATGTACATATGTATCGACCAAGCTATATATGAGAGATGCAGTCTAGTTCCTGAAATAAATTAGCTCAAGCTCTTCAACCCAGTCAAAAAGTAAAAGAGTGTGCTAAAGTAAATCAGACATCCAAGGAAGACATTCGTATTGCGTTCAGTGCCTCTGTCTAGGTTCAGGTCGAGACTAACGTGGAAACTGCGAATAGTGGAATATTTCATCATGAAAAGCAGGTGCAATGAGAGAGCTTAAACTTACCAAAGAGACGGCAGAAAGGCGCCGTGGCTGCACTTAGTGCTAGGAGTTCATCGCAAGCATAGATTGATGCTGCGTTTTGAGCAGTCTCTGTGAGGTGCAGGAGGACAAGGCAGCAGTGGTTGGAACTTTTTTATTATGGGTCCGGTGAAACGTTCGGCCGAGGTGTGCGCGCGGACGCGACGCGTCGTAGGGCTGCAATTAGCATGTGAACTTCAGATTCCGCTTCACCATCTTGAAAGATAGCGTTCATTGTTAACTATCCATAATTGCAATACTCATCGTGTAGAGCTAAGGAATTCTGTCTTCCTATAACTCCACGACGATCTTTCCAAAGCTAACACCAGCCTTCTGCTTATTTAAGCCCTCCTGCACAGACTCAAGCCCGCCCTTGACGACAATAGCCTCGGGCTGCGCCTTCAACGTACCCTTCTGCAGAGCCCCCGGCACCCACTTCGCCCACACAACGTCACCGATGTACTTGTCATCGAGCGCAACACTCGGTCCGAAGACACTCGTACCCTCAAGACCCTCAGGTAGACCCTGAGCGCTCGGCATCACAGAGCCGTATTTTCCGCCCAGCTTCTTGTACACAGGCGTCCATGCCTTCGCAGCGTCAGGTGTACCGATAGCGTCGCAGACACCAGCGAACTCCGTACCCTCGAGCGCAGCGATGATGTCGTCTGCGACAGAGGAGGAGTTGTAATCGAACACGGCCGCAGCGCCCAGGGCCTTGACACCGTCAATATTGCGCTTCGATGCAACACTGACGACCTTGTGTCCTGCGCCTGCTGCAAGCTGGATCGCTGTTGCGCCTACACTGCTCGAGCCGCCCCAGACGAGTACCGACTTGCCACTTGAGGGAGGGTTGGCGTCTGAGCTTTTCGGCAGGGGCAAGGCGAGGGTCTCCTTCTTGAAGAGGCAGGCTGCAGCGGTCGAGATGGCGAGCGGGAGCACGGCTGCGGAGGTGTAGGAGAGGGAGTCGGGGATCTTGGAGACGACAAGGGCGTTGAGGGATGTGTAGAGTTGGAAGCCGCCTTGTGCTGGGTTGTTGCTCACGAGGGAAAAGGCGTGTCTACACAGGTTCAGGATTAGTAGAGAGCCTGGTGTGTTCCGGTGAGTACGTACCCAAGAACACGGTCGCCCTTCTTGACGTGTGTGACGCCCTCGCCTACTTCGTGGACCTCGCCGGCTATATCAGTACCTAGGACATTAGGGTACTTCTGCAGGAAGATGCCTGTAGTATTCAGTTGCTGTACAGTTGTACCAATGGCCAATGGTGGACATACCATAGTCCTGGATCTTCCCTACTTCAAGTCAGCTACTTGAGGTTCGAGCGATGATATGGCGACTCACAGTCCACAGGGTTGACAGCGGCAGCATGGTTCTTCACCACAACCTCTCCCTTGCCAGCAGAGGGCAATGGGGCTTCCTTGACTTGCAACGGTTTGGCCTTGGCCTCTGTAATGTATGCGGCTTTGTTCGACATGTTGAGTGATCAATTGGAGTGTTGTAGATGTGTGAGTTTGGTTTTAGAACTAATGGTTGAAGAGACAAGCTTCGCAAGCTCAGCTCCAAGCTTCATTGCAGAGCCTTTCATTAGCCCCATAATCCCACCCACATTTTTGCTCTGCCAATTCATTGGTAAGCAGAGATGGTACAATGATGGCGTTTCCACAATATTTGCAATGCCGAGGCATCTGCGGTGACATCATTGAGTTGACTGGAAGTCTGCAAGCGGTCAACTAAATTCGGCTCGGCCCGACCATTGGAATGGACGTTTCTTTCGACTTGCTAAAACATCGTGACATCCAAGGTGAATTGCAATTGTACAATAAATATTCGAAGATTAAATTTGAGTACGTACGTGCCTCGGCTGCTCTGAAAGTTCACGACATCTCATGGTACAAGCCTCCTCTTGAACCTGCAATCAACGCCTGTTTGAAAGTTGAACCCAGCGTTCTGAGTCTTCCACGGCCCACCGTGTGCCATCTCGAAATCATAACGACGAAGAATCTCCGGTACAATCTTGTAGGTTTGACCAGTGCAATCTGAGTATTATGAGTATGAGTATGCGCACATACATCGATGGCATGACACTTACATGCTTGCCTGTACAAGTTCATGTTTCGACACCAAAGTGCATCATGCACTTCTCCATGAGTTTCGCTTGTCCTACGTCCTCCAACCATCTCTCTGGTCGAACGAAGCTGCATCTTCTCAGAACACGTCTTTGTTGTATTGTACAACGCCCGGGATGAGGCCAACGCTCCAGCCTCCTGGTATGAAACTACCAGCGGTTACGATACCTTGTGGAGGTGAGTGTCGTTGAATCGGAGTCACTAACGGGGGAAAGAGACGGAAAGAATCTTTGACCACGGCCATAAAATACTCAGGTGTTACAACTTGGTTGTATCGTGCGGGTGACGTGACACTGCCATGAGCATAGGTGGCGTCGACTTCGAACTTGAGTTTAGCGAGCTTATCCGGATGCTTCATCAGGTAGTAGAATATAGAACACAGTTCCATGGAGGTGCTGTCGGCCCCAGCCATGCTAGAGGCAGCTGTAAGTTTTAATAGTCATACCGGGGAATCGAAGAACATACACTCCAGTGAAATTTTCTATAACGACTTCCTTTAAGCCTAAGTTGTTCTCGGTTCCTTTCCCCCGCACAACGCTCATTAGTTTCGAAGTCATGTCAGGTCTCTGATCCGTATCAACCTCCAGCCATTGGTGCGCCTTGTAGATCTCCCGCACAGCTAGCTTTCGGATGCCATCAGCAGCAAGGATAGACTTCAAAAGCTTGGGGACCGAGAGAGCCCCGATCTTGATGAGAAATCGGATGTAAGTTGGAGCCGCAGTGAGCACCCCAAGGAACGGCATTGCTCGGTGTACATATTGGATATAGCCGCCATAACCGATGGGTTCGCGCAGGAAGCCGAATTACTTGCCTAGGAAGACGACGCCGATGTTATCGTAGCAATACATCTCGAGCTACAGAACGAAATCGAACGAAGAGCCCTCTTCCGCAAACTCGTCCAGCTTTTCGAGGAACAACGCCACTGTCTTGTCGAGCTCAGACTCATTCTAGAGGACGCTGCTTAGGCTGTACACATGCCCAATCAGCCTTCGGTAGACGGCGTGATCCGTTTCGGACAGGTTTGTGAAACTATTGACAGTCAACGACCTAACTCAGTGGTACGTCAGATGGGCAGTGGTGCTCTGCGGTGCTAGAGGTAAGTCGCATACTTGTCAGGTCAAGAGCCTATGCCTACTGGATGCCAAGCGAGATACCACACTGTCTTCATGAGTGGCTTGGAGATTGGGTAAACTGTAGGGATCTCTCTCCGATCGGAGCAGACGACTTCGTCTTAAACCCACAGCCTTCGAATTAGCAACTGCTAGTGGGCTGACTCGTATGTGAACTTTACGGAGCGACCCGCAGTAGAGGGCCATAATTCTCATGATGTTCCCTTGAGACTATGTCAGAATCACTGGTGTAGGCTCTGTACATAGGCCATGTCCGAAATATCGATGGCCAAAACGGACCCGGAATTTGAGCGAGCGGATGCAGGGTATGAGCATAGAGGATCCATGTTCCGTAGTAAACAAGGAAAGAGATAGGAGGAATGCAAGTGACCCACGCTTGGGGCGTGTAACCAAGTAGGGCTTCTGTGAGGTAAACCATGCTGAAAGAGACAGATGTTCGAACATGGTCAATTGAGCCCAAAGCTGCGCCTTTGTACTGAATGCCAATCAACTAGGGTTGTAGGCGGGTCGCCTATCCTGTTTCTGATTACTTTGTCTGAGATCTGGCTGGACTCATGCTGTCAGGTGTCGTGAGCCAATGATGTTGGAGTTTGAGCCGCTGCAACCCATTCGTCGTCCTGCGAGCTTAAGCGTCTACAATGATCCTTTATCACTAACACTGGTCCCGCAGCCATCTGTTCAGCAGCAGCAACAACACCAAGCAAGCCATCTTCTTGAATGATTGTCGCAGTGCGAGCGCGCGGCTGAGAGGAGCGAGGCGGCTGGGATACCGGCTGGGATGCCTGGACAGGCTCGACGTGTTTGGTAAGTATAAGGTTGAAGTCAACGCAAAGCTTGTTGCTAGTGTTGCGATCAATTGAAGCTGCTAACTTTTCAGAGCGTCTAAATCAAGATAGTTACTGCGTCGCAGTTGCTGTGGCAGCCTGTCTATTACTTTTGACTTGTTTGGATAGACTACGGCTGTGAGACTCGCAATGTTGACTGCTTGAGGCAGTAGATAGTTGACAGTCTCGTCCACCCAATCATCCCACACGTCCACCATCAACAGGTCGTCAAGCTTGTAGTTAGCAACACTGTACGATGCGTTCGCGATTGTAGATTTCTCGACATCCGTGAAGGAAGCACGGTAATGAATAGTAGCAACCACAACGTGTCCATCTTCTGAGAAGGCACTGGCTGACTCCTCTGCAGCGTCTTTGACAGCCTCAGCGGGCCCAGCAGCGACCTCGGCACCTTCACCGTCTCTGGCGACAGCTAGGTCATCAACAGCCTCTGGGTATGGTTCTGCCTCCTCCTCCTCGCTGCCGTTGTTGCTGTCCTCGTGTCCTTTAACCTCTTCCTCTTCGGGGACAAAAATCAGCTCGTTCTGGCTGGCAGCGGGTGTGCTCGGAGCACTATTTTGCGGTCGAGAAGGACGTACAGCAATTGGCGGAGGCGATGGCAGACGTGTACAAGGTGTAGGAGGCGGGTTGACACCAGCTTCAAATGGCTGGGTTGACTTGCGTGTCCGCTTGCCACCAGGCCCAGGATGTGCTTCCGGAGGCTCATTTCTCTGCTTCTTTGAGCGTCTCAGAGCCATCAACAACACCAGGAAATCTCACAATACTGTCAAAACTGAGCAGCAGTTACTACAGAAGGTGTGTCAATTGATTCTGTCTTGATATAGGCCAAATTAGGAGCGTTGGCGGACATCAACGTCATCCAATCCCTGCAGAACACCAACTCACGTGAGTACAAGGTATTTCGGAACGCACCCATACAAGGAACGCACAGACGAACAGGCTGGTCTCTTCTGACCACCTCTACGTCTGAACTTATCCCTATCTCCGATGCATCGCGACTCTAGATTAAGCTACCTGTCTTCACAACACTCAGCAACAAGCGCAGAATCAACGGTCTTCACTTTTGTGTCTGTGGCATCGTTCAAATCAGCTCATTCGTTACAGGACAAAGAGCGAAGTGTCATCACGATACTGAGGACGTACTCTGAGAACCAACCCAAGCGTCATGGGCGGATTAGATATAAACCAAAATTCGCAACAGTCTCTCTTCGATCATTACATACTCGTCGGTCAGAGCAATACTTTAGTAGATCTGACAACACCTGGTGTTCGCTAGCGGTCCGTTGCAGTATTTGCTAACGGTCCGCTGCACTGATTGTCCAGCTCATTCGGTTAGCTCGGGTTTGCTTCCATACCCGTTCACGGCTATTCCCTTCTACTATATAGTCCCGATGGATCCTCCCCATAGCTCTACAGATCAATCAACACAATCATCTCAATCCTTCCACACCTGGGTAACGAAAGCAGAGATGGCGAGATACACAGGAAGTCCTATATTACATATCGGTTCTGAAGCTAAATGTTGTCATATTCAAGGACCTTAGATCCGCTGATGCTGAGATTTTATTGACAACACCAGCAAGACAAGGCTCAGTATCACGAAACGGGCGCACGGATAAGACAAAGCACAGCACATAAGTACGCTCGTTACAGATCAACGAGACGAAGTTGAGGAGCTTAGAGCCTATCAAGTGCTTGGTTACACTCGAACAACGGATCTGCTACTCGTCGACTTCGAATCGCTCAGGCTGCTCGGCAGTATTTCATGCAATGAAGTATCTGTTCCTTATCTCCAGGGCCCCGTGAAGCTGCCAGCGGGGTTGCCTAGCGCTGTCACACAAGCATGGAGCTTGATCCTATCGAATCGCAGCTTCCGATCTGCGCCAAGTACTTTGGGACTTGTATACCATGTACGGAAATCACTAACCCTAATGTGTATGGTCAAGATAACGGTGCCCTTCATGAGAGCTTAGAGAGGAGCGTCTGCAGTGCTTGCCCGCAACACAGTTCACACTCACACGAGTCTTATGATCGTTCGTATTTCTGGTCGATATGGTCTGAGAACATCAACGTCGCTACCATATTTCTGATGCCAGTAAATTCAGCCCCACTAATCTTCTTGATAAGATACTGACATATCCAGCAATGACATAAGTCCCTGAGATTAGCGACACTGATATCATCATCCAGCCAAAAAGTATCCTTACTTAAGTCGCCCGATCTGATCACAAAAGTTTGTACGCACCAACCTAGAATTCATTACTGGCCAGCCCACGAATCGAGAACAAGCCATCATGTTGAACGGTCCGCTTCTCCTGCTCGGCGCAGTGTTCCTGCTGAGCTCCGCTGCACTCTTCATCTCGCGAAATGAAAGACGAGACATTATCCTGGGATGGCTTCATCTAAAACGGCGAAGACACTCTGGGTCCAGAACACCACCTCTGTCCCTTTCACCAGAGAAGAAGAAATCGCAAAGTATCTCAGCACCAGACTACTCGACGACATTCCCATCTTCTAGACGTTCCATACTTGCTGAGACTGAATTGCCATCAACGCTCGCAGAAGCAGTGACTGCTTCGCACTCAGATTGGACCAAGCGTATGCTACCGATGAAAGCATCCTATCTTGAAGCTACCGATTGCACATACACACCATGCGAGTTCTCCATCGCGGAAATAAAAGCTCTGGGAGACTTTCCTGACTACGCCACCTTGAGTGGTGTTCCTCTTCCCAAGCCATACCACGATTTCGACATCAAGAAAGCGTTCCCAAGACCATATAGACCGTTTCGTTGGGCATACCACCAGACAATGTGTAATAATCTTCCCCCTGTTGCCGTGCACGTACTTACCTTGTCCGCAGCACTTACAAAGATGGAGCCCGACTGGTGGCTAGAACTCGAGAACACCTACGAAAAGCGCATGAAACAGCGGGCAAACCTCTTGACTGAGCGCGGTGACGCAGTCTTACAAGCACTTGAAGGCTCCGAGTTGGCGTGCAAAGAGCTGATGGAGATGGCGCTGCAGTTTCTTTGTGCTCGCTACCCGCAATACTTCTCACTGAACGCTTCCAAGATGGTCTTTCACAACGACATTCTGAAGACTGAGACGGACCTCAGGGAGACGCCGCCCCTACATGTGATCTTCCAAAATATACCCGAAGACTTCGCGATCATGCTGCGCAATGAGAAAACAGGGTACTACGTCTTCCGTGCTGGCATCATCTGCAGTGCACTTGGCTGGAACGTCGGTACTAAGATCGGTCTTCATTTACATGAGATCCACGCCCCGATTCCGGATTACAAGGAGAAGATGCAGTTCTCAATGGACAGGTATGTTAACTCTTGCAAGACAAATACGTGCGTTCACTTAAATGTGATAGGTACTTCGCCAAAAAGCCCACCGACAAACCCATCCAACGCGGCTCTTGGGGTCTCGAGGTCGACCAGCCTTTGTTTATGCCGCCTGGCGACAGCCATGAAAACTACAGAGGCTACCAGATGCCAGATCTCGAGCTCTCCCGCTGCCACCTACGCGTAGACTGGCAAACCCTGCGCCGCCTGCCACTCTCAGGTGCGGTAGTATTCAACTTCAAAGCGCTCTTCACGCCCGTAAAAGAATTCAGAGATGAGCCATATGTACCAGGCTTAATATTGAAAGTACTAAACGAGGGCAAGAAGGAGTTGATGGAGTACAAGAACGCATGGCACACAGAGCACGTCGTCAAGCCCGCACTCGAAGCATTCCACGCAGAACAAGTCGCGAAAGGCATCGTGAAGGGCGACTGGGAGCCACAGACACTAGATGAGAGCCCGTGGTTCCCACGATGGGAGGCGAAGTGGCACCGTCAACAGGGTTTTTGAGAACACAACACATATAGAAATGACACTTTCATTTTGTGTTTTACACTGCTTACAATTTACTCTCACTGTCGCCACGCGATGTGCCTCTCCAACCACTCAGTGTTGCTCCGCCGTCGATCTCGATTGCGTTGCCGGTCATGTGTGCGCTTGCCTTCGAGCTCAGGAACAGTACCAAACCGCCGAAATCGCTGGGCTTGCCGATGCGGCCTGTGGGCTGTCCTGCAGTGAGGGCCTTGCCGTACTTCTCGAGACCGAAGTTTGTCATGCGGCTGGGGAAGACTCCGGGGCAGATAACATTGACCATGATGTTCTTGGGCGCGAGTTTGGATGCGGTCATCTTGGTGAGGTGGATGGCTGCTGCTTTGGCGGGTCCGTCTATGCAATGCTGGTCAATATTTTAGGACTAGACACGGAGGCAATGCATACTTACAGCTGAATGTTCCATGTCCTGGCTTGGATAGACCACCGGCTTCCCCTGTTGTAACGTCCAGTGTCTGAATACCCGCCATACTCGCAATATTGATAACCCTTCCAGGACTATCCGCATTCGCACCGTTGCGCAGAAGGGGCTCCAATTCCACAGTCATGTAGAAAATACTCTTAACATTCAGGTCGTACAGCTTATCCCACGCATGCTCCGGATAATTATAATAATCGTCTCCCCAGCTCGCTCCCGTATTATTAACCAGCACCGTCAACCTATCCGTCCTTTTCTTTAGCTCGTCGCAGACTGCCAAACAGCCAGCCTTGTTCTTCAAGTCGCCGATGATGTATGAGCATTTTCCGGGACCGAGGGCGTTCAGGCGGTCGGTGGTAGCTTTGAGCTCTTTCTCTTTGCGCGAGGCGATAAATACGGTTGCGCCGTTCTGGACGAAGGCTTGCGCGGCCATTTCACCAAGACCTGTGGCTCCACCGGTTACAAGGGCAATATGATTGGACAAGTCGTAGAGCGTTGAGACGCGTAGATCGTCGGCGGAGGCTGCGTGGGTCATTGTGAGATATGTTCGGTGTTACAGTTTGGTTGAGTGTCTGCAGTATGTTGTTGATTGCTGTTCGAACGTCAAGGAGGAAGACGGAGAAGATCAAGGGCTTGAAGCGCTGGTAATCTCGGTTGTGACATGACTCTCGGTATCCGCGTAGTTTCGTTGTGGAGAGTCGAGAGGAACCTCGGCAGGGCCGTTGGTGGAGATGCGGGGTGTTAGCGCAACAGGGCCCAGGTGTGGGGGCTGTGGTAAGTGTGGGGGTCCATGACGAGACAAACGTGGAATAATACTTTGCTAGACGACAGTGAAATCTCTCGATCCTATCGTGTGAGGAACGTTAGCTTATTAAAGTAAACGGCGACGGCTGGAGATGATGTCATTATCGTCACGAATTCCAAGCGTTGGTTTTGTGTCTTTTACATATTTCGAAAACTTATACAGACAACAGAAGAGAAAAGTAAACAACTATGAGTCGGAAGACTCGAGGGTATCAGATACCACCCATGCTATGCAAAAATGCAGATGAACTCAAGAATAGCAGGCTTCGGGCCAGTACTGATGCAATACAGATCAAACCCGAGCCTCGGTCGACCATGGCCCGTCTCTTCCATTTTCTGAAAGCCAACGTGCCATGGTTGTAGTGTCTGATTGTTTATCATACTCGGTCGATGTCTTCGCGACCCCGTTGGGCAGTGCTCGAGAAGTTTTGGGATGTTGTCCAAAGCTGTGCTGACATAGACTGATCAACGAGAACGCATCAAATGCCCAATCAGAACTCACCTGGTCGTCTTGAGCAATACCGTTGGCCCCTGCACGCAAGCCTCCGCAACGAGGCTGCGCTCCCTCAGTGTTGGGGTGAAGATTGGGGTTCGCCATCTGAAAGTGATGACGCAAGCCGTGAGCTTGATGTTGGAGTACTGACGATGTCCCAATCAATGTGGGACTAAAACCAGAAAATGTACGAAAGGTGTACGTGTAACGTTTGGAAGACTTGTCAAACAAGACTTCCGAGTTAGTGATGCTGAGATCAGGTAGGAGGATGTTTTAGTACTTCAAAACGGAGCAAGGATGGGAACTTGTAAATACACGGACCTTACAGTGGATTGATGGATATGCGAGAGCGTAAATCATGAAGTACCTCCTCATAGTCTTCCTTATCTGGAAGCAATATATATGACACTACTTCGTGAGACTGGCTACATTGATACTCGTCTAGCTGGAGTGACGAATGCTGGAAGCTTTGCGGGGTCTCCTGAAGGGATCTTAGATCGATGCTGTACGCGTGTATCGTCTGCAAATATAGGTATCGAGAGTTCCAAATTGCAGCAATTGCCTACTGGGGACAGCTCATACGCCTGTACGGGATGAGGCCGGGATATGCACAACATCCAGTAGTGCCGCATGCCGTGCATACGATCGCGCCTCAGTAGTCGGCTCAGTCTAATTTCCACAGTGGTGGAGGGTTACACGTCCTGTGGCATGGCTCTGGGGATCAAAAGAGGTACTGATGGCGGCCCTGGTTACAGTGTTACAGACTGCTTTTGAAACAACTGGTTAGCCGATACTACTGAAACGTTCACAGATGAACGAGCAGGCGCACTGTCTGCTTGCCAAGGCGACTTGACGTTAGCTGCATTGTACACCTGCAGTCCAAGGCCGGAGGGGCAGATTAACGGCAAGAGAGTCGTCTGTTCGCAGCAGAGGCGTTTTTAGCCTTCTCTGGAGGGGTTCAAATCATTACCACGCTGCCGTATGAGCCTTGAAACTGAGATTGGCGTGGATGATAATCCTTGTTGACAGTTGACAGGAACGTGCAGTAGTTCGTACGACGTTCGTGTGACGTTCGGTCGGTGGTCAAGGCTTTTGCTGGGTTCTAGAGGTAGTCCGGAGATCATCGGTAGGGCAAGCTGCTGTTTTGAGTACTCAACCTGTCAACTGCCGCTGTCCAAGACGATATCAGGATCTGCTCGGTGTATTACAACAACTGCTTAAACAACCGTGAATAACGCATCTTCCTCCAGATCCAGCTTAGTGACGATTGGACGCGCAAGCATACTATCGTTTGGAGCCTTTCAGTTGGGTTTGCTAGGCATATCCTGACGTATAAACGTATGTTGCGATTCCACAAGGTTGAAAAGTAGGCCCAAATTGGATGCCATTGCTTAGAAGAGGGATGTTGATGCTCAGAGAAGTTCCCAAATGACCTGAAGTGACATAAAAATGGGCATACGTCCGGTGCTAAGGATCTTCTACAGTTACAACTGGGTGTTGAGTGTGGTCCTATTCGCAGGACAGACATCGATAAGTCTGTGGGGATCCTTTCCTACATTTGCTTGTAAGAGACCCGCCTTGCTTTCGGTCCGAAACAACTGTAAGATGGGGGGAGGGACCGGGATGTCTGAGGTATTTCAGGTAGTGTAACCACACTTGATGCTGTAGGCGGACACATTGCGAACAAGCAGATAGTACGCCCAGGGAGACATGGTCAGGATAAAGTTGACCTTGGCATGTTTCGGCCCGTCAAAATATTACGGCCGCGCTTAGTGCGTTTAACGCACTCCGCATCGATTTTGTGTGTATGCCAGTATTTATGATGTTGATCAGTCCTGAAGACTTTGCACCGAATGCCGTTCCTGTCCAGACCGGTGCCACTGGTTCAACAGCTTCGTAACATACCGGCTTCAGGAAGCTGTTACAGCATGTACAGCTGTCTCGTCGTTAAGTTGCTTCTTTCTTCTGATTTATCTCTGCATTGTAGAGACTGGGTGACTGTAATCGTTTCGTATGTTTGTGACGTCATTGTTGGCCAGGCTCCAAAAGCCTCGTGATCAGAATCCCGAGTCTCTCATTCATGACCGCGGGCTTGTGATGGTGTGACTTGTGCCTGGGAGGCGAAGAGAGGAGTGTTGTGACCTTGACAGCTGCAGGTGGTTGTGGCTGTGACGCTAGTTCAGCGCGGTGTAGGCAGCTGCGGCGGCCTCGACCCCACCATCACCCCTCCATTCACCATCAGCGCAACATTCTGAGAGCACAGAAGCTCTACACTAATACATAACTTTAGCCCCATATAAACACTCGAGTTTCGCGAATCAAACATCGTCATGGCATACAACTTTGTGCGCTCGTACATAGACACCTTCCGGGAGCGGACCGCCGCCATCAGCCACACCTCCACATTCCGCGAGACTGGGCAGATTACACCAGAGGAGTTTGTCCTTGCTGGAGATTTCTTAGTCTTCAAGTTCCCTTCGTGGCAGTGGGCAGACGCTTCGTCGCCGGCAAAGCGAGTCCCGTATCTGCCAGAAGGAAAGCAGTTCCTTGTTACTCGTGGCGTACCATGCCACCGCCGTCTTGACGACAACTTCGCTGGGGAAGCTGGGCAAGACGAGACAATAGTGGGTGACGGTTTTACAGCTGGTGAGGGCGGTGCAGACGACGATGGCTGGCTGAGGACTGGTGGTATGGCAGCAAGCCAGGAAGCTAAGGTCCGCGACGTCCGAACAGTTGATGAGAGCGGCAACCTTGGCGCAGCTGAGGAGGAAGATGAGATTCCAGATATGGAGGATGATGAAGACGACGAGGAGGCGATCATAAGAGATCCGCAGGCTGGTTCAAACACACAAGCGTAAGCCACCTTAGTCGTGAACGACTGCAAGGCTATCGCCCGAATATATTGCTAATATCGGTCCAGTCCTCTACGAACCTACACCCTCTATATCACATACTCGGCGCACTACCGAACTCCCCGTTTATACTTATCCGGCTATGGTTCAACATCAGTACCACTGAAACCGCAGGAGATGATGGAGGACATTGTTGGAGACTACAAGGACAAGACAGTCACCATCGAGGACTTCCCCTTCTTCGAGCACGCCCTCAAGACAGCATCGGTACACCCTTGCAAGCATGCCTCTGTCATGAAGGTGCTCCTCGACCGCGCAGATGCTGCTTTGAAACTACGTCTTGCAAAGCTCAAGGCGGGTAAAGATGTGAGCAAGCTCGACAGCGGTATGGAGGCCCTCGTGGACGACACAAGACTTCTCAAGCTCACCGAGCAAGCGAAGAATAAGGGTGGAGACGAGACCAAGGACGACTGGGAAGTGCTTGAGGAGCAAGACGATGAGGTCGCGATTCGTGTGGATCAGTATCTTGTTGTCTTCTTGAAGTTCATGGCTAGGTACGCACAGCACTCCCAGCTGATCAAGGTTTTTTACTAATACCGAACAGCGTCACGCCAGGCATCGAACATGACTTCACGATGGGGGTGTAATGGCTGGGATTCATATGAGCCATGCGGCATTTCATGTGGTTTTTGTTCCCTCGGGTGTTGTTGGAGTTTTGCTAAGGCCGATCAGCATAACAGGCGCAATTGCTATGAGGATGGCCACATGCAATGAGCATGCCAGTCCTTATTCTTCGAATCCTATATCTGCTTATTGCTTGACCACTAGTCATTGGGCACGTGGTCCAAAATGCAGTGCAGGGATCTACCTGCAGTGTGTTTCAGATTTCGTTGTCATTTTGGCCGCCACACTGTTGACACAGAAATCAGGCAGCCACAGGTGGCACCGCTAACGCATCCTGAAGATCGACTGCACGCCTTAGCTTACTATTACCGCCAACAAGCACCATTAATGTCGAAGCTGCCCGCATTCCATATGGTCGACTGTTGTTCACTGTTGTCCGACCTGTTTTCGCATGGCATCGTAATACACGTGTTCCCGTGCCGTCTACTGCGGGCCTGCAAAATGCTTTGAATAGGCGGGACGACTACGGCTATGAGCTCAGAACTGTCTCACGCAACGAGTAAGAGCGATACGAGCCGTTTACATCACGACCATCTGCACCATACACGAGCCCATTGTTGACGGAAGATAACAGCTATACGCCCTACTAAAGCGAAACCGTTGCGGTCCCGACATCGAAAACCACCGTCGCCTCTGCGACACCACTGACCTCCCAGCATGACTACAGTGCTAAGATGTCTAGCTCAGTTAGCACTGCACCTGCAGTGCGGTCGACATTGATCTCATGGTTGCCGGAGTTCATTACTGTGGCTGTAAGTGTTGGATCCTTACTGGCAATCGTCGCAATCCTTCGACGTGAAGACGGCATGTCACCTTCGGTCAACGCACTCTGGGACTCGGACAACAACAGCCTGGCGAAAAGCTGCATTCAGACGGACAAGATAAAATGCATCCGAAGAGTCTCAGGAGCACTGTAGCCTCTTGGTCGATCGAGATCATTGCAATGGTCGTGAGCCTCGCATGATTGCTATCGCAGTTGTGCTTAGTCACAAACACGACCGATCGCTCTCAGCCTGGTCATTCGTATTTTCACTCAAATTGTCGTCGCGAACTTTGGTACGTTGGCAAGAACTACTACTGCCTTTGCTCTTAGAGCGCGCATTGGGCAGCAAAAATGGAGTTGGCTGCGAAGGCGCACCGATACTTTGGTAGCATTCGAAAGGTTTGATGAGGCAAGTCGTGGTCCCTGGGGTGCTATTAGGCTCTTCTTCTGATTACGAGCTCGGTAAGAGGCTTCCTTTGTCCTCGACACACCTTTGGGACCTGATCATCTCTTAGACACTAGGCAGCCCTCGGCGTCTTGGTCATCATCGGGACCGTAGCGTTCGATCCATTCCTCCAGGCAGTTATATCAACCTACGGACGGCTTGATGAGATCGATCTTACACAATTGCCTTGCAGTTCCCCGGAGAACAACGCAATAATAACTCAAGCTCGCAGTTTAGACGAAGGGGTAATCAGCCAAGGCTGTGGGCCTGCTTTCTACATAAATACGACTGGTGGCATGCAGGGGTATCTGGGAGGAATCGAAAGCCGGCCAGACTTTGGGGTTGTGAGTTCGATCTACAGCGGTTTCCAAAACACGTCAGTATACCGTAACGATGGTGGAACCAATACCTGCACAGCTGGTAACTGCACGTCGCCGGTATTCCCGTCTGCTGCAGTCTGTAATTCCTGCAACGATGTATCGGAACATTTGGAGCTTGTGACTGGAAACGGCCCGATTGGCTCAAAACCCCTCCATGGTATATGACCATTCCGTCTGGGGATTGAACCGCATAAACACTACCCTACGGAACATATCCAACTACAACCGAGAGCTGTACTCGAGCAACGCCGCCACGTTGATATCAGCGGATATCACCTTCGATCCTAACATGACCTTGAGCTTTCAGCAAGAGCGAACACTCTTAGTAGCTTTTGCAATCTTGAAGGCTCCCGACAACTGGCTTTTCTCAAATGATACTTGGACGACTGTAGATTGGCTAGTGGCAACAGAATGCGGTCTTTACGTGTGTGCCAAAGCTTACAAGTCGGAAAGCTACAACAATATCCTCAAAGAAGAAACCGTGGGTTCTTGGGCAATCAAAGAACTTAGTCCGTACAAAGTAGACTACGCAACCCGCTACGTAAGCGGAGGACACGTACTCGATGCATGGGTCGAAGCAGCTGGTTCATCTTTGAAAGACTATCTCGTTCTGCGTACAGACTTGCAACTCTTAATCCCCGCCGATGAATCACAGAATTTTCTTGTGTTCATGCAACGGAGCTTCAACGTCACACACGCTTTCATGCGAAACACTATGCTGGAGGAGGAAAGATATGATGGCATACCTAATGAATAATTCAGGCGTGATGCTTCTGGTCGTCGATGCTTTATGGTACTCTCTAAACATTATCGCGACTTTCGAGAACGCCGCAACCAGCCTCACTAATTAATTCCGCAACACCTCCCCGCACCGTTCAGAAGGCTCTCTACAAAAGTGGGTCATCCACATACACGTGGATTGGCCTTAATTAGCGTTCCCTGTTGCTATCATCTCAAGAGGCATTATATATGTGGTCTTTACTATCGTCGAGTCTACTTAAGTAAAGCTCCCGGTGTGGAAAGAAAGAACACTGCCGACGCTTCTGCATGGTCTCAATGACGAGACACAAAGTTTGCTTAGACATGGCCACCTGTAGGCGGAAGGGAGCAGGCCGGAGAGGAACGTACGCCTTGGGTATGATGAGAAGATTGCTTACAGCTTGATGCCGGGTAAAGTAGCGCAGTAAAAATTTCTGCTTTGCGTCGAGCTATAGACTTGAACTACCATGGCTGGAATTTCGCAATGAAGAGATTCGCCATCACCTCTGTCCATCTCGCTCATATATGTGCTACATTCGTGCGGTTCACGTCCACAGGTTATCCTGAGAACTCTGGGCAGAGCCGATCTGCTGACCAGCACTTCGTCGCTGAGGAAAGACAGTCATCACCTCCTCATGTCGGGCAACGCAGACTGGCTACACACAATAAAATAGAAGGAAAGCCGTCTACATGGTGATCTTCTTGATCAGGGACTTCGTCTCTGGAGCTCCGGGCCGGACAGTCACAATCTGACGTGAGACATGAATCCATACAGAAGTTCACCAGCCCCGGGGGGGAAAGGAGTGTCGTGAGGGGCAGAGGCGGGAGATGTAGGACGACTGACGAGCCGATGTAAACAATCAAGATCTTTGGCAGGAATATTCGCCATATAGAGGGGACGTGAACTATTATCTGGTACCTGCCGGCAGCTCTTTGACCATCACAGAACAACTCAACAGGCCGTGCGATCTACTGAAGCATGATCGACATTGCTGAGTGTCAGAGAGTTTTGAGCAACTGCATTGTAAAGTGACAAGCGAGCAAGGCATGGTCCTTTCGCCCTGTCGAAACATCGCCTTACGCCATCCTATCTGCCACAAGTCGCAGACAATCCTCCTTCTCGTCCATCCTGTACCGCACAGTCGTCAGACTCCTCTTGTCGCTGGTCTCTTCTCTAAGTAACCTTTGCGTCTCATCATGGAACCCATAAAGCAAGGTCGGGCGAGCGCTCTCTTTCCACACTGGGATGCGCAACTGCGTGGATTCGATGATGACCAACGTCACGTACACCAAGCCAAGAGCAAGCATGGCTATTGGAAAGGTGAGATACCACCAGTCCACACGCACATGGATGACCCAGTTCTGCAGTGTTCCAGGGTGTCTATCTGGCGATGTGTTGCGCAGCTGTAGAGTGATACTGCGTGCTACATTTTCGAAAGTGTTGGTCAAGTTAGTAGAGTTCCAGAAGGCGTCGGCGATAGCGGGCATGCTAGAGTCTAGCGACGGCCAACCTACGGTATCGGACCCAGGTATATATTTCCGCGTTGTGAGGTTGTTGGAATCCCATACGCCGGGTTTGTGGGTAATCTGTTCCAAGTATGATATCGTGCTGAAGATGAAGGTTTGCGAGATATTGAAACGCTCATCTTGTAAACCCAGCGACTTTGCTGCTTTGGAGGGAATTTCCAGTTGTAGATCGGTTCTGATGACACTTGAGTCATAGAGCTGGGTGCCTAGGTCTGCAGCCGCCGCATTGGCTATCTCAAGTCCTTTTTTTGTATTGTAATCTTCATAGGTACTATCAGGGCCATATGAGTCTGGCTTCTTTTGCGACCATGATCCGACGAGAGTTTCGTTGAGCTCATTGTTGATGCTCACAGCTTGATATGCATTTGCACACAGGTACCATGCACATTCCGTAGCAGAAGGTTTAGACTCTTCCCAGGTCGTTACCCGGTTGACGTAGTCGGCGGGCGCCCTGAGGAAGGTGAAAGCCATAAGCAAAGCCTCGTAATCTTGGAAGGTCTGAGTCTCGGCGGCAATGGTCGTGGTGTTTAAGGTCATCAGAGTCGATTGTTCAATACCACCCGGTAACGTATTGGACAAGCCGTGATAGTTCCTGATCTCACCATTGGGTACCTGCCAGCTAGTGAAGTTAGCTGACATCCAGGCGTTGGACTGCCCCCATGGAATGGATGTTCCATGTCTCCCGAATGCAGTCGTTGAATTAAGGTGGGCGGAGACGTCTGCGCAGGAGCTGCACACTGCGGCTGATGCAAAAACTGGCCACGTGCAATTACCAGAAATACAAGTGAAGCTGACTGGTTCCTCGCGAGATATGGAAGTGTTGCGTAGGCCATTGTAGATCGAGCCGACAAGTCCAAAGTCTGGCCGGGTACGGACAGGCATGTATGTCATTGCTCCCGCGGAGGTCATTATGTTTAGTATGCCAACACTGTTCAAGACAGTGAAGGTCCCAGTGTCCATGCGTCGAGCTTGACTGATAGTTGTGTTTGAGCCATGATCTGTTTCATCAAGTCTGCCTTGACTGGAGATGACAGCTTGTAGGAAGGGATCGAATGCGATTGTGCCCATGATAACCAGGGCACCAAGGGCTGCCCAATGTCTGCTCAACGTCAGTCTCCAATCGCTCTTAAGGAATGAATAGTAGAGGAACTCCTACCGAGCGCGCAACCAGATGAAAAGTCGGGTCCCGCCCCAGGGCCCTCGGACCGCTTCGTCGAACCTCTCAAAAGCTACTAGTCCATCTGATCTTTTGTAAAGCCAGCTCCATCTCTGTTGACCCACGCAAGCACTGAGGGCGAAAGCGAGCGTTGTTCTCGCGAGGGTGCCGAGGGTAGACAACAGTATTCAATGACACTGCAAGCGACCAACGGTCAAGTGACTTGTCGTTCTCCCGATAAAGGACGGCAATGATAGCAATGATTGAACCAATGCTCAACATCATCGCGCAAATCTCGAGAGCCCATGACATCAATGTTGCGCGCAAAGCCAGCGGCGGCAATGAGGATGGTTCGTAGCAAGTACTGTCCTTTGGAACCGTCGAACCATGTTGAACCTTGTGATGTGCAGTAGGGCCGCTTGTCTCGAAAGTCTGCGAAGTTCTGATATTTAAAAGAGTTTCGTGGCTTTCAGCTCCATTGTTATTGTTGTGGTGGTGGTGCTGAGGCTCACCGAAGGATACAGCCGACCGTGGCAATGGAGGAAGTTGCGACCCTGTGACTTCCGGGCTCTGAATAGAGTAAGGCTCCGACAATGCATGATACTGGAATGACATAACGACGAAACTGAACAATGAAACCGTAGGCCGAAAGATCGACCGACAAGGAGCCTATCACAAAGTGTTACCTTGAAGAAAAGTTAGCAACGAACACACCGTGGATGATTGTGCGCGCAAGCAGACGAGGCTGGTGTGTGGGCATAGTTATACTATACTCTTCTTTCAAAGTCAGCTTCGTGCACCACAAAGGCTCAGCTTACTGTAGTTGTTTCACAATGCAGCAAACAAGCTCGGCTCCTGTAGGTTGCGGCATGTCTGCAATTGCAGTTAGATTTGTGCTGCCACTCATCGTAGATTGTTGGCCAGGTACGGCAGGCACGGGGCTATTTTGGGGTTCTACACTACAAGGCGGCTGCAGAAGGACCCCGCGTATGCAGTTGCACGAGGCAGTGCTCTTGGCCTAGCTTCTGATAGGATTGGGCTTTTATATTACCAGCATCTGGGCGGATGAGTATCCGAGTCCGTAAAAACGATTTTGAGGGCCATAAGACAGGAGGCGTGATGTCGGTGAGCAAGAACTTTGAAGCGCGGAGAAAGGGCGTGGAGTGGTAGTGTGGAAAAGGTAAAGGAGCGGGGAGAAGTGCTGGTAAAGCTAACACCCAGCCTGGACTAGTGCGGTGATGGTTGGAGAGCTTCAAAGGTTCCCATGTGGGCATGTACTCTATATTTGCGTTGGTAGAAAGAGATTTTACCTTCTAAACAGGTCGTATAAGGACTGTTGGGTAAAAAACGAACAGCTACAGAAGCTAAAAATTGGGTATAGCGAAGCCTAAAGACAATTTGGTGTTACAAGAATCTCGACTTTTGTTACAATCAAAGTTCAATCACCTCCTCCTCGTCAGCATCAGCCTTGTCAATAATCTCCCACTCGTCCTCTACAGGTTCAGTGAGCTGTGCATCCTGGTTCTTCGCAGTGACCAGGCCAACTTCACCGAGCATGAAGCGGCCGAAGTATAGCACCGCATCGAGCATCTCCTCTCCGGTAGGCGCAATGTTCTCCTTGGGCAGAAGGAAGCCATAGCTACCAGTATCGCGCAGCTTAATTTGGTACGAGTACTTGACCTTCAACTCGTGGTAAAACCAATCCAGCGCACTTCCACCACTAGACTCGATGCGCGGCAGGACGGTGCGGTGCGTCTTGTCGCTCGACCACATAACGTTGCCCTCACAGGCCGAGGTGACTTTGTACGCGTGGCCCTTCCGGCTCACTCGGATGGCCTTGGCAAGTCCCAGAGCCAACTCCTCAAGATCTTCGAGCGCTGGAGGTTCATCAGCGCAGGAGTAGGAGTACGGGTAGAGGATCTGTTGTGAGTACGAGTGCAGGTCCAGGAAGCCGACGAATTGGACGTTGTTGTGCTCGGTCTCGTTCTTGGCCCATTCGGCGAAACGCTGGGCCTCGACGCCTTCGAAGGGTTCGCTGCCGGCGTAGGATTCGCTGCAGGGGTTTGTGCGTACTGTGTCGCCGTCCCACTTGTAGGAGTAGCTGCGGTCCAGGTCCACGCCGTTGCAGAAACGCAGGCTGGTTGGCTGACGGTTCTTCCTCCACAGGCGGTCAGATTCCCACGAGTAGACGTAGCCGTCGGGATTCAGTGTTGGGACGAGAACGAAGTCGAACTCTTCAAGCAGGCGTGTGATCTCGCGGTCCTTGCCGTATGCGTTGATCAAGTTCCAGGCAACGTAGTTGACGGTGCTGGTCGAGATCCATTCACGGGCATGTGAGCCACCCGTGATGAGCACTGTCTTGCGCGGGCCTGAGGGCTCATCGTTGTTTGTTGGGTGCACTCCTACGCGTAGCGCCGGGATGTCGCGACCTTCGTAGGTAGTGCCAACAGTGATTCGGCGAACGTGGGTAGTGAACATGGACGCCATGAGCTTCATCCAGGGATTGATCACGGACAATGGCTGGTAGTCCTGTAAGAATGGGTGGCCCTTGCTCTTGCGAGGCGCTGTCTTGAGGTCTGGTGCGTGGGAGTGGTCATCCTGGTGTGACTGCGTAGCGGACGAGGAAGGATACGAGTCGAAGATGGCCTGCGCGAGGTCGAGGTCTTGCATCAGAGGTTGATGTGACTGCTTCAGAGAGGGCGGAAGGAGACCAAGCAACGAGGGCACCTGTATCATATCAGTCTGCCTGTGATTGGAAGCTTGCTGTTTGTACTGACCACATCCTTTGCTACCCTGATGTCGGCCCAGTCCTCATTAAACTCCCACACATCGAGGAACAGGATGTCTGATGCTTCAGCCAGTGCCTTTGCCTCGACTGCTGTGCGAATCTTGAATCTCAACACAATGTCTTCGCCATACTGTGCTACGAAATGCTCGCTTGCTGCCTGATGTGTACTGTCAATGCTCTCTCCCAGGCTGTTCTGGCTGTCTGGTAGACTCCAGATCTTTCTAATGATAGCGTCGGATAGTCTGCGCCACGTGGGCGGCGTACGGTTGGGTACGTTAGAGCGCACGTCATAAGGGTATGCTGGTTGGTCGTGCGGGGCCGTGGTAGCCAGCGGTGCGGCAGCCAGGAGCAGCACGGTCAGGGAAGTGAGCGTCTGGGAGCGCATTGTGTTTGCATGTATCTAGTAAAACAGTCGAGAAGCAAAGTTTGGTCGCACCAGCATGCGCCGGAAGCTGGGGCTGCGCGCAGTGAAGATTGTCGTGTGCCTGGCGGACAGGTGCAAGCGTTCCAGGATTGCGAGTGCGACTCCAGGCGCTAGAAGCACGCCGCCGCTTCCAGGCCAACTCCACACAGGAGACAGCAGAACCATGCACAGCTGAGGGCAGACAGGCGTGACGAGATAGGCTGCAGCACTGCATGCAACTGAGTGCGCATGGTGAATATCTGCCAAACCTGTTTCCCGGCTCGTCCAACACAGCTCAGGTGCTGGTCGAGCGCGCACGCGCATTCCTCCACCTCCCCGTCTGATCCTAGCATCTCAAGCCTCAGCCTTACCGTGCTTAGCACCAACGTGCGGCGCTCATCCGATCCCCGCTGACCCCGAACACCCGCCTCACTCTGTCCAGACTGTCCCCTTTGCTGCGGCTGTGTGCCATGTACTGCACTGTGATCCCGCCCACGCGTAAATGAGCTGTAGCCCCCGGCGCGCAGCAGAATGCGTCTCCGACCCGGACACAGCGAGCATGACCTGAAGAGGAGATCCACGCTCGACCCAGCTGGCCTGTTCAGGCGCAGCGACAAGGCCGACAAGAACGACAGGTCGACCGAGTTCCTGGCGGCCGAACGCATTGCCGTGTCTGAAGATGGCGGCCGGCCAGCGTCGAGCGAGGTTGCGCGGCCCTCTGTCTCCCGCGACGCCCACCACTCTCCGCCCTCCTCTCCGCGTCCCACGAACCCGCGCCGATTCTCTATGCTGAGGTTCCGCCATGCCTCAGACTCGCAGCTGTCGACGACGGCCAAGGAGCACGCTGCCCGGGACGCGCCGCCGGTGCCGCCGGTGCCTGCCAGCGCAGCTGAGCGCAGCAATGAGCGTATGTGAAGGGACCCTGGGAGATGTTCTGTTCAGCACTGACGTACAATCCCCCTGCAGCTCCAGCCATAATCACCACACCACCAACCTTCATGGACCCCGAGCAGGACGCCAAGAATGACCATCCGGCCTCCAAGAAGCGCGGACGCCTGCAGCAGTTCACGCTGCGCCGACGCTCATTCGACCCAGCGAGCGTTGACAGGCCCGGTGGCATCCTGCGCAAATCCATGGACAAGAAGCGAAGCGGGCCGCTGGGGTCGAAGAAGAGCAAAATCAACCTGCTCGAGGAAGAAGGGGAGCGATTACCGGCGAGACAGCAGCGACCCGAGGAGCTGTCCGAGGCGCGCGACTTTGCGGAAGGCACGACTGCCCTGGCGCCCCCAACACACCGTGCGTCCGAGTCGTCTCGATCAGATGGCAGCTCTGGCGGACACGTCTCGTTCGAGACCAACACACGACCTCCGCACCCTCAGCGCATTGGCTCGACGCGCTTTGGCTTTGGACGGCGGAAGCAGCGCGCATCGCTGTTCCCACTGCCCATGAAGATCGAGCCTCCTCAGTTCCCAGACACAGCACCTGCAACACCTCGCGCCTCTACCGGCGGCATCAGCACCGGCTCGCCCGGCTCACCCTCAGGCAGCCCCCCATTGACCGCACGCCGATACACCGAAGGGGACAATGGGACACATACACCACCGCTTCCGTCTGCTTCGCAAGTGGCCTTAGCTGCAACCTCGCTCAACCTGGCTTCGCCTGGCACTGGCACTGGCACTGGCACTGGCTCGCTCTTCCGCAACGACTCTTCCAGATCTGTTCGCTCGGCTCGCTCTTCACCACAGCCTCCCAAGCGAATTGGGTTGCGAGGGCGATCTTCAACAATGGGCTCGTTGGGTGGCATGTCTGATGACAACCCGTCACCCACACCGCCCAATGGCCTCAGCGGGAGGAACTCGACCTCTACCACCGCAGGTCGCAGTAGCTTCAGCAACCTGTTTAGCTTGGGAAGATTTCGTCAGAATGATCTGCACCCATCCAGACACGGCTCTCCTGCTCACGGATACACAGGGACTTCCGGCTCCTCCCACCAGAACTCGCTCAGCATCAGCAGAGAAACCCTGATCATGCCCGAGCGCGAAGAGGGCGAGACGCCCGGTCGCTATCTGGAGAGGATCGAAGCCAACAACGTAGACAAGAGTGTCGTTGCCAGCTACCTCTCAAAGACGGACGATCCGTTCCTTCTGTCAGTGTTGCGAAGCTACATGCGCAAGTTCGCCTTCTTTGGCGATCCCATCGACATGGCGATCCGCAAGCTGCTCATGCAGGTTGAGCTACCCAAGGAAACGCAACAGATCGACAGAGTGCTACAGGGTTTCGCCGACCGCTATCACGAATGCAACCCTGGCATCTACATAAACACGGGTATGCTCAAGCCTCCCATCATCCACGCTCATGTGCTAATGAATCGCAGACAAAGCGTACTTCATCTCGTTCTCCATCATCATCCTCCATACAGATTTCTTCAACAAGAACAACAAGCGCAAGATGCAAAGAAATGACTACATCAAGAACTCCTCGTGTGAGGGCGTGTCTGACGATGTCCTTGGGTGCATTTACGATAACATTATTTACACACCTTTCATCCACATCGAAGATGAAGTGGATCTTAAGAACATCTCGTCGAAGAAGAGCAGAAGAACAGCTGTGCTCAAGGGCCCGAACGATCCTGCCCGTAAAGTCAAGAAGGAGCCCATCGACCCCTACACCTTGATCTTTGAAGGCAAACTGGATGTTCTCCGGCCTACCATCAAGGACGTAATGAACCTGGACGACCCCTATAACTATCTTGGAACCGCTGCAACGCTCGATACTAAGAACATCTACAAGTCCTTCACAAGGTATGGTGTTATACAGATCGTCTCGTCACGGTCCAGACCAGAAGCCTTCATGTCGGAAGCCGCCCAAGAGAACCCGTTCGGGACGTCAGTTGGTATCGTCGAAATGCCTGTGACCAAGGTTGGCATACTGTGGAGAAAGGACCCGAAGCGCAAGAAGGCACGCTCTCCCTGGCAGGAGTGGGGTGCAGTCCTCACTCGTTCAGGCCTGTCGCTATTCCGCAACAGCAGTTGGGCTAAGAACCTGATGAGCCAGCACGAACAGCACGTCAAGCACGGCGAAGCCGGCCCTGCAGTCTTCTCGCCTGCTCTCCAAGAGTTCAAACAAGACCACATGATACCCATGGACGGTGCTGTTGCTTTGGTCGACAATACTTACAAGAGACACAAGAATGCCTTTTCAATATGCTCCAAGATTGGAGAGGAGACATTCCTGGCTGACAGCGAGCAAGACCTGAATGACTGGTTGGGTGTCCTCAACTACACTGCAGCTTTCGAAACCATGGGTGTTCGCTCGAGAGGCATGATCGGTGGACTGTACGAAGGTCAGAAGAATCGTGGCATCAGACGTCTGGATTCCTCGCAGTCTGGAAAGTCCATCCCTACGGCAACTGGCGACGTCATTGTCCAGAGCGGCAAAATTGACAACCAGTTCGCGCAACAGGTGGTGACGGCGAGGAGAGAAACGATGCAGTCCCGAATCTCTGAATCGGAAGACAAGCTAGCAGATGCGATCAAGGAGCTTGAGGCACGTCTTCGTGATGCTCGGCATCTTCAAATTCTGGCGCCCATTCAGCCGAAGACTCGAGAACTCGTGATTCATGCTGCTGGGCGTCTATCCGCGAGACTCAAGTGGTCGCGTATCGAGATTTGGCGCATGAAGTGTCACCGTGACATACTAGCACACGAGCTGGAAGATGAGAAGCAAAGTGCTACCGAGACACAAGCACGAAACGACCGGATCGCTGAATCTTCGCAAGCACAGCCAGCGCAAAACTCGCCTGCCTCTACCAGCAAGATCTCTAAGATCAGCGGGCTGGCTCGTCTGGCGTCAAAGACGAGTTCTTTGACTAGCAGTCACAAGCCGCCGCTCTCCCCTGAAGGGTCCACCGCGCGCCCAACCACGAAGTCTTCGGGCAACACCGAGATTGACGAAAGTGCTTTCAAGACGCCTCCCGAGATGTCGCGCCAGACAAGTCCCACATTTCCGTCTGGCTCTTACAGTGTGCCGCCAATCTCGTTCAGCCCACCTGCTTCAGACCGCCGCAGCTCGGTAGCCAGTTCTTCTGTGCAATCTCCTCGACTATATCCAGTTGACAAGCGCCCGTCTGTATCAACATTCGATGACGGTACAGTGGGCTCAGATGACGATTCAGATGATGATGTTAGATACGCCACACCGCCACTCATCGAAACTGACGCGATTCAGCCGAAGACGCCTGAGCCAGCTACAGACGGAGCCGTCGAGTCTGATGCTGAGCAGAGTCTTGCAGCTCATGCAGGCTCTCCTGCATCGCGCACGAAGCACCGGCGCAGCTTGCATCGCACGCTTCGAGAATCACATGGTAGCTCATCGCACCGTCGCAGCCACAAGGGTCGCGATTCGGCCTCGACTATCACTAGCGAAGGAGCCTCGGAGAGTGAAGGTCTGAACCGCAGTAAAGGCAGCTTCACCGTACACGGCAAGAAGGCGTCCGTCATTCAGTTCGGGTCTGACTGGCACAACACTACCGCGGAGGAGAGGCTGAAGGCCAAGAAGCAGCTTCAAGAGGCGCAAGAGCTAGCTTCGGCTGACGAGCGAGATGGCAGCGTCAGTGACGGTACCGTCGTCAGCCCTGGATCCGAAAGGAACGACGACACACCTCGTCGCAACCTGTCTTCAGAGCAGGTCAAGCAACGCCATGTCTCTTCCCAGACCATCACACCTGAGAACTTCCATCACTCCCTCGAGTATCAGGACCCGGACTCTGACGGCGGCTCTGAACTGAGCGATGTTGCAGAGGAGAGCACAAGCAAGGACGGGGTACCGATTGAAACGACACCCACTGAGACCGTCACGACCGAGCCCGCCGCGACTGAGCCTGGGTCTACCGAGACGTCATCAATGGACTACATCAAGCAATTGACAGACCACAACGAAGGCCTCACTGAAGCAAAGAACCCAGACGAAGTCGAACCCAAACCATAACAACACTGGGCACTAGAACATCATACTCGCAACATACCCCTTTCATTTGTGTTTTGCATATCTGGATCTTGAAAAGTGGATTCTCCAATTTTCCTTACGTTGCATAGCAAGCAAAAGCGAATCATTTCATTTACATACTCACTTTCATCGGCAATTGCGCATACAGCATGGCGCGGGTGGACACGGCTTGGATGATAGCACTTCACGGCAGGACGCTTTTCTCATTTCCTTGGGCACTCGCAGCATTGCAGTATGTATCTATAGACAGTGGCGTTCAGTCAGAATCGATGTGGGCAGGCTTGGATTGGAAGGTATGGGGCCGAGGTGGCGATGGAATGATACCACTCTCATGGGTTGGATGGACAGTGCGGTAGGAGAGGGTAGGGAGAGAATCGAAGCCCTGCAATTCAGAAGAAATCATCAGCAACCATGGTGAAGTGGTCAACGCGAACTGACTCGCACTGACTGAGCACAACAGTGTTGCACAGAGGCCGGATTACGAATCGTTGACGTCGAGTCAGCGGAAGAGCCGCTTCCGGGCTGGAACTAGCTCCCGTCGCGGCGGCTCCACCCCCACATTTTATGGATCCTTCATCTCTGCCATCCTCCAGCGCTCGCCGGCAAACGCCCGTAAGCCTCAACCTCTATGTCCATCAGTGAAGCTTACTGAAAGGGTGTCAACCATCCAAAAATGATGCGCCTCAGTGCTCCAATCGCCGTGTAAATCCAGATATGGAAGGAGTACGAAATGAGGTGAGAAGGAGCACAAAAGCAGCTTTCAAGCCACATGCAACAACCTCGGGGTAACCACAGGGAGGGAGGGGGGGGGGGGGAAGTCGCGTGTCACATCATGCCGATCTCAAAGTTTCTTGACGCGTGCCACTCGCATGTTAAGTGACACCACTTCGCATCCTTTATTTGCGCCCGTCTGTCCGAACTGAGCCAAGCTTTAAGTCGACTGTCTGTCCGTCCCTGTTGACCCACTGATTGGTATCGCTATAGCTTCTTGTGCACCTGCAGCGATCCCTTGTCTTTCTCTCTCTGCGAAAGTCAGTACTACTTACCGAAGGTAACCTCGCTTTGCTCGGTATGGGCGGCACAAAACCATGGTTAGAAGTCCCTGTGGGAAACAAGGACCACACAAGTGCGGCGGTCGTGATCATCGGGGCTGGTATATCTGGTAAGTATCAGTGAACTGCAAAAGCTCCGTAGCGGAACTGACCGTATACAGGCATGTGCATGGCCATTGATCTGATCAAGCGCAACAAGTGCCACAACTTCATCATCGTGGAGAAGTCTGCCAGTGTAGGCGGAACATGGCACGACAACAAGTACCCTGGTTGCTGCTGTGACGTTTGGAGTATGCTATACTCCTATTCGTTCGAGCAGAATCCAGACTGGACACGCGAGTATCCCGGCCAAGAAGAGATCCTTGTAGGTCGTCCTGTTCAAAGTACTTTCCCAAACCTGTCTAACGTGAGCCAGGAATATCTCCGCAATGTAGCGAACAAGTACCAACTCTACAAATACATCCGATTCAACACATCCGTTGAAGCTGCTACATGGGACGATAGCAAGTGCCGCTGGAAGGTCGACGTCAAGGTGATTGGAGGCAAGGACGCCGAGTTCAGCTCAGGTTATTCGATCGAGAGTGACTTTTTGATCTCGGCTGTCGGACAGCTCAACCAGCCGAGGTATCCAGACATCGAGGGACTGAACGACTTCAAGGGCAAGATCATACACAGTGCGAGATGGGATTGGAGCTACGACATGCAAGGCAAGAAGATCGGGGTCATTGGAAATGGTATGTCTCTCCTTCTGTTACGGTGCAAACGAATGATCTGCTAACCATACCACAGGAGCTACTGCCGCCCAAATCATCCCCGAAATCCTCCCCGTCTCCAAAAACCTCACCATCTACCAACGCTCACCCAATTGGGTCACCCCCCGTGAAGACGGCCCCGTCTCCGACTTGCGCCGTGCAATCTACCGCTGGCTCCCGCCCGTACGCTGGCGCGCACGCGCAGGTATGATGGACTTTCGCGAATCCTTGCACGAATCTGTGACAGACGGCGACTCAGCACTCGCAGACATGCTGCGCACGTTGTGTAAAGATATGATGCGGAAGCAGATTCCTGATCGCCCGGATATGTGGGAGAAGCTCACGCCGACGTATAACCTGGGATGTAAGAGGGTAATCGTCAGCGACGATTATTATCCTGCTGTTGCGCATCCGAAGACGACGCTTGAGACGAACAAGATCAAGCGCATCACCGAAACAGGCATCGAGCTTGAGAACGGTGAGCACCACGACCACGACATGATCGTTCTCGCCACCGGCTTCAGGACAGTCGAATTTCTCTTCCCCATCAAAGTCACCGGCACACACGGTCGCTCACTGGGAGATGTCTGGTCCGGCGGCGCCAGCGCCCTATACGGCACGACCGTCCCCTCGCTCCCCAACTTCGGCATGTTCTACGGTCCCAACACAAACCTAGGCCACAACAGCATCATTCTGATGATCGAAGCGCAGTCCCGGTACCTGAATACGCTCGTCTCCGCGGTCCTGGACGCCCGGAACCGCAACACTCGTATCGGCCTGATGCCCAAACAATCATGCACCGACTCCTTCAACGCCCGCATCCAGTCCGTCCTCCAGAAGAGTTCGTTTGCAGATCCGAACTGCGGCTCCTGGTACAAAAACAAAGACGGCAAGATCACGAACAACTGGTCTGGCACTGTCATCGAGTATCAGGACATGCTGAGTAAAGTCGACTGGGAGGACTTCGAGACTACAGACAGTCTTGGCGGGAAGAGGAGTGCGTCAAAGGTTGTTTTTGGCGATGGGAAGAAGGAAAGCAGGATTGGCCGCGTGCATGAAGAGACGTTTGTTAGTAATACGACGTTGGTGCTGGGCGCGGTTAGTGTGGTGCTCGCAGGGGCGGCGTGGTATGCGGGGGTGAGGAGGAGGGTGAGGTTTGGGCGGTGAGATTTGGATGGTGGAAGGGAGGGTGGTCGGATTCGTATGGCGTGTACTTTGTAGCGATCGATTTGCGCGCTGGACTATGCGATGTCCTTGCTTGGGAATCTCATCCTTGTTTAGTCAGATCCTGAGCAGCCTGCTTCCGCCACCGAAGCCGTAAGAGACCACTGTGCATGTATATTTATTCCATCTTTTGCGGATGTTTCGTGCATCAGATGAGCATGTGCAGTCACGAAGTCACGAAGCATCTGCTCACATGACTTCGTTCATGGCGCCATCACCTGTCAAGGGTTGTGGAAACGTTGTGTTCGTTCTTGCCTGAAATCACTTTGGTTGGTCAGCGAAGAAACAGACAGGCGCAATGTGCATATGCTACCATCTGAAGCACCTACTCTCAAGCTTGGCCAAAATCCATCTTCCCGTTCCTGAAACGCCTGAACACCATGCTGAGGGCTCTGAGCCCACTTCTCCCTTGGTTCTTCCTCCCTAACTGCTCGTGGTATCCTGTGCGGTTCGACGTGCAATCGCCCGTCTGTGCCCATCCCTCCCGTATCCTCTCGTCTATCCACCCAGCGGTCCGTCCCAGACTGCGCATGCCCTTTGCACCCCTTCTACCACATGTCCAATCCTCGTCACACCACGCTGCCCTCACTAGCCGTGCTAATGATTCCTAAAATTCTTCTTCTGGTAAAACAAATCCGTCCTGCTACTCCCCAGATTGATAATCTTCGGACACCCGTCCCTATCCTTCTCGAGCCGCGTGCACTCAAAGCAGTAGAAGGCGTCGCTGATGCCCTCGCCGCCGCACACAACGCACTTGTTCTGGTAGTTGCCGAACGAGCACTCGTCGCAGATGCGCGCCAGCGTGGTCGGGCGCACGTACGAGTCGCAGACGGGACATTTGCCGTCGCATTTGTCGCAGAGTCGGCCGATGGAGATGCCGGATTGTTTGCGGCACATTACGAGGTCGCTGGGTTGTGTTAGTATGGAGATAGATAGTGGCGGGTGAGGAACTTACGGATGGTGGCGGGACATGGTGGCTGGGTGTTCTCAGTAGCGCTTCCAGACTTCCCGACGAGGGTTCGCGGAGTATACGAGTGTTGGTTGCGGGTCGTGAAGTGGGCGAGTGTTGCGCGCGTGTTGTGGCTGTCGAGGTAAGTGGAGCAGGTCGACATGGAAAGTTGCGGACTCCCTAGCGCGCTTCCTTCTCGAACCCCTGCCCCGTGCGGGAAGCTTCGAGTCGCTGCCACCAGCGCGTTAGCAATCACGAAATCACGTCTCACGCCGTTCACCACCAATTCATCGCATTCCCGAGCACACACGAAGCCATGAGTGGCCCAGTCGCATCGGCAGTCGTGCTGCCAGAGCCGGACGAAGCACCGCCCCCGCTAGCCTCGCCGTCGACCACGCTCAAGAGACGGCAGTCATCCGTCACCGAGGACAGCGTGAAGCGGGCACGCACCAATGGCGATGATGCGGCAGATGAGAGCAAGCCAGCTGCACCGAAGCGGAGGGAAAGAGGGAGAGAGCGCAGATTGTTTGGCGCAGTACTCGGTGCATTGTCGCAGAACCCTACGACTGCAGGACAGAAGCGTCGGTCGGAGATTGAGAAGAGGCAGCAGGCCCAGCGGAGGCAGGAGGACGAGGAGAGCGAGCAGAGAAAGGCAGAGCGTTTGGCGAGGCGAAAGGTGCAGAGGTGGAAGGAGCAGAAGCGATGTGAACGACAAGCGGTGTGTACAAGTCGAGAGTGGTATATGTGGGATGGAAGGCTCACATAGCATTAGATGAAAGTGCGGCACGACAACATGCTGCATCTGGCCCACTTCCTGTACACCATGACGGAACCGCGACTCTACTACAAGCCCTGGGAGATGAGCCCGGAAGAGCAAGACCGTATTGACGACCAGATCGCTGAGGCACGAGAAATTATACGACGTGAACAAGACGAGTACAAAGACCGCCAAGAAGATGAAAGACGGAAAGAGCGACAGACGACGCCAGACGAGAGGGCGTGTCGTGGGACAGCTGCTTCACCAAGTGGTAAGAACCACGATGCGGACCTGGCCCAGTCACGCGCTGGGGGCGATGAAACCACAAACGGTGGAGCAGCGCACCCTCGAGATCAAGAGATGCAAGACCAGGACGCAGAAGAGAGCACAGACCAAGCAGCCGAACCACCACGACCGGAGGAACCTGCCATGGACGCTCGGTCACCCGAGCCTGAAGCCAATGCTGACGAGCCCAGCAAGGACGCCGACGAAGAGGTCGTAGAAGCCGCCGAAGACACAGTCATATACTAGATACCCTATGCATCACAACCGTCTTTCAGCGCTTCTGCAACCTCAACATAGGAACCAGTCTCGATATCTTCCAGTATACCCTTCTCTTTGATCTCCCACCCAAGCTCCTCCCTAGCCTTCCGGTTGCTAGCCCGATTCTCGACAGACAAAAAACTCGCAAGAAATTCGCCAACCTTGGGCACAGCTTCTCTGTATCTGAGCAACTTGCACGGTACATCGATAGCCTTGCAAATAGCTTCTGCGAGCTGACCCTGCGTGATGTTATTCTGCGCAGTCGCGTTGTCTGGCACATCAATCAGCGCGCCCACATATCAATTCCCCGGTTTGGATGTACTTACAAGCCTCGCCCGCTCCGCCCCTTTCGGCGACGAGCAAATACAACCTCACTGCATCATCAACATGCACCACCGTCGTATACTTCTCTCCTCCATCGACCTTCATCCCGCTCCCAGCCCGCTTCCACATCCCCATAAAAAGCCCCACACCGCTGCCGCCCCGCCCATACACGTACGGCGCCAACAGAATATGGCAGGCCCTCACCCCCATCCCAACGTATTTTTTGCTCCGCTCTTCGCGATTGTGATGCAGCCAATGCTCCTCCGGCCACTTGGAACTCGATTCATCCGTCTCCCTTCCCTCGTCCGCAGCAGCTATCAAACTTCCACTCGTCAGTACCAACGCCTTCCCAGTACCCCTCAAACCCTCCGCGAGCGCATCGTTTGCTGCGTCATTGATTCTGAATCTCTCCTCCTTCGAGATGGAGTAGTCGCCGGTGATGGAGTCCGCGATGGAGACCACAATGTCTGCTTTTGATGCTTGCGCTGTTAGGATGGCATGGGAGGATAGGGAGCCGCGAACGGGCGTTGCGCCGAGGGCGGAGAGCTTTGTATCGGAGGTGGGGGTGCGGGAGAGCGCGGTTACGGTGTAGGAGGAGGCGATGGCGTGGGCGATTAGGCACGAGCCGATGTAGCCGGAGCCGCCGGTTATGAACATGGATTTTGGCATGTTGGCAGGATGAAAATGCAGCACGGGTTTCAAGTTACGGGTGAACAGAGCAAGTACGTTCTTAAATGCTGAAATGCGTAGTAATGATCGTGCTGACTGTGTTCCCCGGTAAGATTTTGAGATGCTCCTTTATAGTCTTCTTGGCTGTTACACGACAAGCATGCACAACGAAGACGAGCGGTATTAGCGGAATTAGACGGCAGACGCCCTCTTCAGTTCAAATTGACGCCCACAATGCTGGGATCATGGCTTGTTGGCCTAGAGTAAGAAACGTAGACCATTGGACAGTCCGTCACTTCAAATCGTCATCGAAGCTCTTGCAGCTCACGTAGGTGAAATGCTCATCGCAGCAACGTTCGGCAATTGGTATGACCTGAAAGTCGCTGTGAGTTCCATCGAGGAGTCAGCTCTGTTGTCTGGCGATGGGAATTTTCATGGACAAAATCCAAGGTTGAAGATCAGACAGCAAGACATTGTTGCTCTGTAATGCACCTAAGCTGCATCGCAGCAAGAGCGTGTGACTGCTTATGAGATTGAAGATACTCATAAACATAGCGTTTCAGGCAGCAGCTTAGACACTGCTATCAAGAATGGTGATACTGTCAGGTCGTCAGTCCACATTCTCACTCTGCTAGCTGAGGTTCTCAGGTCGCTGATGATCGCCCCTCTTTCCCACACCTCGGCACCGAGGCCTCACTCGCGACTCTCCAACTCGAGCTTCAACGGGCATCACCCCATCGTGCATCACGACAACAACTGTACCAAAATCTTGAATCATTCTCAGACTTCGGAGATCATATCGATACAGCTCAGTTATTCCTAAAGTACCGCGCAACTGCGCCTACAGACGCAATGTCCGTCCAACCCATCCGCCCTACCGGCGATGAGCGCATTCAACACAAAACCGCCGTGTTGAACGGATACACATACCATTACTTATACGCCGTACCGAACTCGGGAAAGTGGACGAATACCGTGTTTCTGGTACGCCAACACCACCATGCTCCACAACTTCCTTTACACCATTCCTGATGCTCGAGACCAATGCTGTGAAGCGAGCATAGAGATGCAAAGTTTTGATCATTCGAGGGAACGGAAGCTGACATGGTCTTCCAGATCCACGGCTGGCCCGATCTATCACTAGGCTGGCGCTACCAGATCCCTCTCCTCGTAAACCTAGGCTTCAGAGTCGTAGCGCCCGATATGATGGGATATGGAGGAACAGTAAGCCCCCATCCCCCTCTCCCTTCTACCCCGAAACAATCACCGAAGACCTCAGGATGCACCCAGAGTCCCACCAAACCCCGTTAGTCTGTACGGGTTGAAGCGAGCATCTGATGACATCGCTGCACTAGCGAAAGAAGTCGGTGCGCCGAGGATCATTTTGGGTGGACATGATTGGTGAGTTCTAGCATGTTGTGTGTGTGTGTGTGAGAGAGAGAGAGTGAGAGAGAGGCTGACTATGTGAAGGGGCGGTTTTGTAGTCTGGCGCGCAGCGCAATGGTATCCGCAGCTAGTCTCTCACGTCTTCTCTGTGTGCAGTACGTCCCCCCTCCTCTCCCATCCTGTTCACCCCATCCTCCCTACTCACTAACCACCCAACAGCGCCCTACACCGCGCCGCACAAGGAATACCTCTCCACCGAACAGCTGGTCAAAGGCCCCTTGCCACAATTCGCCTACCAGCTACACCTCGCGTCAGGCGAGGTGGAGAAGAGTGTCAATGATGAGAGAAGTATCCGGCAGTTCTTGAAGGGGGTCTATGGTGCTAAAGGACCGAACAAGGAGTTGGTGTTTGATCCTGAGAAGGGCATCATCGCTGAGAACTTACCTAAGGTTGTGGAGAGTAGAATTTTGAATGGTGAGGTGAGTAAGAATTCAACACCGAGCGATGCGAACACGTGAAAGCTGCAAGCTCCAAGTCTAAGAGTAGCCCTGTACCTACGCAGTGCGCTACGAAACGTGGGTGTTGTGCTGACGATAATCCAGGTGCTTGAGTACTACGTCAAACAGTACTCACGACACGGCATCCACCCTACTCGTAAGCCTCACCCACCTAACTCACCACACCACAGACGAACTAACAAAGCAGTGAACTGGTACCGCCAGCGCCGCACAAACTGGGAAGAAGACCAAGCCCTTCTCGACAAAAAGACAATCCAGCAACCAGTCCTCTTCATCCAAGCAACATACGACTCAGTACTCAAGCCTGAGATGTCAAAGAGCATGGATGCGCTGATTCCTAAGTTGACCCGCGGAGAGGTCGCGGCTACACACTGGGCGTTGACGCAGAAGCCGGACGATGTGAATACTTTGATCCGCCAATGGCTGGAGAAGGAGGGATTGGTTAAGGCGAAGAGCGCGTTGTGAGAGCTTGGAAGGCTGCGGGGTGATAGTGGCGTCGTGTTGTGAGCGATGGTTGGACCGTCTGGGTAGATAACGATGGCGAGAATTCCCGTGAGCGGTCAAGATTAGCGAAATCAGATTTGGATCTCCATTGAGGGTGTGCCTACTTGCTAGTTTCTCTTGAAAAGATGGTGCTAGGCGTCTGTATTGTGGTTGTCAGTGATCCTTGATGCTAGGGAGAGCTGCGGGCATCGTCTGTGCAGGCTGCATCTTGCATATCCGGGCGTTGGTACACCTAAGACTGCTGCATACATTTGTGGTGAGTAAGGGCACCTATCGCTCCTCTATCGTCGTGACAGGGCTTAGGATACGCCGGATGCAGGTCCCTCGAAGCATGGCTGTACCGCTGCCTCGGAAGAAGTTATAACCAGTGACATGTACGTACTACATCGTGTGGCTCGCTGACGGCTGAAGGGAGATCTATTTGGCGCATTGGTGGAATCGATAGGTTTGTTGTGGATGGAGGCGGAAGTAGCTCTCCGATGCTCGATCCAGTACGGAAGGAGTACTAGGATGGGGTACCTTGTATTCCACAGACCGCCTCCGTATCGCAGGGGCATGGTCGCGAGCTCTGCTGTGCTGGCGCGATATGAGCTGGGAGAGAGAGTTTCGTTCGCCGCTGCAACGTAAATGGTGAATGAACGATGACCGGAGATTCAGGTCGGCATTTGAAGCGTGCAACTTTGCTGGTGTTCGTACCTGAGGGGCACCGTATTTTCGCGAACAGCCCCTGGAGAAACATCTTGTCGCTTACTTCTCTGAGTAAATCGTGCATTAGTCTGTTCACTTGCCGAGTCTGTCATGAAATTGGTCCCCAACACGGTGGTCAACTCGTAACGCTGATCGTAGAGGTACCTAGCGATTGTGATGCTGCATGGTGGATGCGTGAGAACGCTGGTCGTGCCTTATCGCTCACATAAATGTTGGCAATTATCTGATGATTTCTCGTACGCGAGTGTCGGCGCAACGAATATTCATTCGATGCAGCTGGTGACGTTGAAGTAAAGGTGGTGTTGCTGTGGACCCTGGTTCCAGTCGAACCAAACGGTACCCCGTTCTCGGAAGCGCAACTGTGTTCTGCCGTGCATCATGCACCTCGTCGGCTGGGCCTCACTTTATTGCTTTTGCCGTGCCGCTCTTACATTTGCATGACTGATGAATGTGTCAGATTGACAAAACCCAATCATAGATGCGGCTCGGGTAGAATACACACCTGAGATATGCTCGACTGTAAGGTAACACAGCATGATTCAGATGAAGCCTTTTGACCATCTAATCTGCATCATTGCCATGTTCTGACACGACAAAAGGTTGTGTGCTCGTCGATTGGCGGTGACAATGCATTCGATCACGTTGCAATGCATCATATTTCAGTGCGATTATCTTGCAGCCGGCACATGTTAATCATGAGTCGCTTCGCTCTTGTAACGGAATCACCCAGTAGCAGCTGCATTTGCAGGTACTGTTGTGTCATACTTTGGAAAGCTGATAAGCATGTGCTGTAGATGATGGTCCCGGGAGTCCGGTACGAATCGTGAACATACCGACAATTGGCTGATATTCGGCTGCAATGCTGTGATGCGTGCACAACCTTCAATCGAGATTGGACGAAAGGTACCAGCCTAGTACTGCCGGAAGGATCCGCTTAGGTACGTACTACGGGTATAAACGTGCTCTGCCGGGAATCCTGGCACGACCGAGTGTCAGGTGTGTATTCCTTGAGCAGTGGAGCTGTTATACAGGCAATATCGGTCTTTAGCTTCCCAATTAGAACCTTGGAAATCTCATCAGTTGTAACAAGTCGTTGGGTTCCTGACGAATATTGCGGATGGAATGGCGCAAGATTTGCCTATCGGTCATGGCAGTTGAGGCGATGGCGAGAGAAGACGTGCTACTTTTGAGGCGCTGAAATGCATAGCAGGCCATTGCTCTTGCATCTGTGCCCAGGAACAGTGTGGGTCCACTTGAAGATGACTGCCAGTCTTCTGCAGAACAAGTTTGACGCAGAGCCCACAGGATGAGTCTGCCTTATCGTCGTTCCACAGCGTTAATGCGGCCGCTGATAGAAGGCCTTTCTCGAATCACTTCCACTTCAGACATCATTCTATGACCACTAAGTGATATAAGGCGTGGCCGTTTTGCAAGCTCCGGAGCATCAACGCTGCTAGTCCGGTAGAACACGAGTCAAGATGTGTCCAGCCAATGACAGTCTGCTGCGGATATATCGCATAGGCTTCCGGTTCGTCAATATGGCGATCTAGCTCCATGTACATACACCGCGTATACAAGATAGAGAAGAGCGTCTCGACGTCGCCATAGCAGGTAGTCGCCGTGCGCATCATTATGCATGTGCATTGAGCCAGGTTGATCGGTCCGGCAAATGACGTGAATGCTTGGGATCTTTGCTCTTTCGATGGCTCCTATCTCGCCAATGCACTAGCTGTTGAACATAGCTGAATGAGAGATTGGTCCTGAAAACCATTAGTATAAATTCTCCCGTCGAGTATATCAGCCTCCACGCTCTCCCGTGGGGTAGTGCTCTATAGCTATCGCCTTCAACACTACTCACTGACTTACATTCCCACTTTTCCCGTAATGGCACCATCAGCATTGGCAGACATCTACCCAATCCCAACGAGACACTATTCAAAGTCCTCGAATGTAGTGGCAAGTGTCCTGCATGGACCACGGGATCTAAGGCTGGTAAGCGTGCCGTTCCGTTGCGCATCCCACGCTGCCCATTGTTCGTGGGGGTTTTGCATTGGAATCTGAGGCAGAACGCTAATTGAACGAATAGGAAACTCGATCACTTCCAGACCCCAGCTCTGGTGAGCTCCAGATTGCCATCAAAGCAACTGGCTTGTGTGGTAGCGATGTTTCGTACTACAACAAGTTCCGCAACGGTGACCTGCAGGCGGTCCAACCGTTAAGCCTGGGTCATGAATCGGCTGGTGTCGTAGTCTCTGTTGGGCCAGGTGTGCAGGGCTTCTCAGTTGGCGAGCGAGTAGCCTTGGAAGTCGGTGTGCCCTGCGACAACTGCCGGTCATGCCAGAGAGGGCGATACAATCTGTGTCCGTCGATGCGCTTCAGAAGCAGTGCTAAGTCCGTGCCTCACTTCCAAGGTACGCTCCAGGAACGCATAAACCACCCAGCGAAGTGGTGCCACAAGTATGTCTTGCATACCCGCACGGCTACGCACAGCCTCAGCTGACAACCTTATTCAGACTTCCTTCACATGTGTCTCTCGAATCAGCTGCACTGCTCGAGCCATTGTCTGTGGCTATCCATGCGACACGACGAGCTGCTCTCGAGCAGGGTGATACGGCCATCGTTTTCGGTGCGGGCACCGTAGGGTTGCTCACCGCTGCCATGGCAAAGATGTCTGGCGCAACGACTGTTGTAATCGTCGATGTCGACCATGGTCGGATTGAGTACGCGCTGTCAAACGGCTTCGCGCACAAAGGCTTTGTCGTTCCATCGCGCAAGAACGCGGGTGAACCTTCGGGTCAGTTTGACCCCGCAAAGGTGCTCGCCGAAGATGTCATGCAAGTTGCTTCGCTAGACGACGTCGACTTTGAAGGTGCGGACGTAACATTCGATTGTACTGGAAAAGAAATTTGCATGCAAGCTGGACTCTTTGTAAGTTCTTCCCCTGCCTTCTGTTGGTCAGCATCTAACACAAGATAAGGCAACAAGACCTGGTGGCAAGCTCATCATGGTTGGAATGGGCACTCCTGTCCAGACTCTCCCAATGTCTGCATCTCACCTGAAAGAAGTCGATATCATTGGCATTTTCCGGTATGCGAACACATACGCGACTGGAATCAAGATCATCTCCTCAGGTGTTTTACCGAGCCTTGACAACATGATCACCCACCGCTTCAAAGGCCTAGCTGCGGTAAAGGAAGCCTTCGATCTTGCTGGAAAGACGACCGATAAAGATGGGAACCTTGTACTGAAGGTCCTTGTTGAGGCATAATTCGCTTCTCTGTTTATCAACAGTTTACTCCAATCGATTGCTTGGGTCCGGCGTTTCGGTGGAATTGGGTTCAGGAGCATTGAGATACCATTCGTTTGCATGCGTACATAGAACAGCAGTAATGCACCAGAAGGTGTGAAAAACCGAGATTGACGAAGTCTTTGAACGGTGTAGTAGCAGTTGTTCTTCTATATTTCTTCAGAACGTTTGCGACTACGAGCATGGTGGATCAGCACCTATTGATGATGATGATGAAGGACGTGTCGAGCGAGAACGTCGTCAGCTCCTTTCACGCATGATCACGTGGACGCTAACACTGGGTGGGGCAAGGGCCTCTGTCGGCGAGTCGGAGCTACAGCTCCAGGCAAGCTCCCCGCGGTTGCCTCTAACGCCGTCCACCACCGCAACCACAGCTTCCAAACAATCGCTCTCCTACGGTACTCACCGCCCAAACCACCACTCATCATTCAACTACCACGACCGGAAACATGGCGGATAACACAGAAAACCCCCTACTCTCGACTTCACGTGCATCAGACACAAGTCCCATCGTTCAATTACATCCACTCGTACTTCTCACAATAACAGACTGTATCTCACGACACACATTACGACAACAGCCAGGACCAGTGGTTGGAGCCATCCTCGGCGCCCAAAATGGTCAAGAAGTCACAATGGAGGTAGCTTTCCAAGCAAAGCTAAACTCAAGTGCTAATGGAGAGGTAACGCTCGATGACGGTTGGTTTAGCAAGCGGTTGGAAGACTGTAAGTTGACATGTTCAGACAAAACGCCGGTATGAGACTATACTGACACTCATCTCAGTCAAAGAAGTACACAAACAGCCTCAACTAGACCTTGTCGGCTGGTTCACGCTTGGCCCAGCTTCTGGACCAGGTCCCCACATTCTCCCGATCCACTCGCGCATAACAGAGTTATACAACGAGTCGCCTATTCTCTTGCTGTTTCATCCAGAGAGCGCCTACACAGAAGCCACAGCCGCCGGCAAGCTGCCACTCACTCTTTACGAGTCACTTTCTGAGAATGCACCCAACGACCCCAATGACAAGGCGATGGACATCGATGGCGCAGCCCAGGCAAAGGCTATCAAGTTCAGGGAGCTGGTGTACTCGGTAGAGACTGGCGAGGCTGAGATGATCAGCGTGGACTTCGTTGCTCGCGGAGGAGGCAACGCCACCGCTGTGGAGGGTTCTGTAGAGGCATCTGCTCCTACAGCGGAGACTTCGAAGACCAACGAGAGCGCAGGCAAGAAGGGCAAGGGAAAACAAAAGGAGAAGGACAGCGAGAAGGATGCGCCCATCGACGAGGCAGCAGTGCTGGACGCAGACGACGAAGAGAGTACGTCAAACAGCGCCTGAACGACTGATGCAACATCTACTAACACTCTGCAGTTCTCTCGTCACTGATCGCAAAGATGAACGCTGTCCGCATGCTCAGTCGTCGTGTCGCGCTTCTCCGCGCCTACCTCGACGCACTACCACCATCGTACCTCTCAGATCCATCTCTCCCACTGAGCGCGGCTCCAGACGCCCAACATCCGCTACCACTAGACCATACTATCCTCCGCAGCATCTCAGCCACACTTGCGCGCATCAATATCCTCGCTCCACCAGACTCTAAGGCGTTCACACTCGAATCACAGCAAGAAGCATCAGATGTTCAGCTTGTGAACCTCCTAGCGTCTATTACCAACTCCGTATCCTCAGCCAAGGAACTTGGCCGCAAGAGTCAAATCGTCGAGAACGCCAAGAGCCAGGGCAAGAGTCGTATGGGCAACATCATGAGTGGCTACGGTGGACCACCTGAGGGCAACTTTTTCGATATCGGCGGTGGCGCCGGTGGCATGAGAGCGGGTGGTGAAAGGTGGTCATAAGCACTCCACCCTCCTCGTGCCACCACACGACCGTTTGATTTTGAAAAGATGGCTAACAAGACCAAAGCGTTGCTCCTAGCATCGCACCCAGCATGGACCCGAGCATTGCGCCAAGCATTGCAAAACCGAGCATTAGAAGGAAGATGACAGCATGGGTGGAACGCGCACGATCTCGACTTTCGCACATGAAGACCCAACTGAAGGCCTCCCCGGTACAGGCAGCCAAGACGATCAAGCAGCGGTTTAGTGGCTTGAATCTCAATGGATCCGACGACGGAGAGCAACGGTCAACGTCGAACGCTTCAGCTGTAGGGTGCCTACTTAAGGGCACGATTGCTCCCGACAACAGCGTGGATACCGAGGTGACGCTGGTCAGCGATGGTAGCACAAGTGTCAGTTCCTCAGTGTGGTCGACGACCGGTCATGCATGATGGTCACCATTAGCATAGCATTAGAATACAATGAGTATCACGACAATGATTTACGATATTCCTAATTTGGTTCTCACAATCCGAGCGAATTGGAGTGATTTGAAGACCTCCAGCCTTTCGTCAACTCAGTCTAGGCTTCCCAAAGGTGTAATTATTTATTTCACATTTCTGCATGGTCAGAGTACGTATTCTGAGGACCTCCAGCCCTCGGCCACCTCGTCCAGAGCTTTGTCAGAATCGTGGATTTTATCGTCATAGTTTTGCGCGATCAGAGTGGTCTGAAGACCTCCAACCTTCAGTCACCTCAAGCAGCCACCTCGAAAGGCGTGAAGATTGGGATATCCTTATACAATATAAGGACCAAGCAGTACCCAAGTCACTACCTCCACTACCCGTTCTTCGCATCTACATCTTGTGGTATCTGCGGATCCTGCACAAAGCACCCATTCAGTCCTTCAACATCCTCAATCTCGCATCTCGAGAGCAAGAGCAGATTCTTGTTGAACTTGACTCTATCAGTGTCTCTGGTTTTGCTGATGTGTCGACGCCACTTATCGTACAAAGTACGTGTTGAGTTGGGCGCTGGTGTGTCTGGGGACCGTGAAGATTGATCGGGGGACTGAGCGGTGAGTGCTGTCGTGTGTTGAGATTGGAGATGGCGAAAGCGGTTGTGGGTCTGGGTCGAGATGAAGTGGGAGTTGCGGCAGTTTGGGAGTCGTAAGATCCGTCTGTCATCAAGCGTGGAGGCGTTTGAGGCGGTGTAAGCAGGCCTGTGTGAGGGGTGTCTGAGTCGCTCGATGGATCTGAGATGTAAAGTTCGTTCAAGCCGTTGAATAAGTCGTCGCTTAGAGTCGGTGGATCGTACTGCAGCCGCTGTTTGCATGGGTCTTCGTTATTCACAACTCTCCAGAACTCATCTATGACCATCGCAATACGCTCTTCCAACAATTGCTTCTCCTTTGTGGATCTCTCAGTATGAGCAGTTGGGGATGCAAATCCTGTTTGTACTTCAAGATCTTGTCCTGGATCGTAGTGTTTTGGATTCAGACTTATGGTTTTCGAATTCCAGTCCTCCGCATCCTTATTCCATGTTTTCGAAGTCAGAATAGATTCCTCCAGGCTGCCCGCCCACATAGTATCCACCTCGTTGGCATCAAAGCCGACCTCCCCACCAGCTTGTTCGAACTCTTCAGGCGAAAGGTGGTTCAGCATCCAGCAGGGATCGACTTCTTCAAGCGGGTGAGTGTAGTTGACATCTACCGGGTGAAGTGGATCAGTACTGGCAATGTAATCCCAATCGTACTCGTGATCTGGATGATTGGGATCAATGACCTCTGGAGGTTCTCGTATATCGCTAGGCAACACTTCTTGGCGGAGCGGCGATGGTGCCTTTCTGAAGTGCCCTAGGCTGGCACGTACGCTGCGTTCCTTATGAAAATGTGGAAAGACAGCTCGAGTGTTCCACGATGCTGTGTTAAAGTCATCTTCCAGCTGTTCGACCAGAGCAGCCACTTCCTGCATACCTGGCATTTCTTTCTCCCTCAGCTTACCTCGGAACGTCTTTGCCCACTCAAGCTTTCGATTCCACCCCTTCTCGAACGTCTCGTGCTGACAAGGTCCACAGTCGATAGAAAAAACAATGTTGAGGTACGACTCAGACTTGCAAGCAGCTGTCAACCCGCCTCGCACCTTCCTGTGCTTTGTGCCTCCACACTGCGATATCCTCAACTGAAACCCATGCTGGCAGGAGAACCAATACTCCATGATCTTGCACATGGCGAAGGACTGTAGTGGCGCTAAAGCTCTTCGACGAGGGATTAAGGCAGATCGGATGATGGGAACTCATAGATATTGTAAGTCATGCCTTGCGTGATAGGCTGACTCCAATCGCGGTCGTTGTTGATAGCGTCGTTCAATGTCCAGATGAGTGACGATAGCAATGAGCGTCGTAACGGTACTAGAAATGTGAGCGAGCGTGTTGTTCGACGTCTGGGTGCTTGAGATGCGCTGCGCTGCGTTAGCTAGAAGTACGCTGTAGTTGCAAGAGCGGTGGCAGACCAGAAGGCGCCTCAAGGCAGCGGGTGAGGTCGCAGTCAGGTGTCAGCGACCGCAGCCGTTTGTAGCAGCCATGATTGTGCTGGTCGTCGAGGTGACGGCGAGAAACAGTAAGTGAACGTAGAGACTGAGCTGACAGGACGTTAGTAAAAGCATTAATGAGGATTTTTTTGAAGCATACATACGTAGCCATGGCAAGACTCTCAGGAAACACTGCAGGTGCAAGTAGATGGGTGCCTCGAGACTGCCGTCACGAGCATTCACCTTCACCACATCCTCGACATCACCAAACGGTTCGTCTGGGTACGTGCATACACGACACGTCAATCCTTTTCATCGCATACAACGCTCACCACATGTGGCCGTTAACAGCAATTGTAGCCGGGCTGTAGCCGCCGAGTCTATCGATTCAACACCTAAGTGTGGATACCCAGAACCTTGTCTCTTCCCTGCATGAGCCTGAAACGTCCAACGGCCCAACGGCAGCGATGGGCATCGCTGGGCCATGCGAAGCTTGTGCATAGTGAAGCTTACATGTTATCACGGACCAGCCCGTGGCACTCAAGTTTCTTATGACATAGTGCAAGAACATGGCAGCTAAGAGCAAGGATGGACAGAGTTGAAACATGCATTGTTGCTTTAAACGCCGGGATTCGCATCTTCATGATTCAGAGGAAAGTAAACAATATGTTGTGAAGATGTTTGGAAATGCCAGATTTGCCTGCTACCATGTAATGTACAGCTCATAGCGCATTACGCATTACTTCGTGAAAAGACTAGTAGTAAGAGTGTAATGCGAGTATGCAAGAGGGGAAGCCGAACTAATAGGACCGGCCGTGTCTGCGTATCCAACGCCATGCCAAACCAAACGAAAAGATATACGGGAACCAGAAATACCCAATGCCCTATACCCTCTCTCGCCCTCGAATCGATGAGACGTACTGGGAGGGCGCCGCACGCGACGCAATGGTCCATGCCTGGGTCGTCGAGCCCCAGAATACGAAAGCACAAGGTCTAATAGCGCACCACAGGCACATGAGCACCGCCCTCCTGCACAAGAACTCCCTCCTTGACACCTTCTTTCTCGATCTTGTGCATCCAATCCTCCTTCTTCTCTTTCTTGAGCATCCACCCGCTGAACACCTTTTTCAGCCTGCTCTGCTGCTGATTCTTCTGCAACTTGACTGCGCTGGGAAATGCATGGTGATCTGGTGTGTCCATGCTGATCTTCCGTGAGAAGTTGTTCTGATCCATACTCATCTTTCCGGGGGAAGAGTTGTCGGTGCTCTGGTGGCGGACGTGGCCGTTGCGGGGAGCGAGATTGCCGGTTGAAGACCAGCCAGTCATTACTTGCGAGATTTCGCCTTGGTCCGGTCGGGGCGAGTTCTTCTTCGAATCGACTTTTTGCTTGTTGTACATAGGTGATCGATGGCTGTGCGATGGGCTCTGAGGGTAGGCTTGTGCGTATTGCACGGCTAGAGTATCGGAGCCACTTCTCCTGTGGTTGCTCCGTGTCGGTGAGAAAGGACCTTGTTGTTTGTCGTGCGCGCGCATGACACTGGCAATGTGTGAGCTCGACAGTTCCGGTTGCGGCTTGACTTCATCCTTCCAGGAGTCGAGGCTGGGAAGGGGCGGTAGCTCTCGGTTGAGGTTGACTTCGGACTTCTTAGGCTGCTCTGCTTCAGCGTCGCGGCCCCTCGTTCCTGGCCTACTATTGCTTCTCGAGTTGACCCTCAGTGCCGAGCCCCAGCTTCGCCAGCCACGCTGAGAGCCATTTCGCCTCGGCTCGCCATCGTCATCATACAAAGCCAAAGACTCCCTAGACTGGGTACGACTCAGTGCTCGAGATGGAGCACGAGATATGGATGTGCTGCCTGGGAAGATGTACTCTTTGATGTTCTCCTTGATACTACGAGCACGGCTCGGTGGTCGGTTGGTGGTGGGGGGAGGTTGCTGAGGGGAGTCGTTCTGTTGCCTCCTCTTCTCGAGCTCCTTGCGCATCCACTCAGCGGCCTGAGCATCTGCGATCGCTGCTGGCTCGAGTTGGCGAGAATGACGGTTAGATGTCCCGCTTGACGTGAGTGCCGCAGACGAAGGTGCAGTCGATGCATGGTTGAAGTAGGCATCGGTGGTAGAGCCGGTCATGGGTGTAGCCAGACTATCAGCATCACCAGATTCTGTCCTGGTGCGCTGGGAACGACCTCTCTGCACTGTTTCCGCAGACGGAGGCTTAGCAGTGACGTACTTCTTGGTCGCCGACCGCCCTCTCTCATCGGCAAACGCATCGTCGAACCGTTGCCGAGCAGACCTTGTGCGGACGGGTAACGTGCTCTGCGGGTTCTTCTTTACCTCCGCCTCAGCTCTCAATCTCCTGGCTTCGAGGGCAGTCTTCAGGTCGACCGGCGCTCCTGTAGGCATCCTAACCCTAACCTCGTTCGCACCTAGGACAGCGTTCTGCTGCTCTCCTCTGCGCCTGTTCATGGCACCGAAGTCCAGACGAGGGTCGGTGTCTTCCATGCCATGGTCGGATGGCTTGAAGTTTTGCAGGATGAGACGACATGCCACACGCAGCTCTCGCTCTGTTTGTGCATCGAGAGATTGACGGCTAATGTGGGCTGCGAGGTGAGGAAAATCGTCCTTCAAGTGGTGTCTCCTGTGTGACTGGGACTCTCTCTGCGGCTGTGATTGCGCGGGCGTGGGCTCTGGTGTTTTCTCCTTGGCAGCGTCCATTTTGCTGGGAATCTTCTGCGCTAGCATTAGAGGTACAAGATTGTGGTAGACATCGATCAAGTGCTTACAACGGGCGCCAAGTTGAAAGAGAACTTTCGCTTCATGGTGGTGGGTGGTGATAATTAGGGATACGGCGCACAATTGCTTGTATACTTGCGCAATCCGGATGGTGCGGCTGTTATCAGTAGCACGGCGACGACGGCTGCGACGGGGGGAACGTGAGGCGCGCGTGCGTGTTGTCCGCATTCGTGTCCGTATATCTCCACCGACTTGGGGCGATCCCAATGATTACAACACGACAGTAAGAATGCGCGGGCCTCCAGAAGACCAGGAATGGTGTCGCAGCGATGACGGTGAACGGGCAACACGAGACAGGAGGGCGCCGCAGTGGATATATCTCCTGTCGTCCCCTCCCGCCAGGAGGTGGTTTGAGTTTCAAATGTATGCTAGCAGATGGCAGGAAACAGGGCCTCGACTTGATCGGAGCCGGGTTGGACTGTTTTAACCGCAGGCCCACACCGCGCCCCAGCCAACTGAGGCCCTTTCACCAGCCTTAACCTTAACGCTTGAGAACACGGCAGCCACCACTCTCCCCGTCTTGCAATCACAGCGAGGATCCCATCGTGCCTGCTGCGCTACCGTCTTGCTTGAACGCATTCCCAGCTTGCCTTGCGAAACCGTCCAGCAGGCCAGCCTGGAAAAGGTGACTATTGAAACTGTCGGTGTCCGGGTCCCCACGAATCGCGTATTGACTTCGCCCACCTCATCTCTCGATGCGTGTCGATGCCGCGTCGAGATGCCCTCCCAGCGCCTCCACACAGGTCTCGCTCTGCCGCAGTAGCCAGCCTTGGCCTGCATACGGCTGCAGCAACTTGCAGCTGCACTCCATCCAGCTACGCCCACCCGCGAAAGGCGCCGACGCATGCTCCAAAGCGCTCTTTACCGGCCGTCAAGATCGGAGAGAGCCTTTTGCGGGGTGCTAGTTTCACTCTGTCCTTTTACCGACTATCGTGACTCGCCCGTAGCCGTACCGCTATCTATTGAATAGTAGCACGGAAAAGTTAAGCGCCGTAATGACCCGCGGCTTCATCTTTGACACACTGCCGAGCTGTGTATCGAACTGCCTCAAAAGTTCCGCTCATGGTGCCATGGCGCATGCCGTGCCACTGATCACGCCGGGGCCTTGAAACGTCTCTGCAAACGGTCGCTTGCTTATCTCCTTCAGTCACTTCCTTCGTCATTTCGATATCGATTTCCTCCGTTGTGCATGTTCAATATTGGCGCCTGTATACTAATCCCAGAACAGCTAGGATTCCCTTGTGAAATCAGGTACATTCCTTGTCAGGTGCACAAACACATCCTTCGTGACGACGCCGACAACAATGAGCCTAGCTTATCTTCGGGCATGAGCCTTTCAGCCACTTCGTGCGCCGCAGCTCGGAAGATACATTTTTGGCCTGTTGATTTGGAGGATAGCGTCGTGTCACAGCAGACGGAAGCAAAGGTCGGTGACCGAGCCACAGCACCGGCCATTGTCTAGACTCAAAGAATCACTCTGCCTGTGGTCGCCTGAGGCGCAACCAACAGGCCCAACAGGCCCAACAATGCAAGGAGATTGCCTGTTGGCGCAGTCCAGCAACAACAGTCCTTGATAATTCACAAGAGCACGGCGAATAGGGGTACAATTGGAAGATGTGCACTTTAGTCAAAGGCATAATCTACATTGTAATCTGCGCCCTACAGATATGCCCATGGGAATGGCCGTGTTTTGAATCGGAGGTCTCTTTGTCCACACCTAGACATATCTTTCCGATGGCCTTTGGACAACCAATCTGATGGCCGCGACTCTCACCGTGATCCAAATCAAGGGAAAATCCAAACACCCGTTCCTGCTCCGAACAAAGGTAGCGCTACCTTGACCCGACAACCCTTCCCTCTCCAATCCAAAACACAAGGAGAACCATCAAATACAAATGCAGACACCCATACACGCCAAGAATATTTACTTTTATATCTCGTCCCCGGTCCTTCAGCAGTCGCTCCGTCTCCTCCTTGAACTCATCAACCTCACGGCGGAGGTCATCTATCTTGATGCTCAAGCCTCCGATCGCTCGCGCCAGATCTTGCAGCTCTCTGTGCGTTTCCCATAGTTCGCGATCCACGATATCAGGCTGGTAGCACCCCACTGTGGGTTGGGGTATAGCATTCGTTGCTGGTTGACAATAGAGGATGACCGCTTTGGTAGTCGCTACTTGTACAGCCAAGTCTGCTGGTTTCGCAGCGGTAGTGCCTACAGGTAGCCTACCCTCGATAGGCATGGTCGTGTATAGTGTTAGAAAGAGTCGATGTGACTAGTGGTAGGTCGTTGTACGACAGGCAGTACGAGGGTTGGTTGACGTAGTCCACTTAGCGCGTATCTGGTGTAGAACATGACAGGGGTGAGGATGATAGTCGATGGACTGGAAAATTTCAAAGGATTTCGGAGGTCATCTGGAAGCCGCCTAAATCCGTGGTACATTGGGTCAGTGTTGGATCCATGATTCGTTGTGAGTTGGGCGAACCACATTTCACGGAAAATTGTCAGAGGTATGGACGACAGTTCGACAACCCCAAAGGTACGCCATGGACTTCACGCAAAGAGAACAATAATAGTATGTGCTTGTTCGTACCACAAAGTACGACATAGTGACACCTTGGGCTATGCATTGCATCTTGAATCAGCTGAGAATACGTCGATGAACCAAAAATACTAAGGCAACGATATCTTAACGACCTTCACCCCAGTGCTTCATCCCCTCAGGCCTGCGCAGCTCCAGCTCCTTGCCCTCGTAACCGTAGTCCTCCTTGCCACCGTGGAAAAGTGCGCATAGTGACTGGTAGAAACTTGATCCATGTGCGGCAGCCTTGGGGAGCATCTGAGGAGCCTCCATCGACCCAGGTGCAACATCGCCCTCAGCGTCGATCTCTTCCTCGTCCGCGTTCGACAGAGATTCAAGCAGGGCGGAGAGCCTGGAGTGGAAGCGGGTCATGAAGGGTTCGACTTCGTCCGAGTCGATGATTGGTGCTGAGAGGCGCTCGGCGATGTCGAACTGGGGATTGTTAGACTGTGACCTCATCATATCTTGCGTTCATGAACATACCTCACGCAGACCCTCAAGTCGGAACTGCTCAGCGCGCTTCTGAAGTTGGGGAGCCGAAGGAGTGATTGGCATGGCGGAGACGAAAGCCAGCAGGGCCATGACGGCCATCAAGATGAAGGAGCGCATTGTGATGATGTGATAAGATGTTCTTGGACGTTGAAACAAGTGTTTGATGTATATGGCGATCCGATTGAGTAGCAGGCGTAAATGCTAATTCCAGAAAAGCGAAGTAGGGTAAAGAGAGAATAAGAACGAAAGGCACGCAGTCAACAGACGCGGGGTTATTATCACTACAGTCCAGGTAGGAGGGGTCGGAAGTCAATTCGCCTGAAGAGACAGCATCATGGTTCGCCCACCTTCTATATATCTGTTTCTGACTCGCGCCCTTGTATAAATCCGAAACAACGGCCGGCTATCAGAACAGGAATGATCAGCTGTAAGGGGAAACATCTTCCCACGTTCGCGCCATCTTGGCCCGACTCTTTGGGCGCAAGAGCAATGCTCGCTAGGCTGAATGGTAGAAGAGGTGCAGAATTCCTTATATTGCGCCTGAACAACGGTTGGCGTAGAATGCTTGTTTGCCGAGGGCATGTGAGAGCACGTCGCAAAACGCATTAAGAGATGATCAAAAGACGTTGACATGCAAGGGCGCGCTGCAACCTCGTGAGAATTCACTGGCCAGACTTCGTCCCTGTCAGACTACGGATAAGCTCGTGGTGTGCTGCCAGGTTACACATCGTGAAGTGACGGACGAGAGGCTTCATGCGCAGTGGTGTGTACTCGTGTTCCGGTTGTGTCCTTCCCGATGGAGCATGAACAGGTGTGGAAAAAAGCGTTGGCCAACCGTTTAAGATGAAACATGTCGCAGATTGATGACGAATCCTTCGAGAAGGAAGCGAGCCGCCGTCAGAAATCGAGCACGATCTATGAAAGGTGGCAGCTGTCTGCAACGGCGTGGGCAACATCGCGGACATTCTCGCTAGCTGCAGAAAGGTGTTGAGGTCATCCCTCGCTTGGTGTGGGGTGCAGGTTGAGTGGAGTGGAAGGTGGTTCCTTGAGAATACCGAAAGTGATCTAGCCAGGAACGGCCTGGCTCAATCGCTTCGCAAACGCGGTCCAACCTGTGTCGTCATCCCGTTGCATTTGCACTTCAGCTTCGATTTCGTCTTTTGGTCATTTCTGCTGTACATACCATTTCATTGATTTTGGTGCATTCAAACCATGCTTTACCGGTCACATTGTTACCTTCGAAGGCTGAGGACTCGATTTTTGGACACGTCCTGACACCGCCCTTGCTTGGTCTTATCGGACCACTACGGTAACATTGCTAGCCATGAATGATAGTGAACACGCTCAGACAATGGACGCTGGACCCCTTTCGCCGACGTCTACGATTTCGAACCTTGGACTCGATCTGAGCGGCATACCACCAATTGCCATATTATCGGCTCATCTGAAGCTCGATGAAGAGAGGCATCTGAAAGAGACGCTACACCGGTTAGAGGCGCCATTTACAACCGATGTCTCAAGAGCCAAGATATTCATTGGAAAGGTGGCAACTAAGAGAAGGGCAGAGTTTGAACTTCGGTCTCGGAAGCTGACAGTCGAAGAGAAAATCGCACCAAAACGGCCTGCTAGTCCGGTCAAGACTGGGGGTCACGCGAGCAAAAGGCGAAGGGTATCTGGAGGGTCAATCAAGCTAGACGGAGCGAATGACGATGGCTCTGCTACCAAGGATGAGGCTGTTGATGATTCCTTACTCGAAGGCGAGGTGCCGGCTGGACAGCTCGACGTCTCTGAACTTGACTCGACACCTGCACAAGTCTTGTCTCTATTCGAGAACCCTACGGACGAAGACATTATTTGGGTAATACGATTAGACTGGCTAGAAGAGTGTGTACAGGCTGGTCACCTACTACCCCTAAATGACAAGCTCGTGTTCACCGGTCGAGTGCGCGATCGTCCCAAGTCGGCAAATGAGAGACCTAGGATACCACTTTCCTCGAACAAGCCAAGAGCTGCTCCCGCACCTCAAACCCTTGTGACGACTCGTCCACAAGATGAGGGCGATATGTTGGAGAGAGCAAAGGCGGATGTAGCTACCAACCCACCAAAATCACACTACCAACCTCATCGATCCGGGCCCAGCCATGGCTCTCGCAGATTCGAGGGAAAAAGTTACGCGCCTACTATGCAGCCAAACAAACCTACATTCGCCTCAGCGACTGCGCGTTTGCTACAACAGACCACAAGTGAGTACGAGGGTGAGGATAGCGACATACCTCATCCACCGGAATGGGTCGTGAAAGGTGTCAAATATGCATGCCAACGCTTCACACCTGCGAACGGCCCCAATGACGACCTTCTTGACCAGCTGAAGAAGATACGAACGGCAAGAACACTCATCGATGACGAGATTGGTGTCCGTGCATACTCGACAATCATCGCCTCTATCGCAGCATACCCATATAAACTCATCCATCCTCGCGAAATCGCGCAACTCCCAGGATGTGATGAGAAGACCGTTGTCTTGTTCGTGGAGTGGAGAAATACAGGCAAGATTCAAGCTGTAGAAGACTACGAGAACGACGAAGCGATGAAAGTCCTACGCTCGTTCTACGACATCTGGGGCGTTGGTGCGAAGACTGCTCGCCATTTCTATTACAATAACAACTGGAACGAGCTGGATGACATTATCGAATTCGGATGGAATGATCTGGATCGTGTACAGCAGATTGGCGTCAAGTACTATGATGAGTTCTTGGATCCAATTCCTCGAGCTGAGGTGGAGCAGATCGCGGAAGTTGTCCGCAAGCATGCGGTCAAGCTACGAGACGACCGCATCACAGTAACTATTGTTGGTGGTTATCGGCGCGGCAAACAGGCTTCCGGTGATGTAGACATGATCGTCTCGCACCCCGACCTCGAGGCTACGGCCGGCCTAGTAAGAGACATTGTCGAGTCTCTGGAAACCGATGAATGGATCACACACACATTGACAATGAGCCTGACCAACACCCACAGAGGCCAGCACGCTCTTCCCTTCCGCTCTACAAAAGGACACGGCGTCGGCTTCGACACGCTCGACAAAGCCCTCGTAGTATGGCAGAACCCTGCCTGGCGAACTCGCGAGCAGGACCTGGAGGCCAACCCGAAAGCCAAGAACCCGAACGTACACCGCAGAGTAGACATAATCATCGCCCCATGGCGGACCGTGGGCTGCGCAGTTATGGGCTGGAGCGGCGGCACCACGTTCCAGCGAGACCTCAGGCGGTACGCAAAGGCGGTCAAGGGCTGGAAGTTCGATAGCAGCGGTATCCGCAGTCGCAGTAATGGCGAAGCGATATTGCTTGAGGGTGAGAATGGTGTTGACGGGACGCCAGAAGATGCTGAAAAGAAGGTTTTCGAAGGTCTGGGTTTGGAGTTTGTTCCGCCTGAGTACAGGGTCACATACTGAACGGCAGTCATTTGGCGTTGAAGGGCGACCGCCAACGAGGCGCAAACGGCGCTTGCAACAATCCGGCGTTTGCGTTCTCGAGTCTCGACATTTACGTCGGTCTCCCTGGGTGCCCTCCCTCACTTTTTGCTTGAAGCTTGGGGAGAACGTCGGACGCCGCGCGGATCAAACATCATGGCCAACCCACCATCAAGCCAACTGCCTCGCTATCTCCAGCTCACTATCTCCGCAACCAATCTACCTTTCCTCGCTATCGCGTATCTCTGGACACTGGTCCTATGCGCTACACGATCTGTCTGGCATCTACTATGTCACACATGCAGGGAGAACTGGGTCTTCCTCTGCATCTTCTACCTGCATCTATGGCAGACATTCAAGGACTTACCACCAATCCGGCCAGTTGCACGTCACTGGAGGGGCATTGTAGCCACGCTCCTCTTTGCTGGATGTGCAGCACCCGCTGGTCTTATACTTCACGCGAGTATTCTGCTCTTCCGACTTGACTGGGAGAATTGGAAGGATGAGAGAAGGACGGAGATCGTGCAGCACCTTGCCTTCTTCGTGGTAACGTGTGCGCCTGCTTGTACCGTGTTGAGTGCTGCGTCTACAGCGGCATACTTTATGTGGAAACAGAGAAAGCACGGACAATACCAGGCCAGTATGCGGAAGCTGGGCAGGGGGTACTGGGCTGATCCGAGGGACCTTGAGGACTGGAGGAAGTGGAAGAGTAGGAAGGATGCTGTGGATAGGCTGAAGGCTTGGGAGGCTACAAACGACAGGAGGAATTTCATCGTCGATGTACTCTGCGTTGGATGTGGAATTGTGAAGGCAGGCCTGAGCAGGCGATGCAAGATGTGTGGTGCGTACGATGAGAAGTATGTGAGGAGGCAGAAGATATTGTGATAGGAGATGATGAGGCAACTTCGATATGGGTAAGAAATGCATCAATTATAGTCTCAATTACTGCACATACAACCAAGCCAAAGGAAAAGGTATCTCGACTTCAACTTACACCACCCTCAGCAACGCCACGCCACAGTTCGACTCTTTTCGATGCGCACTCCACACCTCAACGTCCTGGACCTGCTTGCGACTCAATATTTACGAGTCCTTGAATCCCTCTTGCCTCGCTAGGTCGAGGTGCCACTTCAGTACCTTCTGGAACACGCTCTTCCCACCCGTTTCAATCACATCTCCATGACACGGGATAATCCTATCGAAGTCCCACTTATTGATACGAGCAGTCGAAGCTGCAAAGCTCTTCCTATCCGCCGCACTTGTGCCCCACCAAATCATCCTCTGCTGGCCCGTAGCTTTGCCTTGTGTGCTCGTCAAGCTGGCGAAGATCTTGGTGAGGATCCCAGAATTCGGATCCACGCCGGTCTTGCTGAATTGCTCTGTCGGTGGCGAGTTGAACATGTAGTCTGCTTCGATCAGGGTGCGGGTTGGGCGGTGGTGGAATACGATTTCCTTGTTGGCGTGCGCGTGCACGTATTCCCAGTCGAATTCTGCGTCGAATTCAGGAGAGACTGTCTCGGTTCGCTTGTCGGCGCGGAACAAGTGAGTGAAGGGCACGTCTTCCTTCGATTTGTCTTTGGCGCGCAGTTCGGGAAGGGACTCGGGGCCCATGATCTGCGCTTGCGGGTACGCGGAGTGCCAGGGGCCGAGGAAGATGTGGTGCTGCATGGCATGTTAGTGAGGTTGGGGGAGAGGGAGTCTGGTAGGAGAGCGTACCTCAGCGTCGGGCGCGCAGATGTAGCGGACTTCTCCTAGTGAGGCGACTTTGGCTTTGACTTCGTCGGTGAGGGCGACGGGGGAGAAGACGGCGAGGGACCCGGATTGAAGACGCACTGGAACGCCTGTCAGCCATGCGATGCGTATGGGATAGATAGCACATACCAATGGTGCCGCGTCCACCGATCTTTATTCTGCCGAATCGCCAGAAGGGAACGGACAATGTCGTGATGACCCTGGGTACAACCTCGCGGATGACCATGACCTTGGACGGGTCGGAGGGAACTAGTTTCTGAGACATGACGGCTGTTGGTTGTTTTGCCTTGGTAAGGGGTGCAATTGCTCAAACTTCTTGAGGAAGGAGCTCTGTTAATATAGTCGTATGCCCCGGAGTCTTGGAGCCTCGGTAGACGACGTTATGAAATGACGCAATATTCGAGATCTCGAGATCACACGTTGGTGAGGTGGTTGCGAAGAAGTTTGATGGTATTGGTTGACTGCATCGTGCTATTACAGAGTGTATATATCTATCGCTCTCGGCCGACGTTCAGGTAGACCTGTTTCACATGCATCCGGACGAGATGTGGTGGAGGTGGTTTGGTGTTGCTGATGTTTGCAAGGTGCAAGGATGCTCGGCTCCGAGCTTTGACGCTCCAGTTGGGTCCATAGACTCTATGCATAGTCAGCATCAGCATGCATGTCAAAGCTCCCAAGATCTAGAATTCGAGTTGCTGTAAACACCGAACTACATATGCGCAGTTCATGTTGCTGATGCTGTGCAATGTGGCTTTGTGTTCACTCGACTAAGCTACTATCGGTCTCTGCATGCATACAATCTCCCTGCAAAAACTCTTGTCTACCTCCTTGGTGATCCGAGTATCTGCAATTCACTAAGCTGCGCCTACTTCACCCTACCCGGAGCTCCACATGATCTCCAGACGCCGACCCACTGCATCGTCGCAATCCCGTATCCGCCCAGGGTTCATTTAGGAGAGCAAAACATTTCGGACGAAATGTTGCGCGCTATTGCAAGCTGATGTTGCGGAGCGTCGGAGGGCTCATCGCTGGCTAGATTCGTCGTGATGTGTAAGACATGTAACTGCGGCTGCTCATCCTGGAATAACAGCGTTCTCTCTGGCGTTCTCAGCACTCAGCTCATTCATGAGGCCCTTCGGGTTCCTCTTCTTGTTATCCTCATCCAGCTTTTGCTGAATGAACTTGCTCATCTGCTTGACCTTTTCCAGCGCAATATTGGTGCAGTTCAGCAGAGCCAACGGATTCACGGTTGCGCCGCCGTACTTTGCGATTTGGCAAATCTCGCCATGCTTGTTCATGGTGATAATGACCTGTCCTTGTCGAACCTGCTCTTCGGCCACGTTGGCATCCACCAAGTAGATTTCGCCTTCTTCAAAGTATGAGAAGGTAACGCAGAGTGGCTGGTGTAGGATCGAAAGAGGTATGGGTTCGCGCTCGCGTACGCTCAGGATGATCGCCTTCTCGCCCTCGACCTGTACGTCAGGCCGTCTGAAGTGTTGTAGCGCAGCTATGACGGCAATGCATGAGGCGTCGATCAGTCCTCCATCATGATCGATGATGTGCACGTCGGCGCGGAGAGCAAAGCACTTCTGTCCAGCAATGATGCAGAGCGATTCGGTATCGAGAGCATTGGAGCGGCGAATGGCTTTTTCAAGAATGCGCGAGAGAATGACTTCAGCGTCTGTAGGTCGTCCAATCTCGAAAGCAGGCGATGCCATGGGCGAGAACTCGGTAACGATCTGGAAGATGCCATCAAACTTGCGCTCCGGTGCTGGTGTGACTACGTCGACTGAGATCCGTGCAATGACTCTGATACACGTTAGCTTGGTTCACTTCGAGATCCAAATAGCAGTTACACACACCTTGTCTTGCCCAACTGCACATCTGCGACGCCATACTCTTCTCCAAAGGTGAGCTCTAATGAACGAAATACGTCAAATGCACGTCCATCGAGGCGAATTTGCTCCTGCAGCGCCTGCTTGATGAACTCGCGTTCGTTTATAGAGATCTCAGCTTCTCGCGGCATCTTGCCTCAAGCACTTAGTTTCTTGGATTTGAGGTAGTGATGTCAACTTCCTGGGGTTTCTGAAAATGTAGCGGGGTCCGGCGAAAGTCCATCACCGACCTCTTGGCGCGATTCTTCGAAGTGGATCAGAGCATCGCTTTCACTCTTTACAACCTCAACACCAACCACGCGCAAGACTCCCGAAACCTCCCTCAGAACCACGAAAATCGTCACAGAAACACATTGGCAACATGACGACCGCCCACAGACCGACGTTCGATCCCGCGCGCGGCAAAGAAGCCCAGCGCGGGCCCGCCTACCACCAGCGTCTGCTTCCCGCACACACAACGCTCAAGCACAGACAAACTGGCCAGGGCGGAGACGCAGACGGCTATCAGCGCGACTTGCGCGCAGAGCTCCTGGAAGCCGAGGCACGTCACTATGCAAAGAAGAACGGCACTTACGTCGAACAAGAGGCTGCCACGGACTCTAGCAGCGCACCGAAGCGTCAAATTGAGGATGTAGCAGCAGAAAAAGACGACGAAGACGAGGCGGATGCGAAGAGGCGGCGAATAGAAATGCTGGAGAAATACAGGGATATAGATGCGGACGATAGTAGTGAGGAGAGCGAAAGCAGTGACGAAGAGTAAGCAACGTTGTCTGTATCGTGTCCACACTTTGCTAACTCACAAGCAGTGACGACGATGAAGAAGATGAAACTGCCGCACTCATGCGTGAACTCGAGAAGATCAAGAAGGAGCGCGCTGAAGCGAAAGCCAAGGAAGAGCGAGAACGCGCAGCAGAAGAGGAGGAGCAGCGCGAGATTGATGTTGCGCGCGGCAACCCATTGCTGAACAAGAACGATTTCACTATGAAGCGCCGGTGGGATGACGACGTGGTCTTCAAGAACCAGGCGCGCGGCACAGAAGACAGGAACAAGAAGAAGGAGTTCATCAACGACATGCTGCGGTCCGATTTCCACAAGAAGTTCATGGTGAGTCTGCACCATCCCGAACACGACATTCAAATCCACTAACATGCCATAACAGTCCAAGTACGTACGATGAGCGAGGACTATCTGGACAACAATGCATTTCTTGGCGCAACATTGGTTTCGGGCGTCCGGCACTTCGACATTGAACAAGCGGACACGTGAGTTTCCATACCCCAGCAATCTATAGGGTTTGGATGGCGTGGGGAAGCTACAGTGACGCAACAAGCTTCATCCCTATCTGGATCAGCGGGATGCTACCAACCCTGGATGTCAGCTATTCCTTATCACAACTATCTGCATACGCAATCGAGCGAATAGGAGCATTTCAATCTCCGACCTCAAAGTATCAACTTCACATTCACTGTGCGCAAGAACCGCTCAGCATACGGTATCGAGCTCGCAAAACTACTCTAGAGGTTCAGGAGGCATCAGATATGAGCCAGAGACTAACGGTCGTTCCGTGTGGACGAGCAAGTATTGTGTGTCTCCACACCATGGTTTTGTTGCTCCTTGGTATCCACTCTGCCCTGGCCCACAAGCGCATCGGTAGGCTACAAGCACACCTTGGCCCTTCCTTCCGACCTCTTATGAGGCTTCGATACTGGCCGGCATATGTGGGAGCCGAGAGTCAACCCCCGTACGGTGATCTCATGTGGCTTAAGTATCCTGCCTACTTACTGCCTATCGTTCGGCACTTTCCATAGATCAGCTTGTCGCTACTCTATATAGTTGAGTCAGTTCGCCGGCATCGAGAGATCAATATGCCGTCTAGCACGTTACTCCGTCTCTATCACCCATTGCAGCGCTCTACCAAAGACCTCAATTCCAGACACTGACCTCTCTCACGTCAAGCAACATGGCAGGCTACGGCAACCGCACAGCACCACATTACACCGCTGACAGTCTCACTGACGAGCACTCGAGCACCCGTCTCGGACTAATAGACTCGCACAACGTATGTCTCAATTTTCGCCTCTCAGTTCAATTTCCCCCCATCCCCATGTTCGGTTCAATTCCCACCCATACTATTCTTTGCTCTTCAAACATCATCCCTGTATTCACACGCTCCTTTCCAGCAGTTCTTCCACCACACTCTTCTATATCGATTGCTGACCGAAATAAGGCACCGACCTACGGCGCAGGCCTCGGCAACAAGCGTGCCTCCCAGCCCACCATCTCACCGTCTTCCTCCAACGAAAAGTCCGTCGACACCGAAGACGGAGTAGAGGAGTCCTTCCACTTCAACACGCAAGACACGCACGGCTCGGCGCCGTACAGCAACGCACACACCTACGGCTCGGCGTCTACTGCTGGCGCTGGCTATGGGAATAAGACGGGGAGTTTTTCTTCGGCAGGTGATGGGGGTGGACATAAGGACTCGACGATGGGAAGGGTGATGCAGAAAATCGGCGGTGTTGTGCATAGTGAGAAGATAGGGGAGAAGGGGAGGGTGAAGAGGGAGGGTGGGGCGAGTGGTGGGGATGTAAATGTACCACCAGCAAACTGAACGATGTCGCCGTGCTTGGCGAGAAGGACTTGAGTAAGAGAAGATGGTGAATGCGGGTTAGCAATGTCGTTTGCCGTTGTGCTATGCAAATGCAATGTTCATCTATTCGCCGTCGAACACCCATGCCTACTCCAAGAATGCAAGTCGTCGCGCGTGCGAGTCCACAATTGGCGGGTGCGCTCTCCAGCAAATGATGCCGTATGCTCTCAGGTACAGACCACACATGAGCTGCCTGCTCAGTAAATGCCCTGCGTGCGGTACTGGAAGGTATCGTAACTATTGTCAGGTTAGTCCTCTGCAGTCTCCCATACCACAAACCGGAGCGAACTTACAGTCTAGTATAATAACTCCCCACACTCTTCGCCACGAGCTCCTCCACAAACCCCTCCGCCTCCTCCTTACTCAAATGCAGCATCAGCCTCGCCCTTAAACTATTCGTCACACTCGCACTCCCCGCTGCAAAACACGGCATCTTACTCTGCTTGCCCATCAAATCCACCAGCATAATCAACCTCTCGGCCTCTCTCCTCAATGCCTGGAACGCCTTCTTACACAGCGTCTTGAACTCTTCGAACGCCGGGGAGGTGATACCACCCAACACGTCCACATAGTCTTGCGTCAACTTGAAAGGGGCAGCTTCAAAGCCCATGGATCCGGGACTGTTAGATAGCATGAAGCCGAAGTCGATGTGGATGATGTGGCCCATGTTGTCGATGAGGAGGTTGCCGTTGTGGCGGTCTTTGAGCTGCAGGACGTATGATATCATAGAGTACGCGGCGAGAGAACGGGTAAAGCATCCTACACCCGCATTATACGGTTCTGAATCGGGTTCGCCGAAGGTTTTGAGCCAGTGGTCTTTGAGCGTAGATATGCGTTTCCGGGGGTTCGTGCCTGCTGCTATGGATGCGAGGGTGAGTGAACGTTTGAGAGAGTGTAGAGATACGCCGTTAGTGATTGTTTCGATCAGGCCGCAGGATTCGCCGGTCACGAGGATGCGCATGCGTTTTGTCCAGACGGGGATTTGGGCTTCTTCCCAGATCTTGGTGCAGACTTGAATGAGTTGGCAGGCGAAGGCTTCTTGGCGGAGGTCGTCGCCAGTCTTTACGATGACGGATATGAGGTCCCAGTTGGGCATGTAGCCGTAAGGGGAGGAGCGGCGGATGCGCTCACGCTTCGCACTCCACTCTTCACCGAAGGTCGCTGCGGAAGGGTCGTCACGGTCACCTTTTCGGCGCATACCACCGGTTTTCAGGTCGTTCTCCATGCGCGCTGCACCGGCGCCGGTGTTGGTGGCTACTGCCAGGCCTTCCTCAAGATCCTCGGGTTCGGCCATGATTGCTGTTGAGTCCGACTCTGCCATGATGGTGTCAAATGTGGGCCCCTGATCGTCCGACATGAAGTTTTGCTCTTCCAGAGTCTGCATGCTCGCAATGATCTTCGCTTTGATAGCTGCAACTTCGGTCTTCGGTCGTTTCGATCCGCTTGCCTCTAACTGTGCCAGCATCTGGGCCGCTGTCCGCATGTGAGTTGCAAGAGCCGTGAAGTCCGGCTGGTCCGGCCCCTGATTCCTATTCAGAGGTATTGTCGCTTTCCTTGTCGGAGCAGGACTACTCGATCGGCTAACCTCCATATCTGACGTCCGTGGTGTGGACAATGTGGCCATGGAAGACAATGTGTTCGCTCCACTCGATGATCGGGGCGCTGTAGCTTTGCCATTGCTGGAAGCAGACGGCAATGCCACTCTTGCTAATCCAGAAGCGATGTCGTCCTCGTCGATATCCTTGATCAGCGCAGTGCTGCCCAAGTCGCCATTTGCAGGCTCGAATACGCTATCCGATCCATTTGGTGGTGTCCTATCCAGCGCCAAACGTTCAGCGTTGGTAATATCGAACAGCCTCCTCCTTGACGTCCCCTTCTCTAGCATCAACTTCTCCAATAGCTGCTGGTTCTGTTCCGAGTCCGGATCAAAGTCGAAGTCCTCCTTGAGCACCTCCACCATCAGCAGATATGGCACTTTCTCCGCGCTGTTGAGACTCGTCGCTTCTGCTGGATTTATGCGCACGATTCGGTGGTGCTGGCTCTGCGACGGTATCCCATCCTTCAGCGTTGGCGGAGAAAGGAGTGGAATGTCGACTTCAGCTGGCAAGTCTTGTGCTATGAGAGCGAGTTCGGCGCGTAGAGCGCTCAAACGTGCTGGCTTCGGTACAGATACCAAGCGACTCGAAATGTCTTCCAGTGCACTCAGGAATTGTGTCTCGTTACGAAAGTAATTGGATCTCAGCAGTCGAACCTTCTGTGTGCGCGACAAGGCTGTGGGGGTGAGAGGTCTCGGTTGCTGCGCTGAGTGCTTGCGAGAAGTGCGGTCTGTCTGGGGTCCGAGACCGGCTGTGGCAGGAGGGGTAGGTAGCGGGGAGGCTCTGGTGTTGCGGAAGTCGGGTAGGGAGGACGAGCTGAGGCGAGCTTCAGCGTCGATGTGCAGCAAAGAAGGACGATGCTGCGCCGAGGCGCCGCGAGCCGCATGTGGTGGTCGAGCGGCCTGTCGTCTTAGATCTTTAGGATCACGCGGGTCCCTCGTTCGCGGCGCAGGAGCCTTGGAAGTGCGACCATCCTCAGGATCAGAGTGTCCCTGGTCTGTTCTTCGCTGGCGCGGGCGCGGCGAGCCCCCTGCTACTGTATTGCTCCTCCCCACCTTTCCAGTCTGCACGTTGTCGGAGATCATGTCCTCCACAGGCCGAGGCTTTCGCGCCTGCGCAATCGCCAGCGGCCCGGCATGTGCGGGTAGAAAGGGGGCGGCGATGCTGGCTAGCACCAGGCTCGAGAGAACGGTCACGGGAAGGACGTTCTCCTTGATCCTCTCGCGCCGCTGGGGCTCCGCTGAGCCAAAGACGATGCGCTGCACGCGGTTGTAGATGCGCCGACATGTCTTGAATGCGTTCGAGTTTGGGGCGTAGGCAAGGTCGTGGAGGTATGTCTGGAATAGCCAGAAGGTCTACGACAGTGTTACTATAGGTCATCGGCGTAGTTCCGTCCTGAGGATCCCCACCAGAAGCGCGCCGTTGACTGATTCCTCGCACAGATCGATTATAAATTCCTCCAATGCCATAGACTCGTTGTCTATGCTAATGAGCAGGTGACATAGCCTAAGCGTCGCCGGCTTTGTAAGCTGGTGCTGCCATGTATGGGCGCCGGATGCGAGGCGGGGACGTACTGCGGCAGAAAGAACTCGAGCTCCTCGTAGGCGAATGTGCGCAGCTTCGAGCAGAGCACATAGTGGATTCCGACATGATCTGCATACCGACTGGTGATAATCGTCAGTAAGAAAGCTCGAGGGTCGTTGCGGCGCGGGGTTTGCGGTGAAGCCACACTCACGCCAAATAGGCCACGGCAAGCGATGGATCGCTGTTGAAATGGTCGGATTCAATGAACCGCTCAAGCAAGTTCCAACTCATCTGGGACGGTTCATTGGGACGCGGCGAAAGAAGGGCGGAAGAATGAGGTGCTCAATGTTGAAAGATGCCGTGGCATCAAATGGGGCACCGAGCAGGGTTCAGAGGCGCGCGAGCTGCAGGCGGAGATTAAGCGCCACAATTCAAGGTCCGCTCCGGATGGTGCAACAATGCAGTGCTCAAGACGGTCACGAAAGGGCCGGCACAGTGGTCGCGGCTTGGGTCAGTTGTTTCTTCACATTACCAGTAATCCTTCCTCCTGCATAAGTCTACACCTGTAACCTGTCCGCCCACAAAAGCTCAAACACCTTGCATCATGCGAGACTGATCGTGCCCAAACAAAAGTACTCCTGAGAACGCCGTCCCGCGAGCCTGCATACTGTACAGAAGGAAAGCTATGTACATTGAATGGTAGTGGAACGACTAGTCTGCAGCGTTCAAGTCAACAAAGATGTTGATGGCTGCAACAACAACTTCAGCGAAGATGAGGATGATGACAATCCACTCGAGTAATTCACCCTACTAATAGTCAGCAACGCCCCTCCAAGACCTCGAATCCTGTACTTACATGCGTAGCTGTTAACTGGTCCTTAAGAACGGCCAGCAGATCTCCAATGACATTCAATCGCTCTGTGAGAAGTGTAACTCGCTGGTCCATCTCGAGATAGCTTCGCACAGCCTGGTATACAGGATCCAGCTGCGGTTCCGCCCACATGAGCTCCGGCGCATCAAGCACCGAGCCCTGCAAGTGGATACTGATACGCAGAATGAACAGCTCTCCGATCTGCATATTAATCTGCTTCTTGTTCAGATTGATTTTGCCGGAGCTAGCAATCTGCGCGGGAATATCCTTGGTGTCGTCGATAGTGCTGTCGACCAAGTCTTCGAAGAGACTGGTCTTGACGGACTGGGATAGGCCGTGGGAGATGGCGAGCTTGATCATGTAGTTCTTCTTGTCGCGGAGAGAGATGAAGTCGTTGTAGATGCGCGCCTGGTACTCGCGGGTGTAGTAGAAGTTGAACTCTTCGGTTTCAACTTCGTCTTTGCCAAGTTTATCGACTTCGAACTTCGCAATCTCTTTGAGGAAGCGCTTCTCTTCTTGTAGTGACATGCCCCAGATCACGACCGTGCCGTACTCAAACAGGAAGACTTCAGGTGTGTGAACTCGTGTGTCGAAGTCAGGCGTGTCCACCTGAGGGTCCGAGTCTGCATGTGTGATGGACGGTCGCCGGGGCCTGTCTGAGCTCTCGCCGTTGCCTATGTTCGGCGCATCACCATCATCGTGTAGGTCGATGAGGTCCTCTCGTCGCCTCTCGTTCTGATGTTCGACCTCGATGGCGCTGTCTGAGAACCTCCTCTGTAGCGCTCCGGGAGCGCCATCGAGTGCTGCTGAGCTGTGAACGTCCTCCGGCCCCTTGGCACCGTAGTTGTATGGCGAGTAAATACATTCGTCGAATCGTTTCGGCAATGCGCCCCTGATCTTCTGCTTGCCCTTCAGAAACCTCATAAGGTCATCGAGCTTGTATGACGCCGCTGTACAGTATGCCGTCACTCGCGGTAATCGGTCTCGGTCTGCCTTGCCCAGTCGCGCTGCATCTCTTCTCGCGGTGGCGTCTTTAATTTTCGTGTATTGTACGTATACGTCGCGTCCGCTCTCTTCGTCTTCCCCTTCCTCGCCTTGCGCTGGGTCTGGGAGAAGCTTCAATTTCTGCGCAGTTCGCGTCGTTCTCTGAGGACCAATTTTTCCAACAGGACCTGGTGGTATCCTTGCAGGTGCGCCGGAGCTGTTTCTTCTCCGCAGTTTGCTATTAAGACCTGCGAGCATTGGCTGACCTCCATGGCTTGTAGGTTGTCTTGACGACGATGCACCCTGCAACCCGGATCGAAATTGAGCAGTATCATTGGAAGAAGAGACTGTCGTATTGAATGTGACGGTACGCTGCTGTTTTGGGGGGGTTGTTTTGTTCGTTTTGCTACCGCCAGACATGGACGACATCAGCGGCGTGGTTTCGGTTGAGCTCGACGCCATTGTGATACGGGGTTTGAAAATGTGGCGGTGTCGCGATAATTGGACGAGGTGAAGTGCGCGCTGAACACGGGAGGGTATCACAAGTCAAAGGGAGCAATTATGGCCCTGCCATACGGTGGGGTGGAGAAGTAAAGTCGCTGCACGTTCGAAGCTGTTCTTGCCCGCCGAGACTGACAAGATGACGTTCCTGCCCAAGCTTGGATGCCCCTGCTAGCCCCACGTGCTGGATCTCATGCAAGACCGTTGATGAGGATAACACAGCCATCAATTGGATCATTTCACGTCTGCGATATCTGCGAGCTGAGGCCGTGGGTGGACAATTGCTTAGAAGGCGCTCTGGGAAATCGAGTTTGTTTCACAAACATGTGCGCTCGACCGGACGCTCGACATAGCAGTATTACACCAAAGAACGCTAGTGACAGGTAGCATGTGATGCACAGGACTGGAGTGAGAACAGAAAACAAGTCCACGGATGGGCGTGGTGGGTTTGAAAACAGTCTGATGTTACAATGGTGGACCTTCATGTGGCTCAACCAACTCCTCTGCTCTCTGTGTCATGCCGATGTACCTCACTGCATCCATCTCAGTTCTCCCCTCTGGCAATATTCCTCGCCCTCCTCCTCTCCCTCTCCATCTTCCGCGCCTGATTCATGCTTGGCTGCGCACCCTCTTCGTCTTGCCTCGCCTTGATCAGCGACTCCTCATCGATCTTGTCAAACCCAAACCTCCCAAACTCACCCCTCCTCCACTTCTGAATCATCCACAGACTCGTCGCTTCATGATCCACCTTGCCTCCTTTCCCCAACCTCCCCGTCTTGCGGGCCATCAACTCCAAAAGCTCAACAATATCATTCGTCGGGCCCGGCGCAAACTCAGCGTACAGCGTAGGATCAACAAGATTGACGTGGAAAAGGAGATAATCCGCGAGCATAACAGGCGGAATAATGGTGTCCTTCACGCTCCCACAAAGCGCCAACTTCATCATCGCCTCAGCATCAGGCACATACGGGATGAAAACACCAGGTGTATCCAAAAGATACACACCACCACCCACACCCCTCTCACCCTTCCCCACACTCACATCGTCCTCGCTGGGTATAATCTTGACCCCACTGCCGACTTTTCTCGTAACACCAGGTTGCGCACCGGTGCGCGCAACTTTGCCCTTGCCCAGACCTAATCCGCGCAGAGCGTTGAGGAGCGTGGATTTGCCGACGTTGGGCATGCCGACGACCATGACGCGATGGCCGACGAGCTTCCACCTCTTCTCGGCGTGTTCACGCAGTACCTCAAGGACTTTGCCGGTTGCTTTTCGGCTCTCCTTCTCTTCTTCGCCGTTGCGCACGAACATGACTGTGCTTCCCTTGTGCCATCCGCGAATCAACTCTTCATTCTTCTGATCGCGCGGTCCGCCGCCGAGGTCGCGCTTCGTGTAAACGATGATGCGTTCTTTGCCTTCAAGGGCTTTCTCGAAGAGCGGGTTGCGCGAGGTGAGCGGCACTCGGTAGTCGCGACATTCGATCACGAGGTCGATGGATGTGAGCAGTTGCTTCATCTTAGAGAGACCAGATTTGTGGTGGCCCAGAAAGTATGAGCGCGGAAGCGACGGAATCGGTGGGAAGACATGGCGGGCGACGAATGACATCGGAAAAGGAACGTTGGTGTACTGACCTTGAGGGTGAGATTATTTCTTGGCTTGAGTCAGGCAGCTATATCACTTGGCAATGGCTGACTCGTGCCCACAGCCTCACACTTGTCAAGCACGGAATGGTAGTGCTTTAGCCTTGGGCCCAACATTGATGTTCGATTAGACTATCTACACTAACGCTACTAAAACAAGTCATGCCGCGATAACAGTACCTTGGAACCACCTTACAAATCCTTCACAAAATCCGAACCCAGGAGGTATTCAGCTATCCTACGGCCTCTGCAAGCTTACTGACGCGACCTCACAACTGATCGTGTCGAATGGTCAAGGTCGAGGTCGATGTCGAGGTGTGCTGGATCGTGCTTGTGGAGGTCTTCGTCTTGTGCGTGGTGTGAACAACGGTCTCTGGCAGACCAATCCACTGCGAATCAAGTCGATCCTTGTGGTCGCAGATGTGGACGTGCTGAATCTTGATATATTCCTTGCCCTTCTGACCTCGCTTTTCCCACTCGGCGTCCGCGCAGGCGTACTTACCAACAATGAAAGGGTGACCGAACTTGACGGGTGTGTGCCAGGACTTCTTCTGCGAAAGCTCAATGTCCAGGTGTGCGAACTCTTGATCAGACTCCGAGTCTGACGACGAAGTGTGGAGGTAGTCAGCGTATTGTGACACCGTGTACGCTGTCGCCTTCTTGGTGCTATGGGTCGTGGTCGTGGCTGTTGTTGTGGAGGTGGTTGTGGTGGTTGTGGGTCTGTGCACCACAGGGGCAGCTCCACAGTCGGCAGGATAGTCGTCGCCGTGGCGGCATTCGATTTTACGGTAGTCGTGATCCTTCTTGGGGTAGCAGGAGTAACAAACTACTGACTGGCTCCAGGGGTGTAGCATCCAAACGCCCTTGGTCTCGCGGTGTGGCTTGAAGCGCTCCACGGCGGCACTTCGAGCGGCGACGTGAGTGGTGGCAGAAAGGGAGCCGGTGTAGGTTGCGGTGTGTACCGCAAAGTGTGGCGCGCCGTACGTCGAGTCGATAGACCAGGACGTGTGCTCGATGGTGCTGGTGCAGAGGTGCTCAGGGTTCTCGAGTTTGCCGCAGACGAACCTGGCGGAGTAGAAGGGGTGCTCACGGGAGTATTCGTCATCGGAGCTCTCGGGGCTGTCGTGGTGATCCTTCTGATGGCGTGAGACCAGGCAGCTGTTGAAGTTCTTGGGCAGATGACCGCTGCGATCCGATCGATACCTGACAGTCCTGTTGGGTTCAAGGCAATTGTAAGCTGAGAACGTCTCGAGCTTGCAGTTCACTCGAAGCTCGTTGACCTCCTTGACCCAATCTGCGTGATCAAAGCGAAACCTCGGCTTGAGGCTGTGTGCCTCGTGGAAGTTGACGCATTCGCCTTGCTTCATCTCGTACGGGCTTGTGTAGGGTTCTCCGGTGCAGTCGCGAGATACGAAGGAATAGAGGTGGATCTGGGCATCGGCTATCGCGTTGGCCTTCCCCTTCGCACCGAACAGGCCTTGCACAACGGAGGTGAGGGCAAAGACCGCAGTCGCGACAGGCAGGAGTGCTCGCATGATGTCGTGTGGCCTGAACGTAAAGTCAGCCTTGCTGTAAGCTGGGAGGGTGAGACCGCAGGCGCAAGGTAGTCAGGATATGCAAGTGAGTGAGTTGGCTGGAAGAGATAGGAACATACTTGATCAGAGCAAGTGGAGTATGACGCAGTCAAAAAATTGAAGTTCAATGGTATGTCGGAGTGCTGTGAAGTGTCAGTGCATGACCCTGAACGTGGTGGTGTAACCGAGAAGGCTGTTGGCAAGCGTCGTGTATTTCGCTGAAGGTAACATGACGGGGAAGTCGAGACGGGACGTATGGAAGACGACGTACCGATGGGTTGTGGTATGTGGCGGCGTGTGCTAGCGTTGAGGCGTGCTGCGAGATGTTAGTAGGTGTAGCTTGCCTGAAGGACGACAGCGTATGAAGAGAAGGCGATGCATCGTGTGATGTGCTTGGTTGCCGAAGAGATGTAGGGATGGAGTGACTTTGCCTGATCAAAAAAGTACTCGGCGTGTGGAGAGAAGCGTAGTGAAGAGTGTAGTGAAGAAGAGACGGAGTGATGAGCCGGAGGGCGAGTTTATAAATCAACAGAAGTGGCTCCAGCGCGCACTAGTTCGAGCTGCAGCGAGAGAAGTCATTTTACCGGATGTGTTGCTTCTCAATACGTCAAGCAGTGACTGTTCGAGGAGGGAGGTGTGAACGGGGAAGGCAGGCGCAGGGTGAGCAAGCGGTGTCGGTCGTGATCAACATGGGAACAGCGAAAGCGCAATGACCACAGAGAGGAAAAAAAGTGGAAGTCACTGACCGATTCCGCAATCACGACAGCAAGCAAGACGGGAGTAGCTTCGCAAAGCGTGATTGCTGGCTGCTGAAGCCATCTCCGTAATGACCGGGCAGTGACCCATGTTGGCAGGCACGGACAAGCTGCTAACCCTGCTCTTCTGCAAAGATGAATCGTCATGTCGTGCCGGTCGAGCAAGGTCGCTCTCGTTGTGAATGAGACCACAAAAGACAGCATGACAGTTATCTTGTGAGCAGAGTCTGCTCTCTATATGCATCCTGACGCATCGAGACTAATCAAGGATCGTCGAGAATCGTCTGATACCGGGTGACCCGTTGTGTACAGTGTCCCATATGCCTATTCGAACATCAGCAAACGTTGAGCCGCCAGGCTGCTTCACGCGTGCGCTTGGTGTTGTACGGTTGCAAGCGTGAAGCAGATCACCGGCAAGAGCGAAGAGAATCAGGAACGACATACGACTGAACAAAATTGATGCCGCAGCAATGTGGTGCGCGAAGAGAACATGGTAACAATACAAAATCCACCTCACCATTGTGTACGGAAGGCCGACGTGCTCGGCCAACGCCATGACTCCCCCAAAAGCCGCCAACTCCATGTCGGACAGAGGTACTTCTGCATCTACCAGTCTTCCCACTTATCGTCTTTCTTGCCTCCTGCTGGCACTGAGCCACTGCTCTTCTTCATCGCGCTTGTGCCAATGCCTGACGGCTTGGGTTTCTGTCCTAAACCAGACGTAGCATTTGTCGTAGTCTCGCCAGCACTTGCAAACTCATCCCAAAAGTCCTGCTTGTCTTTGCTGGGGCCCTTAGAAGCGGCACCGAAGTCGTCCCAAAAGTCCTTCTTCGCTGGCTCGACGCCACGACGCGTGTTGCTTGAAGACTCGCCCTCGACGAAACGGTTGAAAGCAGTACCGGCGTTTGCGGCGGAAGTTTGAATAGTTTGACCCATAAAACCAGCGGTCTTCTGTGCCTGAGAGGCGAGATCTGCTTCGGCGAGCTAGAGCAACGTCAATGGCTGCTTCACCTTCCTACGCACAAGAGATTTCTTACCTTCTGCATCCCGGGCTTGACCCAACCTTCATACCCAGTCTTGCCCACCTTGCTCACGCTTGCGCCTAGCCAACCAAAGCCCTTTGTGAGAGCTGCAACGGGATCTTTCTGGAAATCAGCAATCTCAGGCGGTGCGCCTGGCTCGTCATTGTTCTTCCAGGCTTCAGGTTCGCTACCAAAACCGCCGTATTTTCCACCCTGGTTAGGCGCCAGGTCCTCTCTCCTGTTGGCGTTCTCAGCTCCAATGCGCGAAAAGTATGCCTCGTTCTTCGCCTTCTGTGATGACATGGCATTTGTTCCAATGGATGGTGATCCTGAGCGCTGAAATCCGGACTCGTTGCTGCGCGTCTTGCCGAGTGGTGTCTGGCTTCTGCTCCCAGCTGCGCTGGCCCGGCCGCTCAATGGCCCACTAGCACCAGCAGCGGCGGAAGTCTCCTTTCTTGGAAGCCGCTTGGGCAAGTTACTCTTGTCGAACTCCCTGTCCTCAACCTTGCAGCTCAGTCTCTCCTTCCACTCATCGCCGGCCTCGGAATCGTAGCGCTCTTGTATAGACGAGGCCTCGAATGTCCTGTTGTCTTTTGTGTTCGTTGGGTGTGCATTGAAAAAATCCTGGAAAGTTTTGTTGCCGCCGGCAGCCATGCGCGCAAGCTCAGCGCCCTTGAAGGCATCCATGGTTATGCTGCGAATGAAGGAAATGTGGACACCCAGGCCGCGGTGGACGCCGGAGCATGACAGACACATGAAGATACCCAGCTTGGGTGAGGCCTGGTCCCTTCATATCAGTATATAGCGCTGAACGTGCGGTCGCGTCGGACATGAGGAGGGTATTCCAGAAAGGGTGGTGGTTGCGTACCCATTGTGGACTCGGCGCATTGCAGTCGACGCACTTATTGTTGTCGTTTGTCTTTTGGATTTCCAGTAACTATGCGATAAGCTGGTCAGCATGTTGGGCTTCTTATGCGCTTGCGACCTTGCGGTCCAATTGTTCTGCTCTACAATTCACCCCTAGACAGCCCCACTACGTAGATACACCGCAACGTACCTTACTCCGCGTCTCCGGATCTACCTCCCACATTTTACTCATGATGAAGAATTACCGCCGCGATCTGTGACTAGTAATAAGCAAGAAGAAGTGATCAGGATGCAATACGAAGCTACAATGTGGGTGTTGGGGTTACAGAGGGAGGATCCATAGAGTCGAGATTCAGGGCCTGTAGCTGTTGTGGCGCCGCAGTTGAGCCTCAACCCACTTGCGCCATTGACAAGGATCTTGTGCTCCGCCATCCAAGTCCGTGCAACAAATCCTCTATACAGTAAAGCATCTGTTGTAACATGTAATTCTAGTCTTTGGCTGTTGAATCGGTTTGCCTTTTGGGAAGAAAAACAGGGCCCTCTCATGATGCTCAAGAGAGTGGTTACCTCACGACAAAACGCGATGCTAAGATATCGACTTCGGTGAGAATGTTACAAAGCAGATTCCAGTAGTAGGAGTTGACCAATGCTTAATTGCCAAGATGAGACTACAAAGCAGCTACAAAAGGAGGAGTGAGTCGCGCTAAACACAAGTGTATATATACCATCCCTGCATGTCATCGTGAGTATTGCATTCACCAAACGTGAGTCCTCGACGCATCATTCATCGTCTACGCGCCATCTCCCCAGATACCCACAATTTGCATGGCAAAGGCCGCTCCTGTAAAAATTGCCTTCACGCTTTCAGTGAACCTCTTCCTTTCGACTGCCTGCCTTACTTGTTCACCATTGACATCGTCGCCCTGTGCTTCAAGATCTAACGCCGCCCTCCGCTCATTGGTGCCGCTGCGGAAGGATACAGCGTAATCGATAGCCGGTCCAGAGGCGAAAGCGAAGATTGATGTGTAGAGAAGGTACGGATGGCGGAGTCGTCGGGGAGATAGTACGTAGGCGGAGAACAGTGTGAAGGTGGTAATGTGACGAAGGTATGAGGTGATGTTCTGTGACTTGTATGATACGTAGGTGGATGTTGTGCGGGCGTCGACGGCGGTAGGCAGCGCAAGCAGAGAAGGTAGAGTGATTATCGAGAGTGTCGCTGAAACACCCTATCGCACAAATCAGTATACACATATAAAGGTTGTCTTGCTTGAAAGACCTGCGACAGCTCCAATGGAAGGTGGAGCTTGAAACCGCGTCGACTTGGAGATGAGGTAGCGGACATACCGTCAAGAGACCCAAGCTGACAGTGCCTACAAATTTGCAGACAGAAATGGTCGTTGCTGCCATAATTCCAAGTGCTCTACAGCGATGTGTTTGGTGATGTTGAGGCGATCGGTTGAGCGGGCGTGATTTTGCAGCACTCGAGCTTTGTGACGTTATCTTCAAACTGATTGACTACGGCGCCTAGGGAGCTTGGACCCACACTGTAACTCACTGCGGAGAAGCACATGCAAGTAATCCTACAAATGAATTCTAATTCCCCTTGAGTTTTGCAGTCATGCGGTTTCGTGAAAATACGTTGACGTTTGCCCTAGAGGATCCCAAATTGCGGTTCACTCCCAGTGTGTTCGTTCCCACTTCGACTTCAAGTCATTGGAGAGTAAGCTCAACTGTACCTCGGCTTGCTCCGCGACTTCAACTCCATCCCTCCACAACCGACGTTCTCGGCCGTACCCTTAACTCGACGAATCTTCAATCGGCTACATAAGTTTTGACTGCATCCACTTACGGCACCGGCACATTCCACCATAAACCTCGAAACAATATACCGGAGCCATTCGCAGCGCCATCAATCAGAGTAGCAGGTCCTCGTACACCATCCCCAATGCCTCTCGAACGGTATCAATATCTGAGCAACGTCTGGAGGGACGGTCTCTTCGCCAACAAGGTCATCTTCTGTACTGGTGGAGCGGGCTCGATATGCTCAGCTCAAGTCCGGGCCATGGTCCACCTCGGTGCCAATGCATGCATAGTTGGGCGCAACGTGGAGAAGACTGAGAACATGGCCAAAGATATTGCAACAGCGCGAAAGGGCGCCAAAGTCATCGGCATCGGTGCAGTAGATGTGAGAAAACCAGAGCTGCTACAGGCCGCCGCAGACAGGTGTGCAAAGGAGCTGGGGAGCATTGACTTCGTGATGTGAGTCTCAAGAACAAGCTGCGAGATTGTAGAACTTCGCTGACGGTCTATAGTGCTGGTGCTGCTGGTAACTTCCTCGCACCTATGGACCAGATCTCGCCGAACGCTATGAAGTCGGTCATCGACATCGATGTGCTAGGCTCCTACAACACCGTAAAAGCGACACTACCTTACCTCGTCGAATCTGCGGCCAAACACAGGACAGACGGTCACACACCACCACCCAACGGAACGGGCGGCCGCATAATCTTTGTCAGCGCGACTCTCCATTACTCTGGTACACCGTTGCAGAGTCATGTGTCTGTCGCGAAGGCTGGCGTAGATGCTATGGCCATGTCCGTAGCAATCGAACAGGGACCGAAAGGCATCACCTCGAACATCATCGCTCCAGGACCCATTGCAGATACAGAGGGTGTAGCTCGTCTATCCAAGCAGGATCATCGTGAGAAGTCGTCTAAGGGTATTCCATCTGGTCGGTATGGCACAGTCAAGGAGATCGCCGATGCAACAGTGTATCTCTTCTCAGATGCTGGCAACTATGTGAATGGCGAGACGCTGGTCGGTAAGTTGCACAACTCCATCCTCAGCTTCGATTCCTGTATGCTGACAGTTGACCAGTCGACGGTGGTCAGTGGCACACTGCAGGTTTTGCGAACGGGTTCGCCTATCCCGATTTCCTAATCTCAGGCGATGTTGTGACAGGCGTTGCTGGCGGAAAGAAGTCGAAGTTGTAAACATACTTTGTCAATTCGATGTGTTTGAGCGATGGCACCTTCCAGCCATGCATGAAGCTTCGTGGCAGCGTCCACTTCCACTCACTTGGGTGATGGCTGCTAACGTTGAAATCAAGGATCGTGATATGCCAGCATTCCAGCCACTTAGCGTCCGCAGGGTTTTTTCGAGCCCTGGAAGGCAATCCACAGTTCTCACGCGGCACAAGCATGGTCAAAAGCTTATCGGACAACAACCCTTACGGCGTGCAGCACATCATAACCTTGCGCAACTCGTCCAGATTCAAGCTTTCGATCTCATATCACGGCCATGATCCACTCACTCAAACGCGCAACCTGAAGCAGATCAACAAAACAAACCGCTGAAGCCCTTCAGATCAGCCACTCAGGATCACCACTCGCGTCCTTAAACGCCCATAACGCCAACACAGATGTGTTGTCTGAACATCTCCATTTCGCAAGCCCTGCACTGCTCCGTCCCGTCGTCAAAAGCGCGGGCCTTCTTCCCCTGCCGATCTTACTATCGAAAAGTGGGGACGCGTTCTTTAAGCATCGAGTCAGCGAATCCACACTTGCGTCATACTCTGGGAGGAAGCGAGTCCTAATGTGGATAGTATATGCTGCATTTGACAACCATGGAATAGCGTCAAGCTGTCCGACCATCATGGACGTATGGTTTGGTTGCCAACGGGCGGGAAAAGCTTGGTGTGTTTCGTGTGGTGTGTTTAGGCTGAAGGGAGGAAGGAGGTCAACGAAGGAATGGGCCGGCTATAGACACACATATACCCAAGGGAAAGATAGCATCGCGTTCTGTAACGGGTAGGCGTGAATGGTTGGCCTGGCGTGCAGCCTTGAACTCGAGGGCGCGTCGCCGTAGTTTTGTCTTTCCCTCGCTTCGGTGCGCTGTGATTCGTGTAGGCACGCTGAGGCTCCGATGTTTCAAACAGCGACATCATACATGCCGACAGTCGGAATTGCGATCTCTATCGTGCGTCGTGCAGAAGCCGCGGGTGCAACTGAATAGAGGTGGCAGACTGCCCTTGTGTTACCCTACTCGCCCGTATAGCAGCACCTGACAAGCTCATATAGATGCAACAAACACCTGCTTTCTTATCGCTGCACTTTTGCTGGACGTCTGCTGTAGCATCATCACGCTCCCCGCATGAAGACCATCCGTTCAGTGGGAGGCGTTTGCAGCAACTCGCAAAATTAGCAACGGCGTATTAACGTATTGACCGACAAGGAAGGATGCACGCGTGCAGCCCGGTGATCAGCACTCAATAACCACCGCCCACGACTCAGACAACAAAACATCCTGACCTCCCGTGCTGTGCACCCAACCTCCTCCTTGCTCTTGTTCATCCGCGTTTCCCAGCCCACACACTCGCTATTTACCTCTTTTCTTCTAAACTCTAGGCCAAGCATCGGCCGTTCACTCGCTCTAGACGTACGTTTTCAGGATTTGCAGTACCATCCCAGCGTTCACGATATTCGGACTTACTTCCAGGGTTGCACTACTGGATTGCGGGAGCACGACTGCGAAGACAAAACAAGACGTTACTCCGCACAACTGTTTGCAAATCATAGGGCGGTACCAGGGAGCGTCAATTGGGGTGCCGAGGAGCTTTTCTGGCACGTCATGACCCTTTGGGTCACACTTTCGACCACCGAATTGTTACAGCTACAGTCCCTTCAGCGACTCACAGGACGCGGATCTCAGTAATTCGTACAGCCACCCAGCACTTGCGCACTGCTTTTGCGTGTGGTTCCTCATCGAACCCTGGAAGAGACCGGCAGTGGCGGATCCTAGTGGAAGAGTCAGTGCACGACTTTTATCTACAAGGTTAGTCCCTCTTGGCTGCAGGTCGATCGACGCCGGAGCCCCAGCTTCCTTTCTCAACAGCTGCTTGTGCAGTCTCTTCCTGCCTTCAATTGCACTCCGCTGGCCTCTCTTGTCGGGCAGTTCTGTCAAAGGCAGCGATGCTGACCACAGCCTGAGCGAACAGGTCATATCTGAACCGGTGGCACTGCACGAGCCTTCGTATTGAGTCAAGGCCTACCGCGACAGTACTGCACCACCACGCGGCATCAACCATTGGTCGACCCTGCTTGCCTGCCTTCGAGGATAATACGGCTATCATCGACCCTTCACCTTGTTCGTTCACGATACCGGAGGCGTTCAATCGCTATTTTCGGTCTTTGTCGCGGTGAAGCATTTCGCCACAAACCTTCATTCACCATTGACCGCACACTGCGCCCACAAGGGATCACCCGAGGATCCACAGTCGTTCGACAGAGCACTTCCAATCTCCTTCGCGTCTTCCACCGATACCACACATCCTAGCCATGGCGTCCATGTTCAGACCATCTTTGTCCAACATGTTTGTTGCGATCGTTACTCTTTTGTTCAGCGTGCTGGCAACAGCACAAGACACTGGTTTCACACAATCGTACTGTTCGTCGCAGAACACGGGAACAGGTGATGCTTGTAAGTGTACACGTCCGCCATGGAAGCTATCATGCTAACTGAAATGTACCAGTCTTCTGGACATACCAATCGAACGGTAAATGTACGGACCACTGCAATAGCGCGGGTACTTACGCCTTCGCTGTCATTCAGTACACGAACTGCTGGTGCTCGAACTACATTCCTTCTACCACCACCGACATCTCCGGTTGCCAGAAGGACTGCCCTGGCTTCCCGGACGAGAAGTGTGGTGACAAAGACGAGGGCTTGTACATCTACATCAAGCTCGCCGGACAGCCTTCTGGTACTGCAGGAGGAGGCTCGCAGCCATCTTCAACAGACGTGAGTAGCGCGACTCCTGTTCCTTCCTCGACGGACTCCCCGTCGTCGTCAGATGCAGTTACTGTTAGTACCTCCATGTTTCATTGCATCGTAAGCGTTTGATTTTACCTGCACCTCTTTCACTCTCTTTTCTATCGGTCTACGTTGTTCTTTGTTATCTTTTCTGGAAGACAGTTTCCTGGCTTCAACGATGTCTCCGGTTGCGGACAGCATTTGACATGTAGGCAGCCTTCTTCGGCTTCGCCAAGTCAAAGGCCCACAAGTCGTGATCGGCCTCCCGTGACAATCATTCAGACTGTCGTGGGAGAGGTACCGACCATCACTGTGACGTTTACTCAGCGCCGAACGTCTGCTGCTCCTACTTCTACAAGTCCTGTATTTAGTCCCGTTTCTTTGCTCACCCTCGATGCTCCTACTAGCCAACAATCACTAACACAACGTTCAGTCTTCATCCAACAACAGGCCCTCTTCAACACTTAGGACGGTTGCTACCTCTTCTGCCGCCGTACCATCTACGAGCGTCCAGGTCATCACCGAAAGCGGTGCCGTCGTCACGCGAACTGTTATCTACCAACCCACCCAAGCTGCGTCACAACCCCAACCCTCCAACACTGGCTCGAGCAACACTGGCGCTATAGTTGGAGGTGTCGTGGGAGGTGTCGCGGCTATCGCAGTCGTCGTTGGTGGTATTCTATTTTTCCTTTGGAGAAGGAAGAAGCAACAGCGCGCAGAGCAGGAACATCAAGCAGGCATTACCCGTAACACAAGCACGATGAGCAAGGCTGGACTGCTTGGAGGACGAACTGTCGCGACTGATCCTCACTACCCACCGCCAATTGCCACAAACTTCAGCAATGCTGGCAGCCGGCACGATAACGAATCGATCAGCCCTATCTCTGGATCGCAACGCAGATACAGCCAGCCGATGATGATTGACTCTCGACTGAACCCGGAGGCAGTACTGATGTATCACCCCACATTTGGGAACAACAGCCGCGAGAGTCTGGGCAGTATCGACGACAGTCGCGACTATGGGCGGCAACTTAATGTAAGCATCAATACACTTCAACCGTACTCCGATACTGACTCCAAATAGGTGAGGAATCCTGATCCACACTGAGCAACCAATTATTCCCGGCATGACATTTGCACACGAACTCACGAATCTAAAATAATACCGTCATCACCCTCGTTTGCAACATGTACAGGACCATCCGTATTCAGCATTGGGCGTTCGGCGTTGTCCTTCAGGACATGACAGCATTCCCGGGATTTCACTTCGACTTCGCTATTCACCAATAATGGCATCACTTTGTAGATACATACATTTATCGCCTCACAGCCATATCACGCTGCTACGTACATACGAAGAAGGACAGCATCGTCCGATTACGAGGTCCGGACTGGAATACATAAGGCCGCTGCCAGATCCGAGTCGCGGTAGAGGCAGGCGGCGCGAGAGGTATCAGGATCGACACGTCGACATTATCGTTAGGACGAGGAGCACCGCAAAGCTGGAATGCCGCGCGGCTGCTTGTTTGAAAATCAAATCATATTCAAGGATCATTTGTCTTTGTTCAGCTACTATCGTGATGTTTAGAGTGTTCTACGGGTGGGGCATGAACATGACGCTTACACCGGCCCCAAACCACCCACCCAAACGTCCCTGGGGAACATGCCAGGCCTAAGCATTTAGCTCTCCGCTTCAAAATTGCACAGATCATGAAGAATGGCTTCTTAGTGTTGACATACGCCTGTTCGTGATCGGTAAAGACTTGTTGTGTGGCTATGATGAATCTGGCTACTTACTTATCTGATCTGCCTGGCTTCGTCTTATGCAGGTCGTACTGCACTATGTACTCGTTGAGAAATGTAAGATCAGCTTAATCTCTGACGTATTGTGGGAAAGGAAGAAAGCAAGCAAAGCATCGTCACCGAAATTTTTCAGCTCCATCCTCAGTCATACCTCAATCTCTCTTTGAATCCTATCTCAGCACCTTTCTTCCAATTTCTTTTTCGATCCGGTTCAACTCTGGCTGACATCGTGGATATGACAATCGTTCAAAGCTGGCTCATCGCTGGGTGTTGGAGGAAGTGAAGGATACCACCGATCGCCATCACGTGATAGGTAGCTTATATCGAGCTTCTGCTCACCTGCAATACAATACCATGACAACCAACCTACCCCGCGAACACTGGGCACGTATTCCAAAGCCTCGGTATTCAGTTTTCTCATCAGATGAGAAACTCAGAGAGGCTCCTGCTTAACTCCAGCAGTAGGCTCGGACTTTTTGCGTTTGGACATCTTCTCGTGGATGGACGCGAAATTATCCTCCTCTTCTTTGACATCGATGCTGTCAATTTGGATGCCCTCGTTGTTCTCCTCTTGGCTGACTCGAGCGGGAAGCAGAGCTCTCAGTCGATCGATTCTCTCCTGCAGCGTTGGGATGCGCTCTTGCACGTCAGCGCGAATGGCCCTACCCTCAAGATTTGAGCACATAAGTGATAGGACCTTGAGCGCGAATAGCAGTATTGAGGCCATTGAGTAGCTTCTCGATGCCGCTGAAGTGCCTGTCAAGCGTGTGTCGCATAGCTTTGTCGACCTCTGACTGGAAGTGGTTGATGACTTGTTCGACGAAGTGGTTGTCTGACTGAAGGAACATCTCGCCCAGCTTCTTCCTCTGGAACTTCAGCTTCGGTTCGACGGACTGCTTGTACTGCCATTTCGCCTTCGGATTGGCTAGCATGGTGTTATATGCCTCGACGTAGATGGTATCGGTCACTTCTGAGATCAGATTGGTCTACCTCTCGTATTCCATGTTTGCCCCTTCGAGGCTTCTCGATTGAACTAGCCTGACTTAATCCACAAGGCCCTCGATCTTGGCTTGGTACTTTCGGTTCAGCGGCTCCCATTTCAGCTTCGCCTTCTCCACTGTAGACACATTCGCCGCAGAGTTTTTCATCACCCGGAAGATCTTGAGGTAGAACGCTTTGAAAGAGTACGCCAGAGATGGCAACATGTGTCGCATTCACTCTTTGTGCGCCTTCGATCACTTATGAAAGGCTGCTGCGAGCAAAGTCGCCAGATCTTTGTTCCATTCTGCGCCTTCCTCGAGGCCTTGAGCTTTTGACAAGCCTCTCGGCACTGTACCTCGGTTCTTGAGTATGCGGTTGAAGGCTGGGGCCTTCAGGTCGAACCAATCCTCTTGGATCAGATCCTGAACATTTTCTTTGTAGTCTGGTAGATCCGGCACTATCATCGCAATGCTTGCATCCGAGGCAGGTTGGAACTTGGCCTTCGCTGACGATAGCGTCTCTGTCATATATGGCTTTCGAACACCATTACGGTCATTGGAAATGGAGATGAAACCTCCATTACGATTGGTTTCGGTGACAGTGTGTTCGATCCTTTCTACAAGTTTTTTTTCGCGTTTCCTCTTCTTCGACGAGGGTGCGTCCTCTTCAACCAATCTTCGTCGGCATGCTGGTACTCATGATAAGATCGCGCGTGCTCTTGAGGAAGGGCCTTTCTTTTCTCAGCGTCCAGAAACTTGATCTTGGCAAAGAATCGGTGACCGCCACTTCCTCCCCTGGGGTAGTCGATGTATCGCGTTACAGTGCTGGTGCAGGCGGCACCATCAGCGCCGGGGAGCGAGAAGCCATCACAATCGAAAATGGCGTTGGTGCTCAGGCTCTTGCCTATACCTTGAGCGCCGAGAAGAGCAACTTTCATCGCAGGGCTACGCAGAACATTGGCGAGTTTGTTGGCATTACGGATGAGATGCTGAATTTCCTTGTCGTCGTCTGGGGTCCCTTCAGAAGATCGATGACTGCTTGGGCGAACTCATTGAGTAGACCATCAATCCAAGCCTTATCTAGCTTGTATTATGGATGATTGGGCTTTTTCTCGGTCCTGGGGTCGTACCTTGACAGGTTCTTTTGAGTGTTCAAGTATGCGGGAAACTCTTCAAGGCTGAGAGCGCCTGACGCCATGTTTGTGGTAAACATTGAAGAGTCTGTCAAAAGTTAGCTTCCAGCCCGCTCAAAGCGAGCACATCGACTTGCTTGTACTGATGTCAAGTATAGGTTTGGCTAGAATAGATAAGACGAGTGGTGATGTGATACGAGGTGTGTTGATGTTACGAAATGTGGTGCAAGAAGAGTGCGGATTGGGACAGGGAGAGGAGGATGAGGGTGACTTTATATAGAATAGGGCTACTGGAGGCGCCAAGCAGTCAAGCTGAATAAGTGAGAGAAAATACTTGCTGCAGGAGCTCTTGGCCAAATCATCACCAGATGGTGACGTGGGACTAAAGATGAGATAGCTCAGGCCAGTAAGCTCCTTTCGGAAAATGTCTGCGTTCGACGTATATCACTCTCATGCCGAGACGGAAAATATAATTTTTAATCTTACTTGCTTCCTTCCCTGATCACTCCATATAATGTTCTTTCACAAGTTGCTGGACCCCCTCTGTCTGGAAACCATGATGTCATCAAACCATGAAGTTGTTCTTCGGGCCAAAGAGTTATATCTCATCCTCGTTCCAATTATCAAGGTGGGTCAGCAACTTGTGAAAGTCACCGATAATGTATGCTCGCCTGGACGAGTCTGCACGCTTTAAAAGTCATGCATGAGTGATGACTTCTTGTCAGGCTTGCAGATGATGTCCGGCGGAGGAAGCTTTCCAACTTCGAAGTAGTCCTTGACATAGCCGTCGATACAGCCTCCCAACGAGGTAGCTCCGTGAGCTACTGCCTCCTGTTCTAGAAGCACGGATCCTGGAAATCGAGGTATCATCTGCCAAGCATACGCAGCAGGACAGACGACATCGAAGGTATTTGTGAGTATGAGCATTGGATGACTGGCGTTGGCGCTAATGTTACCATCGAATTGTTGGCTGTGGGGAGGTCGAAAGGGCCACTACCTACAATAGGCCGTACCTGTGTTCATCATGCCAACGTACCGACTCGAGTTGAAAGACGCAGCATAAGTTCTTCGAATGATTCCAATGTTGGGATATCTTGAGGACCAGGTCGGTGCAAGAGATCTCGTGGAGGGTGTCAAGGGTGAAGATCTTCCGTATAAGATTTGGAAATGTTTCGAAAATCATTTCCAATCAGCCAAACTGCACTTGGGACGGCTTGGGGCGGGTATCGCTCTTCGTATCCAGTCAGGACAGGTAGTCGTCTCTTTTCAGTCCAGTCAGCTGCTTAGCTAACTGACGAAACTCAGTGCGTCCATCATATGTCTCCCTTGTATGCATTTACACTACGTCAGCGGTGAGCCTTACAGGAGCGTCCACGGCAATTGCATCATAAGGAACCTGCAAAGGGTTCTTCTCCAACTTCCTCAAGAGTCGTTCGTAACGTGCTTCAGTTTGCTCTGCGAGACCAGCCCAGAATGTACATACATCTGGACCAGCTTCTAAACACTGACTGAAGAATTGTAGGACAGCCTCATCCTGATCTGCAAAAGCAAACCGACTTCCATCCAAGTTTCAAGGCTTCCCTTGCATGGCACGATCCAAAACAAATCGACCGACACGGTTAGGACATAGGGTGGCAAACGTGGTACCCAGCACAGTACCATGACTCTTACCGTAATAGTTCACCTTTGCTTCTGCAGGATCAGAGCCTTGGCCAATCGAACTTAAACGCGCCATCACGAGAAATGTCGAAAACAACGGAAACTCTCAAAAGTTGCTTCAGAAAGGGCGTCTGAAACGACAATGGCCATGCTTGTCACTCATAAATCATTACACTTCCATCCGCTATGCTAACTCACCAATGCCCGCTTTGCATCCTCCAACCTCGCATCTTACACAATCGCCTCAGGGTTCTCAACCCTCCTCTTCGCTGTACCCACCCCAGCAACGCCCTTCGACTGATCTGCGCCCAGCCACGGTTTCAACGCCTCAGACAACGTAGTCTGCCTGATGAAGTACAGCACCTGCCCCAGAATGATCAGGACAAACGCAATGGGATACATCCAATGAATGCTGAGCCCCAGAACCTTAACACCAATCGCCACACCCCAGAAGCTTCCTGTCAGGAGCGAGATATTGAAGAACGCTGCGCTCGACAAACGGAACAGCACCGGCGCCAACGAGTAAAATAGCGACAAGATTAAAGTGTACCCCGTAAGGTAACCGCCAACCTTGCTGTTCCACGTAGCATTCCGGAAGGATGTGCGATCAAAGATACCGGCCTGCGTACCATTGATAAACATGCCCCAAAACGCCAGCTGGCCGACAACCTCATACAGCGGCCTCGAGCTAACGAGCCACTCCTCAAACACATTACTCAGACCGTAGAACGTCGCCCCAAGTAAAGCGAACAAATCGCCCTTGACCTCGTCACTCGCGCCAAACGAGTTACTCCCCGTAATCTGGTCCGAACCGAATATAACACCCAGACCGCCGATGCAGAACAAAATACCTGCGAGTTGGGTGTAGTGGTATCTGACCTTCAGGAAAAAGAACGAGATAACGACCACGATGACGATAGCCCAGAAGTTGATGAGCTGAGCGGAGAGGATGGTGGTGTAGCGGTAGGCCAGGACGACGAAGTAATTACCCTCGACGTCTAAGAAGGCCAGGATGAAAAAGCGCCAGCCGTCGAAGATGACGAGGCGGATCCATCGCTTGAAGCCGTATTTGTAGATGGTGTAGGTCGTATAGACTAGGTTCAGGAGGACGTAGTTGAAGAAGGATTGGAAGGCGGGGATCGATGTGCCTTCGTTTGCGAGGAGGGAGGAGAGTGTGTTAGTGCTGGTTATGCAGATGGCAAGGACTGTAGAAATGTTAGAAATGCAGCTCTGGTCGTGTAGAGAGGGACGTGAAGAAAGGTGTACCTTGTCCGAGGAGCATAGTCAGCCAGAACTGCTTGGTCTTGAGGTACTGGAACCAGCGACCCTTGCTCTGCGCATCGTTCTCGAGGACTTCGTTGCCAGTCCCCACGGGGTGGAGAGCTGTGCCGGCACGCTCATTTTCAGAGATCGTGGTAGCCTCAGAGCCTTTAGGGTGAACGGTTTGCGTTACTACTGGTCCGGTGTGGATATCCTCGCCTTTACCAAAGAAGCCCTCAGCGGTGTGAGGTTGCAGCTGGGCCATATCGACAGTCTATTCGTAATCCTATCTGCAAAGCGCGCAAGTCGCAATGTCGAATGCGGGGAGTGGAGCTTTTCAATCGCAACGTGAGCGCAAAACTCCAGAAGTCGCTCACGGTCCTACACACTCAGTCGGCAGGTGAAGAGGAAGTAAAGAGCAATAAAGCCGTGCACATCGCGGGGTCCGCCACATTTTTATGCGCCATCTGCAGCTGGGCACCACGAGCAAAAATCGCTGGCTTCTGTCAATCTCCACATAGGCGCGGTTAGTCTCCGAAGCTTGCCCACAGCCGGCAACGTGCGCGCGGTGGAGCCGTGCTCTAGATGCTGGCTAGGCTAGGCGAGTCCCGAGTTGCTTTTTGGCGTCTGCGCCTGGTGTGAGAGGGCTGCATGTGAATTATGTGATTTGGTGGGTCGAGCGTGCTGGAGGTGATGATAAGCGAAGAGGGGCAGTCAATAAGAAGCCAAGGCATGAACATGTGTGGACGTAGAGAAAACACATTCACAAATCCGTGAACACGGAGGAGCTTCTTGGACGACCTTCCATCGCCACGTTCTCGATGTGCAGAAACTGTTTCTGTATATGCAGCTATGTGCACCGGAGGGCCCAAGAGCCCGGGACTAGGGAGCGAACGACAGGCGGGGCGCACAAGCAAGCACAGGCACAGATCGCGGCAGCAGGTGGAGCTGCGGAATGCTTCAGCAACAATTTTGTATAGACAGACTACAGGAGGGAGAGTAATGCCACTAGCTAACCCATCATCTGGACACCGCGAAACCAAACAGGAATAGAGTTGTCCACACGCCGTTCAAACAATAACGAGAAGAAAAGCTCAACATCGACTGCTATTTGAGCACACGACTCTTTCGAGCCACGAACACCAAGGAGCTGACCATCAAACTGTCAAGGCACTAGAGCAGCGACCTTGAACTGAAGGCTCAGCCTCCTACTCCGAGTCCTCCTCATCGCTGTCCTCCTGGTTGAGCCACTCGTAGAACTGCTCAGCAGACTTGCGCACAGTCTTGCTAACCTTGAGGTCAACGTACTTCTTGCTAGCCTTCTGGCACCAGGGCTTGAGCACCTCCTCGCTGATAAGATCGTTGTTGTAGATCTGGATCAGGATGGCGGAGACCTGGGGAATGAGCTCGGGCTTGTCGTTTCCAACAAACCGCTCGATACCGCCAAGGAAAGCCTTCTCGTGCTTCTCCGAAGTGATCAGCTTCTGCAGCATAGGAGCACGAGCCTCGATCTGCTTGACGATCTTCTCGCTGAAGAGGGTCTGGGGAATGACGGTCAAAGTGCGGTGCTTGGTCTCGATGCCAAGCTCCTTCGCCTTGAGATAGACCTCAACGCTGTCGAGCTTGTCGACACCGCCCTTCTCCTTAGCAGTGTCGATGATCCACTTGCCAAAGACGTCGTACTCGGAAGCCTCGGCGTCTTCCCCGCCCTCGATGACGAGTGCGCGCTTGAGATCGTCGGGAAGGTCCTGAGCACGAGCCTTGATAGCAGCCTCAGAAGTGTCGATGTGCCACTCAACCTCCTTGTTCTCCTCCTCAATGTCTTCAGCACCCTCTTGGATTTGTTTGGTGAGCTCGTCATCGCTGCCAGCCTCGATCTCCAATTCACCGTTGTTGTCGTCGTCCTCAGCACTATCTCCAGGACTACCACCGTTCTGCGAAACCTCCTCGCCCCTGGCCTCGGCCTCCTTGCGAGCGCGACGCTCAGCCTTCTTGGTAGACTTGTCCTTCTTGCCCTTCTTGGGCTCGTTCTTCACGATGAAGGTAGAGAGCTTGAGGCGAGGGTCGACCTCCGAGATCTTACCGCAAGCCTTGCAGTCGAGCGTGATGTTGCCATCCTTGATGTTGACCTCAGTCTCGGGGTTCTTGCACTTTTTGCAGAGAACAAACTTGGAGATGAAGCCATCGAGGTAGTCCTGAAGCTTGCTGGCGTCGTGAGCACCGTTGATGATCCAACGGTCATCGTTGGGGCTGGTGTTGGTCTGAGCACCAAGCTCGAAACCGAAGTACTTGATGACGTGAGCTGGAGGACGGGCCAAGGAGTTGGCAACGCTGGCCAGGTTCACGATGACGGTCTTGATGCCGTTACCCTTGCCTTCGATCTTAGACTGGAGGCGCTCCATCTTGTAGCGGTAGAAGGGGTCGGTGACATCGCGGCGAATGTTGACGGTAGCCATGGTTGCGGTGGTGAGGTTGACGTGTTTGGTATTGTTACTGGAGATAGGACGAGTGGGGTGGGGTCAGATCTGGAGTGCGTATGAAGGCTGTAAAAGACATGCAATAGCAGTCTCTTGTGTGTAGGTTGTGTGTTTGTGACTCGGGGTCAGGCAGGCACAGTATTAACCGTTGGTAGAGTGGTGAAGACTGCGCGGTATCCGCATACAGCGAAAATTTTGCAGTTTGGGGGGCGGTTCGACTCGGAAGGCGTGGAGTTGGCGCGAATACATATACCGCAGATATCGTTATCGACTCTGTGGTGGGGAGGGGTTGCTTCTGCGGTGCCTACAGGCGAATGTGGCGGTTGTGAGGAGTCGCGGGCGTGCGACTTAAAGGATGGATTTGCGAGTGCTTGTGTGCTGTTGCCAGTGAAGGACACTGGGTAGGGCGGATTTGCCTGATGGGTTTGCGCTGGGCGAAAGGTGTGAGTGTGTGCGGGCTTGGAGGAGTCGAGGGCAAGTTTTTAAAGGCGATGGTGGAGAAGCATCCGTGGCTCGAGCGCACGCCCAAACCGCGGCCAATTGCAGCGCCAACCGTGGAACGCCCAAGCAACCAGCGATGCACAACACGTGTATCACAAACAGCCGCTCGTCAAGTTGCAATCGTTTCCCAATCGCTACGTAGCCTTATTTTTTTTCCTGGTTGTAAAGACATAATTCCCCCGCACACCATTCAGTGTGAGACAAACAGTCCGGTTTGCGTGCCCGCCGATCACAAAGAAATTTCTCAACCAAATCCAAACGCCTGCCTAGAACAATCATGACTGTTTCAGGAGGACCACAGCCCGTTGCCGATGTTGCCGAATGTTACAGATTACCGCTGTAGACGTGAGCCTCGCCAACCACGTCCTCCTGACCCTTGGGAAGCTTATGGCAACTACCAGCTTTTGCAATTTGCACGCAAAAAATTAATATACTCTGATCAAAATCTCTCGTTGCTTACAAACACTCTTAATCTGAAGATGTCGCTTTGAACCAAGAATTCGAAATATTGATTTGCATCGCCGCCGGTGTGGGGTAGGCTGTCCCGCTGCAAAGTCAACGTCACTTCACACCCTCACCTACCAGAACAAAACAAGCATCTGTGATTGTGTGATTGAGCATACAACCAATTGCAAAGATGATCAGCCAAGTTGATTACTCGTTGTACCTTGTGACTGACTCGACAGAAGCCATCCTAGGCTCGAGGGATCTTGTCGAGGTTGTTGAGCAAGCCTTGCAAGGAGGTCGGTTGTACTTTCTTCTTTCCATGTATACTTTGTGACCAACACTGCTGGAGATCATCCGTTGACGATTTTTTCAGGTGTTACCATCGTCCAGTACAGAGACAAGACCAGCGACACAGGTGTTCTCATCTCAACAGCGAAGAAGCTACACGAGAAATGCAAGCAATACAATATCCCACTCCTCATCAACGACAGGGTCGACGTTGCACTCGCCGTAGGCTGCGAAGGAGTTCACCTTGGCCAAGATGATATGAACATCGTCGAGGCACGCCGTATCCTAGGAGATGACAAGATCATCGGCGCCACAGTCTCCTCAATCGAAGAAGCCAGAATAGCCGTTGAGCGAGGCGCAGACTACTTGGGAATCGGGACCCTCTATGCTACCCAGACCAAGAAGAACACCAAGGACATCATCGGCGTAAACGGCCTCAGGAACATCTTGAGCTACCTGGACGAAGCGGGCGAAAAGAGCAAGAATGTCAAGACCGTATGCATCGGCGGCGTCAACGCATCCAATGTCCAGCGCGTCATTCACCAACTATACGCTCCTCGTTCTCCCTCATCGAAGCCCAAAACCATCGACGGCGTCGCCATAGTCTCCGCCATCGTCGGCGCCAAAGACCCCAAAAGCGTATCGTCCCACCTGCAGCACCTCATCAAATCCTCTCCTCCCTTCTCCAAATCTACCGACCCCACCTTCTGGCTTGAAAAGAATGAAGATGAGATAAAAATCCTTGTTTCCACCGCCGACAAGGCCACCGCCTCCGTGCACACCAAATCGCCCCTCAGCCATAACATGACAAACCTCGTTGTCCAAAACTTCGCCGCAAACGTCGCCCTCGCCATCGGCGCGTCCCCCATCATGGCCAACTATGGCGAAGAAGCATCCGACCTCTCACGCTTGGGCGGCGCTCTGGTTGTCAATATGGGCACCGTAACCCCCGAAGGGCTGTTGAACTACAAGAAAGCGATCACTGTGTACAACGCCGCGGGCGGACCGATTGTGCTTGACCCTGTGGGCGCGGGCGCGACGAGTGTACGGAGGGATGCGTTGGGGCAGTTACTTGGGGCGGGGTATTTTGATCTGATTAAGGGGAATGAGAGGGAGATCATGGCGGTGGCGAGGGCGAGTGGGTTTACGCTGGACGACTCGAGTCAGCAGCGGGGTGTGGATAGTGGGGATTCGCTGTTTAGTCTTGGACAGAGAGCGTATCTTGTTAGAAGGATTGCGCTGAGGGAGCGCAATATTGTGCTTATGACGGGCGCGACGGATGTTGTCAGTGATGGCGTGAGGACGTATGCTATCAGTAACGGACATGCGTATTTGGGGAAGATTACGGGGAGTGGGTGTACGCTGGGGACTACGCTGAGTGCGTATTTGGCGGTGTGGCCGCAGGATAAGTTGCATGCGGCTGTTGCGGGGATTTTGCATTACGAAATTGCGGCGGAGTATGCAGCGAGGAGGGAGGATGTAAAGGGTCCGGGGACCTTTGTGCCGGCATTCATTGATGAGTTGTTTGCAAGGGGTGGGTTGGTCAGTGAGGGGAAGGAGAGCTGGGGCAAGGATGCGAAGGTGGAGTGTTTGAAGGACATTCCTGATGCTGGTTTGTTGAAGGATGTTTAGGCTCGACATAGCTGTAGGTAGGAAGGTACATGTTGCAATGGCGAATACTCGGCTCTTCCTACTTCTGTCCTTCATGCGTCGACCTGAATCTTCATCCCAAAGTCATTGAGAGTATCCACATACTGCTCACCAAGCGTCGCAGGCGTGAGAATCCCGCCTCCCAACCTCCCAGCCTCTGTCTCCTCAAGCCTGCCTCTCAGGATGACGTTCGCAGCAGCAGCCAGCGTAATTGCTGTAGCCCCGTATCCGCCATGGCCGACGTCCAACTTCGCTGTAACCTTCTGCCCGCTGCCCTCGGCGACACCTACACCACGGTAAGACATAAAGTCGTTCTTCATGCTCTCCCTCGTAGGACCCTCGCCAGACGCAGGGATCAAGAACCTCTTGAACAGAGGTGCGAGGATCCAACGTGTAGGTGGCAGCACGAGAAACAGTCCGACGATGCCCAAAGCGAACTTGACAATAAGGCCTTGGATAAGAGATTTGGCTCGCATGTATTCATTGAAGCGGAAGCGCGGGCCATAGCCGTACAGGCCGGCAGAGCGATGCACGATGCAGGCGTCGACGCCTGCCATGAGGCCTGTAGTCTGCAGACCACCAAGCTCAGCAATATTGGGCAGACCAAGCAGACCGCCATTGGGACTACCAGTGGGCTTGTCTAGTTGTTTGTCGAATTTGGTCGGGCTGAGAGAGTAGGGATGCATGCTCTTTCCCAAGTGTCCGAGGGAGTAGTTGCTAAAAAGCTCCAGCATGGTCAGACTGGTCCCACCAGAAATGCCGCTCTTGAAGTCGTAGAGGGTCATGATGACACGTTCGCAATCTGCTTGGAACTTCTTTCGCACTGCACGAGCGAGGACGTAGGCCATGATGTCTGCGGGTACGGAGTCGAGACCTGCCTCTGGGATGATGATGCTCTTGTTGGATTTTGCAAGTGCATCATACTTCGAGATCATGTCGTAAATCCAGGGCACCTCACCAGTGGAATCCAGGTAGTGAGTGCCATTGGCGGCGCAAGCAGCGAGAACGGGCTCGCCATAGTGCATGAAGGGACCGACAGTGGTGATGAGAAGCTTGGTCTTCTTGACGAGGGTGTTGAGCTGGTCTGGCTCCAATTCGCAGGTCTCGACGTCTGGCAGCTTGCGGTTTGCATTGAGCTTCTTCAGCTCATTAACCACACCCTGAAGCTTCCTCGCATTACGTCCAGCAATTGCCCACTTCAGGTCTTCTGGCAGGTGTGTACTGATCCATTCTGCGACCAATTTTCCAGTGTAGCCGGTAGCGCCGAGCAGGATGAGCTCATATTGGCGATTGTTCTGTATCTGAGCCATGTCTTCTTCGATTGTCTTCGATGCAAATGAGTACTGCGCGGCAAGGTGTGGTTTGACGAAGAGGTGGGACATCGGACAGACGAAAATGCTTCCTTACTCGAAATCTTCGAAATGCCGGACGAAGCTCTAGATGTGGAAGGCCAATGAAGTCATGGACCGAGGTAGGAGCTAAGCACATTGATACGTGCTCTGCAGGTTCCTGTCACGCCACATGATGTACTCATTGTCGCATACTGACATATGGTAGTTGCAGTTAAGCTTGAACTGCTCTCAATTTCAGTACAAGCAGAGTGTAAGATGTGCTGGTGCCCGCGGGCACAGTAAGATGATCATTCTAAGCTACGACCAGTACGGTTAGCGCAAAACAAGAAGCGCGAGAAAGAGCGCACAACAACGAGACGCTGTCTCACACACCACAAACATGAATATGTGACCAGCACAGCATTCCTGATCTGCGCCACCGCGCTCTTACCAGGAGGTCACGCGACATACCCTCTGCTATATTGTGGAAACCAGAGAGCGTCAGAAGTCCTGTCGACGCTTGGAGGGGTCAAATTGCCCACCATGTTATCTGCAGCGTCGCTGACAGCTCGAAGACTTGCAGATTACAGAAAACGACGGTTCCGACGCGCATCGTCTATCACTAGCGGCGCATCTGCTTGTTCCCAAGCAGTATCGAATCGTTTGTACCGAACGGCTGCCATCCGGCGCTTACACAGCCGCGAAGCACTTAGATGTAGAAATACAAGAACCTTACGTTTCCGCACACATACCTGAAGGGCTCCAGACCCACGAGTTGCGCGACGAACGCGTGTCGAGACTACCAATGGTTCTCACCATCGGCCTTGTTCGAATCGTGTCGAACCGCCTCGAGCTTCTACCCACACTGCCTAGTTTGAGCACGCGTGAAGTTCCGATAATTCGAGCAACGAGACCTACAGACTGAGCGCGCGTAGTTCCACGGAGCGAGTGTTGGCTTCGGACTCTTGAAGACTACTTAGCAAGCAACTATCTGCGAGACTAGGATGTCTTACGATACGCCTCACACTGTCAGAGGATGGCGACCTGGACAACTTGCTGCCTAAGCACGAGGACCGCCTGCAAACGCGAACACCTTAGTCTGTACTTCTCAGAAAATCAGAGTGCAATCGTACGAGGAATCAGCCGAGCGCAATATCCAAGACAACCGATAGACCAGCATGGTTCCAGCGTTGTCAGGGAGCCATTGAATCACGAAAGCAACGAACTTGAATCATGTTTGCATTCCAAGCATCCACCCGGTGATTCTGACAAGTCATATGGCTCACCCGTTTAGAACGCTGTGACACGTGGTAAGGTAAGCCTCAAGTCCGGCGGCTGATGTGCCTTGAAAGGCTGCATCACCAACGGTGCTCTCTTTGGGCTAAGAGATTTTCCTGCCTGCAAAGGGACGCGCACCAACTTGACTAACCGTCGCGAAGGCACACATCACGAGTTTCGCAGGGTTGCGCTACTGCCTGTGGTGTGTGGCTGATGCAGGGTGGGCAGGTCAATGAGAGGATCCATGCAGGTGCATTGGCCAAGAGGACGCTAGCGGTACTACTTAAGCTCGCCCCTCCGACTCTCGACCTTCCCCATCTTCAACTTATGAATCGCGTCGAACAGCCTTTCCTTTCTTCCACCTCTTCGAACTTTCAAAACAATGGCCGAGACTTGTATAGTCTGCCTCGGCGATCTCGTCCACCCAGACGAAGGTCGTCCCGCCACCGAGGTGCCATCAGCGACCGAATCGCTTGCGGATGGGGCTGATGCCAATCCTGGTAACCCTGACACGTTCACTACGACAGCTTTAGAACAACCAAAAGATGATGAGATGGTTGCACACCTGTTACCATGTGGTCACAACTTACACAACGAATGCCTCAAACCCTGGGTGGAGAGAGCCAACAGCTGTCCGATATGCCGAGCCAGCTTCAATATGGTCGAGCTCAGTGCGCGCGTAGGAGGTATGTCAATCCGTGATGTTACGAGATGGCGAGCTGCAAAGTTTGGTGGTTGCCTAGCTACTGGCTAAATGGTCAGTCGAACTCGACCCAGCCCTTACGCGATCGAATGCTGCAGCAGCAGTGTCATGCTTAGCAGTTGATCACCTCAGGACAACCTACTAACTACGCAACAGGTCCCAAGCTATCCGAATATGCTGTCAAAGATAGGCAACAAGTCGCCGACATCGACCCTTCCATGATCGTCGATGAGGACTACGCACTTGAGGATGACGGAAGCTATGACGCATGCATGGTCTGTGATGAGTTTGGCGACGCATCACAGCTTATGTTCTGCCACAGCTGTGAGCAACTTTGCCACGTTTTCTGTGCTGGCCTGGACGAGATGCCGACACGCGGCGCCTGGTATTGTCAAGGCTGCATCGAGAACCCAGCTCTCCTTGAAGCAGCAACCCGCCGACGTACCAACCCTCGAGGTCCTGCAGCCTGGATCAATGGACGCAGTCGCGTACCTCGACACAACCGAGCTCCAGACGAATGGGTTGGGGTGTGGCAGAGCGTCTGGAATCGACTGCAATGGGACATTGACTTTCCTTTCGAAGATGAGGATCAGTCAGAGAATCAATCCGAAGTTCTCAGACGCGAGGCACACGAATGGGAGCGACGCTTCGAGCTTGCTCGCCAGATGGGTGCAGGCACTCGCTTTCGCGCTGTCGCCGACAACATCCACTCGCGTCGCCGAGGCTCGAACCGATCCGCACGACCAACGAACCGATCACTTCATCGCGAACCACCCAAGACACCCAGAGACCCTGAGTCACAAGAGGAGATCAGCGCTTGGAATCAATTTGAAAAGGCACGAAACCAACTTGCGCAGTTGGGAGACGTCCCGGCGCCACCTGAGAGCACCACCAGCAGCCGACGAGGGCGCAAGCGAAAGTCTGCGGACTCATCACCTGCTGGCGCCGAGCCTGTTGAGCAACAACCAGAGCGCAAGCTGAAACGCCCGCGAACGCGCCTACACATCGACAATGGAAGGGGTGAATCGTCCACCGCGGCAGCCCGCCGCAGCACTGTCACTCATGAAGGCGGCCAAGAACCAGCTACATCACCACCAGCAGGCGAGTCATCAACTGCTCCCGGCTTTCTCGCTTCTCTATTACAGGAAGTCGAGGTCGACCGCTTTGCCGAACGCGACAAAGAGATCGCCGCCCCACAGCCCAAGCGCATCATTGTGGAGCGAGCGTGCTCACCCCAGCACTCGTCTCCCGGCCTATCCCCGGTGTACCAACAACCTCGTGCTGGCATGACCACACCGCCGCCCCTCAACCTCACACGTCCCAAGTCACCCGTGGAACAGGACCAGGGATCGCCGACATATTCTCCGTACTCACCGGCCGATGATGAGCGAGTCGGTCGTCGCAGGCTAACGCACCGCACCGCCGGCCTCAGCAGCCCGCCCCGGTCAAAGGACTCGTCACCCTCTCGACCGCCAACGCTCTCGTACTCAACCAAGGCTGAGCTGCAACGCATGGTCACTGCTGTTCTGAAGCCATTGTACCTGAAGAAGGAAGTCACTAAGGAGGAGTATACTGACATCAATCGTGACGTCTCACGCTTGCTGTACGACAAGGTCGGTGATGCTGGCGCGGCTCCTTTGGCAGATCAGGAGACCAGGGAGAAGTGGCAGCGCATGGCGAGTGACGAGGTTGATTGTGCCATCAAAGCTTTGCGCACTGCTGGCGTAGTAGCACTTTCGCCTGCCGCCGAGGACTCTGCATCGTCCTCGTCATGATAGCGTTTCGTGATTTTGTTCTGCTTGTTTAGCGCTTTGGGATATGGCGCATAGGTGGCATCGAGATACCATGGGATATGGCGTTATTGTACCGTAGATCATGTTTTACGATGGTTGGAGATGAATGACATCTCGTATGGCTCCCCCGAGGGCTCTCAATGCTACCACCCTTTTCCGTAACGGACTACTGATAAGTACTGTCCTACGAACGTTTATATCCCCTTTGATATCCTAACCATCCGACAAGAATATCGAACGCATGTTCCCAGTCCATCCCTCATCTCTTAACGCAGTGGCATCGAAGAGGCATCAGAGTTAGTTGTCTTTGTGATTCGAACTTGTCTGACGTTTCACCGAGCTTTTTCTTGAGCTGCGGTGGAGTGAGGAAGACCTGCACTGATGTGCTGATGGGTAAGAGCGCGGATAGTGGAACGGCGTAAAAGTGAAAAGGAGGAAACATACTAGTGGAAGGCATATCGAAGACGCATTCACATTGAAGAAACTAGGATGTCCGGTTTGTCATATACGCTGACTTAGATACGTAGAGAGACAAAGGCCATGCTTCGCCCCTAGAAAAGCGTACATACCGATTTACTCAAAGTTATCAGAACGTCAAGCGATCCTAAATGATCTGGGAGGAAATTTTGTGAACATGCTTGGCGGCCAGGCAGGCGCCATTCCAATCCTCTCGTAGGCGCCTGGTATTCTGGACGATTCACCCAGGAGGAGAACATTTGCTCTCCCTTGTATGTTACCAAGTAGAATGCATAAGCATTTACATTCCCAGGTCTGTTGGGGCAATTTCATCCCGTAGGGCACTCGCTCGATGGTTCCATCCTCCAGCAGAGATAGTTCTCGTTGGACTGGACGCAAGGCAACGTCGGCCCATACTGGCATCGGTGTAGACTGGTTGTTTCCCAGGACAGTCGTGCAGTGGTAGCGATATGTGGTTATTGGTTCTGCTGATTTTGTATAAGGGCGTTCGATTCGGCACCGAATCAGAGCAAAGTTCCAAAAAGCGTACACTGTCAAGACGCCAGTTACTGGTTCCACATTCTGGATGGAAACCTTGATGAGGTAAGGGTCATTTTTCTGAAGCCCGTCCAGAGGCATACATTGTCCAGAGTTGATCGGACCATCAATACTTGCCCAACTCCAACTGGGGGCGTAGTACTGGGGATGCATGCGGCAGCTATGCCCTTCAAGACCATCCATGGCAGTAAGGGCTTGCCAGGCTAGACTTTCGCTAAGAGAGTCTTTCCACATACCCCAGATCGGAACCCATCCGCGTGCACTGGCAATCCGTTGCATGACCGAATGAATGGCTGGTAACCTATCCGAAGATTTCGTGATATCCCTTCTGGTAAATTCATCAATGAGAGTCCACCAACCATCAGGTGTTATGTCATCAAGTCGAGCGGACCAAGAAGGGCTGGTGACGTGTTGGCCGTAACCTTCCCAGACGGAGTGTTGACGGCATTCGAACTTAAGCGCAGATGGAGTGAAGGTTACAGTCCGCGCAGCGAGCAGGCGTTCTTGCCAGATCCATGCTCTTGTAGAGACTCTGCCGTAGTTTCCCCCTCGTGACTCTGTGCCCAGCGGGTATGGTCGTCGCCGGAATCGTAAGGTCTGCGAACCGATCTGGTCGTGTCCAATCTGCAGATTATAGCTTCCCCATTTTTCGTCTCTTTCCACGATGATGTCGTCCATTTCTGTGTCTGCAGATGCCGTTGTAATGCTTATGGTCGCGTTACCATAGTACTGACCCATCTTTGGCGCTTGCGTATTCCAATCCTTGCTATCGCCTTGGATGATACACAGGCGATCGATCCAGATGTAGTTGATCCTAAGTATTTGAGCATAACTGATGATGCATATGAAGAGAGGCGGCAAGTCAGAAGCTTTGATGCCAGCTAGCCTATCCGCAAAGGTTGCTGCATTTGTAAGGAATGTATCAGGCTGCAGAGGACCCCAACAATAGCTCAGCGCGATATATTGCGCATTGACGTCCTTGGGCTCTACTAAGCGAATATCTCCGCTATGATCAGGATTGACCCAGATGACGCGATCGGGCAACCGAGGCATTCTGCTCCCACAATTGTGATTTTGCAGACACGTTGTGGCTTGATACGAGACAAACCTCAGGCATTCAAGATCTCCGCTGTGTGATGGAATCTCACTGGCAGCACCTATGTGGCTCACCAAAGGGCCTAGAATCGAATCTGCTAGACCTGTAGGCAAGCATCAGAAATGAACCTTCAAATTAAGGTGAAGTATAAATACTGACCGTTGTTCGGTTGCGGTAATTCTGGCCGATATATTTCGAACTCGACCTCTTCCTCGAAATTGCCTGTTGAATCCGGAACTCTCACTTTGGCTTCATGATCGAGAGATCCGCCAAGGGATTCGTCCCATACTGCTTCCAGTTTGACAGATCTTCCATTGACCCATCGCACAACTACTGGTAGATTGAGACAGAGGAAGACTTCGATAAAGGATTCCTCGTTCTCCCAGCCTGAGCGGATTGAGTTGATAGCGTTACCAATCAATCTACAGTAAATGCATCCGGATGATACACTAGTTAGAAGCTGTGATGAATTCATGCGAAGCTTTCGACTTGGCGTTCCTACAGCAACATTGTACTCCCTCCTGGCCCAGTCGTCGCTCTCCCGCTTCGTGTCGATAGGAATCTTGCGTGCGTCCAGGGAGAAACAGGTATAGCAGGGCAGAGCCAGCTGTGCTTGTAAAGTGTTGGCACCCTCGCTCACATTCCCGCGATTCGCTATTGGGGGGACAGTCATTTGACCCTGGGAGGTCCCAGTAGACGAAGCTGCTGGCACGATGAAGGACGAGTCTTCTAGCGCGAGTACGTTTGGTGGAACATACGTTGAAGCAGCCGCAGCGTCTCCAGGAGATAATTCAGGGCAAGTTTCGGCACTTCTCTCAATATCGTGCTGCTGCATCGACAGTTGTTCAGAACACTCCCGGTATTTGGCCGTGTGATTTGGTATCGTGTCAGAGCTTCCGTCGACATCATGGTGGTTGGTTCTCGAAGCCTCTAGTGACCGTTCTAGCTGTGTTGTGGCATCGAGAACGATCTCTCGCGCGGTGGTCGAATTTGAGAACACGGCCCCCATAGCCGGCGCGGTGCCTCCTTTACCGTCACTGCGTCGACTCTGCTGCCGCAACTTGTACAAGAATCTTTTCATTTTGGATCTCGGTTTCTTGGTGTTTAATGTCGAATGGTGCTTCTCTGGCGAGAGGTAAACCGACGCGACCCTCTTCACAGATCTCTTCGCTAGCGATCGAGACTGTCAGTGTAGAGTAGCAATAGTAGGAGATGGTCTGCCCAGAAAAATATGTTCTGGAAGCGATGATGGTTTGAGAGATCGATTCGTGGGGCACGTTGGTGCCTGAGGGCTTGGCTACTTTCTATGTCACCTGGGCCGCGGGTCATCTGACTGCCGTTGTACCCTTGTACTTCCTATTCGAGGTCTTCCGGCTCAGCTTCAGCCTTCTGAGGCATGTCAGGAATACATCCCTCCCTATTCAAGTTATCATACAAGGCTATCGCAGCAAGCGCCTTAGCATCACGTCCCGCGTCTCTCCAAGCCCTACTCAACGGCACAAGCTTGAGTGTAATGTTCTCACCCTCGTCGCGCAAACCCGTAGCCTTGTCTTTAAGCCAGTTCATGTGACGTCGAGTGAGCCGCTTCTGGCAGAGGAAGATCGGTATGAACTCGTCGCAAGCACCAACGCTTGGGTACATGGAGTTCTCGACACTCTCAGATCCCTTCGCCGCCACATTGTTGTAATTTGATGTCCACGGTACAACGGAAACATCTTTGAGGGCGAGTTCTGACATGTTGAGAAGATCACTCCCCTTTACTTTCAGGTTCGCCTCTTCTTCGATTTCGCTCGCTGCTGCGCCCTTGAGCGAGCCGCCGTCTAGCATACCCGCTGGTATCTCGGTGAATGCTAGTGAGCCTGCGGCGATGCGGGGTTGGACTGTCAATATAACGTGCTTCTCGTCCTCTCCTTGCGCGTCCTCTGGTTGCACAATGATCTCCACATTTATGGTTAGCACAGTTGATAACCTCTGGAACGAGTACCCACCAGCACAGCGACACTCCCACCTCGCAGAAACACAGCTCCAGGAATCCAGTCTGCTCTCGCCTTCTCTTCTCCATCGTGGACGTAGGGATCAGTCTCGATCTTCGATTGGATCTTCATGAAGCCGAGCTTGTCTTCATGGCCTGAGCGGTCTCTCCAGAACCAGTCTACGGCCTGGACTTCGAGCGTTCGTAGCTTATAGGGGTGCTTATGGAAGGGATGAGCTTCATCCTGTTGGAGATCGAAGTTGTGGAGCAGTTTTGAAAGCCAATTGTCTAGAGCGGGAAAGGTGAATGCTGTCTTGGGGTTTGATGGTGATGTCAAGAGCTTGTCGAACTCTGCTGGGGTGAGACTGTGGGGTAGATGCACTTGGACTGGCGGCTCGAATGTGTAGTGCTTGTACTGGCTGACAGTCGTCATTGTGTATCAGGAAACTAGTTCAATGAAAGAAGTCGCAAATTGAGAGCCCTTTAATTGTAGTCGAAAGAGTGAGGGGCAGAGATGGACTGTAGACGGCATAAGTGCAGAGACGTGGAATCGACAACCAAGACCTTTGTATGCTTGGTGTCACGATCGTAGGCTGTAGCACCTGCCTAGAATTGGATCTGATCACGAGATGATGCGCTGCCTGTGCCTGAAGGCGAGGAGACCGCAAGGCGCTAGCGAAAATTACGAGGATTACAGCGACTGGCTGTTGTAGGAGCGAAGGAGCTTGGATGCGGCGAGCTCGCGCCTTCCTTCAGGGTCGCGACTGCCCCACCTTCCCGTATCATCATTGCCCTAAATCCGTGTCCGCCACTCGGTGGGCAAATGCCGATTATTAACACAGCAGCATTAGCCTACCGTTAATCTTGTTTGACTATGTTGACCTTCTGAATGACTCTCCTTCCTCTGTTTTAGTATCGTCACAATCATGGGCACGCTTACCGCTGATTGCCCGCGTCTGGACGCGCATTGTGACCACAAGCTTGCGACATCATGTCGATTGACTTCCACACCCAACTGCTGTGCTTGTGCAGATGAGCGGGCTCACAGTTTGACCTACAGGGTGTACATTGATGGTATTGGTTTCGTACAACGAGGAACGAGGTGGCAAGGCTACTGTTGGTTCTGCAAAGGTGGTCACTTCCTCCTTATGTACATCTAGAGTACACTTGCTGACCACACTCAGAGTTCTGGAGCAATCGCCTCGCAGCCACCGAACCCCCACTCGAGATTTCTCAAACATGCATACCCGAGATACCAGACCAGAAGGAGTTTCTCGACCGATGGTTCGAGTTCCATCAAGGCTACCGAATTGCGAGGCGTCCTGATGGCACCGAACAACGCATTGCAGTTATTGGAGAGCCTTTACATGAAGTCAGTCCTGGTTTCCTACCGCGAACATTAGACCAGCTACGAGCGGGCATTGAGAACGATGCAAGGAGACCAGAGAACAGACTGAGGCGGCGACGGCTGACGTCTGAAGACGAAAGGCCTGCTGGGCCGCAGCAGAGCCTAGAAGATGCTCTCGACAGCCTGCTTGAGGCGGAATCAGATGACGATAGCCCAGATAACGAGACACCAACGACCCTGGAGCAAGTGGTTTCCAATACCACTGAGTCACCGCAGCCGCCAGTGAACGATTTCATAGGGCCACTGAGCCTAGCTGCGTCGCGGCGGCAGCGAGCGCAGGAGCGATTTGCTCGTGTCTTTGGGACTGTTGAAGATGTGCAACAAGACGATTACGAGTCACCGTTGTCGAATATGTATAATCGCGCATGGAACCGCTATCGTCAGGCTGAGGACTTACGCGCCGTTGGCGACACGGAAGCTCCTCCTCTGGAAGGTCTGTCAGTTCAGGTGCGTCGAGAGATTGAAGATCAGCTTCTGTGGGGCGTAATGCGGGAGTCGCAAATAGGCCAGGAGCCAGAAAGCAACGTCTGGAGCTACGCTCCCGTTGGCAGTAACCACAACCCTGAGATGAGCGTTGGCAATGTGACCATCACTCCGCCTTGGGCGAACTTCCCGGCCACGAGCGCACCTCCGACCGAGCCTATTGCGACAACACCCTCCTCCACGGGTGGTTTGTCAGAGGTTCGTCTGTCTCTCGAGCAGATCACGAGCGAGCTGCAACGCCTGCGCTTGGCTTCAGAGGCAGTTTCCTCTGCTCGCCATGCTTTGCACGCTCATCGTGCGCCTGAACGACCTTTTCCAACCTTAGACAACCAGCCCGACCGACCACCACCGAAGACAGATTTAGAGATGACAAAGACCCTGGCCTGCCAGGTGTGTTATCAGCAATTGGCTGATATCGCTGTGTTACCCTGCGGTCATATGGTAATGTGCGAATGGTGTGCGGATGTCGTCGTACCTGTCAAGCACTCGCATATACCAGTTAGGCCGTCGAAGTGCCCCATGTGTCGAAAGCAGGTCAAGCAGAGATTCAAGATTCACACTGGTTGATCAGTAGATGCTTGCGACCACAACGAACCCCAGTACAGCATACGAGCAACGAGACCTGGGTGACTACCAGCGACGGCGACGACTCGCTACGATCGAACGCAGAACTATACGAGCAGAAGTATGAGTTGGATCCGTGAGAGTACTGAGCAGACCATCTAAAACTCGCAGGTAGTCCTGCCGATGCCATCGCTGATCACCCTGGCGCAGGTAGTCTGCTCTGATAGGCTCTTGCCCCGTCCTCGAATCAGTATCAGCATGCTCTGGGCTTGCTTTCCGCTCCATCAAGTTGAAGTTCGCGATAGGAAGACATGATGATAACGAGGCATCTAGAAAAGTTCAAGGTGTTTCTGCGGATCACAGAGCCATCGAGGTCCGGCCCTTCTCAACGTTCGTGCCAAGTTTGTATTCGATGGGATAATTCATATTTGAGGTTATCGGAACAAAGACATTCTCGATGAGCGCATACGTTGCCACATTTGAGATACTACAGGCTAAATTCTTCAAGACGTACGATCAGTAATCTCAGTATTCTCCAAACCGTTGTTGTCTCGCCAACGTTGTTTCGGCCCTTTTCCCAGTTTCTTAACGTTGAGTGCATTCTTACTCATCATTTTGACTGCTTCTCTGTTAGACACGTCTGCGACACTCGCCACCGTAATCATATCATGTTACACAGCCCTACAAAGCAGCCTCATGCCGAGGAAGTCCGGCACTTACTCGATCCGGTAGCACGGAACGAAGGTCAGAGACAACACCTCGAGCAACAGAGGCAGACCCAACTGCCGAGAAGGCGGGTATTGCTTTCGTCCAAAACATGATCAAGTGGATGAAGTATGACGATGACGGCAAGAATTATGTACAGGTCACATCGCCCAGACGAGGCTGCGCCGATCACGAGCTTTAAGATACACTGACAAGCCTTACGGCCAGGGAACGAAACAACCACATTGCAACAATCCGCAGCTCCGCTTGAAAACTCGAAATGAGCCAACTTGGACAAGTCCGCATTAGGCATAAGGCACCGAACTTCCACTGTGAAGCAGTCGTCGGAGGCGCCATTCAAGGTACGCAGTTTTCCTCAATTCATTGTTGCGCCATTGCTGACCCATTCGCAGAAGTATCGCTGAGCACCTTCATCGCCCTTCGATCACCAGGCACGCCCGACCCGGATAAACCTTGGCTACTCTTACTCTTCATACCAGCCGCTTTCTCCTGCGTTTGTCCCACGGAGGTCATTGCCTTCCAGAACTGCTATGATGAGGTCTGCGACAGATACTGCAGCATCGCTTTCGTATCTGTTGATACGGAACATTCTTTGTGGCACTGGCAGAACGTACCGCGCCAGTACGGCGGCCTGGGTAATATCGACATACCATTGTTGAGCGACGCAACTCATAAAATCGGCAGGGACTACGGTGTGCTTGTTGAAGAGGAGGGTGTTAGCCTGAGAGGCGTGTTCATTGTCGATGGGGAAGGACTTGTCCAGCAGGCTTGTCTCACCTGCCTCGTGCAACATGACTTCTGATCCTTGGATACAGCTAGTTGACCAGAGACGTAGATCACATTGAACAACCTCACCGTCGGACGGAGTGTGCGAAAGCTCTACGTCTTCTAGAAGCGTTCCGAGCCGTTGCAAAGCATGGTATCCTATGCCCTATCGACTGGAAGCCAAGCTCACATGCCCCGGACACGCTCAACACCATTTCCAATACGCTCATAGAATCCTACGAGGACCGACTGGCCAACCTGCAGAAAGGTACGTACATGCTCGCCTTCGTACGGGACAGGATCTAACAATTCTGCAGAATTTGGTGATGTTGAAGTTACGGACCTGGATGCAAAGCACCGAAGCAATGCTAGTATGGGAAGTGTGCCACATGCGGAATTCGTGGATACCCCGGGTCCAAAGGTCAAGCTCACCGCCGAGTCCTGGCCATACCAACTGCGCACCTCGAGTATCAGCAAAGCCGCCTCGGGGGGAGTCAATCAATCAAGAATCAGGCAAATCAAAGCAGTCACACCCTCTCAGCCCGATCACTGCGGTTGCTACTCCAGTCACCACGCTGAGCACTCAGGAAGTGCCACTCCTGAAGCTGCACACCCAGGAGCGGACCGCCCGCCACAGTCTAAGTACGCCCTTCCACGAAGACATAAGCAAGATCTTCTCCTTCTCCTCGCCCTCCCTTTTTCGTGAATATCCACCTTCCGAATCCCTATCCCACTCGGAGTAGTAGACTGACAGGGCACCAGCCACACCTCCGCGCACCACAACCAGAAAGCGCACTCTGCTCAGCCAAAGTGATCAATACGTCTAGGTCGGCGCCCAAATACACAGGAGCCCCAGGGAGGGCCGCATGCCGTCCTGGAGTTTGCGAATCCGACGCTGAGTCCGATGGTCAGTCCGAGGGTGGAATTCAAGGCCCAATCGCCAGCCTACGATTCGCCATCACAGGACGAGCCCGCCGCCTCTCTTGCCCAGTATAAGCAGGAACAGCGCCCCTGCCCTTAGTCGTGCTACGAGCTGGAGTGGTGTGCTGAAGCGCGAGGGCAGCAGCACTGGTACGCCTGGACTCACGCCAACAATCAGCAATGGAAGCGCAAATGGTACTGGCCAGACGAGATCACAGGCGACCTTCCAAGCGATCAAGAAGATGAGTGCTGGCCTGAGCAGCCCACGATTCGATTGTAGTCCAAGTATGCAGAAAGGGGACGGTGAGAGGAGTCCGGGGTACTTCGACGTCACCACCGAGGAGCATGAGAGCTACCATGGAGCACTGGAGAGGAGCGGAGACGGAGACGGAAAGGGAAGGTTGGATGGAGACACATTCGCTAGCTTTCAGTTTGTTAGTGGTTTACTGCACGGCGTAATAGTGATACATAGACGAGACTAAGAAAAGCATGTCGAGCTCGTGTAACACTGCTCCTGATAAGCTTTTGTTGAATGGAAGGAAGGTGGATCGTACATGCGCGACGCTGAATTAGAATGGGTATATCGATCGTACTACAGTTTACTCCTCACCCCTTCCACCGGCAGCGCTCCGCTCATCAACGCCATATCCTCCTCTCCTCCTTCTCTCCCGTACAAGACCACGTCTCGTCCGCCTTTCGTCGTCCACCACGCCACAGCCACACCGCTGCGCTCCGCATCCATCTCCCCACTAACCAGCACCTCCCAGAAGCGTGCTTTAACCACGTCTCGCATCTCGTGATCGTGGATCGAGTTGAGTAGTTGCGCGCAGAGTGGTAGCCACTCGTATAATAGATTGATGGTGAGGAAGGGAAGTGCGTCCAACAGAGTGAGAGCGAGGACTGCCTGCTCGGAGAGCGCGGGAGGAGGGGCGTCGGAACCTTGTAAAGCGAGGGCTACGGCGTCAGTCGGTAGTGCAGTCGTGGGCGCGTGCAGCGCTCTGTAATGCACAAGCTCTAAGAGGGTAGCTGGGAGGTCGGGGTGTGTCGCTGATAGAGGACTTGGCGGCGCAGTAACCCTCATTAGCGTCTTGAAGGCGAGTCTGAACTGCCGCGCAGATAGGGAGGTGGGGAACGCAGAGAATAGTGCGTCGATGTAGAACGGTAGGTGCTTTGCTGTCACCTCTGCGCTTTGAGGGGCCGAGAGGACGGAGAGCATGACCGAGTGTGCGGCTTCGAAGTTCGGCATCAACCCCGGGGCGGAGGAGAATGACGCCAAGTAGGGCACAGCGGCTGCGACGAGGAGGTCCTCGTTCACCGAGGCGGGAAGGATGAGGGAGAAGTGTTCGCTGGTGTTGAGGAAGTAGAGGTCTAGGATCCGGTCCAGTGGGTGTGAAGGAATGGATCCGAGGTGTGGAGGGGCGATGAGAGAGAGGAATTTTGTCGAAGCGGTGGGATGTGTGGAGAGGATGTCGATGGCGGTTAGGTAGACGAATGTGTGCTGCGAGAAGGACGCCGGTCCGAGGCGAGAGGTTATGAAGTACAAGTGGCGGAGGGTGTGCAGCGCTTGAGAGGCTACAACGGGTGCTGTGGCGTCGGATGCGAGGATTGGATCGCGAAGAGTGCGGGTGAATACGCCTCGCAGGATGACGGTTATCGCGAAGAGGGCTGCTTTGAGGAGTTTCCATAGCTGGGGCGTTGTCTTGTGCAGTGCTTCTTCCTCAAGGTGTGCTGCTTCGTCCGAAGGGTCGATGTCGGAGAATTTGATTTGCCGCCATTGCGTTGTGAGAGCGCGGGAGAAGCTGGCCAGGTCGTCCATCATAGTCTGAATGATCCAAGGACTCTGCGCGTTCTCCACCGCATGAGCAATGAGGCGTGACAGCGGGCCCATAGACGCCACCAGCGGTCTGGCAAGGATGGCTTCAACCTGCCGACATGAGCTGGATGTTGCACTCCAGTCCAGCTTCCCACCCTGCGCGACCCTTACGTCTAGATCCAGTCCACCAAGGAAGTACGCGCTCTGAAACCCCTCGCTGGAATAAAACGCCGTCCCAATCAACACGGGCAGCAAGAGGTCATAGTCCAGCAGCGTCCTCTCTCCATCACTGATACACCCAAACGCATGGTTCAAGATGAGCGTGATCGTCTGCCCACCCATCCCATCCGCCTCACCCCTCTCCCTAACCTCCATAAGCGCAAGGTTTGTCGCATTAACCAGCGCGCCCTCAACCCTCCTCCTGATCCCACTCGCCCAATACAAGTCCATGCCCTGCTCTTCCAGATTCCCCATGCCTATCAACAACCCCCCAAGAACGATCAAATGCTTCCATCTCCTGCTCCGGTCATCGGCGCCCGCGACGATCGCTTTGATCCACTCATCTAGATTCAGACCCCCACCGACGGGACTCTGGCCCGGGAGAAGCTTCGGGGCTTTGTTGTAGCGGACATGGTTGTGGTGGGTTATTATCGTCGTCACGGCTGTGTGGAAGACGGAGAGGAGGCGCAACGAGGTGCGGACGCCGTCTGGACGGTCCCAGAGTGCGGGAGCGGTGAGAAGATGTGATGTTAGGAGGCTGAGGTTGTGCGGGTTGCCTAGAGTTGTGAGGAGGGAGGAGGCGGTTCCGAGGATGCTGGGGATAGTCAGTTTGCGGTGCGCGTGAAGGTGGAATGTGGTTGGAGGGCGTACCGAGGCGTGTCTTCTTGGTCGGTGTAGACCTGCAGTGCGCGCAGCAGCGTCGAGAGGAGGCGATCAGCCGGCATCTTGCCCCGAAGCTCTCATCAAGATGTGATGTTGGTGTAAGCGCGTTCGGATGCCGTTAAGGTTGACATTCACGCCGCGAGCCGAGGTAGGCGACTAGTGGGCAATGTGGGTCCTACCCGTCCCCGGAGCCGCACCAGGATTGAACATTCACTCCAACGACGTCACACCTTACGGTAAACAATTGCGCATCAACTTCAGACGCGTGCTGCAAACCTACACCCTCGAGCGTACACCCGCCATGCTGCACCGATGAGGTATCTCTCCTCTTCCCCTTGTCCTTCCACACAAGACTGACCTTCAACGGCTTCATCCAGCGCCTCAACAGCGCCGCCCCGTTGGGCTACACAACCCCCGTCTTCCCCTCCCTCTACTGGCCCCTCCCACCGGACGCAGCGCGATCCTTCTATCTCTACAACCCCAGCGACATCCTACGCTTCACCATCTACTGGACCCTGCTCCTCGTCGGCGGCATACATCTGGTCGTTGCACTATGGGCGTGCATCATACAATGGCGCAATTGGAAGATAATATGGGTCGTGCCGCCGCTGTTTGCAGCCGTGGGCGCGCTCGAAGGTTTGATTGCCGGGGCAATCGTGGGCGGGCTGTTGGGAGGCGTGTATCAGAGTGGGTACTTTGAGATGAGTACTTGGATACCGTTTGTTTGGGGGTGCATCAATGCAATGGTCCTTATCTTGTCGAGCTTCGCTATATACGGAGGGTTGTAGCGGGCTAAAGCAAAAGAATGAAGCAGACCCTCACGACCACCGAACCCATACATCTCCTGAGGAAATTGATGCGCCTCCACTGTGCGATCAATGAGGTGACCAACGTTGTTACTTGCACACAACGACCGGCGAAAGATATGAAATGGCTGAGCATCTGATTGGTGCAGACAAGGCTGAATGCACCTGCTGCGGCGGCTACGGCAAGGCTGAAGGCGGGGCTCCTTCCCATCTTCTCGAGGACGCACATCCTGTACAATCTCAGCATCGACTCGTCCTGCACCTAGAACATGGTCCTTCCATCTCGTTCCCCAAGAGACGCGCGCCGACGCAGCATATGCCAAGATCTGGACCCAGTACAGCAGCAGAGTTACACGCTCGCACAAGTCCAGAAATCAGCCAAAGAAGGCCGTAAAGGATGCGCCCATCGCCACCGGCAGTGCAACAGCTCCGACCGTCGATCACAGGCAGTATCCCTGAACGATTCAATGTTTCCGGGACTCATTTATAGACGCCCCAAGCCTCCAACAGACGGGCCATGTCACTGAGATTCGTTGAGCCCATAAAGACCAATTATATCAACCATCCTCTGATTTCACAGACCTGATCGATCGCCTCGAGAAGCAGTCATGGCTGATCTGAGAATATTCGAACCAGACATCAACTGACCTAACATTGAAGCTCGAGCGACCGAACAACAGTGAATCATTCGTGCGCACCAAGAATCGCCCGTGGTTCGAAAAGGGTATCTCGTGTTATGCTACAGTCAAAATTGTACAGACTCCGTCTCCCGTCATCTACACAGTCCTAATCCCACTAAGCCTCCCCTTCGCTTTATGCACGATCTCCGGAAACTCCTCCTCTCTCCCCTCACCTGGCTCAACAATCCTCTGCAACACTTCCCTCGCCTTCTCTTTCCCATCACTAACCTCATACCAATCCGCCAACTGCAACAGCGCAGCCTTATGCCCCGCATTCCCAGCAGCCTCATACCACTCAATCGCAAGCCTTGTCGAGCTACCTTGTCGCCAGCCCAGCAACCAGTCCAGAGCTGACTTCAACTTTCCCGACGTGTCGGATTGTAGGAGCGGAGAATCGGTGGCACTGAGGACCCGGTAGAACTGCGCAAGTGAGAACATGGCTTCGCGGTGGCCTGAGGCGGCGGCTTTGCTTGTGCATTTCAGCCACTCTACGCTGCTTCGATCATTGAAGGCCGAAAGTTCGTAGTAAGACAGCGGATCGTCGCCCTTGTGCGCGCCTTGCTCAAAAGCCCATTTCGCTTTCTCGCGTGTTGCCGGGTCTTTGGAATCTTTCAGGAGGTAACCGAGAGCGTTCCAGGGTGCGATGATGGGGAGCTGAGCTGGGTGGCGGGCTTGGATGTTGTATTGATAGACCCACGGCATTTGTAAAGCTTTTTCATAGAGGAGGCGCGCTTTTGCTGGTTGGTTCTCTTTTTCTAGGAAGAGACCGTGCAGAGTTAGGGCCTCGGGATCGTCTTTACCATCGATTTTCAGTGCTTCGAGTGACTTCCGGTACTTGAGGATCTCTGACTTGGGGAATAGGAGAGCGATGTCTCGGGCCCCAGGCGCTGTGGTGTAGGTGTTCAGGTAGATGGCGGTCATGATGTGTTTGATGGCGAGGGGGTCTTCGATTTCTGCGCATCCTTGGAGAATGAGGCCAGCGTTGATCTTGTGTGGGCTTGGTGGGAGCATTGCTCGTTTTGTGGGGTCAGATAGATCCGGTATTGAGTAAGTCATCAAGGCCAGCCCGGAGATATGTTCAGATGTGACATTGTACTCTAGGGGATGTCAGTGATGCACCAGTTGGTGGCAATGTATAAGACGAACTCGTTATCAATTGTTTGATGAGTTTTCCATACTCCTTCCTGTCCTTGTGTGCCGCGAAGTCGTTGTAGATAGCTTCTGCTACGTCTGGCTCAAGAAGCAGGATCTTCTGCCCCTTGGTGAGCTTGTACCAGCCGAGTCGAGCTTTCTTATCAACATCGGCGCGTAACCTCTTTACATCCAGCTTTTGTGCATAGGTCCGCCTGAACACGCTGGGCTGTGCTGCTTCTGTAGGTGGACGGAAAGCGCTATTGCGGCCAATTGGCAACAGCTGCCGCACGTGGCAGAACGCACACACATCTGTCCGCGTTATTGAGCTCGCAGAGCGAGCTAGCAGGCGAGATGAAGACATTGAATCGAGTTCAAATTGATGCAGTTCAAGATGGAATGAGCATCGTGGAGCTCGGCTGCTTAGTAACCCACGCTAAACCGAAATCTTGGCTTCTCCGAGGAGGCCCGCTTTCTTGCAGCGGCGCTACTTAGACTTTTTCTGGGTCCGCCCGCTCAAATATAATGTTTGCGCAGCTTTTTGGTGCTGCAAAGAGAGCCATTAGTCGGACCCCTTCGTACCAAGGAACCTCAAGCTGGACAAGAAAGGAAGTTCCTGAAGTCCCTACAAGCGACCCAGCACCCACAGACACCGTCACAATGGTCACCACACGGCGCGGGACCGAGACGCCTGGTATGGCAGCGACGCCGGCAAGCTCTGCGAAGAAGGCTGTTGGCAAGAGGGAGCTCGAGGCGCTAGGCACACCTACACGAGCGAAGAGGCAGAAGAAGACCACAGTAGAGCTGAAGAGAAATCTGAGATCAACACCAAGGAAGGGTGGTGAGGCACCAAGCGCAGAATCGACACAAGAGTCTGTCGATGAAACTGCATCCGACACAGCTGAGGCTACACCGAAGCCAGGAGGGGCGAGCCCGCTCGCGATTCGCCGACGATCGAGCCCCAAGGTTGTCGTCGAGCCGTCTTCGCCCGCCAAAGAGGATGCGCCCAAACAAGAAAACGCCTTTCACACGCCAGAGCCGGCTTCCTCCGAGGCAGCCTTTGTAACGCCATACACAAGCAAGAAGGCTCTCGAGGGCTCTCCAACCCCCAAGGCGACAAAGACCGCCTCTCCAGCGTCCGCGAAGAAAGCGCGCGGTCGTCCAAAGAAGGCACAGAAGGATGAAATCCCAGAGGAAATTCCATCCTCCATACAGGAGAGCTCAATCGCATCACCCACCGTCGCCCCACCAAAAGCACACGTCCGCTTCGGCAGCGAAGAGCCCACCATGAACGCCAAAGGCCACACACGCTACGAAGCACCTGCCCCAGCGCCCGTGCCCAGCGCCGCTGAAGACGATGAAGACTCCGCCGACGACTCAGACGAAGCGCCAGAGATGGTCAGCACATCCGCCGCAGCCAGCAAAGCCGCCGCCGCCCAAGCAGACACAACCCGCGCGCTCGCCGCACAACAAGAAAAGGAGCGCAAGAAGCGCGAAGCCCGCGAACAGCGCATCGCAGAAGAGCAAGCAGCGAAACGCGAGCGCGACGCCATCAAGGCGCAAAAAGCAGCCGCCAAAGCAGCCAAAGCCGCCCGCCTATCATCCGTCGTCGAAGTCGATGAAGAGGCTACTCCAATGGACGTCGACCGCACAACTCTCCCCTCCCTGCTTCCCGACTCCCTGCTCGCCAACTTGGGCGATGTGCGACCGCCCACGCCTCCGCCTGAGGCCCGGGGCAAGACAGACGAGGAGCTGAGGCGAGAGAAGTTGAACCACCACATCAAGTTCTTGGAGCAGAGTAGTAAAGCACCCAAGGATAAGAGGGTTGGGAAACACCATGTTGCTGTGCTGAGGCAGCAGAATCGCGTTCTGCCGCCGAAGGTGAGCAAGAACACGAAAGGGGTGAGGGAGGCGTGGTTGAAGGGCAGGCAGGGGCAACAGACGACGGGGAAGCCGAGAATAGGGAAGACTCACAGGGCGAAATTTGGTGGCGGTGGGTTCCTGAGGGGCCAAGATTAGATCGCAACAGTAGCCTCAGAATGCGATCATGGGCCGTCTCGCTGAGACGCTCAAACTCATGATTGCTGTTTCTTACTCATCATCTACACCTCCCGTGACGGTCGTCTTGGAGTACCTGTTACCCTCACCTCTCGATCAAACTCACCTCTCGATCAAACATCAATCACCGCCTACCGCCTCCCCGGCCTCTTCGGCTTCGAAAACCCCTGCTTAACCTCGACCTTCTCCACCTTGAACTCATCCAAAACAGTCTGCTCCGTAACCTCCTCCGGGTTCGTCGCCTCCAACTTCTTCGCAACCTTCAACCCACCCTCACTCTGCGCCAAAGCAACCACATTCCCCCGGCTCGCAGCATACAGCATCCTCTCCTTGATCTTCGCCGCGCTCGGACACGTGCTGATGAACACGATACTGGCGTCGGGGTCGTCGTGGCGGTAGAAACTGTACCGCGGCTCCCTGGGGTCGATAGAGCTAGCAATCGTAGAGGGTGTTGCCGTGGACGAAGAAACGAGGCGTAGCGTCTCAGTCGCGGGATCCATCCTCAGCTGCACGAGATTATCACCACCCTGTCCCAACTTCTGCAGCGCGCCTGCAATCTCCTCATCCACGCGTATCGCCAGCCGGCCGCCCTGCGCAAGACTCTGTCCGCGCGTGCCCCGGCTCTCAAGCGCCTCAGCGTCCTTGATGTCCTGCAGCGACTGCTCCTCCGCGGTCAGCGGGTTGCTGGATTCCGTGTGCTGCACGTGTTTCTGCCACCCCGCAGCTGTAAGCTCGTCCGCCTCGGTGGTGAATATGCTTTCGGGGAAGTGCTCGCCGCCCAGCTCGCGCACCAGCGTCAACCGGGTCGAAGCGAACAGCATTTTCTGCCGTACGGGGGCCGCATTGGGAACGTAGGTGACGGCGACAAGCGACTTGTCGGGGGAGGAGAGCGAGTCGGCGCGGCGGAGGAGGATGTAGAGGGCTTCGTTGGGCTTGATGTGGGAGCTGAGGTTGGAGAGGTCGTCGAGGAAGGTGGAGGCGGATGAGGGGATTGTGGCTCCGGGGATGATGGTTTCTTTGTCGATGTGGGCGACAAGACCGCGTTGTGAGGAGGAGACTATGAGCTCGCCCAGTGCGGACTTGAGCTCCTGGGATGCTGTGATGTTGATTAGGCTCAATGTCCCCGCTCTCTGTTTATGTACGCACCTGAAATGCCAGACTGCATGATGCTGTAAAGTAACGAAGGGCAATGGCAGGTTAAGGAGGTTGTCGCTAGGTTTTCACGTGTAGGTGGTGTTGTAGAGAGACGGTGTGCAAGTTAGGCCACTGTTTACGTGACGTCGCATGGCAAGTGGTGGGGCAGGAGTGGCTGAACTCGGCAGCGTATGCATGGCGTCCCTGCATTTCGAGTCCGCAGCCTTGCACCTCACTCTCCACATGCACCTCCACATGCACAGCGTTTGGTAGAAAGTATTGCCATTTTTGAACTGTATGGTGAACGAATCGACCATGCTGTGCGCAGCAACCAATGCGTCGTGGATATCAACAGTGCTCAGTGCTGCCCGTGCTTTCCCCCCCCCCCCCCATTACTCCTCGTATTGACCACCGGGAATTGTCTCCCTCCCCTTCTCGAGTATGCCCTTGAGGTACTCGTACACGGTAAAAGTAACGGCCTGTCCTGGAGCAACACGCATCACACGGGGTGTGATACCCTTGTAGAAACTCTTTACGCCTTCCTGTTTCCACATATCGCTGTATCAACTCGTCAGCAGTGTAACACCTCGGATGATATTTGCAACTTACCCAGCAATGGTAGTAATTCTGTTCATAGCGCTCTGCCCTGGCTCCGCAGGTGTCTTTTGCAGCCTTGTCTTGATGGTGTCGATAGGTGCGTTCGAGAAAGGTCCCATGGCACCAGAGATGAGGCCAATGAAGGACGTTTGCCAGCCGGGCAAGTCGTTTGTGTTCTGGTATTTCTGCAGCTGCGACCTCAATTCCGAGTAGGCTGTGAAGTTGGCAGCCTGGTTGGTACCCTGACGCAACGCTGTGAGCGACACACCACGCCATAACGCGCCAGCACCCTCCTCCTTCAGCACTGTGTATAGCGCGTGCGCAGCGTTTCGGTACTTGGGTACATCGAGCGGGTCGGCCATGGAGTGGTGCTGCGCTTGCAGACGGATCTTGACGACTTCCATGGGAGTGACGACGAGGACGGCCTCAGTGATACCGGCAGCAAGACCAGCTGGCTGGGATCAGTATTGATACTTGCACGCAACTTGAGATTGCGAGCAGTCCGTCTGATCGCTTAATCAAGACAGTCCATCGCAAGACAGAGGGTAGCACTTACCCATGAATGTTGATGTTGAAGTGACCAGGCCATTCTTATCTGCGAGCATTTGCTTGTACCATTCGTAAGAGGTAAAGCGAATGGCCATCTTTGGGACAATGCCCGTAAGAACAGCACCGAGACCCTTGTACAGACCCAGTGCCGTCTCACGTTTTACGATCTCGGAACCTGTCTTCAGAAACCCACGCTTTGGCGCCTGCAAATGTCAGAAGTTGTGTTGTGTGTCCCATAGAACTATGCTGATTGTAAAGGTTGGAAATGGGTGGTGGTACGTACGCCGGGCATACGCGCACGCCTGGAAAGTTGCATGCGGACTTTGATGGTATCTGCGATTCCAATCAGCTACTTTGCGATTCGTGAATAGTGGTTACTCGGGCGCAAGACCTACCTAATGGATGGCACACGAGCGCTTCCATCATTCCAGCACCACCACCGGCTGCCAAAGGAGTCAGTAAATTGCCATTGAGCGGCACACTCTTCTTGATCGCTTGCTTCAAGCTTACCGATCAAGTTGGTAGCTGCGGAAGCAGGCTTCTTGCCGCCAGGCCCTTGTGTTGACTTTGCGGACATCTTGTGTGACTGTGTAGCTTCTGAGCTCAGCAATTATGCGATTGCGCGCGAACGGAGATTCAAAGATCCCCAGAAGCTCAAGATGTGCGGAGGTGTGTGACTATGACGCTGGGTGATCTTCCCCAGGCTCTTTCCCCGGCTCTGGAGCTCTAGCTGGCTTTCTAAGGCCTCAGCTCTTTCTCAGGAACAAAGGGTCTTGCCAGATGCAGAACAGATGTAAATAGCAACGAGAAAATCAGACTTGAAGAGCAAAGAGAGGGCACGACTTTTTGAAAGTAAGAAAGAACATCACAGTCATAATTCAGCTTCCTAGTTACCGCGGGTGTGAGGACATAAAACATACGCCGAGGCCTCGGCCTGTGCAGCGGCCCAGGCCCGCTGTTACTAAAGCGAGGGCACGCGTCGCGCCTGCAGCATCAGGGAGCTTGGCGCTAGACGTCGTTTTACCCCAGATCTGTGATGGTGGGCGAGCGGAACTTGGGGAGCGGAGACGTCTTTCGGCCGGGATCGGCTGGCAAAGGAATGGCTTTGCCGAGCAACAATACAAATCCATCGCAAGCTGGGCGCGCTGCTCCAGATTTTGGAATCGCAATTTGAAGTCAGAGAGTCTCGACGTGTCTTGTCAGGTGCGGTGTCGGACGTCCATGTGAATGTATCTGATCATGAGCGTAGGTGGAGCTCCCATGTGAAAGATGACGTTCAAGCGACAGCCAGAAAGCCTCCGCGACTGCGGTTCCCGAGTAGACCCGCTCCGGCACGTGCACGAAGATGCACCGGCTGGAGTGAGGAAGGTCGGTAGTTCTTCACCCATTTTTCCGGATATCATCTCCTGAGAGCCCCATCACGATGTTGTTCAAATTCAACATCATTGGTGGAACATCCACACAGGAGCGAAGGTACAGACCTCAGGCTGGCACTGAGCGACTTTCGAACAGCTTTGTGAAACATTTCCACGGCTCGAAGCTGTGCGACAACTCGGATTTCGCTCGCTTGAAGATGAGCTTGAAGCCACAAACACAAAAGGGGTATATTCGCTATGCCGTCTAACTCGCATCCGGAAACCTTAATGTCGCTGCACCACACAACGACTCATGCAAATTTGACCTCGTTGAACAAGCTTGCTCTGATCTGCATCAAAGCTACCAGCTCCAACACAAATTCTTGAAGGACAACTACGTTCGTGATGATGTGCAAGAGGCTGGCTTCGCGGATGTCGTTCTGTTCCTCGTCTGTTTCTGCACCAGCCGTAGCATCAGCAGAAGGCTCCTTAGGAGGAGGCTGGTACTTTGACAGCATGACTTCGATGTCTTGCGAATTTGCAGGACGGCGAAAGCGTATCCGCCTCCTCAATAGATCAGAGTGCCTGAACCCAGCGAGGTTGGCGTCGATGTCTGAGAACAGGGTGGTTTGACGTTTTCCGCCTTGTGGCGCAGGCAAGGGCGACAAACCTCTTGAAGGTGAGCCTACAAGCGTTTGGCCACCGAATTTCGATGGAGCCGGTGAGGAACCCTGAGAACTCCTTTGCTCTGAAAGGGTCTCTTTCCGGCCTCTTGGCGACTGTGTCCTTGACGGTGTTGTAGAGCTGTCGAGCACATGCTTTGGTATTTGCGGCAGCCATGATCCGGGTGGCTCTGGAAGTTGTTGGACTGCTTTTGGCTGCATTGCCGCCTGCTTCGTCGCGTCATGCACCTCCTCATGAAAACGGAATGCATTTTTGCGATTGGTGACATGCTCATCCCAGTCGGGAATGTCAGCGCGAAGAGCTGCAACCTGTGCACAAAGGTTGTGAATACACGCAAGCAACTGCGGCGTCGCTGATGCATTCCACATTGGTAGCCGGTTTGCCATGTATACGTCCCGGAGGCTGTCGTTCGAGAAAGCGATAGACGCGCGTACGTTATCTTCGAAGTGATAGTCGGCAGGGTCAACAGAGAGCCAGCCTTCGAGGCGGAGCTGGGAGCACGTTCCAAGGCTGATGATCGCTTCCGTCAAGGCCAGGTTTGTCTCCACGTCGTTTGTCAGAAAATGGAGCAGTAGGTCGGTCAATGATTTGAAGAGCGGATCTTCCGGGAGCAGGCAGTGCTGATACACTTCTCTACCACTGGCGTCGACCGAATCGAAGTAGCCAGGATTTTGTGAGGATGTAGGAGGCAGAGAGATGGCCTTCAGAGAGCAAGGATGGCTCTCGAGCAGGCTTTGAATATCTTTCAAATGGGTCTCGTAGGCCTCATCAACCCCATCCTCACCAGCAAGGCTGATAGCAAGGTTCAAGTAGGTCTCGAGCTCGATGTTCAGAGCGCCAACGGTTCGGTGTGGTTCCTTGTGATGTACGTTCATGACTTTGATCAATGACCCCAGTCCATAACTGTGGTTCTTCCCAAGTATGACAGTCGTTAGCTTCAATGCTGAAGTGACGGTTTGTGAGTTCCGAGAATCGGTGCTACCCAGAATCAAGTCTACCAGGTTGAACAAGGAAGGATTCAGTCGGTCGTCGTCCTTCTCACCATGATTCATGAGCATAAGAGATTGGCGTCTCTTGACCGCAGCTGGCGAGCGAGGTATCTTGCCTGACATTGACGTGTAGTCTGGCAATGCGAGCAGATACTGCAGAATCATATGAACGAGCTCTGGGTGATCTAGGGCGTCGAGAATCCGTCGTAGATATGTGAGCACGGCAACGGAAGACCCACCATCAGCATCTGAAGACTCCAGTAGGGAAGGGTAGCTGCACGCTGTTAGCTTAGATCGCCAAAGTCGAAAGGTGTCTTAGACTGACAGGAGCTGCTGCAGGAACAGGACGTGGAAATGATCAATTAGCGTATGTCTGACGTCTGCAGATCGGCAATGCTCAAGCACATCTTGCCAGAACGCGAGATACGACAGGAACGTGCCGATGTGACTCTGGAACTCGGTGGTGTGAAGGTTCTCAGTATCATCGTTGGCTTGCGTCTCCACGTAGTCCGAAAACGACAGTACAAGCGGAAGATTATCCTGCGGATGCAAAATAGAAAGTTTCCTATGCTCAGTCAGACCCAATTTACGCCATACGCGGAGTAACATCACAACGCACCTGCTAAGTTGACTGTACAACGCGCCAAGGCCCGACGCCATGAGGGTGGGTAGATCGCTGTTGACTATCCATTGCTCAAGAGTCATCGACTTTGAAGCTGACTCGAAAACGTAGAGCAAGCCGGTACGAGCGAAGTCGCCAATCCGACCTTCGTGGTGGACGTGATCGATGAGTTGATAGCACAGCGGGAAGTCTTCTTTCTGTGTTACGCCAGCGAAGTCATTGCTCTGGGCTCGAAGCCGACTATCAGAGCCGGTAGCTGTAGTAGTGAACCATACTGGCAATATCCCCGGCTGCAACCTGATCTTGGCCGCTATCCCAAAGAGCAGCTCGACAATGTCCGCTTCGATATCCTCTCCAACAGCCATAGTACCAGATCCTACCGTCCGGTTTATGAAGTTCATGAGGGACACCGCGAAGACATCATTCTCCAAGAAGTCTTCCTCTTCGCTGTCAATAAGCGCATTGTAGAATGCCACTGCATCCCGCACAATCCCTTCATCGAAGGACGTTGCTGCGATCTTGGATATGGCGGTATAAATTTGCTGTGCGGCGGCGAATTGGAGGCACAGGTGAGGTGCTGGCGATCGAGACTCATCGTTGAGTATTGCAGTAAGGGCTTGGAAACCACGACGGATGTTGCTCAGTGCCTCGCGGTCGTTGGCAAGGTTTTGCGTTTTCTGCCATTGGGACTGATCCTTGTGTCAGCTGCGAGCTGCATAGGCCCTGTGGATATGCTTGCTGTACCAGAATTTGGTTGTATCGTTGTCGAAAGCGCGCCAGACGCTGCTGGGGGTTGTTTGGGGCGGCTTGTTTCTTCTGGGAAGAACCGCCGAGTAACCTTACCCACTACATGTCCGAATTTAGTAGAGGTCATCTTGAGGGGACGCTGTACGAACGAAGTCCATCTGATTATCCAACAACCCCGCATTAAAGCGGTGTGTGCAAGGTGGGGTGCAAGGTCTGAGTGATGCTCGCGCGGACGCGTAGAGAGTGGCTCCAGGTGAAACCAATCACGTTGCGACTTCCCCGAAGCTCAGATCTTCTTGTCGTGCGACCTTCGCACTCCATCACACACACCAACTAGCCTTCCAAGGTTGTTTGACAAATGTCATGTATCTGCATCCAGCATGCCAATAGGCGCAGATCTTCATTTGTGCACCGCTTTCAAACCTCGGGCGCGTCGGCTGAGTGCTCAGTGTTATTGACCTCCACGCAACAGAGCATCGAAGAAGAGATGACCTGGGCCATAACGACAGGGGAGGAAGTCATGGCAGGAGAATCAGCCCTCTGCCACACGCTTACGGTCTGCAGCCGCTATAACCAGCGATCGTGACTTTGGCAGTCTTATGTCAAGTAGCCGATACGCTGGTGCAATGCGTCTTGTCGTCGTTTACTGTATCTGAAAGACCCTGCTATCAGCGCCTGCACGCTCTCCATCCATGACACCATACACATAAGCAAATCCACGAATGACATATCTCCCCGTTCTATCCGCATCAGTTGGCCTCAAAACCATCGGGTACGTGCTACCCAAGGCGGCAAAAACCTCGTCACCTGGCCGAGTTGTTGAAATGGCGCATCCGACGAACTTGTTCTCCGTGACCGAGATGCTGGATTCAGGGTACTGAAGGTCCCAAACTGGTTTACCGAAAGCACGTCCATCAGCACTCTTCGACTCCTGCAATAGGTCGTCAGAAGTGTACTTTGTCAGCGTTGCCTGATCATCTGTTAAGACAATGGTGAGGTAGGCGACAAAGTTGTGTAGCAGCCGAACTGCTCGAGAGCATTGATATTATGGTTCAAGCCGAACGAGATGGATCGGCGGTCTTCCTTTGAAGCACATAGCCAACCACCCTACCGTTGTTATCTGTGCTGCTGTAATCGCTGCAAAAATATACGTACACTGGCATCCGGGGCTGCAAAAGGAGCGCATGCGAGGTGACATACTAGAACTGAAGGAGGGGCTACGGTTTATGAGTATATTGTTGGGTATCTCGTCCTCTTGGACTACTTTATGCTGTCTATGTCGAATGCCGACTGTTCTCGTACCTGGGTGATTGCATAGAGACAACCGCAATTGTCTTCTCCGAGGTCTACAGCATGCACGTGTGGCTGTCAGTACGACTGGTAGCTCCGCGTCCTTGTACCTGCATTGCGCCCCACGCCCCACGCCCCACGCCCAATCTTGATATCTTGTAATCTGTGACGGTGTTCTTGAAGACTTGCAGCCCGCTCAAGTTGTGAAGAGCGTATCTTCCTCACGCAGATACTCCCCAATGTCCGCCTGCCTAAACGTCACAATACCCGTAGGATCCAATTTCCGCGCCTCCGCCGTGCTCCTTGCAGACACACCAAACCCAAGCGGTGTATCATTCATGCTCAACACCACAACACCCTGATGTTCCGGGCAGTCCTCACTCCACCTTCCCACATGCGCCTTGAGAACATTGCCTCCGTACAGAAACGGCATCTCGCCGTTCGCCTTGACCCACACCTTGTACCTTGCGTGCGGCGCGATCACGCTTAAAGCGGTGATGTGCAGGCGGAATTTGCCCGTTTTTGTGAATTTTCCAAGGCAGATACCAAGAGAGAGGAGGTTGTCGCGTGCGACGGAGGTGGCAAGGTTCGCGAGCGACTCACGGACATAGTAGCATCTTGAGCCCTGCGTCACAGTCAGCATGGTTTCTGAAGGCGAGAAAGGGTGGGAGGTGTACCTGCACGCGGAAGACATTGCGGTCGTTGCCGCCAGCTGGGTCGGCGATCAGGTTCGAGATGCCTTTCCCGCAGTAGGTCGCGAGTTTCTCGAAGAGGACTTTCGTCTCGGGTTCGGTGAGGGGCCGCATTGTAAGGTCTTGTATGTGATGTGTGAGAGTGCGCAACTGTGAAAGTCGAGATCGTTGGTTTGCGCCGGAATTTTTGTGGGGCAGGGCAGAATGCGGGGCGGTGAACAAAAAGTTCAACCCAGGCTTGTGTGCGCGTGTGGATGCAACACCGGCCCCGCTCACACCTCACATTCGCTCTATACAGTCTGAGAAACCATGTCGCGCCCGTCCGCTCCGAAGAGAAGAAGGCTTTCGCCGCCCGAAGACAATGCGCCGACCCGGGACCGCAGGCAGTCCTTCCTGAAGAACGCAGCGAAGTGGGATCTCGAGCAGGACTACGAGAACCGCCCACGAAGGCTGGACAAGAAGAAGAAAAAGGGCGAGAACAAGCTCCCGGTCAGGACGACAGAGGGATGGGTCGCTCCACCAACCGCCCAGGTCGAAATCAAGAGCGAGGATGAATCGGACAGCTTTCTCGCGTCTGGCAGCGACGGCGGAGCAGAAGACGTGGACGTTGAGGAGGAAGAGAAGAAACCCAAGATCCCCGCGCGACAACAGATTCTGGAGGCGAAAGAGGAGTTGGCACGCATAGCGAGCCTCGTCAACGAGGATCCCGAGGAACACATTGGCGCGCTCAAGACACTGGGTGCCATTGCCGAGTCGGAGAACAGCACGGTCAAGAAGCTAGGGCTGGCTACTTCGGTCACAGTGTTCAAGGACTTGATCCCCGGGTACAGGATTCGTCCCATGAGCGAGGAGGCCATGGGCGAGAAGGTGTCGAAGGAGGTCAAGAAGCTGCGCCAGTTCGAGCAGAAGCTCGTTTCAGGGTACGAGACCTATGTCAAGCAGTTGGCGGCGTTGTGCAAGGCAAGCGGATCCAGCGACGAACAGAAAGCGAGTCTGGCAACTGTCGCGATCAGCTGTGCATGCAATCTGCTGACTGCGGTGCCTCACTTCAACTTCCGAGGCGAGCTGCTGAAGATCGTTGTTGGCAAGCTGAGCACAAGACGCGTCGATGGCGACTTCGTACGGTGCAGAGAAGCATTGGAAAAGCTGTTCGAGGACGACGAAGATGGCAATGTTTCGCTGGAGACCGTCACTCTGTTGACTAAGATGATGAAAGCGAAGCACTACAACTTCGACGAGAGTGTGCTGAACACATTCCTCCACCTCCGCCTCCTCTCTGAGTTCCACCAAAAAGCCTCATACAACTCCGTCGACAAGGACGAAGACCAAGTAAACGGCAAAAAGATCAAGCAAAAGCGCGAATTCAGGACAAAACGACTGCGTAAGGAGCTCAAGGAGAAGAAGGCGATCGCGAAGGAGATGAAGGAGGCCGATGCAGCCGTCTCCCGCGAGGAGCGCGACAGAATGCAGGCCGAGACCCTCAAGATGGTTTTCGTGTGCTACTTCCGCATCCTGAAAGCCCGCTCGCCAAAGCTCATGGGCGCCGTCCTCGAAGGTCTAGCGCGCTACGCACACCTCATCAACCAAGATTTCTTCGGCGACATTCTTGAAGCCCTGCGCGACATCATCGCGACCGCTGAACTCTCCGCCGCCGCCGACGTCTCAGAAGACGAAGACGCAGAATCCGAAGACGACGATGACGAAGCACCAGAGCGCAACCTCTCCCGCGAGTCTCTGCTTTGCGTTATAACAGCATTTGCCCTCCTTGAGGGACAAGACGTCCTCAAACAAGCATCAACACTCAAACTCGACCTCACCTTTTTCATCGCACATCTCTACCGTACACTGCACCCCGTCTCGGTCAACGCCGACATCGAGTTGAGCTCCAAGAGTTTGCATCTTCCCGACCCTGGCGCGCCAGAAACCCACCAGCCCGCAAGCACAAACAAGATCAACGTGCAAACCACCATCGTCCTGCTCATCCGCTCGCTCTCCTCCGTCCTCCTCCCGGCTTCAGCACTGCGCGGCGTGCCGCCTATCCGCGTTGCAGCGTTCACGAAACAACTCATGAGTATATCGTTACAGCTGCCTGAGAAAAGCTGTACAGCTATGTTGGGGCTGCTGAACAGAGTGTCAAAAGCTCACGGCAAGAAGGTAGCGCCGCTGTGGAATACGGAGGAGCGAAGAGGAGACGGAGTATTTGACGCGTTGAAGCCAGAGTTCGAGGGAAGCAATGCATTTGCAGCTACAGTTTGGGAAGGCGAACTGCTGCGGAAGCACTACAGTCCCTCCGTGCAAGAAGCATTGAAGGGCATTGAGGGCAATGTGAGGGAGGCGCTGAAGGGGTAAATGTTGTCATGTATATTGCAGAATCTAAGATGTTTGATACCCTAAGCTTGTGGCATTGGTGCTCAAAATCGATCAGCAAGCAAGCATCGTCCATTGAATACGGAACGCGAGTAACGGTCTCATCGCGGATCCTTTCGGGACACACTGCTTCGCATTTACACGATAAGCTTCTTGGCAGGCCCGACTACACCCTCGACTCCACACCCAACTCCACAACCTCATATAAGTATGAGACAATGTCAACTACACACATCGGTGCCTTGGCTGTACGCCATGCGGCCCGAACAAGATCTGCAGAACACCGAGACTGATAGCGATAGGCAAGGTAGAGCTTGTATAGCTGCTCGACATCTCTACATGTATGGCTCTTGTTCACCTCACTGGTTTTCAGATATTCATCAATCAGCTTGACCCCACAAATTGACTTCTCGATACGCGCACTCCAATCACCACTATGCAACTGTCCTTCCTCGCTCTCCTCTCCCTCACCACGCTCGTCCTTGCAGCACCAGCACCACAGGGCAATGTAGCACCAACCTGCAGTCAGGCCAGTGACTGTGGCAGCCTTTGCACGGCATCTTGCACGAGGCCGTTCTGCGGGTTGTCCGCTTTCGGGTATGTGCGGTCTTGTAGAACTCCAAGTGTTCTTGCTGACCATCGATAGGGATCAGAGGTGTTTTTGCGGATGCTAGAGAGTCGGGCAGCAGATCATAATACATGAAGAGGCCGAAGAGGAAGGAACGATCATGGCAATCGTGGGGAGTAGAGGAGCTCCACTAGGGATATTGTGTGTTATTTATGGATATTTATGGTCTGGCTGGAAGTCGGTGATGTTTTAAACTGCAAAGGGTGAAGTGCAGTGTACCATAAATTGCAAACAGAAAAATAGATTGGCTCGGAGCGATGTCCAGTTCTGGCTCTGATTGGCGGTCTACGTTTTCTACCTCCTGAGCGCGTGTGGCATACGCGAAGTTACACGTCCAGGGATTGTAGGTGTCATGGTGGAGAGCAGGCGCGCTGATTAGAAGTGACAATAAAAGGGGAAGAAAGGGCTGGGAACAACCTGGAAGTTGGAACATGTTCCTGGCGAGCCGCTCGCTCCGCTCATCTTGTTGATCCATTCGTGGGCCAGTCTTCGATCTGCAGCTCTGTTGCTGGGCCTGAAGCGTCTCTATTGGTCGAACTTCCAAGGACGACCCCAAGCAATCACCTCGATCGACGCATTTCACCGCAGCAGGGAGTTACAAGAAGTCAAATTCGGCCAATGCTGTTTGGCCATGCGGTACACGATTTACCCACTGATCATCATGGGAGACTAAAACCCAAATGCTCGAGACCAAGATTACAGTACAAACTGTTCGTGGACACTCATGATGACATTGATATAGAACGGTACATTCCCAAACCTTGAAGGTAACCTGACGAGCTGAGTTGACTACACTATCAATCAGAGGATGCCGAACTCAACAGGGTCTAGTGGGTTTGGTCTCCTCCCTAACTCCGAAGCTCATCGAGTCCGCTCTCTGTCCTACGCACCTACGAAACGGATAAAGTTCTCAAAAACCCGTCCCGGATACCTGCAATGCTATCTACATTACCTCATATATAAAGCAAGGCAGAGCTCAAGCTCATGGTCTGGCATCCGCTCGCGTATCCTGCGCTTAATCTATCATACAAACCCATGATGTCGAAGAGCACACTGCTCGATCCTGCCGAAGTATTCGCGACCGAACAGGGAGTTCCTAGTATCTCTGCTACATCTCGTGCAGAATCACATGATGTGTCTGCAGAGTCCGATACTCAACGTAACGATGAGTTCCAGCCTCCAAAGTAGAACGAGTGACCCGGATTGTCTGCTTCAAGGTATTTCGACGCGCTTGTAACTCGCCTGCGCATAGGCTACTGGACGACCTACTCTAAGAACGATCCAACGACTGCAGCCAAAAGCTTAGAGTTCGAGGAGGAAGCTCGAATGCTCTGGTGCGCTGATTGTGGTGACCCCGTACCAAATCTGGCCGGTCTCACACTCCTTTTTACATCGAGGGCATGTCATGGGCATGCTAATCAAGACTCCACAAGTTATCTTATTGAGGCTTGCGAGATGGCCAAACGGATAAAATTATTCGGTGTCCAAGATACCATCACTGCTTTTCAACCTCAATCACTGACGGATGAGGCCCCATACGCCGTACAACAAGCGACTTGGGGAGCTTTCAACCTCTACAAGTGAGCCAGCACTACCTCCAGTCTCAGAGGTGGGAGTCTTGCCACGTGTCTGCCAAAGAAGCGTTGCGTGCACGATGCGAGAGGAATGGCTAACCATAATTCACCGTATGAAGAGATACTGGCCTTACAAGTCCCTCTGACGTTGTGCGCTGTCTTCACTTGTGACCTGATTGCTCACGTCACTTTTGCGCCTGTGATCGTTGCTTATTGTCACGCTGCTTTAAGTTGAGGGGTAAATGCTGCCTTGGTAGCCAAGTTTTGCTCAACTGATTCCGTCCTACGAGGAGACATGCAAACGTATGCTGATTTCACGTATCAAGGGAGGTTGTCGCGTAGGACCAGAAAGGCAACCTGATCGATTGTGGCGTCGAGACGATGCAGGGTTGACGTTGCACAATAACGGCTATCCCATCTTCTACGATTATCGATTGCATAACCATTGCACAGTGGTTGCGCTATTTCCTTGGTTAGCGCAAGTACCCAATGAGGGCCTGAACTCCACTTCGAAGTGCCATTCGTCCGCTCCCGCACAATGGGAAATGGCAACGTCCTGTCACCTCAACTTATAGCCATCCTCCTACTCTTGAATGTTGTTGTGTACCTCCCAACGACCGTTCGCTTCAAGCTCGCCTACCTGGTATCGGAGCAACGTATGAGAATTTCAAACCACCTTGTACTCCTGGAACGCCCGCAAAGATATTGGATCACGAGCTATACGGAAGATGGATACTCTCCGGTAGAGCGCTGAAAGAGTTAGGACCCGTTACAAGAGCTAGTAAGAGGAATCAGGAGTGAAATACCCACCTGAATCTCAGATGGATTTACTGCAGTCCTGGGTACATCGAATTGGCACAGTTTGGGTCCGGTTGATTGGTCTTGGTTCAACTTCGCGCTCGTACAAACCTTGCGCGTCGCGTTCGGGCTGCCCTACACTTGAAGAAGGTTCACGAGGAGCCGTCTTGTATCTGGGCAAGATTTCGATGCCGACATGACGATGGATAGGGCTTGAGCTCAGCAGGCTGTTCTGGCGAGGGCTAGTCCCAAATCCCTGCTGCTGTGCAAGCGCTGTAACTGGCTGTGGTTGCGGCTGCGCTTGCGGTCGGGAACGCGGTTCAGCTTGTGAGCCTGCAACAAGTCCATGGGAATCGTTTGCTCCGAAAGACATCCCTATGGCCGCCGTTGTTGGCCTCGCCTCCTGCAACTCGATCCTAGTTGGCGGTGCGCGTACTGCTGCCGCTGCCGCCGGTCGTACCCATGGAACATGGGAGTGTCCCGCATACACCAGTGGTACGGAACCAGACCCGACTTGATCTGGGGTGATATAGTAATAGTTGTTGGTAATGTGAGCAATCTGCCCAGTGTACAGCGGACCGCCAGGTCGCTGCGAGGGAAGATTAGCGCTGAAAGAGCCCTGAGCATGTATAGTACGGCTGTGGACATCGTTCCCCGATTCTTCGGCTAGTTGGTGAGGCTGAACTTCCTGATGAACAAGCCTACGCTGACCCAACTTGTTCCCTTTGCTGTTCAGCTGTGCGCGATTCTTGTTGTTCGGTTGGAGTCTGTTGTAGTAGTATGCCTTGCGCTTCTGGTCGCGTGGTGAATCGCGTTTTGGCTTGGTAGCAGTGGCTATCTGCTGGGGAAGAGGAGGAGTTGGCAGCGATGGTTGATTGCACGGTGCATTTTCATCGAGAGCAACTGAGTAAGATGTCAGCATCCATACGTGAATATTGGGCTTTGGACCGGCCAGCACGAGCTTCGTTTCTTGACTGCGAGCATTCTACCACGACGCACGCACCGTCGGTCATAAGGGCAGCCTTTCGTGACATCGTGGCTGCCGCGGTCGTGAGTTTCGGCGGTGGACCGGCACGAAGCAGGAAGGTCCGAGGAAGAGCTGGAAAACAAGATCTTTATCGAGGGCTACCCGCCAACATCAACGGAAGCCGACAGAATTAACGAATGTTTCAACAGGGGCACGCGCAAAGAACGAGCAACAATCCGCCCATGAGTTCACCAGGCTACAGTAAGCAGGTAGCCGCCAGCCTGGACCCCGCGTCAACGCGACAACGCGACAACGCCACCAAACAAAGACCTCACACCCCAAAACATGCGTTTCCCAAAGCTAATGTTCGGCGACGCTGGATGGCACACTTTACGGCCGTCACTTTAGCGATCAAGTGTGTATTCATCTTTCTATGCAAACGTATGGTATAGTAAAGAAAACGCAACCGATCGGTACCGTTTCTCAAGTCTGCCTTCGTCTTAAACGCAGGTGGAGACAGCACAGCCTCCAACAAGGCGGCCTCGGGGGCTGGGTCATGCTTCCAGCTTCTGTCCTGCCGCGGCAGGTTCAGAGCGCTCCCTCAGTCGGTGAAGAATGACCCAACTAAGACCAATGTTGATCAAGGTTGGCAACACGACAGCCAGTCTCTCCACTGGAGTCACTCTGAGGCCGTTCAAACACGCCTCAGAGAAAACTAGCAGGATGCACGCGGCAGACACTATCGCCACTGACCTCGGGGCTGTGCAATATATCCGCATGCACGAGGCAGTATAGACTGTCGAACCGAGTGCAATGCAGCTGAACAGAACCGACTCTGAAATGCCTTCTACAGGCTCAACGACCAGCTTTGGTTGTCAGTTCTGCCCTGCAGACCCAGGGGGTCAAGACTCACCTCCTGCCATCTTCTCAAAAGGACATTGCGGCTAGGCTGAGCTTGTAATGCGACGATGATCGTGCTCGTTGTTGCACTGGATATCCACATCGCAAGTCCGATACCAAAGTCAACCAGTAGCCGGGCCCGCCGATACGCAGGGGCTCGCCGGCTTCTGTTTTCCACGAAATCGCGCTTCTCCATGTCGTCAAAGCTCTAATGGAAGCTGTCAGCAAGAAGAATATGAATTGTTCTCGGTGTCTGCATGTGCGCACTTACTGAGGAAGCGTTATATTGTCCAAATCGTGGTTCCGGTTTCACCGACTGTGGACATTCGAAGGACCTTATCACTATACGGATTGAGGCTATGCTATGAGGCTATGCAGTAGTGACAAGCGAGCAGAGATAACCGCGGTCTTCGAAGAATACCAGCCCTGTTGCACCTTGGTAGAGTTGTTGCAGCCGGCTGACAGGACACCACGAACACCATGTAGCAGCGACTGCAGTGATTGCTACCGTACACGCGTGGAAAGAGGCTCTCAATGATGCTGGCGAGGGGCTGCATGGAACACTCTCCACAGCTTGGCGCTACGTTGTTGCCACCAGCTTCCAAGGAATCTTGGAGTGCATGGGCCTAGTGCTGTCATTTCCAGGACCGTTAATCGTGAGGCATCCCTATAAGATCTCCCCTCCTTCTAGCCCCACGACTGTTACCCCTCAAGTTCACCCTACAAGCACACAACTATTTGGGCTCGTTATGGGCTGGTCCTGATCCCACAACAGCCACTTGTGTTGTGCTTCATCCTCACACAACAAGCACTTCCACCGCCGGTGCTTAACACCAACTTCCCTCAATTCCTTTGACATTACCCAAACACCTCACAGGCTTTGTTTCGCAACCCGCGACTAGTCCACGGTTCCTACTCCAGTCACGTGCTGTTCCTCTCATCACCACCTATATTATTCCACCTACAACCTACTCAAGATGGATCAAATCCCCGCTGATGCCTTCACAGGCATGCCTTGTACCATCAGGCGCGTCGTGTTCTTCTTCATGCTACTGATCGGTCTCTGGAACTTCTTCCTCAATGTGGCAGCGCGATACAAGGAGCACCCTTTCGACAACATCAACGGCTTCCCTCTCTGGATTCTGAACCTCATGTACGTCCTATCATGGGAGTCTATGTGCTTGTCTGGTATCCCAGTGCTGCTGCTGACTTTGCCAGTACAAGCACAGCGTGGTGTGCGTGCACCGTCATCTACATCGTGATCACTTGGGTGTATGCCAAAGAGCACCCGTAGTAAGTTACCATTGTATCCTGCGTCCAGATCGATGTCTAATGCTCTACAGCTGGTCAGTCGGCGCCCTGGTCTTTGCACTCGGCATGACTGGGTTCATGGTCTGGGCAGGCCTGGACATATTCGACTGGTTCGTCTGGGGCCCCCTGATCATTGACCTCGGTATCATCGTCCGCGCCGGCATTGAAGCCATAGCCAGCAGCCCACAATCTGGGATGCTACGCGCAACCTGGAATGGTCTTTGGGGTTTCGAACCTCTACCTCCACCTACACCGAATGCACACGCTGGCCCGGGCAACCCCGGAGATCTCGAGTTGGGACCATACCCTGGTCGTCCTCGCCCTGCGAACGACGGCTAGAAGCCAACTGCTCTTGCCACCGAACGCGCGATATCCGAGTTCATCCATTAAAACCTACATACATACACCTCCACCTCCCTCTCCGACCCTCATCGACCCTCATCAACCCCCAGCGGCATCGCGCGTCGCGTGTCACAACCAAGTGCTTGTCTATTCGTTACGCGACCTCGATTCATGATACCCCGACTGTATAAGACGACTCCGATCCCATGATACCCTATTACATAAAAAAGATCAGAGTTGGACGGCCCACCATAAAAAGCGCTCTTGGTGCGGCTTGTTGTTGCATACTACCCAGCGCTTTAGCGTTCTTTCTTGTGGTTATTGTCCTAGCTTTTCAGCGTTCCCATTGTGGTCTTGCATCAGGATACTCAGCGCTTTAGCGTTCTTTTTTGTTCCTGCATCAGCGACCCACCCAGCGCTACAGCGCTTACATTGCGGCCATGTATATCATGCTGCCCAGTGCTTCAGCGCTTTTCACGGTTCATGTATCAACGCATCACCCAGCGCCACCGCGCTTCCTCTGTGCTGCTGTTGTACATAGCCCTTAGAGATCCCCAGCCCGTCAACGCTTAGAGTGTTTTGGATAGAATATTCCTAAGATGTTGTTACAGGTTCTCAAATATATCCCTGGAGCTCTACAACTGTTTTAATATCCATATGCGTGCTTCGCCCTTGTGTAATGCTCAACATCCTGTAGCGATGTGTCGCACGCCACGAGAGATGGAATCATTGTACAGATAGTTCGTGACTTTTGTGAATATCGTAATCACGTGCATGCTCTTGGTGTTGATGTTAGCTAGGTGAGCCACTGCTACGCAGTCTTACAAGCATGCCCACATTGCGGCTCATTGGCTTGTATTAGTGCTTGCAAATGTGCTCATCACAGTGTAAATCGTGTTGCACGCAACAATGACTGCATCATCACTTTACATGTTGCGCGTGCTTGGACGTAGATATCAAAGTGTTTAAAATAAGCATGTTACTCCTTGTGCTCCTGTACCTGGCCTCGCCGTTTGTATTGTCGGGACGGGGCAATGATGCTGCACTAATGCTCGCTACCAAGGGTGGTCTGAACCACCCCTCCAAGAAAATGAACCCGTCCGCCCGCATCCGGCAGAACGTTATGCAACAACACCTCTTCGCCACAAAATGCTGTAACGCCGCTACGAGCCTTCCCATATGTACCCGTAAATGCCCATCCCGTATGGTGTATCCAGTGTTACCGTAGCGAAATACAACAACTGTAACGCCAATGTCGAAGAAAGAGGAGATTGACTGCCCGACAGTCATTCGATCGATAAGGTCTGGACTACAGCTGCCTGGTAGGAGAGTCAGTCAATGAACTTCTTAGAGAACCAGCCAGAAGTATTGGCTTACCAATTCTTCGCCAACACTGGGAATGTACACTCCTGGAAACGTCCAAGCTCGTGGGAGACCCAACGGTATTGTGTTGACCCAATCCTCCTCCTTGACCCAATCAAGGTCAGCCCGAGACATGTCGAAAGGCAATGACGACAGGAGATCGATCTCGGCAGCCATGTCTGCGGCACTGCTGTCATCCCGCACCTCAACCGGCTCGACGACATCAACCTGGCCGTCGCTGGTAACGATAATGACGGGGCGAGGACCGGAAGCTCCGAAGCTATCGTCAAACGTCGCAGTCGATTCTATCGACTTGTCGTGGTCTGCCGATAGTTGTGTGTTTTCGGACTCAAACTGAGCGCCAGCGCCGACGAAGTTATGGCCGCCCGAATGAGATGGCCACGGCTCAGGAGGCTCACTCATCGGGGTGGTTGCCTCCATTGACGAAGAGTAGTCCATTGAGTCCCAGCCAGTAGACTCGGTACGGGTCAAGACGCTCGATGTTTCTACAAGGCGGGGAGTACCATTGATGCTATATGTGGTGCTCGACTGCCATTGCAGGTAACCGATCCCATCTATTGTCAAATGCGTATGGGCTGCTTGCTGAACCACAGTCTCCATATATGACAGCGACAGCAAGGGCGCCGGCGCATTGACATGGTGTCTACCGGAGTAGCTTTGATTGTTCCGCGACGCAGACTGGCCATGTGCAGGCGAGCCTCCCCTCCCGCGAGCACTATATGCATTGTTTCGCCCGCGAGATTCCCGACCCCTTTGTGGACTCGGAACACGTAATTGTCGATTCGACTGAGCCTCTGCAGCTCCTTGTCTGCGTGTCGGATTCTGGTTCTGTCGTGCCTCCTGTTGCTGCATCCTTCTCCAGACTCCGCGTCGTCGGTTGGTGCGGTCGGAGGGGACGGCTCCCACACCTGTATTCGTCACATTTGCCATGTTGGTATCGTTTGATAATGCAAATTCAGGGGAGATTCGATGTGCTGCGGGCAGTACCAAGCCCTGCGTCTGGGAAGCTTGTCAGCAGTTTCCTTGTGGTCTACGACCATTTGTAGAGCGGCATTTGGACGTACAGGAGAGCAGGCGCTGCGCGCCCTGCGACAACTTCTACCTAGTCCTGGAATTCTTCTACGACAGAGTGAACTCGGAAAGTTGACTGTGTCCGGCCTGAGGATTCCTCCCGGGTAGATCACTTAGTTGAGCTGATGACGATGCTAAGAACACGGGCCGTAGCTGCAACCTTCTACCCCACCCTGAGCGCCCTCCAGGGCAGCTTACATCCTCAGCCACACTCCAGGAAATTGTGGCACAGGGCTCTTGTGTATTTGTGGTCCGATGCGAATCTAACAATCTACTTGTCCTACTCATGACCAAAGTAAGAGTGCTGTCAACACCCACGCAACGCAGCTGCCACTCGCGCGAGTTCCTAACCCAACATGTATTGTGTATCTAGCTGTAGGCGCATCAAAAAACACATCTTTACAAGGCGCAATCTTCAACGAAACATCACTTCCTCGAGATTTCCCTGAATCGTCGCAAAATTCCAGTCTGGTCCCAAAGTCGTAAGAGGTGGATGATCTACACCCCAGCGTAGGCTGTCAAAGCAGCGGAAGTCCGTTGACTGCTTCTTTGACGATGCAGCGCCCACGTTAGGCCAACATTCACTGCCATCGGCATCACAACTGCCAGCCTTTCGACGGGAGTTACATGAAGCCCATTCCACAGACCCTCGATGAATACGAAGCCAATGCATATTGCGGCGGCCAATGCAGTAGGCCTTGGCGCTCGACTGTAGGCGTGCATGCACGCTGCTGCATACCCCAGTGTGCAAAGCGCGATGCTACCGACCAGAACAGTGCTGGGAGCACTTTGTATCGCACTGGCTACGATCTGATTTGATTCGTTAACGGTTTAATCGATGTCAAAACCTGGACTTACATCCTGCCAGTTCTCCAACAGCACATTATGGCTCCTTTCTTGCAACGCCAACTGTATCGTACTCAGCGCCGCGCCACATACCCATAACGCTGCTCCGCAACCGATGTCGATACAAAATGCAGCATGCGAATAAAAAAGCTCAGTATGCCCTCTGAAAATGGGAAGGCTATCGTGCGTTTCATCCGTACGCTTCTCCATGACGGCAGGAGTCCTAGAGACACTCAGTATCTTCCCGAGGTCGAATGCAGTATCAAGTTGGATTTAACCTACGATTTGTCTTTTGCGATGAAGGACTTCCAGACACTCCAACTCGAACGCCTCGAGGCTCCTCACTTTATAGGTGTAGGTCTTAACGCGGCAATGCATGCTGCCAGGCTGAGCAGGTTTTCAGCCTGCTGCAGCAGGCAACCCCACCAAGTCACAACACTTCACACTACCAGACCAACGAGACACCGCCACAATATTCAACGACACCCTTATCAGCGGCCTCTCATATTGCCTTGAAGCGTATTGTTTCACTTTCAAATCACAAGTCTGCTGTCGATGGGGCTATAGAAATATGTTGACTCATGCATGCACCGCCACGTGCAACCCATCTTGGCAGCATATGTCAGGCAACATGCAACGCATGATACCCAAGAGAGCCTCATGGTAGTGCGTCCATCTGTCCGAAGTTGTCTACTGTAGCTATCTGCTGGAGATGCTTACAGTCCTATCCCGGCATACCCTGCAAAATATTACATGAAACTGCTGCTCCATAAACTCTAATATATTAAAAGTCTTTAAGACTGCTATTGAGAACCTAGTAAGAAGATAAGTGATCAATTTCTCTGCCTGCTTACTTTTGGTTATGTCTGTAAAGAAAGAGGTGTTGTCAACTTGTTGTTACTGGGCGATGGTCGGCCCCGCTGCGCTACACTGACCAAAAAGGTACAGTGCTACTGTAGACAACAGGTACTGGGAGCTGAACAGTATATACTCGTGACATCCTTCCAGGTTTTGACAATGTTTGACTTGTTGAGGCCATGGCCACTGTCACCATCTTCCTCCAGAGTGAATTGGTCACCCCTTTCAAGCCACTTCTTGACATGAGGCTCAAGGATTTGGTTAATATAGGCACGCTGTGTCATCTTCCCATTGTTAGAAGAGACATTGTAGAACACTAGATCACTCTTGAAGTTGTAACCAACAGCAGCCCAGGCATGAACCTTCTTGATCTCCTTGTCATGCTCATCCTTCTCCTCTCTCTGCTGTATGCAGTCATTGCAGTACCTCTCCCCCCTCTTCCTTGCCATCATAAGCTTTCCTTCAGGCCCTGTTTGCCAGTGGGCTTCATCTGAGAACCTCACATCCTCCCAATCTTCGGGCTCAGGCCTCTCTGCCAGCTTCTCCTTAGCCCATTGTACACGACTTTTGGCTGTAGAAACCTTCACCCATTGTAAAGGGTGGAATCTAAAAGACAATATGCACGACTATATGCACCAACCTATGCCAAAAGGCATGCGCAAGTTGAATCAACGAGATTTATCTTGCATAGTGGATGCCCGAAATCTGCACCCAGCGGTGGACAAGCGTTGACGGCATCAACAAGCCAATGGACACAGTCAGGACTGCATGGTATTGCGTATGCGTCTTGACGAAGTGGTTTCAATCCAATAAAGAATTATTTTGAAGGCAAAGTATCATCTAGTCTCATAAACTACCTTGTTACGAAAGCGCGATCTTTTGGTGGGTCGAGCCGATCAGAAGTACCTAACTTGCAGCATGTCCACGCCCTACGCCCTATACACGACATCTACAATTTAGCGCGCAGAAGCGACTTCATATTGTACTCTATATAGACAATTGTTTGCTCTTTAGCTTATATCCACCACTTGCACCAAATTGCCTCTTCGATTATATCACACACAACTAAGCACCTAGCAAAGTCTATACCTACTGTCCTCTCTAAGATCGCTCGGTCCTACAAACTGCACCTTATCGCGTCCCTTAACAATCACCACGTCAAGCTCATCAAGGTTAATAGGCCCTTTATATAGCACACTTACAATAACACTAATAAACTCTTTCACATTCTCTCTAGTGTGCTAACTAGAGAATTGGAGAGACAGGATGCAGTAGTAACGCACTTCACGGGCGAGCCGGTCACTTTCACCAAGACCCCATTAAACATCACTCAACCTACAATGCTTCAACGCAAGAACGCAGAAAAGCCCTCAAACGAAGCAGACATACAGCTGGCTGTCAAATCTATTGAACGTAACGCGACACTCTCCCAGCGACGTGCTGCAAAGATCTACACAGTGCCTCAAAGCACTATTAGTGACCGACTTGCTGGAGCCTCTCCACGACGCAATTGCACACCTAACTCAATGAAGCCGACAAGCACTGAAGAGTGGGTAATTTTCCAGCATATATCGAAGCTGGACGAGCGAGGGTACCTGCCCCGGCTTACTGATGTGGAGGATATGACCAACTCTCGGCTCACTGAGCGCCGTCAACCACCTGATGACAAAGACTGGGCCGGCAAATTCGTCAAGCGTCGCCCTGAGCTCAGAGTCAAGTTCAATCGAAAGTACGACTAGAACAACAACGAGTTTGGTTTGAAGTGGCTGAAGCACTTTGAAGAGCACACAAAGGAGCGCACTGTTGGCAATTATGGGCTGCTCGTTCTGGACGGACATGAGAGCAACAATTCAGCCAATTTCCACCAATATTGTGGGGAACACAAGTATTGTCTTCTCTCACATTGTCCACTCCGAACATTTCATTGTAACAAAAGGTTGTGCTGCCTTCACAACTACCTGTCGACCACCCAAGATGCAGTTCTTCCGGGGCCCAGTTTTTCGATGCGTCGAGAATTGCCGCCTTATCCGGCTCCATTACTACATGGTGCTTCATCAGCCTTAATTTAAGGCAGCCGCTGTTAGGTGAATGTATTTTTCTATGATACACAGCTCGACCAAAGTTATTTGCTCGAGACGCGAGACTCGGCTCAGCTACCCTTGATTAGGGAAACCACATGGTGGACTGAGAACCTGGAAGATGCTCGTGTTTTCTCATCCAGCAAGATGTCACCTTGTAAGTTTCACACATATCTTCTCTCGCTTTGGCTGAGCAGTGTCTGACTGAGAGAAGGGTCCCAAATCTGATGGGCAGTCCGAAAGCACCATGTGTCACGCTCCGATTCTCAGGGATTTGTTTTACACATCTTGAATAGTACTGCCATAACTATGGATTATGCAAAGCCTACGTACAAGTCCGAAGTATCTTTCCGATAAAGATTCCTCTGCAGATTCCGGCGCAGACCACATCGATATCAACCGTAGGCCAAATTTCCATTGCACTTGTTGCATGCGTAGGGTCCTGTTTGTTGCTCGGTCACGTTCCGACACTCTTCGTGATCCGTACAACATCGCCAGTCGCAATGCATCATTTGCTTTGCGAAATGTTCTCACACTGCTCGCCTCTCATATTCGAAACTTGCTATTCATCAGTGGACTGTCGACTTCTGTCAGCCTACACCTGATCTGGCGTCAATGAACTGCTCCAAACACGGACATAAGATCTTACCTCTGGCAGTCCAGCTTCAAGCTTATAGCTATCGTCTTGGAATGACAAACGAGCCGATTTACGGTGCTTCCGCAGTTGCAGCAGGCCAATTATCAGGGCGACGCACGCGAGCAGAACTGAGAGCCCTGCAAATATCGTTTCGAGACTGTCGAAGTGAATACCGGACGGTGGCGCTGCCTGCTTGTTGATACCAGCAATAGCAGTGGTGATGGCGTGCTCGTTGCGTGTGGTCATGTTGGCAATGGGGCAACTTGATGAGGAGACTTTTGAAGTTGGACGAGAAGCCGTCGGTTGAGACCGGTCAACTGTCCTACGCTGTTCGAGGGAAGATCCATCGAGATTTATACAACAGCAAGAGGCGCAGCGTCCCAACGAACGCGGTTTGATCTAGACAGCATGGCAATGTCACCGTTTTACTCAATGTACGCCCTTCGCGCGTCGTCACTGCCGATAGCTCATTTCGCGAGCGCAAGGTAGGTGTTGCACTATTGGGTGGTCATCTTCATGTCGGCCGTGTGGTACAGGACTTCAAGGAGTCCTCGTGCCTGACCCAACGAGCCGCTGCTGCTATCGCGCGCCGGGGAACACAACAAATTGCAGGCATCGTGCGCGGCATGGGATGACCCGCCGCTGTTGGACATAAAGGGTTACATGGGCTGAACGTAGGGCCCTGCCAACGCAGAAGGACCCCGATTTGTCGCATCCAGGATTCTGGGCTGAGCAATCCGGACCTATCGGCTACAAACCTGTCGAGGATCTGGATTCGTGCATCGACCGCACAATGCAAGAAATTCGGGGACGCTGAACAGCCCTCCTCGCTGCTGCCGCTCGTGTCGACAAGAACGCCTTGTTGCTATTACATTCCAAATGCAAAGCAATATCGAGAAACGACCATGGCGAAAGGGAGTATGACAACTTATGCAGCCGCGGACTTTACCAAAATATGGTTGGCTGAGATGCGCGATGATCGATGGGAACAATTCAGCCCAGTTGCGCAACCGACGGGAGGGCTTGACAGCAATAGAGTTTGGAGATGCGATCTGAGAGCTCTCGCTCATCGATGTAGAGACGGCATCACTGTCAGCGGGGACGCTTCGCGACTGTGTCAACGATAATTGTCGAAGGCTAATCATTCGCCACGGCTATTGAATGCAGATCAAAGAAGACGGCATGCGTTTCTCAAAGCCGCATGGAGCGCTACCACAACTGTTCCCCGGCCCCTGGTATCGTCGTTTCACCCGTGCGGCCGCCTCGCCGCGCCGGGCGTGGCTTCCCCGCGCCGCGCTCTCGGGTTTTGGTCGCGCGCCGGAAGACTACCGCACGCTAAAATGTCCCAGAACGAAGAGAAGGACGAACGCCATCTGGATTGGGACAGGCTGAGCTAAGGATATACGCGCAGCGCGGAAGATGAGATTCAACCCCCGTATCGACCGTCATTGGAGGTTTACCAGTTGACGTTGAGAATCTAACAGTCACCACACAACCCCGGCATTGCCCTTTTCCCATCCTACAAGCATGGTATCATAAATAAATACGGATGACAGCCGTGGGGTCAGACGATATTCTCGTCACCACTCGTACACTATGCTTCCAAACGACCACTCGACCCAACTTAGCGACCAGTCAGGGTTCAATGTGCCCAAGAAAAGGAAGCGTGGCACAGTGGAGATGTGCATGCCCTGTCGGCAGAGTAAGCGGAAGGTAGGCTATCAACCCTTACGCCTGCGATGTTCGACCACGCTAATGCCGAAGCAGTGTTCGTACAGCGACAACAACACATGGCCGGAAGCATGCTTGTCATGCGTAGAAAAGAGGAGGGAATGCTCTGCACCGCAACTTAAAGGCCGGTCAAAACGATTAGATACATCTCACAGTGAACGACACGATGGCACCTCTCAAGCCTTGATGTTGCCATCTAAGCCTATCACAAGTTTCCTAGACTGTGCCCATACCGCACCATCATCGAGTGTCTCCGAGGACATTGCAGATTTCAGCTGCAAACGAGCGTTAGTTCTGCCTTGTCTTTCAAAGCACAATTATGACTAACAACACCGCAGTGTCATTTTCCTTAGCCTAGACGAGGTTCTGTCGACATGCATCGAGGAACTGGTGGATTTGACGACGGACATGATGCGACCCTTCCAGCGCCACCCACAACGCGAAAACCACGAAGACAACGTACCCGAACTATCAGCAGCAATCAACGAATTGAATCAAGTGTCTCGACTTGTCAACTATGAAATGGAAGAGGCAGCTCGTGCAACCAAAGGAACGACGTTGTTCCTAGCTCAAAACGCTCTGCGGACGCATCACTTCCGCCGCAATCTTAGCTGGGGTGTCGATTACACTGCTGTCGCTCAATGTCGTCATACCATTACACAGTTCCTCCAACTAGGTCATACAAGTCTTGCTTACGTGCTGCAAGTAAGGCTACTTAGAGAGAGCATCCAGCTATCAGTGTCGCAGCTCGAGATCATGGCCAGATGCAGAAGTCAGTTCGTGGCTGAAGTCGACGAGTTCTTCAAGACCATTCCTCCTAAGTTCAGCGGCCGTCAAATGTTCGCCCCGAAGGAGTTGGTACGCATTCCAGCTTTCGAGGCTGCCATCATTGCTGATGGCCGTCCGGACTACCTCGGGCGAGCAGTGGCCCAGATCAGGTTCGATGCTGGCTTACCCATAGACTGGCCACCAGATGCCGTCCGTCATAAAGATGTTCTAGGCCGTACGGGTCTACATCAAGCTGTTCATCGGCGACACAACTCTGTTGTCAAACAGCTCTTGACACTTGGCGTGGATCCTGCACAATGCTGTATGAACAAGCTGTCTCCACTGCATATCGCTGCATGCCAAGGTCATATTGAGATGGTCAATTTTTGGATTGCTCTAGTGCCAGGCCTCGTCGATCTACCAGATTCAGCTGGCCGGACTGCCTTCTGGTACGCTGCCAGGGGCTCTCAGTTTGGCGTCATGAGTGTACTGTGCCTTCGACAAGACGTCAACATTGACCACAGAGATAATCATGGACTCAGCCCAGCTGCGGTGGCAGCGCGCGATGGTCGCTATGGTGTGCTGGGTTACCTACTCAGGAAGAAATCCGATAGGATGAAGGCCCGGATCTCACCCAAGGCTGAGCACTCCACTGACCATCGACCGCTACTGCTCGCTTCTGAAGCAGGGTAGACAGAATGCGTCGAGTTATTGTTAAAGCCAGATTTTCGAACCTGGAAAGGCGGAGACTGTGAGTATCACGCCTTACTTGGTTTGGCGGAAGAGCGAGGGGATACGAAGTTGGCGGAGAAAGTGCAAAATTTGCTGATTCCTGAATTAAAAGATGTATTTGCAGATGTGAGGAAGTTCTTGCTCGAACCGCCGAAACCGGAGGATGCGAAGAAAGCAGCCTCGCCGATACATCCCTACGTCCTGGGCCCGCGTGCTCAGGCCTTACCTAAGAAAAGATGACGGAGGAGGAATCCCGCATGAGCTGGTTATAACAATCGCCTACTCATTGATCTGATTCAGCGATTCGATTCGCGGAGGAGCTTGTTCTTCTGAACGCTGCCCTAACCAAGGTCTTTTCCTCTCTTGCTGCAAATGCGCTGGTGACTTTAGCTAGGATTGTAAGTAGCTTTCTAGTCTGAGAGTCCTGCTTAATGGCTATATTACTGTTAGATACCCAAAGCTTGTCTTGCTAGAAGTTTGGCTTCTTTCCCATTGTTGCTCTAAAGCTGTTGGTGGGCTAGCGCTTTAGAAAAAACGATTCCCTTCGTAATCTGATTTGTTTGTCTCACTGAAGGACACCCTCGATGCAAAACTATCTCTACAAACGCCCTCCGACGAAGCATATGAGCTCTCGATAAGATATCTACGCTGGGTGCGCTACATGTTTGCGAAGCATCGATCTGAAAGGGCTCCAGCAAGCTATGCACGGACTAGCCTAGGTCCACAGTGAACAGCGAAGGCAAAGCACCACCATAATTTCATTGGGATGTCCAACGTCAATATCAATGAACTGGGCTACATCGATTGCCCGCCTGTGGTGCAAATGGCTCACAGTGCTTTGTTGGTCAATATCAGATCATTCAAGAACAACGATATACGCTGTGCATCCTCGCACCACTCAGATTGTCGATCATTGTCATTGTGTGACCTATGATTTCAGTTCTTAGTTTGGCCATTAGTCTCTTCAACATTCAACATTCAGCACTCTCAATCTGATCCTACCATCCCTACCACAAAACACAGGTGATTATTACTATTACATATGCTATCGCACTGCCTTGCCTAGCTGTGATTCTGCTCCTGACAACAGGTATTGACGAGCTGTTACAGCATATTGTTGCTAAGCACGCTTCTTAAGCTCCTTAAGATCAACTGATCTGTCTGCTTTCCTTTTAGTTATGTCTGTAAAGAACAAGGTATCCTTAACTTATTGTTCCTGCGTGTTGGTCGTTGTTAAGGCGGGAGCGGTGGGTGTGAGCGGTTAGGAGTGAACGACTATAAGCAAGGTAGGCGCTAGCAGAACATAGCAGTTAACAGCATTTTAGAGGTCGGCATGTTGTAAAGTTCACAGATCAGACTCTTGTCTTCATTTTGGTATTTGTGACACAAAAAGGGAGCAACATGGTCTGAATGAAGCTTAGCTTATTCAGAGGCGTGGTTACTGAAAACGTTCTTGAAATGGTACCACAACAGACGGTGGACCGGACAGGAGAACTTGTTTTCAATGTCCTATGGTTGTATGTGAAATAGCATTATAATGGTACCATAAATATAGCCAAAAAAAAAAAAAAAAAAAAAGCGTCAAAAAAGTGTAATGAAAAGAAAAACATACAACAGCGGGTATTCGCTAGTGGTCACCCACCTAACTACTAATCCGCCGGTACGTTGCTTAAATAGGGCTGAGCGAACGGGAAGCCTTGTTTTCAACGTCCTATGGTCGTATGTGGAAGAAAATCACAATATTTACTAATATATTTATATAATCATTGAGCTTACAAGAGAACAATCTCTGGAACAATGCTTCGCAGCATCGAACTTGTTCCACAGAATGTCGTCAATAAAAGAGGAAACCCCGGGAATATGGAAGGAAAGGACCCAAGATGGTAGCTTCAAGCTCAGCCTATCCGCAGCATCGTTCTGACGTTCGGTTCGTGGAAGTATGTCTAGATTATCATGGACTTGATCATGAGCTTGGTAAACCTGTAGTAATGCTCCTCAGTATTCAGTCGGTAGTCCAGTATGGCATCTATGTCCTGCCTAAGTGCCCTCTCATTTGTAGTTGCAATTTTCATGGCAAATGCTAGAGGTGCAAGTATTTTATCCTTCCTCTGATTACACTCTCTTTGACGCATTTCATTGACAAGTAACTCGGGAGCTACCAGACATTTGTAGCTCCCGAGGATGGTTCCTTGTAGCCGACAAATGGATAACGTAAAAAATACCCTCTCGCCGAAACTGCCTCCAGACCAGTTGCATCCGATCCACCCTGATATGGAAGAGATAGCGAGCAACTGTTCATTCAAAGAGATGTGCTTGGCGGTGCTCATTGGACCGAACAAGGTTGGGCTGTGATCGCTGCGCAGTATTACGGCTGCGAGGGCTAGAAATCCGTCAATGTGGAACCTCCGCGATCCACATATGGCTGCGGTGTTTGTAAGCAACAAGATCTCCTGAAAGGTTCATAACCGCCGAAACCATGTGCGTTGCATGAAGTTCTCAATGACTTCCACATCCCCATGCTCGATCTTGTCACCTCGTCCTGCCAAGGCCATTCATTCTTTAGCGGTTGATTTCTATCCCATCATGCTTGCCGCATGGCTCGATCTGATGTGGGGTCTGACCTCCCCAGTCAAATTATGACCTTAGATGCCTTGGAGTAGATCTCTGCCATCAACTTGATTTATTGCGTTTTTTTCGCTTACGTCCCTTTGATTTATGCATGTTGCGTCGATCCAGACGGACGCGTCTGACAACTGCACATCTCGGGAAAGCTGTCGGAGGGCATCGATCAAGTTCTCTGTGACTCTGATACTGCTTCCTTCGCATGAGACAGAACATTTTTCGTTGTCGTAACTCGTATAGTATGGGTGCTCTTCATGGAGAGGATTGTCCCAAGTGTATGAGAGCGCATTGAAGGACCAGGCTGACGTAGAGAGGGAGAGGGATACCTCAAGCTGATCTTCTGCATTCTTGAATCGGATTTTGAGAAGTCGAATCGAGTTCCGTAAGCAGTGGCTTGTAAGTTTATGGTCGAACCATATGGACGAAGGCAAAGCGAAAGGTTTACCTTGAAGGGAAAACATAGTTCCACCAGCATGCTGATGGAATAGTACCTCAGCCTTTTTCATAGATGCACGCATAGTCTTTTCCCCTAGCCTTCCGGGGACCGCCCAAATTTCAATGCGCGAAATCCTAAAACCAGCTAGCATGCGAATTGAGATCTATGGTTTTGTGAATTTTAGACGTTCGACACGAGAGACTCGGTCGCCGGCTGTTCCTGGCGGCAATGGGTGCTAGCGCGTGGCTTGGGGAAGCAAGTGCCACACACGTCCCACCTGTCATCTCGGTCTACGTCAGCAAACACGTTGCATCTTCGCAAGTCAATTGGCTGCACTACTACAAGTTCAACAGCGATCCTTCAATCGACCTCCTCACGTCGAGATCTGCGTTCTGAACGTGCTGTAAATGTATACATTTGTTCACCGGTAGTTTACGTTTGTACTCGCCCAAGCGTGGCATCGTTACTCCACCATGTCAAACCGCGCTTTCGACACGTCGAAGCTTGGCACTGGGTATGGCTTTGAGAGCTTTCCCCAGAAGAAGCTGGAAATGCCCCCGACATGGGCAATTCTTGTGGGATTGAGCTTCTTGGTTGGCGCATTGTTGTTCTGGGTAAGCATCCACTACGATATAGCAGCCATAGCAACGCTAATTGATTGCGCAGACATACGTCGCCCTTACACTGTTCGCGCCCTCCCCTCGAAACCCTCGGCTTTCTGAAAAGCAGTATATCACTATACTGCCTGACGGCACTCGAAGTGCACCGAAACAATTGCCATGTTGGCTCGACAAGTGGGCAGCCGAAAAGGAACTGGCAAAGAAAGAGGCAGCGAAAGCACCAGGAACCAAAGTCGTGATACCGCCGCAGATGCCGATTGAGGAGGCTGAGCTGTTCATGACCGTTGTAGTGCCTGCGTACAATGAGGAAGAGCGCATGGGTGGCATGTTGGAGGAGGCGGTAGACTACCTCGAGAGTCAATATGGCTCAGCGCATGATGGTGAGAAGGGCAGTGGAAAAGAGAAGGGCTGGGAAATCTTGATCGTCAGTGATGGTAGCACAGACGGGACGGTCGATAAGGCATTGGAGTTCGCTAAGGAACATCAATTGAGCGAACACTCGGTCCCAATCGCTGGACCATGGACGAAGAACGGCACAGGGATGACCCTTCACTCGACGCATATACCCCACGGCAGTATCCGTGTCATCACCCTTGAGGAAAACCGCGGCAAGGGCGGTGCAGTCACACATGGCATGAGGCACGCAAGAGGGCAGTACATTGTGTTCGCAGACGCAGACGGCGCAAGTCGATTCGGTGACCTTGGCAAACTGGTCGAGGGCTGCAAGAAGATCGAGGACACTGATGGGCGAGGTGTCGCCATTGGCAGCCGAGCCCATCTAGTTGGCAGCGAAGCTGTTGTTAAGGTACGCTCACCTCGCCAATTGCCCACGGAATATTGTTAACATCATTTAGCGCTCAAAGCTCCGCAACTTCCTCATGTACTCCTTCCACCTTTTTCTCCGCGTCATGACCCCAGCCGCAACCGCCCGAATCAAGGACACGCAGTGCGGCTTTAAGCTCTTCTCCCGACCGTCACTCCCCTATATCGTACCGTATATGCACTCCGAAGGCTGGATCTTCGATGTTGAGATGCTCATGCTAGCCGAGAGCGCCGACATTGCTATGATCGAAGTTGCGATAGGATGGAAAGAGGTCATGGGAAGCAAGCTTAATGTTATCTGGGATAGCATTGGTATGGCGTGGGGACTTGCACTATTGAGGTTGTGCTGGCTTGTTGGTATATGGGAAAGAGATTAGAAGAACCGACAAGAGCACAATCAAACAATATGCATCAAGGCAGCCAGCCCCAACTCTAGCACCAGTTGCTGCCGACCTCCCTGTCGTTAGCTGCACGACTGCGACAGGGGCTTGTTAACTAACTTCAAGGACACCTCACGCTACAGCCTTCGGATTCTGCAATCACTGAGGATGCGAACCACGATTTACACTGGTAACGTGATGAGGCTGAAAATGAGCCCATGCACGAATACGGAATTTGGGCATATCTTGCGAGGCGCCACGCACTTCGCTAAGGAGTATCCAAAATACACAAATACAGGTTACTTGTTTCGATCGGCCACATGCGGCGAGAGCACGCTGACCGGTTCTGAGCACGCGTGGACGCCAGCGCAGAGTGCAGCGAGGCTGCATCTGAATCAATAAGCAGCTTTGTAGCTGGTTCAAGCGTTGGAGAACCCCAGAGGCGAACACCAAGTACGAACTTTTGGCCACACTTGACGCCTTCACATCAGTGTCCTGACATGGGTCCAGTTGAGCAAGGCGACCATTGCACCCTCGAATTGTGGCTTTCGCGTTGCTTCATCAACCGGTAGGCGTTCGGTCGCCTGACGCTTCTTCACACTGGCGATTTCGTCTAGCATCTAGACACCGATGTTGTAGCAATAGAGAAACTCGAACATTGAAGGGACTGCAGGCTGGTGCACAAGAGGTGACGTTACAGTGTACTTCGCTGTGCCTCACCACAGGGGCAATTTCGTTTACGGCACGTCCAGCAGGACGCTTCCGCGTACGAAACAAAACGATGACTGTCAGATGCCATACCCATCCCCGTTCCAGATCTGCATGCAATTCACTACCGATGACCCGCATTGAGAAGTGTACCGACAGGACCCATGCCCGATTTACCCCTTGTCAATCCTTGTTGCCGCTGTACGCAGCTGTTCCTCTCATAATTACCTTGCAATCCAGTGCCGTAGTCCCACCATCTCTTAGCCGACAAGGGTGGTACTATCTGAGCTTCGAATGGGGTCGGACGACACTCAGACTTTGGTCGGGCACTGTGACGAGCGCTCGCAATAATGTCCTCCAGCCTGTTAAGGCTGCAGCACGAGCTCTTCATGAAAGACTTTCCTATCGACTACTATCAATCTGCGACATCTTCTACGGACCCATCGACTCGTTTCGCACTGGCCAATCATTATCTTGTCACTGTACATCATGCCTGTACCTATGTACAGCTTCGGCCACAGTTACTTCACAGCACAGCCACCACTTATCGCCTCAGCCTCAGTAAAACAGTACACATATACATCATCGTATGTCTCTTGGTGAGAGGCTGCCTCGACCTTTGACTGTTGGTGATCAGCAGCACCAGAGCGGACCGTTCACGCTCCCAGGCCAACGGTCACCAAATAGCGACCCCCAAATCGCACGATACCTTTGCCAAATCGACAATGACCCCTCGCGATACTACTGTATGGGAATTCAAGTTCGGATACATAGGTTCACAGTTCGAAGATGCGACTTGAGGGCAGTACGGACAGTCGTGACGACACATCGTTGCAGAAGAGCGCGGATATCCACATCTCATGAGTCAAAGATCAGAAGATTGAAATAACGTTTATTCCCATCTCATGTTCCGATGGAAAATGTGACTGCAACTCTTGACCAATGAGGCGCATTAGTGGCTTGCCCATGCATCGCTTGGGGCCAGCAACTTCTCAGCCTCGTCGGCTTACTGCAACCTCCATTCATCTTACACTCTATGACAGTCAGAACTGCAATCTTTGGCTTACAATGTCAGAACCCACACAAAATGTACCATTAACGCAGTTGTCCGTTGACGAGCTGTGCAAGGTCAGGATTCACACCATCCTTGACAAAAAGATCACCTGCTATGAAGAGCCTATCGCGACATTTCTGGAGGATGATTACAAGCTCAGCAATGCTCCGAGTAGAGGACTCCGATGGATACACTTGCCAATCAACAACATGAGCTGGGCCGAGGTGTGTCCCTCGAACAGGAGTCCAATCGAGACTGAGGCTAATAACGCGCGATACAGCGATGCATCAACAAATGTGGCCCAGATTATCGAATGCAACCACTTCACTGGTTGTTGAGTGTTCGTCCTGCGCTTTCAGAACCCATCAAAATCCCGCTACATTCCCGACATATGGAGCTAAAATGTCGCTGGAGGGCGGACGACGGCGATCAAAGCGTCAATATTCAGTTCCCTTTGTGTACAGTCTATGTAAGCTTAATGTAAAAGTAGTTGTAAAGCTTGGTGAACACTGACACTGGACAGTTACCATATATGAACTGGGACGAATATCGGCAGTATCGCTCTCTTGCAAAGGTTTACGATTGTGTTCGGTCCGGTGAACCACTGGGACCTCTACAAGACTCTGCATCTCAACGAGAAGTGATCGAACACAGGACATCCCAGTTTCTCTTGGGAATGAACGGCAAATCACTCCACCCCCGACGAACTCTGGATCAGTTCTATTATTCTTCTTTGGATGATACGTCGAGCAGGGATCGCGACCAGACGATCTCCAAATGGACTGGACCTGATGTGGGTGCCGACGGAAGAACAGCTGCAATAGATCAAAGTCTCATAATTATGGTCGATCAACTCTGGTGTTGGGTTGTGGATGAGAGTAGGACAGAGAAATCTCAACTCTTCATTAAGGGGACTGACACTTCCAACAGGAACTGTCTTCACGTGCTTTCCTTCGCAGAACACACACTATCAAGGTCCCGAAACACACGGCTTGCGCGACCTTTATAAGCTCCTAAGGTTCTCGACAAACACTTGCGAAACCGTGTGGGACCTTCACGCCGCCATAATCGAACAGGCAACAACCCATCTACACAGCCAGTGGAATCGAGGGCTGATCGATTATATCGAGATTTACAGATGGGCAACTAGCAAAAAGGTTGAGAGTAATGCTCTACAGTGGTTCGTAAGCATGATTGCTGATTTTCATTAGACCGCGTACCTAGCAATGTACTTCCAAGACTTCCATCAAGACTACAGCAACGGAAACGCAGCATTCGACAATAACCGCGAACTTAATCTTGCTCTCGAAGTCGCAGATATCATCGATGAACTCAAGATGATCAAGAATCTACTCGAGAAGCAACGCATTGTGGTTGGATCATTGAAATCGGGGTTCAACAATCTTGGATTAATGGCCCACAGTCAAGCATACAAGCATATCGCCTGTACAGAGAGACACCTCGAATCCGTACTTTCCAATGTGAACGAGATCAAGGGTGAGGCAGAGGAGACTTATAGATCAGTAAGTGCTGGAGGTGTATGTGCGTAGAACCGGCATATTGACAATATCAAAGCTGCTCGATCTGCTCGATCTCAAGTCGAAAACAGCAAGTCTGGCTGAGGCACGCTCGACAACAAAGCAAGGCCAAGCTGTTATGCTGTTCACGGTCGTAACGATAATCTTTGTAATTTACACCTCCTCTTCGTTTCAACAAAGCTGACCAACGCTTTCACAGCTGCCACTTTCTTTCTTCACGGCATATTTTGGTCAGAACGTATCAGAAATAACTGGCGATGATGCAAATCCGACTGCATGGGAATTGTGGAGAGTTGGAAGTAAGTCGAGGTATCTTCTTGCGTGTTCGTGCTGACCCGCTGGTCCAGCTCCAATTACCGTGGTGATTGTTTTAGTTGCGCTCCTTATCGCGTACCACATCATGAGGCCGAACAGCAGGTTATGGTTCTGGAAGCAGTCTTCGCATTCGGCACATATGAGAAGAGAAGACATCGAGATGGGGACCCGATAAGTAAACAATCATGCGTACCTTTTCAAGAAGGGTACGGTTCGCCAAAACCCTATGTCTCAGTCTTTGAATGACTCCAGTACCTGCGTCTCCGGGTGTTATTGTCTTGCTCGACCACTTGCATGTTCGTAAGACAACGAACGCCACGCACGCTGCCTAGAACCCTTCCGCATGCACACTAAGATATAGTCGTAAATCAGTTGACAAGGCTGACTCTCATAAGTATATGCTGACCGGTTGTGGGCCTACGTTGGGAGGGGGGATGCATCCCAACCAATGAAAGATCACCATGGCCCGGGATATCCTGCCTTGCACTCGGCCCGGGATGTCCTGCCTTGCACTCGGCCCGCGATTTCGCACGATCAACCGCTCATGATTGCACTGCTTCACGGCTGAAGTGCTTCTTGATGGCTTTGACTGACAAGAAGCACAACATCTTTCCGCTTGACATTCGTGTAAGCAGCTCATAAGAAAAGAGGACCTGCGCAATCTTGCATTGCACTCTTTCGTATGACCGTATCCCATCCCCTCGAGGAACAGCCGATACGAGTAGCCATATGCATTTGCTGACGTCACTTGCAAAGGTGCGTTTCAGTATGAAATTCGCGAGTGGAATCAATGTCGGCTAGGTGGCGGTACAACAGCAGTCTCACTTACCTGGTCAATTGTTGCTCAAGTTGATCGTTCGAACCAGCCGACCCAGTCCATCACTCGCAGTTCACCGCAAGGACAGGCGTCGGGGATGTCCGTAAAGGAACATATGGCACCGACCAAACCCATGCTGGACCAAGATCCTGTTCGCCCCTGTGGCCCTGCCAACGCGTGAGCCACGCCGTTTCCATCGAACAGCAGCAATAAACACAACATTCGCACATTTCTTGGTCAGAACATGGGGCCCTGGTTCTGTATGATGCAGCTCAGAGGAGGTTACAGTAGATTAGCGCATGTGGACCGTATCCGCGGTTTTGGGCTAACCAAAAACCGCAGGTTTATTTGCCGGGACAGGAAGACGGGGATGTGCACTTGATGCCGCGGTTTTGCGCTAACCATAAACTGCAGGTTTCTTTTAGCCGGTACGAGGACGCGCGCTTTGACCATCTTCTTGCATTCCAGGTCGTCATTTGGAGATCTGCACGTATGATGGGCTTGAATCCTCTTGAATCGATCATTGGACCCCAACAAACCAACAGCCCCCGATCATCTTGCAGCTTTCATCAAAGCCTGCGACGCTAAGAACCCATGCAGCTGAGAGACTGTGACGCCCAGGATTGAGGCAGTGAAAGGCGGTCTGCCACGAAGTCTGCCAGCAGTCCTTCAGAGAGATTTATGGCACAGAGTGTCCCTTTTTCGAACGTTTCATAGCAAGCCGCCGTCCTCTTGTCGTCAAATTTTGTACATTACCAATCCGCCCTATAGCTGTTAGCTATTCTATTGAGGCTCGGGTATTCCTGTGTATACACCATGCCTGTACCGTTGTGGGGCACCTCCGGCTATCCCATTTTACCCAAACCAGGCTCAACTAAGTACAAAACGCGCTCAGATACGTCTTCGTATATTGGCCTAGAGTGATACAACCTCCTTGACAATGATATGGACTGATGTAGACCAACAGTACAAGAGCAACCTGCGCTGGCTCACGAACCTCCGACCAACACACCATACCAATCGATCTACAAGGTGTCGGCACGAAACACAGCATGCTTTCTCAAACTCCTGCCATGCAAGAGTTCGATGTAGGATACATGGGAGCGCAGTTTGATGTTTGATTCTCGGCGACATAGAAGGGGTGCAGATAATGAAAGGAACAGACATTGACTTATGAATGACATGACATTACGTGACTCTCATTTTGCAGTCGCTATTTCAGTATGACAAAGCGTTCAATTGCCACCTCTCCGCATTTGCCACATAGCTTTTGCTGCGTGTGATTGTAAAGTGGCCCTTTCATCCAATGTTCTTGAGCGCCTCGGCTTCGCACATGTGGCTGAACTATGTTCGTGTATAAGCTCCGGAGGGATCTCAGAAGCGATTGTTTATCCGTATGTATGGTTTGCAGGTGTCCTTGTTTCCAAACTGCGGCAACTGCGAAGGCTGCGCATGATGATAGGTTTCGATTTCGTGGCAGTTGATGCGAGTGCGGTTGAAAGACCACTGCATATCGCGTTGAGAGAATATGTTCTGCATAGCGTGATGCAACATCACTAAGAGCCGTTTATCCTACGAAATATCTCTTAGTCAATATATCTAGTTGTAACATTCGCATTACATCGGTGTCCGGCGCGTGAGAAGAGCGACAAGATGTTTGTGGAGCGGTAAGGCAAATCTTCTCATGGACCTTGAACGCAAATTGCACCTAATATTGAAGGAGGTGAATGGGATACATTCTGTCCTGCTAGCAACAGTCGTTGTGGTTTTGTTTTGTGAAAACATCGACAACAACTAGACACGACGTTGCTATTTCCCCCGTTTTCCCATTGCCTGTATTCCGATCCTGTTCTGTTTCCGGTGCTAAGGGTTACCCCCACACTCCGTGGGGTTCGTCTGTGACTGTACGTAGTATAGGGGCTATGGGGATTACGACTTAATTAAATCCTGTAAGAGCTTCAACAAGTATATGATTCTTACTGAAGCTCAGCACAGCAAGCAAAAGAGTACCCACATCCCAGATGGTTCCATGAAGTTTTGTATAATTGTGCGAAAGAGAGCATTTGTACATGATATGGCCCCGATTGTATCCACGACAGATGTGCATCGCGATGCCTTCCGGCCACCGTCAGAGCACTTCGAAAGCACGACGCGAACTCAATACCTTATCAGGAATCTGACTAATTAGCGAACAACATGACTCGGCCTTGGGGAGGCCGGAAGATTTCCCCCGGCGTGCATTGAACAAGAGTTCATGCCAGTTGTTGAAGCAAGCATGATCGACGTCTTCACGATGTTGCCTCATCGCTTCCGCTTAGAGTCTCGACGTCAAATACCTCACGCACTAAATGCGATACCATGTCACCCCTTGCCATCGGACTACAGCGATCAGGCAACCACGTTTGCCTGTTCGCTTAGAGGGAATGTATTGTTGAATTCTGGTGATGTACCGACGTTGTCCTGATGGTGGAGCCGGGCTCATATCTGTCGCGTGTCGCGAGCTGAGCTGTCGCATCCAGGCACTGGACGTAGCGAAAACAGGTAAAGTACAACGGCTATTTCGGCGCCCAATCACTCTAAAGCAAGGCGTGCTGGTGATAGTGCGGGCAGCGGACGTAAGGCCGCCCAGGGGACACACTGGTGAACGTTGCGATGTCTGATGTAATGCGAAATCAGGTAGGCGCTATTGCAGCCCCTGGCCACTCAAAACTGGCTAGACGCCGGTTTTACGAGCTCACATCCATGACCTTGTGTGCAGAATGTCACTAAGCACCTGGGCGCAGCGCACTGAGCACTTTCCATCTTTCTCCACTCTGACGCATTCTGCGAATTGTGCAGGGTGAATGGCAGATCCCACGTGGTTGTGAGGATGTTTGTTCAGATGCCTTACCGTGATGCACCGACCAACGCCCGGTTTTGGCCAACGCTCGCATCAACACCCTCACAGGCACCCCAAAAATGAAGGTATAGGGCCAAACACAATAGTCATTATAGCGAGATTTCTTGGTGAAGTACTCTATTGCCCTATACAAACAACTCTATCACTCAAACTTCTTGGGCGCTTTGGTTTTGCGCCCATGGCTGTTGTACATAGGTGGAGGTGATAGGGCATGCGGCACGGCAGCAACCCTACTTGCAGCACCCACAGTGTCACCCACAGGCTTCCGTTTCTTATGAGGTTTTGCAGCAGCCTCTTGTGACACCTTGCGCTTACCCAACTGAGGCAATTGTATAGCTTTAGCAGCGTTGCGCTCTTCCTTCTTGCGCTGCTTTTCTGCTTCTGCCTCGGCCTTCTTGCTGTAACGCCTTCGACCGAAAGCGCTCCGATAGCGTCTGGTTCCTGCGGGTCTCAGCACACCGCTCTCCTTCCTGTCGCTAACTACTTCCTTGTCAACTGGACAAGGGTAGTTCCGATTCCCCTCCGAACTGTGTATTTAATCAGTTTGGCACAGTCGTTAGATAGAGTAGTTTTTCTGTATCCTTTCGTACAAGACCTATAGGTGTAGGGAATTCAATCCTAGTGTTCTCAACGTCCCAGCACTCCCATATGCCTCGCAGTGGACTCACACTTACTTTGGACATCTTCCCTACTGGCCTGCGTCGTTACAAACTGCAGACTTGAAAACTCTGTCAACTTTGTGCCAATCTCTGCCTTCAAGGTCTGAGAGTGAGCTAGAGTTGTTGCTATTGTTGTTGTTGTTGCTCTTGAACCATTTAAGTACTCAATCGGGGTTGAATGGTGAGAGGCCTGTTGTCTCAAAAGCACTTAACACAAGCTTCTTGCGCATAGTTTTCACCCAGGCAGCCCAAAACAACCTAAAGAAGTCCCCCTTTTTGATACCTCTAAGGCCTTGGCTTGAGTGGAGGTGTTGGGTTACTTCGTTGGAGTAATTCTGAGCCAGCGGCTTGAAAGCCACAACATCGAGCGGCTGCAGAGTATGGGTACTGTGTAGAGGATAGATGCACAACAGTATCCTGTTCTTGTCACAGTAATCAATGAAACTCATTGTCACATGTGAGCTGTGGCCGTCAATTATGAGCAATTGCCATGTGCGGCGCGCCTTCTTCTTGGTGTAGCGATCAAACACCTGTTCTAGCCAGGCAACTCCAAGCTCATTGTTGCTCCAACCTGAGGGCGATGCCGCTACAAACACCTGGTGTTTTCCTGGAGTTATATCCTCTACCCAGTTGCTGCGGATGCACTGAGCTTTGCTAGCATAAATGATACCCGGAGGCAGAGCAGAACCATCAGCACAAATGCTGGCCAACAGCGTCACCCACTCGCGATTGCCATCCTGTAGCGATTGCCAGCCTTTCTTTGCCTTGAACGATGCCTTGGAGAAGATGCGCTTGCTCCTGCCAACCAGACCAATAGCAAAGCCCTTCTCATCCATATTGTACGTGTGCCGTGGCTTGATAGAGTATTTGGTGATCTTCTGCTGCAGCAAGTTGAAGTATGCGGTGTACTTTTGCTCAGAATCGGCAGCGAGCTGCTGCGCATCCATGCCTGTAGTCCAATAGGGAAGGAGTCGGTCGGTGTGCTTGGTGAGGAAGCGCGTAACCCAGCTTATGTGGATGTCACAATGGCCAATGGTGGAGGCAAGATTTGCGATCATTTCACGCGTAGGAGGAAGGTGACGGTCTGTAAGGTCTATAATGTACTGCACAAGGTACTCCTGTTGCTCAGTGCTGAGTTTTGACTGGTTGTTGTTTGCAACTTCCCTGGGCTGCTGCACACCTCGATGTCGGCACGACAGAGTTGTGCGATCAACACCAGCATTTTTTGCATGATGCGTATACACAATCTTTTTGCCAGACTTCAATTTACTAATCTGCTTAATTGCATCATTGATTCCAGGCATGGTTGTGGTGCAATTACATGTCAAAAGTATAGTCAAAGTGTTGTTGTTCGGGCATTGGCTGAAACCGGGCGTTGGTCGGTGCATCACGGTAATTGATGAACTCGAGGAAACAGCCGGGCAATCAGGCACCCGCGTTGTTTCCAAGGGACATGTGGCTTTGTACTGTACGCAAAGAACAGAGTCGCGAACAAGATTCCAGTCGGAGCTTGCTCTGGACAACAGCAACGGACATGATCTGACGTCGGAGCCCTGATATACTTCACGTTGTGTTCGACCGGTAGCGAACGGGACCTACTAATCGGGGACCTGAGATAGCCGGTGGAACATCAGACTAGACTTGAAGCGGCGATCTGGCTCGCGTCTGGTCACTCTTGCGCAAAACACAATTCGGGAGGGTCTCGGCTCAAATCCTATTATCTGGAGGTACGTTGCGACTCAAACATCAAGGACGATTTTGCACGTTTAGCTGGGTTTGTTCCGGCGAATTGTCGGACGGAGAAATGGGGTGGATGAGTGCCCAGGTGAGGGTGGGTGGAATTCAATAATACAAGATAAATACAGCGCTTTTGTACTAGATGCCTGTTCCGCGTCAACGACCGCCTCCGTCAAATTCGTTGTCGTTCGCCCATTCTGCCCAACGTCTTCGTAAAGTCGCAAGCCAAGGTCGGGATGGTGGGAGCCGGCACCTTCGCAGTCGGGCGAACACAACGCGTCTATGACGGAAGTTTTAACCGATGGCTAACTCTGAGCAAGAAGATCAGCCACACGAGATGCGAGTCGGCTGTAGTAGCAACAGGTCCTTACTATACGGCTTGTTTCTGGTGCACTGCGCGTCCGATCATGCATGCTCCACGCCTCCGGGCATCTGAGAACTCCGGGTTCCAGGGTTGCGGTCCATGGCCGCAGCGTTCGTTGAGAGGTCTAAGGTGTAAAGAAAAATGATAGGTGGCTTCAAGCGAAAGCCGGAGCTTGAAAGAGCTTTGGCTGTTGGGTTGGCCGACAGTTGCTGGCGAGAAGTAGCGTAACGATCGTCTCTGCTGAAGGCCTGCTAAGGCCGCAAAGGGCACACTTTTGGACATGAGGCAGCCCTGCTGGGGGTGTTCGCCGCCAGTCCCCATCTGCTCGCTCGCGGGTTATGGCCCTTGAGACGATCGACGCAGCCCCACAGATACGCTTTCTGTGTGTTCTCCACTTCCATAACCGTACCATGCATGGCTAGGTGCTCGGGTGGGTCAAGGCTTAACCCAGCTATTGCTGAATCTGCTTTGTGTGACCAGGGCATGCTGCACGGCGTTGATTAGACTCAGCGCACGCAGGGGTTGTCCATGAAACGGCTACCACAAGCTAGACTCGAGGTGGAAGAGGGTTTGTGGTGTTGCAGCTTCCCCGTCATTTTCCCTCCCTGTTCGAGCATGGCTTGAACATCTCCCGGGCCTTGGCCCTCGTATTTACGAATGGCAGTGCTGGTGACAATGGAATTCATGATCAAGGCGACACGCAACGAAAGCTGCCGCGAGTCCTTCGTAAGTACATATAAGATGAGTGCCACCTTTGAAAATATGTACTTCACTGCGTCCATTAACACACCATCACGAGCATTAAGTCCTCGAAACTGCATCAGCCAATCAAAACACCTATCGATCCACCATGCCGGTACCCATGTATAGCGGAGGCTCAGACTCCTCACCAAACACTGCTCATACTCTCACGTCATCGTAATTATGTTTTCAGTTTCCAGATACTCTCAATGGCCTACTGACACTAAGATAGTACCAAAGCGACCTGCTCATGTTCGGTTAACACTGGGCATCGCACAGAGCCAATCAATCCTCCTCATATCGGCACAAAGGCGACGGCACTGCCTCGAGACCAAAGCACGCGGGACTCTGAGTTCGGACATATGGGAGCACAGTTTGGGGATTGTATCTGGACCGAGAAGATCTAAGGGTAACAGTGAAATGGGCTTCGGCTGGTTCTGGGCAGCGGGTGTTGTACAATCATGTTTTCTTTTTTCAAACACGCTGTGTTATTCCAACCTGATGACCCAACCATCTCCGACTCTTTCTCCCTTCGCATCCACTCCACCCCAGAATGCTATACTCTTCTCATCATGCATGACATCCGCTCCGAAGAAGGCCCTTGGTCCTGGGTGTAGCTTCCCATCCATCTCTTCCAGCTCTTTCTCAGACGGTACTTGCACAACTGCTTCACCCCACGACAGCTCGTGGGTATCTGCGCCGAGGGCAGATCTGATAGCATCCTTGATCTTCGCTGGTTTGATAGCCTCCTTGAAACTTGTTGAAGCCTTCATTTGAAGATCGCTGGATGGTATCTGTAGTGCCCATGTGTCACTCCACTGCGTAGCATTCTTAGTATGCTTGGGATTTTCGGGCGAAGTGTTTGCTCTTGACAATGTGTCTGCGCGAGCGCCTAGTAGGTAGATCAGGTAATTGCGCCCATACCCGGTGTGGATAGGGAGAAGTGCTCCGTCCTGGCGGGCACGGGGACCTGGGGCCATTGGGTTCGTCGGGAACGTGAAGGTGTCCCATGACATCTCGTTCTTGGGAGATGATATGTCCAGGTGGTAGAGCTGGCTGCTCATTGGGTCCGAGCCAGATATTAGCCAGAGCTGGTTGTTTGCTAGAGCGACGTTTGTGGTCGCAACTGGTGCGGTAGGAAGCTGCCACCATACCTTTGAAGCTATGTCGAACTGCCAGATGTCGCTGGCTTGATCACCTGAGCCATCGTAGCCACCAAACAGGACAATACACTTATCTTGCGCGAAGAGTTTTGCATGTCGTCGTGGACCAGGAGCAAGGTCAAGAGTCGAGGGCGCTAGATGTTCCCAGGTCTTTCGTTCTGGGCTGAACATCCATACTGACGACTTCTCATCGAGAAGTTCGTCCTTTTCGTTGCAACCTCCATACACAGCAACATTCCCATGGAACGCACAAGCTGCGTGACTGGCTCTGGCATCTGGCACCCGTTCGCCTTCAGCTGAAGGTATCGCTGGAATCAAGTTGTAGTCCATCTCAGGCTCGCCAGAATGCTCCAGAATTACTGCATGAATTTCGTTACTTGCCAGCTTGTTTTCTGCTGTAATGCCACCGAAGATGTAGGCTTTGTTGTTGACCACTGTTAAAGTGTGGTGAGACCTTTCTAGTGATCGACTGAAGAGGTTAGCGAACATCCAAAGCGTGGGACGAGACAGACACTCACCCCGAATGGTCACCTGAAGTTGTTGCTATCCGACTAAATGTAGCCTTGAGAGGCAATGTTGGCTTAGAGACGATGTACGCTGCATAGCCAGCCTCGGCGGTGTGCTCAATCGCCTCTGCGGCGATGTAGGCTCCGGCTGCAACTTCGGCGGCCATGATTAGTCTCGTGTGCAATTTGGTATCGAACTAATCAACGTTGGCAAAGGTGCTGATGGAGATGAGAGTTGAGCAAGGGAACGGCGGATTTGGTGATGTGTTTACTGCAGGTACCAACGCGCCATGACGTCAGCCCGTCTCACAGATCCCTTTTTGTGTCGAATGCCAACGACATCACAAGTCAGACAGTTTCGTGTACAGAATGAACATAGATACCTCAATTGAAATCGCATATCATCCATCATAAACCTCTGTCAAGCCCCTCTTTCATAGCTTCGACCCAGCTCGTGTCAATACGCCATTCGAAAGCCCAAATGTTGCAAGCACAAAGCAGTCCCCAAGCTCCATCCCTGGATGAGATTAAAAAAGCCGCAAACTTTTTCAACCCCACCATAACCTGTATTCCATCATAACATTGTTGCGACATGCTCGCGATCGGTTACCGAACAAGATTGTCTTTTGTGTGGATCGAGGTATGGACCGAGGAACCAGAAGGACCGGTTTCTGAAACACTAAGTTGAGGTTCTTCTTGCTGTCTGTATCAACGTCGACAATGCCCTTCTACTCGGGCGGGTGTTGAGCGGCAGCGGCGACCTCTACCTCCTCCCGCTCCTTCTCTTGACGGTAGCGATCGTGCTTGCGCTCTAGCAGCCAGGCGGGTATGACGAGAAGACCGACGACCATCACGCCGTACGCGACCGATACTGGTGGCGGCACGTTATGCTCCTCGAAGGTGTATCGACGGGTAAGATTGCCGGTGAAAGCCCGTGTCGGAGCCTGTATATCTGTGAAAGCGATGTTGAGGTATCTACTGATATTGAAACTGGCATCATCGACCGCGAAAAAACCCTTGGTGTTGATGCTACACCTGTTGCTGGACCAAGTGCCGTCGTGGGTGAAGCACTTCTTGAAGCCCTCTTACTGCGCTACGCTATTGAGAACCACTAGCTCGTCACCTTGTTTGCGTTAATATTAGTTTGAACTCTTCCGGTGTGCCGTGTACCTCAATCTATCTGTCACACCATCGCCGGTCGATCCGGACCCTACTCGACATTTATTCCATTCATGACAGTACTCCGGGACCCTGAGTGGATCGAACTGGAATTGCATGTTTCTTGCACGCGTTGGGCATTCACTTGCAGAAGCAATCTTGGTTATTGTAATAGACGTTCTCGTAAGTCCAGCATAGAGGAACGGGGTCGAGCCTGCAGAGAACCTGCCTAGTTCTGCTGGTTGTACCGCCCATGGTTGATGAAGTTGAAGGTTACAAGAGAGGTGAGAAGAGGATATGTGAGGGGTTAGGTTCGATTAGAACAGTGGGTTCGGTTCTCGACTAACTGAGGAAGTGAAGTGACTGTGGTCCCACCTTCCTAAATGCTCAAGTGAAGTCACAGGTGGAGACACCAAACGAACGTCTGGAAAATCTTATAGTGAGGGGCGTTAACACATCTATTCTGGTGATCAGGTCTGGAAAAGCGGTCTGCATACCTTGACGAACAATTAAAATATCCTTTCGAGCCACACTGGATCATCACTGCCCAATGGCTTTGGCATGATGTCCCACTCAACATTCACTCCCTCAACGCTAGCCGCATGCTTGACAGCGCTCAGCTCGCCGAACTCCGTTTGTCTTGTTTCCAAGTACATGCTGACATCTTCAGGCCGCTTGAAGTCTTTGCGCTCAAACCCACTCTTCTCTTCGTATTGACCCAATGATCGTAAATATCGCATGACACTTGCAAGCGATATCTTCAACTCATATGAGCCCCCCTCGGTCGCCCTTTTGTACAGAGCTGCCATGATGCCTGTGGCGAGCAGATAGCCGGAGCCGTGATCAATGGCTTGGCATGGAAGTACTCTGGCCGCCTCACCGGCACCGTACCGCTCAGCGTCAGCGACGTTGATGCCAGAACATGTTTGGACAAGGGAGTCGAAGCCACGGCGTTGCGACCAAGGGCCTTCAGGACCGTAAGCATTCAGGCTTGCAATGATCAAATTGGGGTTCAGCGCGAGACACTCCTCGTTCGATAGACCCTGCGCAGCGAGACTACCTGGCCGATAGCTCTGGATGAATACATCGGCTATACGGATAAGTTCCAGCAGCTTTGTTTTGTCGTCAGGTTTCTTGATGTCGAGCTGTACGGTTCGCTTCCCCCTCGAAACATCGATATCAAGCTCCGGAAGATCCGGCAATGAGGGAGAAGTTATCCACAGAACGTCCTAAAGTAAACTTAGTTACATCTCGGGTCCTAGCAAGATGTCACTGACCGCTCCGTGAACTGCTAGAGTCTTCCCAGCGACCGGAGCCGCGATGACGCGCGACATCTCAATTACACGAATACCTTGGAGGCATTTAGTAGCTTGCACTGATGCACTGTCGTTTGGGAGGTATGGTGTTCCTTCTGAGATTTTGCTCAACAATATGGGAAAGTCAGTGACCGCCTTCGATTGCGGAAGCGCATCCCACTCCTTAAAAGATCGAAGCGCTGCCATCACTGCGCCCTCCTTGATGGCTTTAGTCTCGAGATCTATAGAATTCCATACTAGCATCTTTTGAGCGACATCTTCTCTTGTCGCGCCAACTTCCAACCCCAGAATTCTCAAAGCATTTTCCCGGTGATTTGGAAATGAGTCGTGCATCCTAATGTAGCCGTCTTGAGTCTTATGGAGACCGCCAATAGTGCCAAACGATGACGGCGCAGCTTTCCCATTGAGTATATACAGTCGCTCGGATTTGAACTCGACGCAAGCATGTTCTGCTGGCACGGTCACGTTTGGTAGAGGCTTGTCGTTGCGGACCGACCAGACAAGAGCAGCTGCAAGTGCGGATAGTCCGATTGAAGCTTGAGCCAGATGGCCAACTTTGAAAGAGGATGGGTAGCACTCGGCATCGACCGGAAGATGTATGGACTTCAGCGCATCTTTTGGAAGACCCAAGGTCGTCCATATGTGAGCTACGGTGTTCAATGGTGTAAAGCTGTGTCTATCCATAGTGTCCGAGTTGATGGCTGATATGTCGATTGGTGAGGGTGAGGTGTCTTCGAGCTTGCCTGCTATCTGACTTTGCGCAAGAAAAGTCTCGGACAGCTGCAAGATGACTCCAAGTTGGCCTGCATCGGACTCACGGCACTTTGCAACATGCGTGACCTTGAGGGTTGTTTCGGGATAGGAATTCCGAAAGATCGGAATCTTGAAGATTGAGCCGACGCTAGCGTGAATGACGCGGGTGCGTCGCGTTCAAGACATTACTCCTTACCATGCTCACCAACATATACGAGCACGCCAATGCTGCTGCTCCTGTCGCAAACTTGAAAGACATCCTTTCTGCTGCTTTAGTTTCGATCAGGCTTCCATGATGCCGGTCAGTCCTGGTTGGATACTTGGCTTACACCGCATGGTGGCATGATGGGTCAACGAGAACCTGGGGTCGACAAACCGACTCAGCAAGGGCATATAACATAAAGAAAGCCACACAGGATATGTTCTTCAGTGAATGACGATGCTTTCTGATTATAGGGCGGATGTTCCAAGTAATCTGGGACTTCAGGAGTTGTCAACATCGTCAAGCGGAAGCGACCGATGCCGAATATGCGGCAAGCGGACGCGATACCGACATAGTGGTTATGGATGGACACGATTACCAAGCGCACAAGACGTATCTCGATCTAGTCTCGGCGTTCCTTGCACGATGAGGTACTGCATTAGGAACTCAGGCGCAGGGCGCCGAACTTCACCCTGCACGCCACCACACACGTTCAATCAGAGTGCTGTCGATGCGCGCACATTGCACACTACTTTCACACACCCACCTCCGCTCAACGCCCGGTATATGCAAGTCATGTATCACTACAGTCAGCTTCCTATCAGACTGATGTTATACTTTTCATCACACAATATGATGGTCCGCTAACGCGCTTCTTGCACGCTTGACCTCATCCATGCCCGCACAACCCAGCGCTCACGTACACTCGCTCACATCTCCTGTTGGCGTCACTGGTCCATCGGATACTCTGCAGGGTTCAATTGTAAGCACAACAGAGTGGAGGACCTCTGCCACATTATATAAGCATATGATGCTGCCGACGGAACTCGCTAGGAATGATCCCTCCTCTCATTCGCACATTTTCTTCATCAACGTTGGTCACTGCACCCATCCAAACATAGTATTGAACCTCCGTTGCACCAGGCCTCTGTTTCAAGCATGTATGGTTGCACTTATCTTTGTCAAACGCCCAACTGTATTTACTTTCTCAGCGTTGGCTTTGGTGTACTATTTCAACACATGCTTTAGGGGCTAAAGTGATTATAGGTGCAAGCCACACGTTGTCGGTCCAGCTGTTATAAACATCACCAATCCATCTCGCCCTAGATTGATGGTTGCTTCCGTACAATAGCCGCACGATTTTCTACGTAATGATCTTCGTCGTCAAGGCGACACCGCAACCGAATGCACTGGCTTGACGACCACATATCGACCATACAACCTATCGCTCATACAAGCTACATTGGCTAGGCATAATGAACACCACGATAACGCAGTGCATACCAGACAAAGACTCGTCCAAGCGATAGCCATACAGACGGCAGCAGACCAACTCGACATCGACCTGCCGCTCGAGATGATCATGCAAGATGAATAGGAACACGAGAGGTGGCTGGAGGGTCAAAAAACTCCGTTCATCAAGAGAGAATGAGTCACTGGTCGGATGGCGATAAGGGTGCGTACATACCGACTTTTTGTATCAACAGTTCTTTGATGATCGAGCATCACATGACCTCAACAGCTAATGGCTAACAATACCGTTGTGTAGTAGTCAAATCTTCCATTATCATAATCTATTATCATCTACTTCAGCCTGCCAGGGCCCGTCACCGTCTCATCGTCGAAAATTAGCGACTCTGTATGTGGTGCGCAATCTTGTGCACATCACCCAGCAGAATACTCTCTCCAAAGCTTCCAAGTTGCCCAGGCTTCACGATAGTGATCATGTTCCTTTTGTACAAGGCGAGCAAGACAGACACGGGCAACTTGACCCTGAGGACTAACCTTACAATTTACTATGATCGTTCTTGACGATCCGCTTTGCCATTACGAATCGAGGACGTGACAAGTAATTCTTCGTCTTTAGTGCTTCATGCATAAGAGTGCAAGAAGAAGTAATGCTGGTGTTCCTCTTAATCGCGACTGTTCAAGACCATTGGCTCCTGGCGTCGCCTGCATGGAGCGATAACTTCTTGTTTGTAATGTTTCCCATTCTATCATCACTAGCAAGAGTTTACAAGTTCGGTGGTGGAACAAATCTAACAATATACCGCGTACCGCCACACTAAATGTCCCTCGGTCCTCCACTCCGTTAGCAAGCTTACAAAGTACCATCACCAACACACCTCTTCAGCGGGAAAGTATCGCCCGTGCAAAGCGAAATGACACCATCGACCCAGCTCATATCTCCATAGCTCTTGCTCTCAAATGAGTCCGCCTGGTAGTACGTCAAGCTGCCTTCACCACCGATTGTCCCCTCCCAGACGTTACCGCTCTCGCGGTTCGTCCATGCGTTGGTCACAAAGGCACCGTACTTGCCCTCTGGCACCGCAGCGCTGAACAGCTGCGTTTGAGATGTCTGCCATGAGGTGCTGTAGTTGATCGATAAGCTTGCGGAAAGGAAATCCTTGACAAGTGTGAAAGAGGCGCCTTGGCTGACGGAGATGGAGTTTGTGATCGAGTAGCCGGTGGAGATGGAGATGGTTGTTGGTGCACCTTAAGATTTATCAGTATGATGTAGGATTGTTGGGCATGGAGTTTAGCGTACCCTTAACGACCTGGCTGGTCTGGACGTCCCAGCCCAAGAAGCGAGAGTGAGGGTTGGGGATGATGAGGCTAGTAGCACGCTTCTGGAGGGTGCCTTCAGGCTTGTCGGTCTCATTGACCGGAAGAGTGACAAGAGTTTCGTCAAGGTAGCCGGGCTTAGGGGGGGCGATGCCGGACTCGCGGAGCTTCTTGAGCTCCTCGAGCTCGTCGCGCTTCATCATTGTGAAGCGACCATTCTTGCCATAGAGGATGACATCGTCAACACTGACTGTGATGGGGGCTGGGGCTGCCGCAACCAGAGCGGCGCTGGAGGCGAGAGCGAGGACTTGAGTGAAGTGCATTGTGAAAGAGGGACTGAGTCTTGAAGACTGGAGAAACGAGTGTGTTTTGCGTAACGGAGGACCGTGTCTGTAGTGATGGTCCTGAGCTTGGTGAAGTGATGATTATACTTATACAAACCTGTTGTCTGCAGTCACCATTCGGTCCTCATGCATGATCAATCGAATAAGACCATATGATAGGGCTAGTACTTGGCAGTACCTCGAGTGGGGTGAAGGAATACCATCGGTCCGACCCTTGATGAAGGAAAAGAGGATTCTCGGAAGAACCCTTGGGGCTAGAACGTGTACTTGACTGATCACTGTTAAGATCTTTCATTCGCCAATGAATTCCAGCTTGAGGCTCAACCTTCCTATTCCATGTGCATGCCATATGCATCGTCACGGCGCCGCTCATCATTGGTCGCAGCAAGAATAAAACGTTCGGACCGATGCGCATGACGTTACAGAACACTGACGTGTGGCGAGGATCCCCTTCCCAATGTAGCCTGACAGCTCCACGTAGATAGCTCGCAGGGCTAACAGTCTCGTATTCGCGCTTGAACAACCGAAATAACACCAGTTCGGGCCGGTCGAACATTTCCCTATGCGGTGAGGCTGGTGTTTCAAACCCCATGATGTTCGCCACATTTTCACCGTTGACACCGGCTTAATCTCCCAATTCGCATTTGCAGCTTGGCGATGGTCAATGGAGAGATCATGTTGATGCTGGCGATCGGGAGCTCAAGGGGATAAATATCCTGCGCAACCTGGGAGAACATCCATCACCACAGCTTAGACAATCAATCTCCACGCTCGCTCATCTGCACATACACTCGTTCGCCTCAGGCATCCACACTCTCTTCAAATATCCAAGATGCGTTCCACATCCGCTATCCTCCTCCTCACAACTCTCCTCGCGCCCTTCGTGGCTGCCGACCTGCACTCCGACGCGGTGTGCATTGACACCAAGGGCGGTGTATCCGTCTACAACGAAGCCGCGACAAAGGCAGCATGCGGAAACTACAAAGTACGAAACACTGGAAACAAGCAATGGGATCAGTGCCCAGACTGTGAGATGGTGAGTAATTCTCAACGAACATGAGGTGATTGTTGTACTGACCATGAACAGAGGGTGATTGGCAACTTGAACGTCTGCCATTCTGATGGGTGGCACATTGGTGGTGACGAGATCAACTACTACTGCAACAAGATCAATGGTGCTGGAGGCTCGTTGGCGAACTAGGTGTGGACGAGATCGGTCGTCGTTAGCTGAGATAATGCAATGATTATTGTCAATTCTAGCACTTTTTCCCATGCGTGGGTATCTGCCAGTGACTGCAAAGCGTGTCGTCCCAATGCCATGGCTGCGGGTGGCGCATGAGCGGGAGCGGGCCGTGGAGGCTGCAGTCAGCCCGCGTACGGCAGGCCCAAGCACGAGGCGTTCCTGTACACACACCACTCAAGCTTGTGCACGCTTCGCTTGATCGATCATCTGCACACCCCCTAATACAAACACGTCTCATTAGCTACAATGCCTATGTCAAGAAATGCTGTTACCACTAACGCCTACATCCTAACTTTTACCAAACACCGAACATGCAACAAAATCCATCTCCCAAACACCAGCATTGCAAACCCTTATGATGCACTCCCCGCGACCTCCCCAAACCACTGCCTCAACGCACCTGCCAACACACCCGGCAACTCCCTAACATCCCTCACCACCAAATAGTACCTGAACGGGAAGCGCTCCATATACTTCCACCTAACCACCTTGCCCTCGGGCGTAATCTCCACAGACTGCAAGTCCAGGATGCTCGTCTTGTCTTGCTCCTTCTTTGGAGCCTCGGGCTGGGCCCCGGGGTAATCGCTAGGCGCTGGCACTGGTGCAGCGAACGGAGCAGCAGCAGTCGCATCGATGATAATGAAAACGATCATGACCCGTTCCTCCTGAGCTTTGCGAACAAGTCTCTGGATCTCAGCGTGAGAATCGCAAATACCATCACTGACAACGAGCATCAACTGCCACAGATCCTCGCCCGCGTTCGAACTCCCCTTCCGCCTCGCCTCGGCAAACAGATCAAGCGATCTGTCGACCAAGCCGCGGACGTTCGTTTTCGCAGCGTCGAACCCAAATTGCTCGAACACTCTTACACCTGCTTCGGAGGTAAATGGCTTGTCGAAGTCATGCGCGACGTTCACCGAGTCGCCGAAGCCTACGACGGAAACTTCGCCCACTTCCAGCATAGCAAGTGATCGTGTGACCAAAGTCAGCGTCTTGAGAGCGAGATTGCTGGCCCCGCTGTCCGCCATACTCCTACTGTCATCCAGCGCAATCATGACTTGGTAGCTCCTCTTGCTCGGCTGGCTGCGCCTCAGCCAGATCTTGTCGCGCTTGTATCCAGATGCGATGTACGGAATGATGCGCTTGAGGTTGAGGCGTTTTCCTGTGCGGAAGTCGCCGCGGAGTTTGGTGGCGAGAGTGGGTGCGAGGATCAGGCGGAGAGACTCGGTGAGTTGTTGAGAGAGTGAGTGGGTCGCTGATTCATGCGCAAGCCAGAGGGAGCGTGCGGTTGTGGGGTCCATGGCGGTGGAGTCGAGATGGGTGGTTTCTAGTCGATGGTCTACTTCGTCAACAGATTCAGAGTCAGACACGTCTTCGTCAAGGGGCATGGCATCGGCCATGTCTTCCTCGTCTTGGTTGGGGAAGGGCTTCTGGTCGCCGATGAAAGCTTGCGGTTGGCCGTCCGTAGCGCCGGGTTGAGGTTGTTGCTCCTCTTGTTCGGGCTCGGGCTTGCTGTCCGCATCTTCCATCTCGACATCCTGTGGATTTGCCATGTCTTGATCGTTATCTTCGGGTCGAGTCGGCATCTTCTCTTCTTCGTCCTTCTCATTCATAGGCATGGCCATATCGTGGTCCAGCGCCTTGGCTTGCTCCTCAGTCGCAGTACCCAGTGCTTGCGTGTCAGCCTGCTGCTCTTCATCTTGGAGATGCTCAAAGTCCGCATCAGCCATGTCAATCTCCTTGTCGATCTGTTGAACCTGCGTCTCATCCTTCTCTCGCGCTTCGGAGATCTGCTTCTGCTGGTTGTACCACTTCTCTAGCACATCGCCCAGCTTCTTGAAGGACTGAGTCTCCTTTGACTCTTCAGGCTCTTCACCACGACCACCTGCATGAGGTGCAGTTGTCTGACCTAGTGTGCCATCTTCCGCAGCAGTGTCCTGCTTCTGATCGGAGCCATCGCCTTCTTCACCCTCGTCACGGTTAGCGGCGCTGGCGGAAGCTTGCTCATTCTTGTTTTGGTGTGCTTCCTCATTGGCTTCGGTGCCAGCTCCAGCCTCTGCGTTCGGATCGGTCTGGTCGGTATCCTTTTGCTCACGAAGCTCATCGTCAGGCATGTTCTCGTCGGGTAGAGGAACGGCATCATCGTCCATAGGCTCATCATCTTCCTGCCCTTCGTCTTCAGCAGGCTGCTCTTCATCTTGGACATGACCCGTGGTGTCTTTCTCCTCTTCGCCTTCCTGCTCTGGCCCGATCTCTTCATCGACGGTATCTGGCTCGGCATCAGGTCCCATATCGGGATCCATCTCATCTTCGGGGAGATCATCGCCCATATCCATATCGCCAAGATCATCGTCTTCTTTCCCATCATCATCCTGGCCGTCCATGTTCAGATCCTCCGGCAAGTCCAAAGTTTCTTCTTCCTTGGCATGCGGATCCATCTGCTCAGTCTCCCCTGCACCAACATTCTCCTCTTGATCCTCACCCTCCATCTCTTCATCTTCTTCACCCTCTTGGCCCTCTTTCTTCTCTTCTTCTTTGTCCCCTTCGCCAGCTTGTTCTTTCTCTTTCTCCTTCTGCTCATTAGCAACCTGCTCCTCCTGATCCTCGGTACCAACATCTTGCTTCCCCTCTTTATCCTTCGCATCATCGTCTTTGCCGCCATCGTCCCACATCTTCTCGTCAACCGCGCTCGGCCCCAGATCATCAACACTCCCAACCTCACTCTGCACATCATCATCTCCCTCCTCGCCCTCTTCATCACCTTTATCTTCTTTCTCGCCCACCTCTTCGGTCTCGCCTTCCATATCGTTCTCACCCATATCAACGGCGTCGTCCTCTTCTTCGATACTGCCTTCGCGCTCACCCTTTTCTTGCGCAAGATCTTCGAGATCTTCGTCGTCTTCAATGTCTTTGGAAATGTCTTCTGCGCCTTCGCCCTCACCCAGACCGGTACCTTCTTCGAGTTTCTCGTCTTTGCCCTTCTGCTGGTCTGAGGACTTCTCGGGCGGCTGGCAGAAGCCTTGGGTGCCAATTTGAATGAATGACTTGGAGAGGCGGTAGAGCAGCTTGGTCGTTGATGTGTGGAGCGCATCGAAGCGGTCGACAAGGTATTGGTGTGAAGCGATGTATTGGTTGAGAATGGGTTGGATGGCTGCGAACATGGCAGCGATGCCCTGGAGGTTGGCATCATTGTGGAGGTATTGCATCTTGTCCAGAATGGTCTGCAAGGCATCGCAGATCTGAGAAGCGTGGAGACCGCTGATGGCGGCAGATAGAACTTGTTCCTCTTTCACCACCCATGCAGCGTCTTCGGATGAAGCCGGAAGTTCCTTGAGTGCGGCCTCGACATCTTGCATAGATCCCAGAATCGAGTCCAGGGCGCTGAAGATGTCCTTGGAACACTGCTCGACCAGATGTTGCAGCTCATTCGAGGGAAGCTGAGCAGTAACCTCTGGGGTCTGGAAGATGAAAGGTAGAATATGTTTGAGGATCGTTCGTGCGATCTCATTGTCGTTGTTCCATCCCTTGAACGCGGCCCGAAGGCCGACAATGGCTGTCTTGACAGACTCGTCGAATGCCTGATGCGCGTTCGATCGGACATTAGCTGGCAGGGTTGGCAACTTGTCGTACGCATCAGCCAAATCCTGCAACTTGACTGTCCATTCCCGCATAGCCCGCAACAGAGCATCAAGTTCGTTGGTCTTTCCGAGCTTCGCTTGAGCAGCGATAACATCCGAGCCAGTTTTGAGGGCTGCGACTAGCCACTGCAGGCTAGGCTGCAAAACTCGGGTCGCTCCTACCTGCTGTGGAGCTGCAGCGATAAGCTGACCGCCGTCAGGCTGCCAGAGATTCCCAGCAACTGCCAGTGGTGCTTTGCTAGCTTCGAGAGCTTGGCTAGCACGGCTGAGAACTCCTCTCTGCTTGATCGAGATGTGCAGCAGACCCTCAATGTATCCAATACTCTTGGCGACATCGTTGCTTGTCAGATCGCCAGAGTGTTCTTTCGACACCGCTCGAACTTGCGGCATCAGATTAAGCGCTTGGTGCAAGTGGCCTTCAGCAACGCGGCCACACGCAACACCAACTCCTTGAACCAATGGCAGAGACGACAGCACGGTCGAAAGCTCGTCTTGCTTGACCAGTGTGTCCACACTCAGGTTAGACTTGACACCCATCTGTCGTAACTCTTTCATCGTATCGGCGTAGAGTTTGCGCTTCTGTGTCTTGAGCTGTTGGACTTCTGCCTTGTTGTCCTCGGTCAGAGTGGAGGGTGTAGCTTTCTGCAATTCGATGATCGACGTCGTGATGCTGGTTATGAGCTCTTCGAGGTATGCCGCTCCATCGACGCTGTCGTTTCTTGGTAAGGACAGGTTGCGCATCATGTTGACGGTGATGCTCAGGTTCTTGAATCGCGTTGGTCGTTCATTCCAACCAGGCACGCGGTTGTCGCAGTATTCCAGTGCTTCGGGGTTGACTGCTGCGCCAACGAGTGTTAAAGTGGCTTCTCTTTGCAATGAACCGTCATCTGCGAACCCAGCGGTCATCACACTAGACACAGGCTTGTTGAGTAGGGCTCTGAACTTCCTTACGAGCTTGCTCAATTTGCGGTGACTCGTCTTCGCACTCTGCTTCAGGGCCTCGATGTTCGTATCTTTCCAGCTTGCAAGCTTGATTACGTTGTTGACTTCCTTCTCCAAAGTCTGTCGTCCCTTAGCGAGTGCTTCGCGTACCGGCTTCTCAAGACGTGAGTAGTACGTGATGAAGTTGTCGAGTGTGGAATGAAGAATCTTGAAATGTTCAACATCCTGCATACGCATCGTAGCATGCTGGCGAAGCTGCTGAAGGAGCTTGATACGCTGTTCAAACTGGCCTAGCGTTGTTTTCTCGAAAAAGCTCTCGAGCGTCTTTAGCAGCTCCTTGGCGTGCGCCCTCATGGCCTGCTCATTCTCGACGCTCTCGGACGCCGCGATGATAGTCTCGTAAGCAACAAAGAACCAGCTCTTAGCACTGTCACGGCACTTCTCAACTTCCAGATCGAAGAGTCTAGCCCAAGTAGTGAGCTCCAGTTGTCTCCAGCTGACAAGCAGTTTCGTCAGATCATCGAACAGATCAGCGGTACTGTACTGCTTGCTGGCAACTCTCTGCCACTCGTACATGTAGGCGTGCAGCTTCTCAGCCTTGGTGATGAACTTGGCTACAGGATCGACATGGCGGAAGGCAAGCGCCTCGTCGCAGGTGCGTAGAACGTCTGCGAGTGTCATGTGCTCGGGCCAGACGCTGCGGATTTGACGGTAACGGGCCTGAATTCGGTGCACCAACGTGATCAAGCGCTTGGATTCTGGCAGGTTCGCATCGAAGTAGAAGTTGTAGCTGGGCCCAGTACCGGAGCCATTGAGTGCGTCTACCTTCTTCTCGAGCGCAAGGTACAATGCAGGCAAAGCATTCTCGTGTGTGGTGCCATGGCTCTTGCCGTCGGCGACGCGGTTTATCTCCGATGCACACCACTCGAGCAAAGTCTTTACTGAGTCCGATGCTTCGCGGCCCTCAAGGAACAGCTCTGTGTGCATATTCGCTAGACGTATTGCGTGGTCTCGTGTAGTAGCCTGAGCTGCGGATTGCGCGGTAGGTGTCGCAACTGCGTTCTCATCATCCTGCTCAGCCTCGTAGTCGGGAAAGAGCGTTCGATCTTCTTCGTCGTTCTCCTCTTCCTCCATACCACGGTAAGAGTATAAGCTCTTGTCTTGCGCTTCTTTTTCTTGGTCCTGAAGAAGCTTGGTCTTGTACTCCGTGAAAAACGACGTGAAGATACCATGCAACAGACCGCGTGCTGCTGGCTCAGACAACGAGGTCGGGTCTGTACTCTTGACAATTGACAGGATGTAGAGAGCATGCCAGCGAGGGTCGATCGTAGTGTTGCTTTGTGACAGCGCTTGCTCTGTGCCGCGTAAGAAGTCCACTGTGGTGATTGATGATGTATTGTTGTGCGCTCCAAGGAACGGGGTCTCGCGAGAGACATATTGCAAGCTCTTTCCAACCTTGGTCTCTTCCTGGTCTTCGTGCTCCTTCTTAGCGAGGAGCAACCCAATGTAAAGACACGCAAGGAGGCCGACTACAGTGTCGGTGATATCGTCGTAGGCTCGATACCCTTCAGTGAGCCTCTGAATGACCCTGACTACGTTTTGATGCAACGTGACGTCTAGCGCTGCCTCCCCAGCCGACATGGACTTGTTGAGTAAAGGTTGGACGATGCTAAGCAGGTTTGTAAGCTCGCCCTGCAGCTCATCTAGCTGCGAAGCCTCGGGGCGAGCAATGGCAGGCACAGGTGGTTCTTCGCCCATGCTCTGGACTGCAGCTTCGACCTGTCGGATGCGGAGGCTCGTGTCTTGGCCGGTAAACTCTGTCTGGAATTGTCTAAGAGCGCTGAACGCGGACAGCAGACTTGTCTTTTCCTCGTTGAACATCCTGCGCTCGATCATGGGCGGCAGAGCTGGGTCGTGTGGGTAGTTCGGCACATACGAACGGAGCCCCAAGAGAGCAAGCTCGATCCATTCTTGGCCGGTCGCCTTGGAAGAAGCCCTGATCTTGGTGTGTAGGACTCCTGGGATGCTCGTGTCGATAGCCTGCCAGAGATCCAAGTATAGTGTGTCCAGAGCTTCGTCCTGGTCCTTGGTGATTTTTTCTGCATCCAGGGCCATCTGTTGGGATAAGACTTGAAGCTCTGTCTCGAAGCGAGCAAGCTGCGTAAGCGGGACTTCATCCGCGCCATGGAGCTTCGCAAGCAAAGCAGTGTGGAAACGAGCTTGTAGTGCCACAGAGTCTGCTGGCTCTTTGACCAGACCAATGTGTCGATACACCTTGGCAAATATATCGGTGGGGCTACCAGCCTTTCCGACGCCGACAGTGTCCAGCTTCGTCGGTCGACGAGCGAAAAGAGCCGCTTTCGACCTAGCAGAGATCAAAGCAGGCGATGCGTTGTCGGGTACGTACTGAACACCATCCTGCCTGACAGCGATGTCGAGGAACTGGCAAAGGCCCTCGAACTCTTCTTCGAAGTAGGGTGTGATAGTTGCGTCGTCCTCGCTAATGCCTTCTTCTAGCTCTCGTACGGCATTATCCAGAATCGTGATGAGCTCGTCTGGATTGACGTCTTCGCTGCGAACAAGCTGTAGAGAACTTGCGAATCGCTCACGAATCTGTATCATCTCATCCGCTCTGAGATTGGACCTCCACATGACAGTGTCAAGCCTGTCAGCTAGGGCCTCGAGCTTGAGTATTGCCTCTAACTCTGCGATAGACTTGGGCGTGTTTGGCTTCAACTGACGCCACAGCGGCTCCATGCTAAGGCCGGTTGTCAGCTGAACATCGGCACCAAAGGTGGCGATGTGCTTCGACAGCACAGTCGCCAGTGTCTGCACCAAGACGTGAGACTCGTTTGATACCGTCGGTGTGCTGGAACTGAGCATCTTGAGGTAGGTTTGGAAAGTGGCGCGATCGAATGTAGAGCCTTTTGCCAATGTGAAGAAAGCCCAGAACATCGTTCGCAGAGGTTTGAGGAAAGAAAGATCGATATATTGACCCTCGTTGTTGACGTTCCAAATACCCTCAACCAGTCTGACCAAAGCTTGCCAGTATGCGTGCAGGAACGCGGGCAGCTTCTGCCTCTCTTTGCGGCGTTCGAACTTGGCGGATGGCAGATTATGAATAGCTTGCTGCATATCAAAGAGATCGAGCATTAGCTCATACATTTGCGAGTACTGGAAGGCATTTGCCTTGATGGGAGTCGATCGATTGAGGCTTAGCTCGTTGCCGAGAGGATGAAATGGGAGAAGCTCAGCCATAAGGTCGGTACTAAGTTGAGGCTGCATTTGCGCAGCCCATGTCTTACTAACGAACTGCGTGAAGCGGGAAATGTTGTCTTCGAGCGTGCGAGGCACCTGAGCGGTTGCGATCAGCTGCGTTTCGATTGAAGGGAGGCCTCCATTAGCCCGTGGCGATGAGCCCGGAGTTACAAGGCCTCGTCGTGTTTGCTGCGCGAAGCTTCCTAGCAGATCGTTGTCGACGAAGGCAAGATTCTCGAAACGTGCCCCGAATGTCGATTCCAGGTGGACCTCGTGGGCCTGAAACTGGCGGAAGCGATATATGGCCGACTCGAGCGGGTACTGCAGTGCGCTCGAAGCGTCACGCTCCACAACTTGTTCAGACTCAAGTAGACAGATTTCAACAGCTCTGTTCCGCATAGCTCTCGACAGCTCGCCGAACCTCGGATCTATAGTCATGAAGATTCTGAAGTCCGGGTGGGGCCGAACGATGCGCGCCTCACCATCGGCTGTCGAGTGTTCGTTGATAGACAAGTAGCCGTTGGGCTCGAGTAGCGAGTTCAGTCGATCAAGAACGGCGCTGGAACAAAGGTTGGCGTTGTCAAGAACGAGCCATTTGCCCTGCTCCAAAGCGCGAATGAGGATGCCGTCCACCCACTGGAAGCGCGCGCCATCGATTTGCTGGTTGGAGGCTTGCAGAACAGCATGCACATCGTAAGCCAGAGTAGAGGCTTCGGTGTCGTGCTGCGCAAGTTCTTGAAGCAGTGAGAAAAAACTGTCAGTGAATTGAGTTCCCTCGATGTGGAGATGCTCAAGTAGCCTGACAAGAGGCTGGACTGGCTGTTCGGAGAGCGCAATCTTACGACGAACAAAAGCCTCTAGCTGCTCCAGACACTGGTGCGCCTGACGTGAAGGATCGATCTGTTCGTAACCACCGACAAGGTCCATGGCATCGACATCAGCGTTCATCGAGAAAGTGACGAGTTCCGCACCCACGAACAAGGCGAGCTGGCTGATCATCGCAGTCTTGCCAGACCCCGGTGGGCCAACCAAAATGACTGGCCAGTTCTGCTTGACACTAACAAGCAATGCTTCCATGGGCCCTAGCTGCGGGACCCTCAGAGTGGAAGTAGCATCTGGGCGCGCAACTGCGGTATCGCGGGGTAGCAGACCTAAGCCGACCTGGATAGCCTTGGTGCTGATGTTGTGATAAAGACTCATACGCGGCTCGTGGGCGCCATAGAGACTCTCAAACAGCTTGAGCAACCGGTTACGATCGCTCTCGGCACGGAAGCGCTGTACGAAGATGGTGTCGAGGAAATCTTTTGCTGAACCAGGGTACTCTGAAGAAGCCAGCAGCTGAAGCCAGCGCAGCGTGTCACGCAAATTGAACTCCCATGGCGCGCCGAGATTGCCAAACGCACGGTGAGTGACAACTTGCTCGTCCAGTTGCGCGACAAAGCCGATCAACTTGTTGATCTCACTCTCCTCAATGCTAGGGAACACCTTCCTACAGATCAAGGTAAGATCCTCAGGGCGGAAGACATCTGCATACACGACGGTGAAGCGATTGACAAAAGACGCTGGCAAGCCTTTTCGTCCACCACCTTGGTGATGAGGATTCTGCGCAGCAAAGACACAGAAGTCTTTGTGCTTATGAAACGTTTGATCAAGCTCCGAGATGTACACCTCACCACGATGATCAAGAACAGCATTGAGACCCTCAAGAACAGACTGCGAGGCCAGGTTCATCTCGTCCAGTAGCACCCAGTCGCCATTCTTCATAGCCTTCAAGAATGGTGCATCGCGCCATGCGAACGTACCAGCGGCACCACCCTCGACCGGAACGTCGGAACCGAACAGATCCATGAGGTCTGTCTGCTCCGAAAGATTGAGTCTGGTCAAAGGCTTTCCGATGGCTTTGGCGAGGGCTGTGACAAGAGTTGTCTTGCCTACACCTGGGTTTCCCTCTAGCAGGATTGGCTTGGCCAGCTGCAAGGCGCGAATCACTCGCATGGCATTGGCACGTGTAGTCGGTGCTTCGAGAGCGAAGTTGTTCGGCTCTGCAGCAGCCGACGAGAACTTGGGAATGGAAAACGTGCCTAGCTGGAAGGACTGCTCTGTACTAACAATGTCGACTCTACCAAAGTATAGTGGCGAAATGTCCTGTCCAAGAAGCTTGCTGAGTTGCTCAAGACATGCCTTTCGCTCGTCGTCGATCGAAGCAGCGGAGATGGCAAGTAAACCTGCTGGGTTGGCACCAAGGGTGTCAATGAAGACCATGGCGGCTCCATGCACAATGCCAAAGGCCGGATCATCATTGATTGTACTGTTGACGAAAGTCACCCAGGCGAGAGTGTCTCGAATCGAAATTGAGGATGCAACGGAGGTGTTGTACTTGCCGTTGAACCACTGCGAGAACGAGACGATAGCTCCCGCGTACTGCACAGCGTTCGAGTTGAGCTTCGACCTGACAATTTGCAAGATATCATCGAGGTCAGACAAGGCTGGGACCCAGATCTCAGTGAAACGGTTACGAAGCGCGGGGGAAAGCTCTTTCTTGCCGTAGTCACCACCGGGGTTCATCGTTGCAAGGAACTGGAATTCTTCACCGGCGACTACGAGCGAGTCGACAGGTCCCTTCTCGGCGAGCAACAACGTGCGTGAAGGCTCGAGTACACTGTTCAGACGTTCCAAAACAGAATCATCAGCGAGTGAGATCTCATCGAGCAGGAAGTATTGGCCAGTCTTCATAGCGTTAACGAGGCTTCCATCCGCCCACTCAAAGAGCGCTCCAGCCTTGATGCGATTGGTCTGGATAGAGATACGAAGGTCTTCCCTGATTGTGATGGCAGGTTCCTTGTCAAGCTGATCGTACAGGTGAAGAAGTGCCTCCTGGTCGAGAGTATGAGGATTGACATCCGAAGGCACGCCTTCGAATGCCTCGAGCACCTCCCGCCTAAGAGTCTCTTCGATCGCTGCCCTATTACGGATGGGTCGCTGTGCACCAATAAAATCACCGGTCTCCGTATTCTGATGCGCATTCAGGATGTGTAGCTCCTTTCCGAACGCGTCTGCCAGCATCTGACAGACAGTTGTCTTTCCACATCCTGTCTCGCCAATAAGCAGCACCGGTTCGTTGTTGCGCATCGCATGGCGCACGAGCACGAAAAGCCTCCTCATCGCACGCGTCCAGACAACGCCGGCATCGATCTTCTGAGACCCGTCGGGAGAATTGTCGATGATCTGCTTGACATTGTCTGGACTAAACATCTGCTCGTCATCGATGGTCACCTTCGGTCCACCTTTGCTCATGACGCTTTCCATGATCTTTTTGACAGCAACACGCTCCTCTTCCTTGCGTACACGCTCCGCGAGAAGCATGTATCCATTGGTTGCGAGGTCCTGTATTGTGTCTGCCTTTCGTTGCGCCCATCTGAAAAGATCTCTAAGCGTCGCGAAACTCTTTTGCTCGAAGATGCGATTCTCTTGTCGTAGCGTAGAGAGCTCTTGGTAGACTTTGACGATCTTCTTGCACCAAGATTCTGGGATCTGAGTACGCCGGTGCAGAATTTCTGTCAGCTCCTCAACTGGAATATCATCAAAATGAAGCTCCAGGAAGCGGTTACGGAACGCCCGAGAGAGCACCTTTCGTCCTCCGTAGAGACCTGCAGGATTTTGTGTAGCGAAAAGCATGAAGTCATCGTGAGGTCGAACGACTTCCTGTGTCTCGGGGATAAGAAGCTCACGGTTGTCGTCAAGAAGTCGGTTGAGTGCTTCCAGGACATCGGTAGGGGCCAGATTCAGTTCATCCAATACAATCCAATGGCCTTCTCGTAGTGCTCGGACAAGGATACCTTCCTGGAAGGTAAGCTTTCCGTCTGCCCCTGACACGTAGGACCCAAGGTATTCTTGCAAGTCCGTATGCTCGTGGTTATTGATCCGCACGAAAGTATTGCCAGATCGTTTCGCAAGATACTCGATCATACTTGTCTTACCAGACGAAGTTGGACCCTGGATCAGGACAGGATATCGTCTTGTTGATGCAGCTCGGATGAGATTGTTCATGTTCCGCTGAACAAAGTTGGTGATGATGTAGTGAGACTGCTCCTGCACGGGCTGTGGTCCTTGTCGCAATAGGTAGTGACCTTGCCTGACGTATGCGCGACCGTCATTTGGCTGCTGTAATGGTTTGTTGAGCTCGGCCTTCAGCGATGCCTTTTGTGGAAACATGGTTTTCGTAATCAAGGACGCAACAAGATCTTCAGATGCTTTGTTAAGGAAGGTCAGGAAACTCATGTGGAAGCCTTCATACAACGCTCGCCGAACGCTACACAAGGGTGCTATTTCCCGTGCGTAGGTCAGTGTCCTGGTGAGGGTTCGCAAACTGAAGTGAGGTTTCTGATCGGCACCGTCCACCAGCATGTTCGCCTTTGCGAGCTGTTGAATCTCGAGGTAGAGGCTAGTCACGTCGCGCGCTACTCTGACGATAGCTGGATCGGTACCATCACCACCAAGGTACTTCTCCACGATGTTGCGCAGGCTCTTCTCGTCACTGTCTGGGCTCTCAACGTGGAGCTCAGTAAATCTCGAACGGATGCCAGGAGGAAGGTCCTTCTTTCCAACGTCAGTCGCGGGATTCATGGCTGCAAAAATCCTGAAGTTTTGATGCGCAACCACTCGCTCCACACTGCCAGTCTCTGTGAGTAGGATCGAAGGGTTGCCATCTGGTCCCCCGCTCAGAAGATCGGTAAGCGCTTCCAGCGTGTCTGACGAAGCCAAGTTGATCTCGTCGAGCAACACCCAGTCGCCATTCCTGACTGCCTTGACGATGTTGCCTTCCAGGAAAGAGAACGCGAAAGCTTCAGAGCCACTTGCCAACTGGGCTTCGAGATCATGCAGATCCGCAGCAAATTTCTCCCAGCGCGCTCCTGGGAAGTTTGCCGGTAGCGAATCCATCTTTCGCTTCTTCCTGGGCTGATCACCGTCGGCGTCAGGAGAAGAGGGCTGCGATTCGTGTGCTTTGCGGGCTGCATCAACCATCTTCAATGCTTCTCGCCATAGTGTGCAGACACGCTTCCACTCGCCCTTTGCGACACGCTTGCCCAGCATCTCAATGAAGCGCAGGTTCTTCTTTCTCGAGAAAGTGGTATCAAACAGGTCGTCGAATTCATCTTTGAGTGGAATGACGAGGCTACGAACGTTGACGGGTTTGTAGCCTCCCAAAAGATCGCCGCTCTCGCTCTGTTGGGATAAATTGAAAGCCACTAACTTGCGGCCAAGCAGCTCAGCCAGGTACTGAATAGTAGTAGTCTTTCCAGTACCGGTCTCACCAACGAGAAGCAAAGGCTCCTGTCGATCAACCGCCACAGCAACCTTCTCGAGTAAACGCAGGGTATAGTCATTGGTAGAGAATGGCCGGCTCGACGTTGTTCGCTTCGAAGACTTATGTTTGGATAGTCTAGCTCGCCCGACTTGTATGGTGCCTGCAGCTGTGGTCTTGGAAGGCACTGAGAGCTTCACCGAGCGATCTCGAAGGAGGTGGTCTCGCCTTTGTGGATCAATGTGCAACTCCTCCGCCACGCCAGCCATAACCTTCAACCGTGCGGAGTCACTGCGCAAGCTGCCGGCGAAACAATCGAAGGCCTCCATGAAAATATCATCAGTCTGGGCAGTGCTGAAAGAAGATGCTTGAGCCAACAGCACAGCTATCCTGTCACACCACTTCAGCAGATCGCGGGGTGTCATCGCCCGCAGAGAAGTGCCGTTCTCCGAGGAGAACTTTGCGTCAGAGTAGAGCTGTAGCAATCGAGAGTACACCCTCATGATCCCGGCAAGGTGCTTCTGCAGCGCCGGGTACTTCGCGGAGATGACCTGCTGAAACTCTTCAAGCCGTGGCATCTGCACCGTAATCGAGTTCCAGAATCGATGTCCGATCATGTTTTGACGAGGGATGATCTCCTGCCCTCTCGGGTTGAGCGTGCTTCGCATTGTGGCGATGATGCGGAAGCCTCTTGCGGCACGTACAGTCTCTCCACGACTGGGTATCAAAAGCTCTCCGCGCTCGATGAGCGGAAGGAGCGTGCTGATGACCTCGTTCGGCGCCCGATCCAAGTCCTCGATAAAAATCCACCGCCCTTCCCGGACAGCTGTTGTGAGCACACCAGACTTCCAGGCGAAGGTTCCTGGCTTTGATCCTGTGGCGTACATGCCAATAAGCAGCTTCGCATCGCTCTGCTCATTCAGATGAAGTGTGACCATCTTATCGAGCTTGTTGAGCTGCCAGGCGAAGTGTCGTGTAAGAAGAGTCTTTCCTGATCCCGCAAGACCAGTGAGCAGGAGCGGACTCGATCCTAGCAGTCCGTTGGCGATCTTGCTCAAATTGGCCTCGGTCGTGGGTGTTGAGATGAGGTCAGAAGGCCGTTCCTGAGAAGCTGCGCCGTCAAGTCGCGGGAGCAGTATGCCGTTGACATTGACAGTGTAGGGTGATAGTTCCGAGTACAGGTGCGAGGCTGGAGGCCCTGTTGCTCCCGGCTTTTGTTGCAAACTCAAATGCATGCTCTTCCATCTCTTCTCTTCCCACAAAGAAAGAAACCGGTAATCGATCTGCTGTCCTTCCCATGGTCCTTCAAGCTCTCCTCCCCCAACATGTCTCTTGACCATCTCTTGCGTCGCGTAATCTGCCGCATGGACATACAGACAGAACAGTCGGACAGCCAGGTACCGTACTACGCGATTCGAATGCTGGAACAAATGCTGTACAGCCACCGGGCGCACATACTGGGCGAAGGTCCGGCAGTCGTAGCTGAGCAGCCGAAAGGCGCCAAGCAAGAGCTCGACAATGTGCAAACTCGGAGAATCCGTAGAATGATTCGAATTTGGCGATCCAAAGTATGCTGACAGCGATACATGCGCTAAGAAGCGCTCCACGTGCTCTGCAAGGTGAGGCGCAAGAGGAAGGATTCGTCCAAAAGCAGCGATTTTCTCCTCGGTCTGGGCGCCAAACTGAATCCATCTTGCGCACCACTCTGTAAAGAAGCCCTCATACTGCACAAAAAGGCCGTCTGTAGATCCAGGCTGCAGAGCTTCCGTAACAAGCGCGTTGATATTGGTCACTTTGGAGGCCATAATGGCGCTGTTACCGTTCGATTCCGCGGTAACTATGTTGTGTTTCGATTTCGGGGCGCCTTCCCATAATTCCGACGCTTTCATACAACAGTCGTGGTTTTGTCGTGGCGTTGAAGTTCTGCCTTGTTACAATCTCGAACTTTTTTGCAGGGATTGCACGGGCCCCAGCACTTCCCCGCCAAGGCGCCAAACCGCAAAGGGTGCATTGCCGTCCGCAAAATCTAAGGAAAGTACGACACGACGACTGCCATCCATCCCATCGACCGCCCGATACAGACAGCACAACATGTCCGCCCCCGCATCTCGCGCCCTGAGGCGCTGCGTCTGCGCCGCCCGCCCTGCGATGGGGGTCCGCCCGGCCGTTGGAAGAGCACAGCAGAGGATACAGCGGAGATGGCAGTCTGATGCGGCGGCGCCTGCGAACCCCAAGATTGCGACGATTGTGGATCAGATCAGCCAATTGACGCTGCTCGAGACAGCAGACTTGGTCTCGACACTGAAGGTACGGCCGACACAACAAAAGAGCGGAGCAAGGCGTGCAGGAGGCGTTGGCAGTAATCCAAAACCGGTGCTCTTCTCGGAGCTGCAGCTGTACACTTTCGGCTCTGGAGTCTTTGCGAAGATCCATAGCACACGCTGAGAGCAATTGATCCTGAACGGCAGTCTCGTGCTGTCAACGGGTCAATTGCTGCAGGTGTCAAGGAGCCGTGTTGCGAAGTTTCGATGGAGCACTCTATGGGAGTATCGCACACTGCTTGCCCTGCGCAGCTCTCATGCATTCAAACCATGCAATCAGCTGACGTAGCCCTCGCAGACCCGCCTCAACATCCCCGACATGCCCGTGGGCGGCTTCGCCGCTGCCGGTCCCGGCCCCGCCGCCGCAGCACCCGTCGAAGAAGAGGAAGCCGCGCCCGCCGCTGCCGAGAAGACGCTCTTCAACCTGAAGCTCGAGAAGTTTGACGCCGGGTCGAAGCCCAAGGTGATCAAGGAGATCAAGAGCATGCTGGGCCTCTCGTTGGTGGATAGCAAGAAGTTCGTTGAGAGCGCGCCGAAGATGATGAAGGAGGGTGTGCCCAAGGAGGAGGCGGAGAAGATTGTTGAGACGCTGAAGGCGCTCGGTGCGACCGCCGTCATGGAATAAGCTGTGTTTTGCGGGACGGCGTGCAAAAGGGAGTGGAGAGATGACACTGTATCATAGCGAGCTGTGGCGTGTACAGATATGTATGGCATATGACATTGGTCGATCTTCTTGGATGTGTTGAGTATACGTGCAGTACAATAGACCGCGTACACACCAACTGTCAAGACGTGCTCAGCGCGAGTTCGACAACAGGGCCTCTTCGACGCTCCACCGTTGTGATCAATACTGCAGCGCATCTGGCGAGAACGCCAACAGGCAAAGACGGGTGCACTATTCCAGGGTCAGGCCGACAATATAGCCATCTAACGAGGAATTCCACGTTTGCTGGCATTACAGCATAGGAAACGAGCATAGGAAACGAGCATAGTACAAACGAGCTTGGTATCATTTTGTGCTTCTGGCGCCTCAAGGCAGACCTGCGTCTGTCTACCGCCTGTGGTTCACAAACTCCCTCTGCTCACCACCCAACCTGGATGCAACGACACAGGCCTCCCTGATGGCTGTCGCAACCGCGTTCCTGACTCCATCCTTCTCCAGCGACATCAGCCCACCGATTGTGCAACCACCCGGGGTCGAGACCTTATCCTTCAGCACAGCAGGGTGCTCGCCATTTAGCACCAACCCTGTGGTTCCGCGCATCGTCTGCGCAGCCATCTCGTACGCCTGCGCACGCGGCATTCCCATGGCAACCGCACCATCCGCAGCAGCCTCGAGCATCAGCGCAAAGAAGGCAGGTCCAGAGCCGCACAGTGCTGTTGCAATGTCCATGTTTGCGGGAGGAAGTGTTGTGACGCGACCGATAGAGCTGAAGACGAACTCAACGAGCTTGTACTGCGCCTCTGACAGCGGAGGATCGCTCGTCTCGATCACACTCATGGACTCGCCGACGAAGGAGGCCGTGTTGGGCATGACGCGCACCACTCTGCATGCGTCTTCGACCTTGTCTGCGCCCTCGGGGTACAGGAACTTTGAGATCTGCTTTTGCGTGACACCAGCCAGGATGCTGACGATGACCTTGCCCTTGAGCGCATCGCGCATGCCCTCCTCGCCCAGGATGGCCTTGAAGCCGTAGGGTTTGCAGGACAGGAGGACGATGTCTGCTTGTTGGACACCCTTGAGGTTCTCGTTTGTGAGAGTTTGCAGGTCAAAGTTGTAGTGGCCGAGGGCCTTCTTGACGTTCTCCTCGGCGGGCTTCCATGTGTCGCAGGCGACGAAGCGGGAGACGTTTGGCGTGTCTTTGGGCGCGGAGGAGGGGTCGATGGCTGCGGCGGTTTTGGCTTTGGCGAGGGAGGCCATGACGCCGCCCATGATGGCGATGCCCATGGTGCCTGTGTGGTCGTCAGACACTGATTTCTTGCATTCTTTGCGAAGTTCTTTACGAATCCTTTACGGATTCTTTACGAATCTTTACGAAGTCTTTACGAAGTCTTTACGAAGTCTTTACGACTGTCTGCTGGCATAATCGCTTGAAAGTGACTTCTCCCTTGCTGACCACCTCGAGGGCGTAGTCATTGTGGCGTGTCAACCAAGCAACTGGAGGTTTGTACACGTACCCGAACCAACGACGGTCAATGTGAGAGGCTTGGATTCCTGAGACGCCATTGTGTGTTGGTTTCCTGCAATTCCCTCCAAATCTGTGGTGTTGAGTGAGCAATGCCTCGGTGGCTCTGGAATGCCAGAAGAAAGTCGAGAGCGACGTCGGCGTGGGGTAGCTTCCAACGCGCCGACAATATGCGCGCCAGCCTTGCAGTCGCGACTCCGCCTTAGCTCTCTCGTCACCAATCTTCGACATTCACCGCGCGCATCCACGCTCTCACCGCATAGACTCGGCTCGCTGTACCCGCACCCCGGGTTCTAGCTTCCCCGGACTCTAGACGACTCCGACACACGATTACGAGTACTGCGCACCATGGCCGACCCCTTCGAAGTGCGCCAGCGCTTCACAACGCTGCTCTCGCACCTCAGCGCATCGCACACGTCGATCCAGAAAGCGGCCGTATATGCGCTCAAGAACCGGGACATGGACGAGGACCTCCACTCGTGCATTCTCGAGCAACTTGAGCGCACAAATATGAACACGCGCGCGAATATCATGTTCTTCATCGAGAGCCTGTGCGAGATGGCGGTGAAGGATGGAGGGCCGGCGACGGGTGAGGGGAGCGCGATGGGCTTTGTGCGGATGCTGCAGAGAGACATACTGCCGGTTGTGGAGTGTGTTGTGGGTGAGGAGGGGGCAAATGTTAGGGTTGTTCGCAAGGTGAGACATAGCGACATGCTGGCATGGAAGAGGACTCGGGGCTGATGAATGACTAGGTTCTGCACACCCTCCAAAAGCTCGCCATCCTCCTCCCCGAAACCGTCACAGAACTCGAAGCCGTGCTCAAAACCCGCGAACCAGAAGACCCCTTCGACGCCTCGCCCTCGAACAATGCTTCCTCCAAGAACGCGAAGCTAGACAAGCGCCAGATCGAGCACCGCATAGAGGAAGATCGCGAGAGACATAAGAGGTTACGAGAGAGCATCTGGGCTGTACCTGGTGACAACGAAGAGGAGATGGATAAGCTCTGGGAGGAAGCGAGTGATGTTGGCGAGGATGATTATATCATCGCAAAAGAGGACAAGGACGAAAGAGATCAGGCTATTGCTTTCGGTTGAGTGGTGGCAGCGGTGTCGGCACGCAGGGTTGGAGACATTTGGGATATACGGCGTACGGCGTTCCGCATTTCCTCGGCGTTATGGAAAGATACCACAGGCGGTGCCGAATCGGCACCACATGATTCGGATGAATATCAGACATTACATCAATGCAGACTTGAACGCTCAGGCGCCAGCTTGAGGACCACAAAAAGGTCTGTATGCACACCCGTCCACTGACATGCTGTTGATGGCCCTGTAACGCAAATTATCCTCCGTGTCCTACGCGCTGCTGAACACACCTTCTCGTTGCCAGGCGTTGTTGGCAGGAGAGCGTCGATGGCAGGAGAGCGTCACTTCTCTTGCGCGGCCCAGTACGTCTTCCCTTACCAAGCGTTGATGGCAGGGGCTAGGTGCGCTAGGAACAAAGCTCACAGACACGCTTTCAATCCTCTCCTTACCCCAACACTGATGGCACCAAACACGAAGGCAGGTCTGGGCACTCCGCTTAACAAAGGAATGACCTTCACCAGGGCCGGCCAACGGCGACCTCGACAGTGCTCCGAACTCGATCTTTCGCCAGATCATCGAACAAATCGTCCCACGTGTTGTGGGCCGCTCCTTCCCGCAGTCTATTTGTGGTGCTTACCTGACCTCAGGCACATCACGAAGCTGTTGCGGTAGATCGTGAGTGATCAGTGTGCTTGTGCAGAAATATTGAAGGATTGAACTGAGGTTGTATTGGTTGAAGCTACGAACAGTGTGTATAGGTGAGCGACAGTAAACAACGCGAGCGTAACGAGGCAGTCACCCTCATGGCAGGTGGGGTACAACAGGTGAGGTACGACAGGCAGGAGTCACCGTAAACCGTGTCAGAAGCAGAGTTGGTGTGTTGCAGCTTTCTACCACCAGCGTTGCATCTCTTGTCTTCTTTCCTACTTGATCCCCTGTTTTGACTCCACCATGCTGTTCTTGTCACAATTCTAGCGGCACCCCCGTTGCTATTGTAACGCCGTTTGTCCTTTGTGGTGTCCCTCCCCGTGAGGCTAGCCTTATCAGCTACCGACACGTCAAAGAAGGGCAGTGTCGATACTCTGTCGACAGTAACAGGAGCAGGGAACCGACGAGTCCTTTGTTTGCTCTGCTGTCGCTACAGCCTTATCTGACGTCCGCCACTATGCTTTACGTCCACCTCGTGGCACCCTCGCCTTGTCGAACCTTGTCATTGCCACTACAAGACCACGACGCCTCTAGAGCTCTTGTTGTTACTCCAAGAACGCTCCAATGCGAATGTGATGCCAATCAACCCGGCATGTCCGGCTCTGGCGCCGCCGTTCGATGAGCTGCCTTTGTACCCGGATGCGCCATCGATGTGGTCCACTTCTCTTGTGTGTGATTGTCGCCTGCTGTGTTCTGATCGCGAGTTGAATGGTTCTGCGCGTATTTACGGCGCATACATTGTCAAAATGTTCTTCACTTTAGAAAATGGTAACACAGTACCGTTTGTCCTTCAATCCTCAATACGAGCGGTATGGCTAACGCAAGTGCAGCGCTAATGATCTTCGCGACGGTAAATACCATACTCAATCCGACACACCCATCGATGTCCGGCTAACGGAGCATGTTGCGCAGATTGCATTCACTCCCATCGTCGGTCTTCCTTTCAAAGCCTACCACTACGGAGGCTCCAATCGTTGGTGTGGCACAGCTGCAGATGGATATACGCAAGAAAGCCGCTGTCTCTGCCGTCTTTGCAGCAGGGTTGATATGTGTTCCCGCACCCTTCCTTTCGTGTCTCATGCACAAAGCTGATGGTGATAGTACCTGTGGGGTATCTGCACTACGACTCCACTACGCGTCTCACGAAGCGAAGAGTGACGACAAAACATACTGGCTTGCACTAGTAGGTCTTTGCGGTGCTGTGGATATTGCAATGGTGATTGTGTGTGGGTGTCTCACGTCGTTCCCAAGGTTCCTTAAGTGAGTGAGAGGTGAGAGGATAGGCTCACAGCGGTATGGGTCACACCGCTATAAGTCGAGAAGCTACGGGTCGGAGAGCCAATCCAGATTGAGGTCCGAAGCGCCCGTTGGGCTGGGGAAGATCGGTGTCACGAACGAAGTCATTGTCATTGTTGTGGACTGGAGGACACTCCGCTAAACTGGACGGTAAGCCGTGGGCAAATCTAGTTCGTAAAGTATACAAGGAGCAGCTCGGGTCAGAGCTGTAGAGTTCAACTCCCTGCCATGGTGAATCTCTATATCTTCAAGCAACAGAAGTCACATCGCTACCATTAGCTATCTTAAAGACGTCATCGTCATCCGAACTCGAGTCGTCATCATCACCAACCTCCGGATCCAGTCCGGCCTTCAGCCTCTTCTTCTTCTTGATCTTCTCGCGCAGCTTCTTATTGATTTGATGGTTCCGTTTGATTTCGTTGATGTGTGCTCTCGGATCGAACGCAATCCCTCCATCGATCAGCACTACGGGCAACACGAGAACCAAGTCCAACAGAAGCATTATCACCGTGATGACCGCCGAGAATCCCTTGTTGATGCCACGCAGCCAGAGCAGGACTATTGGACTCAGGATCGCGGCAAGGACAGCAAATACGAGGATAAATGGTGTGATGAACGTGACCGTGTCTTTGATGCTTTTGAAAATGGAAAAGCTGATCGAACGACTAGCCCATACCAGGAATGTGTGGGTAGGTATTTGGTCGTTGTGCTGGAGGTTCGACTCATCACGCATCTTTTGTACCATCTTGTTCTTTTGCTCGATAAGGCGGGAGCTGCGGATGCTAAGCCGCACAGCGTAGGCTATTAGCACGAAGCCGATTGCGACCAGCGCAAACGTGTACAGTGGTACGCCGCCGTTGAGTTCGTGGACTTGCATGCTGAACAAGCTGGCTACGAAGGATAGTGGGATGAAAACGAAGGCTAGTTCGGTGAGCTTGGAGACGCTTTCGGCTTCGGCGATGCTGCGCCGGCTGTCTACGATTTGCATCTCTGCGAGGAGAGAACGGGATGAGCGGTCGATGAGTTCCATGCAAGCACGTAGAGTTTGTCGGGTGTCCTTAGCCAGAGTCTCAGATGGGGTGCTGTGGTGTTCGGATTCGTATGCGAAGTGCACAAATCCGCGGAGTCGCTGCTCTAGCTCTTCGAGGTTGAAGTTCAAAGAGTGCAGTAATCCTCGCCAGAAGCTGACGCGCTTTTGCATTAGGTCCTCGTCTAATGTGCCTTCGCGGATGCGCTGCAACGATACGCGTATGATGTCCACTAAGCAGTGTGTGTCATCGTGGATGGCGCGGAAGAGGGCTCGGAATGGGTCGAACACCGCTTCCTTGCCTTTACCCGGTTGGTTCAGAAAGTATTCGAACTCGTCTATAGTGGACCTTGGAACCTGTAGACTTTCAATGTAGGCGCGCATGTGAAGCGTATCGTCGCCCCAAGCGGACGATGACGATCTAGCCTTGACCGGATGATACGGCACAAAAGGCCCGTGAGTATCAGCACTCAATGATTCCTCCTCAATGTTACGAGATGATGGCTGCATGCTAGTTGCGGATTGACCAGGCACGGGCGGCGGTGGAGGTGCGAAAGCAACGCTTTTACGTCTGTCACTGCTCTGCGTGTTTACCACAGCTTCTATACTGTTGATCGAGGCATTTTCTATGTCTGGCCTAGTGGCTCTTCGTCTCAAAACTGCCGGGGAGAAGGTATCGGTTGGGCCGGTTTGGACGCCAGAAGCACGTGGGGGCACCTGCAGTGGAGTGATCTCAATTGCCTCTGGCATGTTAGGTAGGGACGCTATGTTGTTGTTAGAAACCTGCAACAGCTAGACACTGATCTTGATTCACATACGCAATGGTTGTCCAGGTGGCGGAGGAAGATCCTGCGGAAGAGAAGTGGCCCACGCTTGTACGTGGCTTCCTTGGGATGGTCCTTGGGTCCGGGAGCCACGAGGTCGGGCGCGTTTGTCTTCGCGTCTGATCCAGAGGTTGGCCAGAGTAGGTGGTGTCCGCCGCAACTGCCTGTCGCCGGCGCCTATATTCTCGTTGACCGAGACTATGGGAAGCGGGTCAAGAAGCAGGATTACTAGTCGTCAGTCAGTACTGATCACGTGTTGCTGCATCGACCCTGCCATACCGAATCTGCAGCCATCGTATTCGCGCATCCATATCGTGGCTTTTTCTTCCCATCCCACTGGATACTCTGTATCAGAGTCTTTGTGATAAACGCCAGGGTCGGGGCAAAGGTCAAGTTGGCGGCGCCAGATATTCGCTTGCGTATTCAAGCGTAAATAGTGACCATCATTTTGGCATCCGTCGAAGGGACATCGCACTCTTGGCTTCCGATCCCGAATCAACTTTGACCGAAACCTCGAAGTTATGGGGACCAGTGACAAGACTGGCCGATACCATGTGACTGATGAATAGCCTTGAGCAGACGACCGAGTATGCCAAGCTACTCTGCTGTCAGCACCTTCTGTACCCTTCTTGTAGCCAGAGCGCTCTAGATGTTCTTCAATTACGTGAGGTGGGATTTGAAATGTTGCGCCGAGAAGGTCGACCAAGGTCGGAGTCAGATCTTCCACAAGCACTATCCGCTGGTTGCAGTCGTTGGAGACGTTTCTCAGAGTTCCATAGAACTCCTCAAACGAAGGCGCAGTTGAACGACTCTCCCAAGGTTCGTAACGTCGTGGTGCATGGTCTTGAGCAGATTTCAAGCGGTCGTAGTATACGATGCGCGGGCTCCAACGATGACGGGTTGCTGTGGCAGCGACATTTTCGAAGTTGGTTAGACGGTTTGCTAGAACCTCAATGTTGTATCGATAGACTTCCATCTCTGTCGTGACTCTCGGTGCAGGAGGAGGCACAACAGTCTTAGTCTTCCTTCTTCTTATGCTTACGCCCCACGCCCCACCCCATCCACTCCAATTATCTCCATCTTGGCTCTTAGAGAAGACTAAGGCCCTTTGTTTCCTCCTGCTGCGTTCGGGCAAGGGTATGGCTTCAGGACGTAATTCAAGCTCTTCCAAGGAAGTCTTTGCCTGCAATTTGCTCGTCTTGGGAGGAAGCACCGAGACCAAGGATGTGGACGTTGAAAGAGGCAACATCAATTGGCTCGCTCCAGTAGTACTTCTAGCCCGCCAAGCCTGTGACCATTGTTGGATGTCGTCAAGAGAGTTACGACCTGGTAGAGCTGGAGATGGCGGACGCGAACTTTCAGCATCCTGCTGCATAGTTGTATCGCGAAGGCCTGCTGGTGGACCGTTACCTCCACCGCCGATGGCTCTCGTGCCTTGTACGTCTTTGCTCTCCTCCAAACCATATTGACACGTGCTTTGGGCGGATTCGCCCTTCCCATGTTCGCTCACTATGTCTCGCTTCTGTTCCTCTCGACGAATATCAGCAACGTTGCCAGCTGCAACATTGTTCACGTTCGTTGCACCTTCTTCTCCTTCCAAGGCTTGTTTTGTTTTTGGGATATCGTGTTGTGACTGAGACTCCGCGTCGTCTTGCGAACCCATCGGTGTTCGTTCGTCATGGAAACCGCTGCTGTGTGTCGTGAGCCGCTTGTCCCATACAGATAGTCGCAACGTTCCAGCACCCCTCAATCTTGAACTCGGAGATCTATTTGTGAGAAGGCTGGGATATTTTGGCCCCCACCCACAACAAGGCGTTCGCTCAGCATGCAGGGGCTCCTATTGGCCACACCAACGGACTCTATACCCAACAAGACATAGTATCTTGATACTAGCATTTATCCCTATACACAAGGCTGTGTGGCTGCATTTCAGCTCGAAGTCGCGCTTTTGTTCAGTTCTTCATTACAACAAAGATTGACCATAATCCCCGTCGCACCCCGCAACGTCTGCTCGCACCGCTCGAACAACAGCGAGTTAAACATTCTCGTCTCATTTGATAAGATGACGGTAACTGAGAAGTTTAACAGGCTGTCACGTTTGTGCCGCCGTGGATAAGCGCCACGCTTGTACTAACGCAATTTGCAGGCCTCGTTCCCTTCCTCGGGTACCATCACGTTTTGATGATCGTACAGATATCTGCGGTGATCATGATGTGTAAGTCGATGCTGCACCAAAACTCGAGTTGAAGCTTAGACTGAACGGATTGACAGCGATTTTGCTCGCGGGATGTTCCAGCTACTCCACCATGACGAATGTGTACATTCTAGGTCTTTCGTACACAAATTCGACGCCATCCAATCTTGGACCGGTTGAAAGGGCCATGTTCGATACGCTCCACAGCTTGAAAGGTTCGGCGCAACTGGAAGTCCGCATAGGTTACTTCGGCATGTGTGTGCGCCAGCGTGGTATCGTGTGGCTCTGTAGTTCGGACTCCAGTGGGCTCGCGCAACAGATCGGACCGGAGAATGACCCGTTGAACCTTATAGGAGCCGCATCATCATTCAAAGATGATGTCCTTTTCTCAGGCCTTATCTTCATGTCCGTTATTCTTGCGTTCTTTTGCTTTGTACTCCTGGCTACCTTCCCTGGTTGGCATGAAGAGAGGGACGTCCGGACTGGCTCAGATGTCGACGTCAAGCCATTCCCTTCAAGACCTGTGTCACAAGTCGCTTTGGCGTGTACGTTCGTTGCCGCCGTGTTGATGCTTGTTGCCAGCCTTTGGCAACACATAGGCGCCGTGGGTGCTGCAGCGATGGCAGAAAGTTCGAATTATGGTAACGTCAAGACCGACATTGGAGCTGGGGCGATGTCAATTGGTTGGATCAGCTTCACTCTCACGATGATAGTGACCATTGGACTGCTAGTCCTGATCATCTCGATAGTTGTCCTAGACAGGCTTACGGACGACTAATCGACATCGTAGATACTTCTGCCACAACAAAGCTGTAGTCGCGGGTATTTTCAGTCGAAGGCATCCAAATTCCAGGTAGTAGCATCGAACGTAGTAGGTTCAGAGACATTAAAATGTTCATATCTGTGCCTATAGTGTGCGCGTGAGCGCTGGACGTCACGTAACCACAATTGCCACTCCCAACAAAATCACAAAGACGTACCTGACAGGCTATATGTCAGATCGGCTGCCGGTGAACGCTGTCAGCTACCGGCACCTGACGAAAACCTGCAGGATAAGAGCCCGCTTTTTTACATGCAAGGGCTGAGGCAGCCAAGAGGGCAGGGGTCACTTCACCGAATCGCAGTGCGGGGCCAGCCGCTAAGCTCCCTTCAGCTGGCGCTAACCTGCTTCAGCTGACACTAGGCCCTGTTGAGATGCCTACAACCTGCGTTTGATGAGAGATTGAAGAAGTTGTGATTGGAAGAACTCGATTGGAGAGAGGGTGGCAGCGCGGTGTTGGAGCTGGAAGGCGTCAGGCGAGACTATAGATGAGGGGTATAAGTTTTCTGCTGTTTCCTGGAGGACTGCCTGGATGAGTTAAATATCCTTCTCAGACCCTTCAGCTCCTTTTGTCATTGCGCACCTTCTGCCCACTTTGAACTTCAGTATGCCGAAGCAAACATCCAATTCGTCTTCTCGAACATCATCGTTGTCTGCAGGTGGCGATGCAATGCCGTCCGCGTACGTATTCTTCGTCCCGCGCGTACCTTGCAGTGCTAACCTCCTTCACAAAAGTTGTTCAGGCACGTCAACACCTCTTTCTGCAGAGTCCTTGTCAGCACAGAATGCCAATCCATCCGCAGTCGATCAACAATGGGCGTTGGAGGAGGCGAAGAGGGTTGCGCGGCTTCAGAAAGCCGCCCATGAGTTGGGGTTCGATCTGCCACCGCAATGCTATAGAAGGTGACTGTTATTGATACTCGACTGAGTGGTGTTGTCATCATAGTATCCTGTGCTTGATAGCTCCAACGATGCTTTGCAGTCCACCAAGTCGTTCGTCTCTGCTTTTGCCTAGATACAAACTTGCAACAGGCCACGCATGAATGCCGCCTTGGTCTTCCCACTCATCCACATGCGTGCCAGTACTTCTTAAAAGGCTGATCAACTCCCTGGTCTCAGGGCCAAGCACTTCTTCGCTGCCGTACAGGAAGTACCAGCCCTCCTCCGGTGATGCTTCGGTCCATTTCTTGGTATCTTTGCAGTGGCCTGGTGACACCATGGGATCGTTCGCTGATGCTTTTTTCCCGATGTATTGGCGACCGTACAGTTCAAGAGAGTTATCGTTAAGAAAGTCTGATGCAGTGTTGCGGTTGTTCTTCGAAACGATGGTGACCCATGGGCTGATCATGACCGCCAATCCAGGTCGCTGGTGCCTGAACTCTGCATGCTCTGTCAAATAGAGCAAGAAGCTCAGCATGAGGGTCGCCCCAGCAGAGTCACCACCAACGACCACTCTAGTTGAGGACTGGGCAAGCGATAGCACGTATCTGTAGCCGGCCAGCGTCTCGTGAAGCTGGGTTGGGTATGTTGCATCAGGAACCAAGGTGTATTCCAGGGCAAAGAGAGCAGGATTTCTGTAGCCAGCAGCCTTGAGGAGCGCAACCCATGCGAGCAGGAACTCCATGTAAAAGTAAGAACTGCCCATCGAGAAGCCGCCGCCATGAGCGTAGTAGACGATGATATCAGGCTGCTCTTGCTGATTGTGCTTGATCAGAACACCTCTGAAGTCAGGCTGTGGTTATTAGCGAAACTCAATGGAAGCATTGGACTTTGAAGAACATACCCTCTTGACCTCAGTCCACCTGATCGGACTTGTGACAATGCCATGTCGTAGCATTCGGAATCGCAGGAAAGGCAACGAGACACCCTTCGAAAAGAACACGCGGCCAATGGAGGCTGGCATATTCGCAAATGCATAGCGAACACATCTGATAACGAAGTCCTGGAAAGGTGTCGCCTTCCTCACAAATGGGCTGCGTCTCTCAAATGGGAGAAAGTATCGTTCGCGAACAAATTGATATGGAATGACCAAGGCTTCATACACTGTCAATATCAGTACGCAAATGCTGTGTGGTACGGAGACTCACCTATGAACGGCAGAGCTGGAATTAGCCATTTGAGGATGGGAAACAGGCCAATTTGAACCAGCAATTGAGGTGCAAGGAAGACCAGAAAGGCAACACAATCCAAATATGATATCTGATTAAGTATCATGGTTGCGAAAGAAAGCAAAGGACCAGAAAGGACTGCGTCTTTAGATGCATCGTTCGTTGGATGAAGAACCCTCGTGCTTGCAGCTCGGTTGATGACGATGACAAGACTCCACTGGCTAGCCTAAGCCACAACCGCTTAGCCGGTCTCCGATGAAACGGGCATCGCTGACATGTGGACGCGTGACTGAATACAGCAGAGAGGTTATAAGAGAGTGAATGCAGGGCAGATGAAAGTGAAAAAAGCAGTCAATAGCGTCAGGCCAAGATAGAAAGCGCGCACGCGGTTCCACGTGACCCGTGAATGGTTCGGGTCGAGCACGGCCCCGGTCGCGACTTCCAAAGAAATTCCGTGACATCTCTCTCACTTGCTGTCCCGCAAACACGGTTGCGACAACCGCAATCCAATCCACCACTTCCGTCATCGTCACAGCTTCCGCCGACTTACTCACGGTCTCTACCTTTATTTATTTTTGACCAAATGGAATACCTTCACCCGCAATAGCTCGACCTCGGAATTCATCCGCTGTAGCCTACTCTAACCTGGAGAGCTCATACACACGACCTCATCATGGCCACCGACCCGAAGGCAGCACCGCTCGCCAACGACTTGAAAGAACTCGCTTTGTATGTCACGCATGAGCTATGCATTAGTATCACGTGCTGACTTGTCCAGCTCTCTATCTACGAGCGTCTTCCCCAAGGCGTTCTTCTGCGCTTTGTGCAGCGAGCTTGCTATCGACTCATACAAGCTGCTATGCTGTAATAAAGCTATCTGTACGACATGTATGTACATGAATCAACTTCAATATAGCATTACGGCGGCTAATAGTTCGACAGGTCAGGCAAAGCTTTCATTCCCTACCACTTGCCCATCATGCGACCACTCGCCGCTCGAGACCGACTCGTGCACACCGAACAAGTCTCTGCGTAACACCATGCGCATCTGGCTACAAAAGCAAAAGAAGAAAGAGGAAGCTAAGGCGGCCGCGCAAGCCGCTACGCCCGTCCCAGAGACTACACCTGCCGCAACAGAAGCGCCATCTGAGGTGGAGGGTGCAGACAAACCGATCGACAGCGTCGAGGAGGCACCAGCAACAGATGATGCACCCGCCGAGGGCACTGCGACAGCAACAACTACTGGTGACGGAGAGCTGCGTACATTTTCGGCTTCTGCACAGCCAATCGAGGTAGGTTTGCATGCTCCTTCATTTGCTACGCGCAGCTGCGTGTACGATTTCTATAAGAACAGAGAAGAGGAAGCAGGAAAGTCTGAAGGGCTAAACTTAATGAACATTATCGATCTTGCACGTGCTGGTGGCTGTAGCATGCATGTCTCGCCTAGTGCTCTTGCTGATCTCAAGCAGGGTTCTACCGCACCTGATAACGATGATCCGGAACGACGTGGCAGCTTGGTATCGCAGACTGCGACACAGAGTGTAGAGCCATCTGGCGCAAATGCGTCTTCTGATGAACCAAACAACACCACCGGAGCAGCAAGCATAATGGGTAACAATCCTATGATGAACGGCATGCAGAGTCAGATGGGGTTTGGTTTCCAAAGCCAAGGCAGCTTCGGCGGCGTGGGCTTCAACGGCATGTCCAACATGATGGGCAACGCCAATTGGAACAACATGAATCCAATGGGTACGTTCAAACTCTGTACGTTGTCACAAACCTCAAAACTCATGTTTGCGTAGATTACAACTTGAACAACATGAACGGCATGTACAGCAACTTCGGTGGAAACATGGGCATGGGGATGAACGACATGTCCACCATGAACATGATGAACTACGGTGGCGGCTACGGCAACGGGTGGAATGGCATGGGCAGTGGCTATGGAAACTTCAACGGGTTCAACCAGATGGGTGGATATAATCAATCTGGAGCATATCCCGAGATGATGAACCAATTCCCCAAGAACAATTTCCAAAACCAGAATCGTTTCCCTGCCAATCAAGGAGGGGCTCTTCCTCAGCGAAACAATAGGACTGGCAGTCAGGGAGGCTCCGTTTCTGGGCCTGGGGGCCCGCAGAACACCAACAGTCGTCCTGGAAGCCGCAGTGGTCCTGCGCAAAACGTACGTCGATCTCATAACACTCCGCCAAGACAAACCTCTTCGGCATTGCAATATTCGAAGCGAGCAACTGACGACATTGGTGTACAACAGCGTGACGGCGAGTCGCCTGATGCATCCGCCAATGCAGTTACCGCACCGAAGCCAGAGGGCGAGCAAGACACCGCTGTCAAGTCCACTGAAGAAGGTAATGATAACGATGATAGCACGCAAGACCCTACAGCAGCCGCCAGTGCCGCCGGCCCGGTTGGCACTGGCGTTGAGGATGCCAGCGATTCAGCTGCAACAGGAGAGCAGATGAACGAATCCGCACAGTCCAACGGCCTGAACCATATACAGACCGTCGATACTGAAGATGGAAGCATGCAAGGTTACGATCAGTCGATGATGGGCAACGGCATGCAGTCCAATTTGGGGTTTGCCAATGGCACGATGAATCAATTTCCTAACCCGATGCAAATGAATGCGCCTTTCGATCCTAGCATGAACATGGGATTTCACCAGAACAACAATTTTGGTCCTCGCGGCAGCTTCAACGCAGCGTACGGCGCTGCCACGGTCTTGACAGGCGAGCCGCAGGGTCGTGGTGTGGAAGGTGCACCCACAGGCCCGCGAGCGATGCGCGAAGGCAGACCAAACACTGGCTTCTCGAGCCGAATGAACAACGTGCGCCACCAGCCTCCACCAAAGAGCGTAACACCTGCGCAAAGTACTGGCGGCCGCAGTCCACAGCGTAGAGTTCGATCGTGAGTACAGCACAGGACACCATCATAGACGTAACACTGACCAATGAACAGTCGCTCGCCTTTACGAGACGAGAGTCTTCGCACCAAAGACAAGTCTGTGTCACGTTCTCGGTCAAGGTCACGAGCGAGAGATGAAGAGACCGATGACCGCCGAGAGCGATCACGCTCAGCAGACCGCGAGTCAAGACGGGAGGGCAGAGGGCGCTCGGCAACACCGCAGGGTGACGATGACTACGAACGCCGCAAGAACCGCCGACACCACCGCTCATCGCGATACGATGACCGCGAAGAAGATCACGACGATCGGCACCGTGATGATAGAGGAAGTCGAGCCGACAGGACACGTAGTGGCTCAGCAGACTCCAAATACCGCAGTAGTCGCCGTGACAAAGACAGGCACCGCTCTTCACGCTCACATCGGGATCGCAGCAAGGAATATCGCCGTCGTCACCGCTCACGATCTCCCGCCGAAGAGAGCAAGTATGAGGATGATGCATATGCCAACGGTGATCGCGAGTCCGAGTCGGGATCGCGGCGAAAGCACAGGGGTGACAAAGAGAAGCACCGTGATAGGTCACGGGACAAGGATCGCGAGCGAGACAGACGAGACCGCAAGGATCGAGATAAAGACTACGACTACGAGCGCGAGAAGGATCGGTCGAGAGATAAAGATAAGGAGCGCAGGCGTCGCCGTGACCGTGAGGCTGAGGAAGAAGAGCGCGACCACGATGACGACAAGCACCGCTCTTCTCGACGGAGCCGCAAGGACCGGGACCGAGAAGACCGCAGCCGGGATGACCGTAGCCAGAATGACCGCGACACGAAGGTCAAGCGTCCTGCAGAGGACGATGTGGTTGGCAAGATGATGCAGAAGCGCGCTGTCTCTCCGCCACTGAACGCACCCACCGGCCCCTCAGCGAACACCTTCTCGATCAAGGGCGCAGGTCGGTCAAAGTCCAACGTCATGCCACCACCGCAACCTCCCACTGGACCACGTGGCTTCCAGCCACCCAAGGGTCCTGCAGCGGATCGCGACAAAGACAAGCACCGCAGGAAGAGCAGCGTCTCTTCCCTACCTTCCACACCAGCCACACCCGCTGAACCCACCTCACAGGACCACTACGCTGCCGAACGCGAGAAGAATGCCCGCGAGCGGAACAGCCGCGACCGCGCAGACCGCGACCAGCGGGACACCCTTACGAAGTCTCTGCACTCGCGCATCCACTCCTCCTCTCGCCCCTCCCTGTCCTCCAAACGCTCGCGCGATGACGATCAAGAAGTCGACGACGCACCGCGCGGCCCCAGCAAGAGCGAAGTCCAAGCGCCCACAGGCCCAGCCTCGCACCGCGACAAGCGCAGAAAGTCCGGCGCAGGAGGCGACAATAGCATTGCCAACCTTTTCACTGCCGGGCTAAGGAAGAACGCCGGTAAGACGAGGAGAGGTGGTGTCAGGACTGAGGGCGACGTGGAGAGGGAGATGGAGAGGGTTGAGCGCGAGAGAGATAGGCGGTAGGATGTCTCTGGCTCTAGTATAAAGAAGAAGGGGGGAGGCGTCTGGGATAATAAATAGTGTAATTGATGAGTCTCAGAGATGCCGTTTTGTACATGTGCATAAAACGAGAGTTCGGAAGGGTTTGGGAGGAGGGGAGGATGGGTGGACATTTCTCAACTTCTTGTATTATACCCCGAAAACCATACTAGCTGGGTAGCTGGTAGGCAATGAAAATGATGCTCTGAGATCTAAGTTCTCTTTATTTCCTCCGCCCTCCCTGGCTTCTGTAGTGTTGTTGCTTGCAAAGAGATCGTCGTCTGACTTCAGCTCGCTCGTATGTGGCGTCTCCAGCCTATCCTCCAGCAAAAGTCTGAACGTTTCGTCCTTCACCAGCAGGGGTTGCTTTGTGCTTGGATTGAGACGCCTTGCATCGATCACGTGTTGGGTTTTGCAACTCCCATGGCTTGGTCCACGACACCTACAGAGCTTCTCTTGCGGACCGTAGTATGGGCCGAGAATGAAGCTACCGATCGTAGCTGGTAAGAACGTGCGAGGCGTTGCGGAGTGAAGGGAAGGGCCGGCTGTCGTCGGTCGACAGTGGGCTGTCATGTTAGGTTGCCTTGGCTCAGTATGTAGAGATATGATACCGTCGCCGTGCTGTTTTGCAATCGCTATGTCTAATGTAGTGCGTTGGGTAGACGTTATGTGCACTGAAAACCTGGAGTTTCGAGGCCAGCGCTTTGCTATATGAAACCTTTACTGATTGAAGCCCTAGTTCTGACGTCGAATCACCCTGTTCAGAGCCTAAGATTAGTGCCTTGGGCATGCAGTAGTTCTGAGTAAATAGCACCCTTGTGATGTTGTGCAAACCGCCACGAGGCGAACCGTTTGCTGTCAATAGTAATGCGACCAAGGCTCCTTGCCGGCTGCTATTGAGCACTATTGAGGATCGCAGTCTGACATGGAGTCGGGCAGTCCGTCGAGTGTTCGATGTCTGCTTTGATGCCGGGTGTGAGATTGTCCAATCAACAGCGCGGAGATGGACCGGAGTGATGACGTGCTCCGCTACGGCGTCAACCCCACGTCTCTAGCGGCGCATCTTGAGTTCACTGCATGCGTGTGGGGCCTAAGAAAAGATGACTCCCCGCAATCTGCGAAAGAAGTTTGAGTGTTGGTGTTGCACTTCGTTCTTTCTACAAACATAACACACAATGCCAATGGCTACCTCACTCGACACTGGCGCGGCTGCCGTTGGCACGTACAAGTACAGTACGACCCTCCATTGCGCCAGCAAACATGCTGCACCGAGACTTGCCCATATCAAGGATAAGGGCTAACAAACAAGTAGAGAGAGTCACGTCTCAGCCCGAGAACCCCTTCTCTCGCCTGATACCCGACCAGACGTTTGTGATTATCCCCGAAGTCACACTCGAGTCCGGCGTCGTCCTCCACGATGTATCCGTCGCATACAAGACGTACGGCACTCTATCACCAGGGCGTGATAATGCCATGGTCATCTGCCATGCGCTGACGGGAAGCGCCGATGTCGGCGATTGGTGGGGACCCCTGCTTGGAGGCCCTGGCAAAGCCTTTGACACATCGAGGTTCTTTGTCGTGTGTATGAACAGCTTGGGTAGCCCATACGGCAGTGCTAGCCCAGTCACAGCACGAGACGGTGATGCCTCGAACGGACGCTATGGGCCCGAGTTTCCGTTGACAACAGTGCGAGACGATGTCAAGTGAGCACAGTACATGGGTCTGATTTGAGGCTTGCACTGCTAACACAACACAGCATTTTCCGATTGATCCTCGATGACCTTGGCGTCAAGCAGATTGCGGCCGTCATTGGAGGGTCCATGGGCGGCATGCTCGTACTCGAGTTTGCTTATTTCGGGAAGGACTATGTTCGCAACATCATACCCATCGCTACGTCCGCTCGCTACAGTGCTTGGGGCATCAGCTGGGGTGAAGCTCAACGGCAGAGTATCTACAGCGACCCCAAATACGACGACGGCTACTACGCATTCGAAGACCCCCCGTCCACAGGTCTTGGGGCTGCGCGCATGTCTGCGCTATTGACCTACCGCAGTCGCGACTCCTTTGAGTCCCGTTTTGGTCGCAATACCCCCGATCTATCCAAGAAGCAGAGCATCAACACCCTACCACGACCGACTACACCCTCAAACGAACACTGGGCGATCCACAACCACGGTCATAAGAACGCTGGCTCGCCGCGCTCCTCGGCATCGAGGACAAACAGCAGTGCTGTATTGAACACATCGGCATCAGCAAAGACCGCCGATCTAGAGTTCCACGACGCATCGAGTCCCTCGACACCGCCTATCCGACGAACCGACTCGACAGCAAGCGCAAAGTCTAAGCCTTTGACCCAACACTACTTCTCGGCACAGTCATACCTGCGCTACCAGGGCGAGAAATTCATCAAGCGATTCGATGCAAACTGCTACATCGCTATTACGCGCAAGCTCGACACTCATGATGTGTCTCGTCATCGCTATCCCGAGGGCGAAGATGAAGACAGCCTTGACCCTGTCTCGGCCCTGCACTATGCGCTGTCCCTGATCGAGCAGCCAACGCTCGTGCTGGGTATTCAGTCTGATGGTCTCTTCACTTACGCCGAACAGCAAGAGCTTGCCGCGCACATCCCCAACGCTACTCTGAAGACCATCGATTCCCCCGACGGCCATGACGCATTCCTGTTGGAATTCGACCAAGTCAACCGTCACTTGCTCGGTTTCCTGGACGAATTCCTCCCGGACATTATGAACAGGACGCCGAACCCTGACATCACCTCTAACGACCCCGGCATGGAGGCTACGAAGACAAGCACCTTTGGCGAAGCCGAGGTCGACGACATCACTGCATGGTGATTTGATTTTGCATTTTCAGCGCGGCGTTTTGGATACAAAGAACGAATGCATGGTCCGGCGTCAGTTTTCGGCATATGCTTGAAAGAAAGCTGTACGATATGATACGCTCGATGAGAAGAGCTGAGGTTCAACCCCTCAATCAACGATACGAAGTGGAGGTAAATGATCATGTAGAACAATGGACAGGCGGTAAGAAGGTTCCGCGATTCCTGTTCGATTCTCTACGTTCTTCAAGTGCTTCTGTTACCCACAGTGCAGATCTATTCACGTCTCCCGGGCAGTGAGCGCGGGTCGTTCCCATCGACTGTCACCCAGATTCAGCTTCAGATGCGCCATTTTCCGCTATTACCTGATGAACACTTCGGATGAGATCCTGAGGCGTTGTCTTCAGCATCTTCTTGGTATCGCCCTACAATTAGGAGTCGCAACCCCGCATTGAGACACCCGTTCTTGGCCAGCTCCACAGTTTCTATGCACCCCTCAACGCCACAACCGCTGGCCCTTTCCATCATACAACGTTCTTCAGGGTTCTTTTCAGTAATTGACAAAACTGTGTTCTGCGTCTTGTCTGGTGAGCTCCAGGGCAAGAGAAGCATCACGCTCACGTAAACCTGGAAAGAGTCGGGACCTGTTGAAGGCGAACAGCGAGAGCAGACATGTTGCCGATGAATCTGTGTACTTCTTGCTCCGACTCGTAACATCACATCATCCTCAAGACCGACCCTTTTCACGACTACGACAGATATCCCGGCTGAGGCTACCAAGATCACATCCTACGGCGCTCATGGCGTGATCGTGTTCTCTGCTACGAAAGCTGGGTATGAACAGGCGCCACTCCTTCTGCGTCCAGGAGGCACGATGGTATGCGTTGGGTTGCCGAAAGATACAACAGTCATCGCCGGTGAGCATCCTATCACGATGTGCATGAAGAAGTTGAATGTCGTGGGGAGTGTCGTGGGGACGCTAAATGAGTGCGACGAGGCTTTGGAATTTACTGCACGTGGCGTTGTCCGTCCGATATTGACGCATGGTGGGCTGGAGGATATCAATAGGTTTTGCGAGGAGATGAATGCGGGTAAACTCGTTGGACGTGCGGTTATCAAGATTGCTGCATAGATTTGATCGTACCAAGGAAGCCGTCCAAATTGCATTGTTAGCTGTGTGTCCGCACTCAACTGAAAAGGATGTATATATATTGTTCGCTATGCTATTGTACCTTGCGGGCATGTCAGCTATTCAGTGAGGATTATCCGTAAGTAGATCAGTGGTTGAGCACCTTTCCACGTGCTTTTGATCAGTGATAAACAATAGACAAGATTAGAATCTGAAAAGGATTTACAATATGTATCTAGTCACAATAGAAAGTGAGAGTGATCGATGTAGACTCGACACCTCGCAGACGCGTTCCCGCACGCGCCACAGTGGCTGAAGTGGCACGAGCTTCGCTTCTTCTTCAACTCTGATGCCTGCATCCATCAACGATCATCAAAACATGCAATGCGACGGGTAGTTGTCACAGGCTTAGGGCTTGTCACGCCCCTCGGAATAGGTGACTTATACCAACTAACTCCCGTCGACCTTCACTGACGTTCGAGATATCAGGTGTTCGTCGGGCATGGCAGCGTCTCATCGATGGCAATTGCGGCATCACATCCATCAAGGACAGAAGCCCTCAGTTTGCAGCTTTGCCAAGCCAGGTTGCTGCTGTCGTGCCTGAGGGTACAAAAGCAGATGGAAAATGGAGTGCGAAAGAATACACGGGTCCTGGTGTATGCTCCCTATGATCTATAGCGCGACGCTGCTAACATTGTCCAGGATGAACGTCGAATGGCGAAGTTTGCGCAATACGCCATGGTTGCATCCGAGGAAGCGCTGAATGATGCTGGATGGGTGCCGAAGAAGGAAGAGGATCTCGAAGCTACTGTAAGTCATGCTACGTTTTTTATTGGCTTTTCCACTAACATGCGTCTAGGGTGTCTATATAGGTTCTGGTATTGGTAGTCTGGACGATGCATATGACACAGCAGTGGCTTTCGAGAAAGGCGTAAGCATATCTCAGATATGAGAGAGCCTTCCTCGCTGATTGTCTGAAGGGCCATCGAAAAGTGTCTCCCCTCTTTGTCCCGCGGCTTCTCATCAACCTTGCAGCGGGCCATGTATCGATGCGTTACGGCTTCAGGGTATGTTACATTCCAATCCTCCAACATGAAATGCTGATTTCCTATAGGGGCCAAATCACGCAGCCACAACAGCGTGTACAACAGGTGCCCACAGCATCGGCGACGCATCGCGTATGATCCAATTGGGTGATGCCAACGTTATGGTCGCTGGTGGTGCCGAATCCTGCATACACCCCCTCGCCATTTCAGGTTTCGCAAGGGCAAGAAGTCTGGCAACCGAGTTCAACGAACGACCTACAGAAGCCAGTCGGCCATTTGATAGGGATCGAGATGGTTTCGTCATTGGTGAAGGCGCTGGAGTTGTCGTGCTCGAAGTATGGACCAAATCTCATTTGTCCGGACCGTACTGACAACAGCAGGAACTAGAGCATGCCAAAGCCCGCGGTGCGCGCATATACGCAGAAGTTGCTGGATATGGCTTGTCGAGCGACGCGTATCATATGACTGCGCCCCGTGAAGATGGCCAAGGCCCACGATTGGCGATGAAGAAGGCGCTGAAATACGCTGGCCTGAAGCCAGCTTCCGTCGACTACATCAACGCCCATGCTACGAGCACGCCTCTTGGTGATGCGGCGGAAAACAGAGCGATCAAAGACTTGCTGCTTGGTGCGGATGGTAAGAGACATGCTTCTGAGATCAACGTCAGCAGCACGAAGGGTGCTGTTGGACATCTGCTTGGGGCTGCGGGCAGTGTGGAAGCGATATTCACCATTCTCGGTTTGCACACTGTAAGTTGTTTGTAGCTGGGGCGAGGGCGACGCTGATGATCACAGAACATCCTTCCACCGACCTTGAACCTGCACAACCCAGGAGATCCGGCGGAAGACTTCAGTTGCAACTATGTCGCAAACGAAGCGCAGCAGAAGGAGGTCAATGTCGCCATGTCTAACAGCTTTGGCTTTGGAGGAACCAACGCTTCACTTTGCTTTCGCAAGATGCAATAATATTTAGAGATACCGACACGTCGCTATGCTTTCGTAGGCGATAAAAAGACTGGATTCGGAGCAGCACAAACTCATTTCGCCGAAAATTTGCTCAATCGGTTATCTACAAGTGAGCTTGGTGACTCGATAAGATCTCGACATCACAACTCGCAGCTGCCCCGCGGCGCCATATGGCAGCTGCCAGCCCCACTACGCGCCATTCATCCCACGGTACAAGCAACGCTCGGCATCGGTAGCGTCCGCAAGTGCATCTGGACCTCGACTCCAGCTTCGAGGTTTCATCTTCGCCTTCCGCACTCGTTGCTGTTTCTTTTGTTGTTCCTATTGACGCTCAAGATGACGGCTTGCCCAACTCCATCGCTCCACAATCATGACACAAGGACCTCCAAACCATCACTGTTCGGCAATGTCTCAAAGAAGGCTTCGGAATACCACTCACAAGTGCCATATATTAGCAAGCTTCCTTTCCCAGCAATTGCAATTATCGTGACGCTCATCGTCGTCAATTCGATCGTCTGGGCCGCCGTTGGTGTTGTATTGGTACGTCAACTCATGCACGTGTCAATCTCCAGTACCGTGCTAAATTCGACGATAGCATTTCAATACCCATTTGGTATCAACAGCGATTCTCTCTTACACCCTAGGACTTCGCCATGCCTTGGACGCAGATCACATCTCCGCTATTGACCTGATGACCCGGCGTCTAATCGCCGCGGGTCAGCGCCCTGTGACCGTAGGGATGTTCTTCTCGCTCGGTCACTCGACTATCGTCATTGTCACTTCGCTCGTCGTAGCTGGTACGGCAGCCGCTGTGTCGTCGAAGTTTGACAGCTTCGAGCGCATCGGCAGGATCATCGGTACTTCTGTGTCTGCTGCGTTCCTGCTTCTCCTCGGCATAATGAACATCTACATCTTGTACAAACTGATTGTCCAGATGCAGAAGATCCTTGCGAGCGAGCCCGGCCAGGAGCACGAGGAGTTCAAAAACCAAGGTGGTGGATGCTTGTTTCCCATCTTACAAAAGCTGTTCAAGCTTGTCGATCGACCATGGAAGATGTACCCACTCGGTGTGTTGTTCGGTCTGGGGTTCGACACATCTTCAGAGATCGCTATCCTCGGTATCAGCTCTATTCAAGCGACCAAAGGCACTTCAATCTGGCTGATCCTGATCTTTCCATTGCTGTTCACGGCGGGCATGTGTCTGCTTGACACAACAGATGGTGCGCTCATGATGAGTCTGTACACAAGCACGCAACTGGCACGGGATCCGATTGCGATCTGCTACTACAGCATCGTTCTTACGGTCATTACGGTCATTGTCGCGATAATCATTGGAACTGTGCAGTTCCTTAACTTGATCTTGAATGTTGCTAAGCCGGATGGCGAATTCTGGGACGGAGTGGAGAAGCTAGGTGACAGCTGGGACATTGTTGGTACGTTCTGTCAGCGACTAACCGCAGTACTGCATGCTAATTCTTTGAATAGGTGGAGCCATCTGCGGCGCGTTTGTCGTCTTTGGAGGTCTTAGTGTCTTACTGTACAAGCCATGGAGACGCCGTGTTGACAAGAAGAGGCTCGGCAATGCACACTTCAGACCGCTGTTGCAGAGCCCTGATACGGCCGTGCGTAACGATGAGGAGCAGCACGGTGGTACAGCAGACAGGACCAGAGGGAAGAAGGACGTTGATATCGTGGTTCAGTCGGTTGTAGCAACTGATCTCGCCGGGCCTGCACATCGCTAGGCAATACATTGAAAGACAGGCAACAATCGTAAACCAGCAGTGGATGCGCCTTGCGAACACAGCCTTCAATACGGCACAGTTCTACGCATTCATGCGTCTTGAAGAATCGATAATCCAGAGCCAATCAAATACAGCGCCGCACCATGGCCGTTTGTACGACCTTCACTTCATCCCACTACTGCCATCCTCAGCCTTGTCGCTCAACCAACTACAAATATTGCCGTTACCACGCAGTGTCATACTTCCTTAACCATTCGCACTCGCATCCAGATCCACTCCTCTCAATCTCATGCTATACGTTATATCTTCAGTAATTCACCCACAATGAACGCCACGCAAGCCGTGCTTTGCTGGATCTCTGCGCACCCATACCAAACAGCTTTCCATGTCGTGAACGGATTCATCATCTGCACACCTGCAGCAGCGACCGTCCCCTTCCTAGCCGCACTTGGGTTCAGCACTACTGGACCTGTAGCTGGTATGTATTTCTTTTTCGAGACGTTATAAGAGCCTCAGAGATTGATTCCTCTCCAGGCACCGCAGCGACCGGAGTAATGTCCTACTTCTCAACTGTTTCAGCTGGAGGCATCTACGCGACTCTGCAGAGCGCAGCTATGGGCGGCTACGGAGCCAGCGCTGTAGTGGGGCTTGCACAAGCTGGAGCTGCCTTGTCGTCTGTGGGGGCGTGGTTCGTGGGGAGGAACGTCACGCACGGATGAAACGTTGACCCATCATAACGGTCGTAGAGCGCTCAAGTTGCGAGATGACAGAGCGCGGAAGTCTAGTCATGAAGCAGGTGAATGATTGAAATAGGCATAACTTGCGAAAGAACCAATGAAAATCATGCCTCGGCTACTCCTTCACGTCCAGTCGTGTCGCGTACTCCCACGTGGAAGCTACAAATGTACGACACTGCTTGGCTGTGCGCCTTAAGACTGAACATATATATAACATATCAGGACCCAAATCGAAGTCGCTACAACACGGCAACAATATTAGCCAGCATGGAGCCATCAATAACGCCCGCAAAGGTTGTGCAACCTCTCACAGACTTCACAACCATCGGCTACAACATTTATCTCTGGACCTCATCGTTCTACACGCCAAAGTCCCCTCTCATCCTCCTATTCGCCTGGAATGCCGCAGCCGCAAAACACATCGCCAAATACACGCTCTCCTACCAGCGTCTCTTCCCCAACTCCCGGATTCTCCTCGTCCGGTGCTATACATCCGACATGTTCACGCACAGCGCACACTATCCCGCTCTCCTAACTCCAGCCCTCGACATGACCCATCAGCACATCGAAGCAAGAGGTGAAGTGCTAGTGCACAGTTTCTCCAACGGCGGCGGCAACCAAGTCAATGAGTTTGTAAAAGCTTGGAAGGGCAAGTACGGCAGCAAACTACCCATGCGCGCGCAGATTATGGACTCGAGTCCGACCAAGGGGCGGTGGATGAGGAGTCACAATGCTATATCTGCTGGTCTGCCGCGAACGTGGTTCTGGAAGTGGTTTGGGGGGCTTTTGGTGCATGTGCTTCTGCTAGGATTGTTTTTGGTGAATGCGGTGAGACGGAAGGAGAATAAGATGGTGGTGCTGTGTCGAGAGATCAATGATGATAATGTCTTTGATAAGAGCGTACCAAGAGTGTATTTGTATAGTCGAGTGGATGAGATGGTTGGGTGTGAGGAGGTGGAGGAGCATGCTGCAATTGCGAGGGGGAAGGGGTGGGATGTCACGATGGTAAGGTTTGAGAGGAGTGCGCATTGTGGGCATGTCAGGGAAGACGAAGGGAAGTACTGGGGCGCGATTTTGGAGGCTTGGAAGACTGGCAAGGATAGATGAACTCCTAGAACTTGCATTTGCTGTTGCACTACAATCGCTGGGCGACAAGAGAAAGATAAATGTTCCACAACAGGCCGCAGAAGCTCAGGAAGATCATACGCTTCTCGACAGGGCAGTATGTAGTGCTGAAGAAATTGGCGATCGGCCAGACCTTGTACGAGTCCCAGATAAGCTTGAAGAGCTCCTGATGGGGTTGTCAGTGAATTGTACAAGTAAATGTCAGGGCGAAAACGTACGTTGTGGAAGCTTTGCACGATCTGGGCACCTGTTTTGCCTTTCAGGAGGCCTATCAAGATCAAGAACATGGTCTGGTTTAGGAGTGCGCCCATGGTAATGCACTGCGACTTGTCAGTACATACTCAGTCACGTCACAGCTGACCAACATACATCTGTGAACCACTTCTTGAAGATATTCAGCCAATTGCGCTCCAAGACATCCTCCTCAACCATACGCTTATCTTCCCCGTCCTCCTTCAGAAAGACAGCCTTCTCCGCAGCATCACCATCTTCGTTCGTCGCAAGCCTTGTCCGCTTTACGGTCTTCCATCCGGGGAAAGTACGCTCGAGCCAATGTTGCCAGTGGTAGTTTACAGGCGCAGTAAGGACCACCATAAAAGCAAACTGGAAGAAGAGCACGCGATCGAACACGAAGGGCTTCTCGTCACTCCATGCCTTCAGTCGTTGGGCGATGATATTGGAGCAGCAGTCAATTATGAGTGCGGACCCGCAGGCGACTAGCATAGGGTGTAGTCTTTTCATCGTGCAGACGGTAGTTGTGGAGGAAGCAGCGGCCGAGGTTACGAGGGCGGTTGCGGGCGGGTGAGTGAGCGATAGCAAAGTGCTCAGTGCGACAGCGGTGGTAGCGACGTTCTCAGGGAGGCTTAATTAGTGTGCGACAGTGTGACAGTAAGAAGGTTGCAATGTGTCCGTGAAGCCACATGGCGACTGCGCAACGCTGATGTGCTCCACAATCGTTGAAGTTGGGAGGCGCGGTTTCGGGCCAGCGCCGGCCGAACTCAACGGCGTACCGTGTTGGCGGGTCACCATCAATTCAACACCATAATCTCGATCTTTGTTCCTTCTGGCATCTACGAAGTGTAGTGTAGGGGCCTAGCTCTTACATTGAGCAGATTGCATATCTCCTCACTCCTCTTATCCAGATATTCTGTAGCCTCTCTCTTCGTCCACCCACCAGCTGGTCCGCACTCAAACACCTCTCCGCTGCAATTGCTCTCGAGCATCGTCTTAAGAGCATCCACCAGCCCATCCATGGGTGTCAAGAGATTCTCTTTGGCCAGCTTCTCGTAGAAGACTGGAGAGCTGATACTTGTCTGAACCACGTTCGGCGCAATGGCATTAATGGTAATGCCCTCATCCACCACCAGCTTCCCGTAGCTGCGTGTCAACCCAATCAGAGCATGCTTCGCAGCCGTGTATATTGGCAGACTCGGCACGCAATACAGGCCACACACGCTTGCAACGAGTCCGATCCGACCCAACAGTCCGTCTTTGGTCCGAGTGTGGCGCCGGAAATGCTGCAGCGCAAGTGCTACTGTGTACAGCACTCCAGTAAGGTCCACATCCAGAACAGACAAGTCTGGCTTCGTGAATTCTTGAGGATTTGCTGCCGAACCCTCCTCTGGAAATGGAAGCCACTTGCGCTCGCCAATACCCGCGATGGGTGCCACGAAGTCGATGCGTCCTCCGCCAGATGCTCGCCAGTAGATCGCTCTTCGGAAAGCCGCTACTTGCGAGTCCCAGGATGAAGTGTCGCATTGCACGGCGCGGAGGTTGTCGGTATCTTGTAGCTTCGTGATGTCCCGATCAGCAACAAAGACATACCAGCCTTCGCTGAGTAGGCGTGTAGTGAGTGCGAGACCAATGCCACTTGCACCGCCTTCGGACTTGGGTAAGATGTTTTATGTTAGGACACACGGGTCACTGACCTGTAATGAATGCAGTTTTAGAGGCATTGTGGGCCATTTTGAATGTGCGACCACGTACGTGTTCACAAGATATAGAGCTCTTATACAGAAGGATCTCTTCAAGGAATTCTATGTTCGTTACATGGCTGTTGATGGCTTCTTATACCCAGGCATGCTTACCTTCCCCGCAGCCGGATGTAGTCCAAAAGTGTTGCGCTGCGGGGTATGGCTTCAGAGCACAAGTATCAGTACACAATCATGATCAGCAATTCATGATCAGACGAATGTTTACGCGGCTTCGTGCTCGGTCAAAGTCAGACGCACAATGGCGTGAACGTATCGTGGGTTTTGAAGCGGAGTGCGAAGGGTGACGTCACAGATAAAGCACTGAATTGCGACTGTTGTTGCAATGCAGTTGAAGGCAGCGCGGGCTTCTGTTGTAGCGGTAGATCTCCCAGAAGTTTATCACATATTCAAAGAAGTCCAAATACGCAGGCATGACGAAATTGGTTGTTGTAGCCTGTAGTGGACCAAAACGTTGAGGCGCGTCCCGCGACTTCCGATCATTCGACATTTCACGACTTCATTAGGTAAACTGAGCACAGCACCAATCCTACTTAACAGTCGCAGCTTACAGATAGAGCGTCTCAAAAAATATCGCATGCTGGAAAACAAGGAATTCGACTCCGAAGAATCATAAGAACGCGTTGTTACTGGCCCTCAGCCAAACGTCATTGTCAACAACGACCATGCCTGAGATAATCCTATCGATCAACGCTGGTTCTTCTAGCGTCAAAATCTCCGTCTACAAGACCGCAGAAGATGGCGCCGACGTACCCAAACAGCTCGCAGAAGCGTCAGTTGACGGGCTTACCGCCCCTCCGGCAAAGCTCAAATACTCGCGCGGAGATGAAAAGATCAAGGGCAAAGAGCTAGAAGGCATCTCATCACAAGAAGACGCCTTCAACTACATCTTAGACCACCTGACCAAGGACGAGGGCCTCACCGAATTGAACAACAAGGAGGATATCCACTTTACGTGCCACCGTGTTGTGCATGGTGGCGACTATCCCCGTTCCCAGGTCATCGACAAAGAAACCTACCACCACATCGAAGAGCTCAGTGACCTGGCACCCTTACACAACGCTCCTGCGCTCAGTATCGTGCGCGCAGTCGCCGATATTTTGCCTCATGCGAAGAATATCGCATACTTTGATTCGTCGTTCCACAACACGCTCCCAGAGCACGTCTGCACATATCCCATCGACCAACTCGTCGCAAAGAAGAACAAGCTCCGAAAATACGGATTCCACGGCATCTCGTACAGCTTCATCGTACACGCCGTATCAACCTACCTCAAGAAGCCCGTCGAAGAACTCAACATCATCGCTCTGCATCTCGGCTCCGGCGCAAGCGCATGCTGCATACAAGGCGGTAAGAGCGTAGACACGTCCATGGGCCTCACACCTCTCGCTGGTCTGCCTGGTGCAACGAGGTCTGGAAGCATTGATCCGAGTTTGATGTTCCACTTCACACACAGTGCGGGGAAGCCGAGTCATAGCTCGGGTACAAAGATGCATATCACGCAGGCTGAGGAGATTCTAAATAAAAAGAGTGGGTGGCAGGCTCTCACTGGTACTACGGATTTTGGCAAGATAAGCGCGAGTGATCGACATGAGGATAAGCTGGCGTTTGATATCTTCGTCGACCGCATTGGGAATTATGTTGCTCCTTACTTCACGAAGCTTGATGGCAAGGTGGATGCGCTAGTGTTTGCGGGTGGCATTGGCGAGAAGGGGGATAGGCTGAGGAAAGAGGTTGTCAAAGGCGTCAAGTGTCTTGGATTTGGGATCGATGACGGAAAGAATGGCCAGCTAGTGGAAGATGTGGTGACGGATATCAGTGGAAAGGACTCAAGATACAAGACCTTGGTGGTTCAAACAGATGAACAATTGGAGATGGCGAGAGGAGTTTTGGTCGACAAGGATCGATTCGTGGGCAAGAAGTAGACGAAAACTGGGATTGTTTGTCCAAAGGTTTCAAACTCATGAATGATAATTTGAACATGGTACTGTTCCCAAGTAGATTTTGTACATCTCATAAAGTTGGAAGGGATTAAATCTTGCAAAGAGTTTGTAGCGACTCTTTCGTGCTCGCCGATGTGTCCTTGACCACTTTGATAATTTGCCTGAACCTAGGTTTTGTCAGCCTATCCAGTCCAGAGATGGACACAATCCGTTCGAGGTATACTTACTCTGGTGTACCGGCATCTCCAACAGCCTCATATATGAAGCTCTCGCTCGTTGTGACGACAGCACCTTCGTGCCTCAGTCTAGCCAGAGCAACCGGCACCTCTTCCTTGTTGCAGCTGCTCACTCCATCGGCAATTACATACACCTTGTGGCCGGCTCGGAGAAGATCGATAGTGGTTTGTGTGACACAGATGTGGCTCTCGATGCCCACGATGATGGCGGAAATAGGTCCGTTTGCACGAAGAGGGTCAAGGGCTTTCTGGACCTCTGGAGTACTGCGGAAGGTTAACGATGTCTACGTTGGCACAGACTAACGGGAGTGTGTCGACATACATCATAGAGAAGAGTGTCTTGTCTGCGTGAATGAGAGTCTGTACGCCCTCAGGCGCATCCAGCTGAAGTTCAGGACATGTCTCCCCAAGTCGAGCTTTGTTCTGTGTTGTTGCAAAGACAGGTATGTTCAAGATTTTGCCTGTGCATGGTAAATGGTTGACCGTAGCTGCATGCACCAGCTCTGAAAACCAACGGGTGCGCCTGATGTATGACCGGAGGGAAACGTACTGGCTCTGAGGAGCTTCTGTGTGGTTGCTACGACTTTTGGGAACTCGTGAATCGCGGGCCGAAACTTTTCCTGTAGGTCGCAAACACTGATAGGGCATCAGTAGGGTACGAAACCTGGATGGTGGGATGCATACAAGAGAGCGGGGTTTGCTAAATCGCTGTCAGTCTTAGGATTAAGAGACTGTGACAAGGTCGCCTACCAATGCGTTGCTGTGTCATTTTCGAGGATATCGATCTGCGAGTAATATAATCGATGTTTCTGTACGACTGCGAGACGCGTGGCTGTAGAGGGCGCAACATGTTGATGCTCTTGCACTTCCTTCTCTATCCGGATGGTAGTGCAAAGCCTCGGCAAAAGCAATCATTTCTGGAAGCCGGTGGTCCGTGTTGAGCTCACAAGCCACGGCGGCTGCTTGGAAACAGACCCGCTGCGAGCGATTGCCCTCAGATTGCCCCAATCTATCCGCAAGCGACGTCATGCTGATTGGCGAGTGGAACACTCGACTGTCGCAGTGTGCATGTTGCTGCTAGCCGTGGAGGGCCAACGGAATTGCGGTAACAACGGGTCCCGGCGTCAGTACCGGAGCGTCCCTGCAGCAGCTCGCCCATGTGTGAGGCGACGGTCTGACTGCTCCTCAGTCATTGCGCCGAACACTGTGGAGGCTGTCAATTTACTCCGAAACGGCAATGGCTGCACGGTCGTGTGGGCTCATATAAGACAGACACGCTCAGCTGTCATCGTGTTCTGGCTGGTCAGTCAGCACTTCTATTTACGAGCGTCATCCAGTCTGTCGAGTGCGCAGAAGGTACTTGCTGCGGCTGTTGAAAGACGACAAATGTGGTAGTGACTGACCGACACTGCCATAGCAATATTGATGTCAGCAATTGACTGATGTCCACATCCAGGTACCTGTGGGGTGATGAGGCAGCGTAACCGGCATGTCATGTGAACAGGAAACAATGTAAACCAGCCCCTTGGTGGAGGCTGCTAGGTATTCATCGTGAAGAGCACCCAATGGGCATATCAGAACGGTGAGGCGTGGCGCTAGTTGTTCGTTGTTCACTCTTTGAGGACGGGGAAATTGGTCGTAGTCAGGGCGATGATGTGTTGGGCTCGAATGCAGCCATGCTCAGCGTGTCCAGCAGCGAATGTGAATAGATTGCTTCGGTGAAAATGGCGCCCCTGTCACATCTCTTGGGTGTGGAGGTAACGGACACACCCATCCCATATTGTCCTAGCTGAGGAAGCGAGCGCGGGCCCTGTGCGTTCATCCCTCCTGTGCTGTGGCCGCGCTTTTGGTCAATTCCATAGTGCACGACCTGCCCTTTACGCACTGCGCTCTCTCTCTCTCTCACATTGCTGTTCTTCCCACTCATTGTCCGCCCTGTGCATTGCTTGATCCCCAGCAGTCACGCCTGCAGCCATTCCCCCTCCAGCGTTCGCCGAGAGCAAGCATCACGCGGCGCCGAATCACAGCGAACCGTCTCGACTCCACCGCAGGGGTTCGACTAGAAGTCACTACCGCTCGACGACAATTCCCACGCGTGCCTTCACAGCGCTGCTGAGACAGACATCCCGTCCACTCACCCGCGACAACGCTAGAATTGCCACTGGCGAACGTCACAGCGTGCATAGCGTTCAACGAGCACGAGCATCCAGAGCCCCTCCTCGCATTCTCGCATTGCATAGCGACCGCTCTCACCACGCCCGCCCTGGGAACACACGACGCTGAAGTTTTATGAGCGACCACCGCCACACCAGCGCTGCCTATCTATACGTCCCATATCCACTAGCCACTGCTATCTATCCAGACCACCGCCAGATCCAAGGGCGCGCCCCCCGACTCGCCGTGCAATCTCCCTCCACGACTATTCCGGTCAAGGGCTGGTCTCCACTGCCGTACTCGTACTCCCCATTGAACCCGCTGCATTCGCTCAAGCAGCATCACCATCCGCACAAACTGCCCTCGCCCCTGCCGCTGCAGCCCTTCTTGCAGCTCGCGCGCATCGACGAAGTGTATCCCCACGCCTCGACCGCCACGCCCGTGCCCACCACCACCACCACCGTCATCGTGTCTCCGCACTACAGCCCGCCACCAGAGCGGAAAGAGCCTCGGTCTCTGAAGCAGAAGTCCTTCGTCAAGACGGCGCTCACGCGTCAGCAGCTCGATGGGCATAGGGAGCAGGCGTCCAGCGTGCACACCAGCGCGCCTAACATGACATCAAATGATTTGCGGAATAGCAACTCCACGGCGACCAAACGAGACGATGCCAATATCACGCCTCAGCGCCTCCAGCGCCCCTCAATCGTATCGCAGCACTCAAGTTCGGTGCCCTCGACGCCCCTGCAACTTGCTCGCAAGTACGAGTCGCGCTCGCGCTCCCCGTCCCCCAACGGTGGCTTGGGCAGCCACTCGCCGCGCTCTGTATCGTCTGAGGCGAACAGCACCATGCCGACGTTGCGTCTAGGGCGGCCTTTCAGGTGCAAGTACGAGACAAATGTTGGGTCGTTAGGACGACGACGAATGCCATACGAGTCGTCAGATATCCTTGACAAGGCGAAAGATGAGCCGAAGAAGACGTTGAATCCCCATGAAGATGACAAACTCAGCGGCGACATGCGCGAACTGTACGATCGGTTACAGCCAAGCCTGGAGAACACCCACAAACGTGACCATTTTGTCCAGAAGGTGCAACACATACTTGAAACAGAGTTCCCTGGCAACTTGTCCAAGGTGCACGTCTTTGGCTCATCAGGCAACATGTTGTATACCACTGACAGCGATGGTGAGGCTATTGCATAATTCTGCTTGTATACCTGGATCTGCTAACACATTGGACAGTCGATATCTGTATACAAACGCCCATGATCTCGTTGGAAGAGATGCACCCCCTCGCTGAGGCTCTTGATAAACGTATGTCCCACAAAACATTGCGCAGGCAGTCTGCTGACATATGCCTTAGATGGCATGGAACGCGTTGTCTGTATACCACAGGCCAAGGTTCGGATAGTAAAAGTCTGGGATCCTGAGTTGGAGCTCGCCTGCGATATGAACGTGAACAACGTAGCTGCACTCGAGAACACGCGGATGATCAGGACGTACATTCAGATCGACGAACGTGTACGACCGTTGGCCATGATTATCAAACATTGGACGAAGCAACGCCTACTCAACGATGCTGGCATTGGCGGAACCATCAGCTCGTATACCTGGATCTGCTTAATCATCAATTTCCTCCAGACTCGAAATCCGCCAATTCTTCCAGCTTTACATAACCTCCCTTTTCGAGAGGTTGACAGAACAACAGGTCAGCCATCGCATTCTGGTTTTGCTGATGACGTTGAGAAACTTCGGGGTTTCGGCGATGCGAACAAAGAAAGTGTAGGCCAACTACTCTTCCACTTTTTCCGGCTGTATGGCCACGAGGTAGACTACGAGAAAGAGGCTATTTCAATTCGGCAAGGGAAACGCATTCCAAGAGAAGAAAAGGGCTGGCATCCAGGAGGTGGGCAAAAGGAAGGCACGAATCGACTTTGCGTTGAGGAGCCGTTCAACATCGAGCGTAACCTTGGTAATTCCGCGGATGACTATGCTTGGCGCGGGCTACACCTGGAAATTCGTCGAGCGTTCGGCCTGCTCGCTGATGGACAGCAGCTTGACAAAGCGTGCGAGCAGTTTCAATTCCCTGCCGAGGGGAAACCTAACCCCCTACTTTTCCAGAAGCCGACTTCGAAAAAGGCAACCCTCACTTCCAGTGTACCCATCCGAAGCAGTCGAGGAGGATCAAATCATCGAGGTGGAAGAGGTGGATTTAACCTGAAAGGGCAGCACAACAATGGCAGCCGAAGGTCTTCCGGCAGTCAGCCTTTCGCTCAAGGGCGACCGCCTTTCTTGCACAGTCCGCCAATCCAACATGGCTCTGGTCAGGAGTACTTTGCCGTTCCTCGAGGTATTCACGACCAGTTGCACGATCAGTTGTATCAGCAATATCAGATGCTTGAGATGCAGTCGAATTCCTTGCGCGCTCAACTAGCTGCACAGCAGCATGCCCAGCAAGCGCACCGTGCAGCTCAGATGCACGCGCATGCTGTTGCACAGGCGCAAGCACAACACTACGTACCTAATGGCACGAACGGATCTCCACAGAAGTCGCCATACGTCAACGGAAGATCAAGCCCTAGATTGGCTGAGCTTGGCATCCCACCAAACGCTCTTCCACAAGGATTCTTGTATCAATATCCTGGATTCTTCAGCACGCAACATCCGGGCGCTAATCCTCAAGATTCGGTGCGGACGAACCCATCTTCTCCGTCACTGAGCAATAGTATGCCTGGTGCGCGCCGAGTTGTCCACCGGGCTTCAAATGCTAGTGATACAAGCGTTAACCGCTCTCAGTCACAACCTGCGCGTGGATTGCCACAGCAGCCTGTGTTGGCTAGCTATCCTCCTATGCCGCAGTTCTACGACCCTGCCACGCTCGCTGGGTACCCTGTTGCGCGCTCATCTCAAGATACACCAGAAACGCAATCAACCTCGGACACGCAATCAAGCCCTCCTTCGAACAGTGCGGAACCCGCGAACTCATCACTCTCCAGCACACCAAAGGAGTATGTTGGCTACTACGTTGCAGATCAGCCTCCAGTACGGTCACTTCACGACTATGCTGTTGGTGCGATACCATCGTTCAGCGAGTTGGCGCAGCGAAAGAAACGAGTATCGTCAGAGATCACGCAGCCGCTTCTCAGCACTGCCCTGCGGCGAGTGTCTCGTTCGCCTTCTCCTCTTCGCGGCCATGTTAGGAACGACTCCATAGGACCACCTGCAGCTCTGCCAGTCAATGAGCAACGCAAGGCTCGTGTAGATTCTGTTCGTCCCCCTCCAGATCTTGGGCCTGTCATTGTCAACGGCTCCTTCCCGACACCACCTCGTGATCAGTTCAGGAACGAACTGGCAGAGATCGTTCCAACATTGGACAATCTAGGCTCTTCAGCCATTGGTGTGTACGCTAGTCAACCAGGCTTGCAGCAGAACACACAACAACAGATCAGAGAACTCCAAGCGCGACAGCAGCTCGTCCTCGAAGAGATGCAGAGACAAAGTGCAGCGAATATGATGAGCAGCTCGATCGTGAACGAATCGACAAAGGGCAACTCTCCAGTGGAAGCCAATGGTCTGGCACGTGTTCCTAATGAGGATCGACAGCCCTTCCCAGACATACCTGACGACATTATGAACTACGATGCTAAGAAGGATCGACACACTCACATTGAGGATGTATCTCCAAAGCGAGATCTTCCTCCATGGCGAGCTACTGCACTGCCGAACGGCCTTTCGTCTCTGGACACAGCAAACGCACCCCGTGCTCCACCTCAGGAGATCAAGACCGCCAACCTACCACTGCTCTCGCCAGTGTTTGAGAAGCGCACACCCTCACCGACTGCTCATAGGCAATCGGAAAACAACAAGACGACAAACGGCACTAAGGGTCACAGCAAAGAGCATCATCAGCAAAGTCGCCGCGCCTCACTCCCAAAGCAGTCGACGCCTAATAAGGACAACGGTCGCGGTGCCCAGAACAAGTCCAATGACAAGGGTCAGAAATCAGGCTCAACGACTAACAATGCTGGCTCATGGCAAAATCCACAGGGCCGAAGGAAGAAGAATAGCCGGAAAAAGACACCAGAGCAAAAATCGGCAGGCGAACCATTACCTGCTAACAGTTCAGAGCGTAAGGGTGGGTAGATAATACGTTATTGGTATCACCGAACTATCGGAGACCAATCGCTTGTGGTGTCGCCGACTCGATCTGCGTGGGGATGAGACACCACATTGACTGGGTGTAGAAAGGGCAAACGGACGACTGACGTCGACGCCATGTCCCGAAACTTTGCTCTACCATAGCAAGCCCATTGTCATACAGACCGCGCCTCCAGGGGCGAGGCGCGCCGCATGCCGTTAATATCGACGCTGCCAAAGAGGCCCGCATGCACCACGACCTTTCGAAGGTCATCAAAGTCGACGAGGAAACGGGGATTCGAGGGAGCGCAATGCTCCCTATCATAGTTTTGGGTTGTCCTGGCTAGTATCAGGACTGCTTGTCTTTTTGTCATCAACGGTCGGCGTACACAATCTGTTCATTTGCACGCACGCATGCTCATTTGGTTTTTGGCATTATCTGGAGTTTTATCGCATGTTGCCAGGTTTCGTTCGGTGCTTGGGGTCTTTGATCAATACATGAGCGTTTCCTGTCGCATTTGTCCTGGGTTGGAAGGAAATGGAACTACCATGGGCTGGCTCTCTCTGATGTTATGACCGAAGGCGATGTATAGATAAAAGAACAGCGATGAGACGGTGTTACAACGACGCATAGTGTACGAGGCATATGACCTCCCGCCATCGACTAGAAAGAACAAGAAAATTGTTAAGTGCAATCAAGTTCCTGATAGGTTCATGGACTGACTTTGTACTTGCCGAATCTACCTCCAAGTAGACCGGGAAGGCGCGTTAGGATGACGTGGAAGTCACCTCCGCAGTCTGGCCGAACTTCCTGCACGACCTTCGACAGCACATCTGGTCTCACCTCGCTCAAAGAACGCCCGCATACGCTTCATGTCGAGTGTAACAATCAGCCATGAGAAATGTTTGCGGCCAACATTTACGGCTCTAGTGTGATGATCTAATACGATCAAAACACAGTTTGGAATGACCTGGCTCGAATTGCATGGAACGTGCTCACCCTTCCGCTGCAGCGCTCGGCTGCTCGATGAAACGCTCAGCAAGCCACAGGGACGCATACCAGCCACTTGTGTCTACGATGATCGAGCGGGGACGAGATCCGGGCCTCTCTCCCGGTTTCTTACACATCATCGGCAAGTGTGAATAATGCCTCGAATCGATCACCAGCCACGTATCGCCCGACGAAACGCTTACGTAGCCACTGCACAACGACATCATTCGACACTCCACCTCGGCCATAGCTGTGGCAGAGGCGGCATTTAGCGCAGGGGAGCAATGCTTTCATTTACCGCCAAGCGGGTAAACGGAGCTTGGTAAAGCTTATGCCTTGATTTCGTGTGGCATTCTGTCGCGCTAAATAGCTTGATTTGCTTAGCTTGCTTGTACACCCTTATCAGCATGCAAGGCTGGGGGCGCGAGCTGTACGATGGCAAGCAACGACAGGCCAATGGCATGGCACAGTCGCAAACGTGTATCAGTTCAGCCACTCAAGACTGCCCCGATTTGATTGCGCTGGGATCACAAACCCGATGGAAAAGACCGATGCAGGCATAGTACGGGGTATGAGGCGGTGCAAACTAGGTTCTGAGCCAGTCGCGTAGCTCGTCCGTGACAGGTACTGGCGCTGAAGATGCACGTCTCAAGGTCAAGGTCTTACACATACGATCGGGTTGCGCGGGCGGCTGTAGCTGGCGACAGCGATGACGACTTGGTAGAGGCGTTGCCTGCTTTGGTGTGCAGGTGCCGATAACCAGCTCCCTGAACCTTGGGTATAAAGCTCTCCTGCTTGTTGCTACAGGGTGTAATCGTCGTTCACACCAACCTCTTCTGACAAGCTTGGATCACGACACCTAACACTCCGCATCACTCTCCACCATCAAAACCTTTCGCATTATGTACGCAGTTATGGCAGGAACATCAAGAGGCACTATCACTGACCCTGACATCTTCAGATCTCGAGCAAACCGTCATCTCCACCACAATGCCTGCCAGCACCGCCTCTTCCATCTCTACCATTGTCAAGCCTAAGCCCTTAGGCTGCGGAGAGTCCTGCGAGTGCTGTGGCTGCTCCGAGTCTTGCGCCTGCACTGTTATGTAAAGAGTTGAAACGAAGGATATCACAGGAGGAAATGCCATAAAACCATGAGGGATTAGCGGGAGTCATAAGCAACAACGACATCAGTACAATTCAACAAGTAGCCAACATTCGGCACATTGGTTTTGCCTCGTCTCGTTCCACATCGATGATAAATCGCGTACAAACTCGGTGTTCAAGCCTAATCAGCGGGCAAACCAGTATCAACCTGTATCCTTCCGTCTCCATTACCCGCGCGAAACACATCCTAATATTTACAAGCATTCACCTTTGGATTTGTTCAAGATCCTGGTAAAGTCTGTATGAAGCCCTCGTCAGTGCCGAGGGAAGGTACCTTGATTGGATCTCGCAAGCTCCAGATGTAGGGACTTCGCAGGTGCAGTCTTACGGTCTACCCTAGGTGCGTTCTCAACGTCGTCAACCGGCACCACTACTAACTGATTGTAACACGAAATCTTTCGCTGGCCTACTACCCCGAGGAGCAATTGTACTCGAGCGTGTTTCTACGCCAGGGTGACGTAATTGTGTCATCGCAACAACATCAAACACATTAATTGTCAAGATTCCCAAACCCCATTTCAGTACCCCATCAATTTTCAATAACGGCAATACATCCTCTGCTTGCATTCACAAGCATCGTTGTGACTAACGGCACACTAAGCAATTCACCAAGATGCCACCGTACGTCCCACGGGCTGCTTTTAGCCGCGTCTCTGTACCATCATTTCTGCGCCTACAAACTCCTCGACGCTCTGCTCATACGCAACGTAGGACACTTCCAGAGTTCTCTCTTGAGGGCAAGGTCGCAGTCGGTAAGTCGGCGCTTCATGCTCTCTTGGGTCGACCAGCTAACAGTACTGATAGTGACTGGGTAAGCAGCCGCTCCCATGGTTTCGCCTTCGATCTCTTACTGACTCATGCAAAGCGCCTCTCAAGGGCTTGGCCAGCAGATTCTCAATGCGTTCACACTCTCAGGAGCCCATGGAGCTGTAGTTGACTTGACACAAGACAGTGCTCAGAAGTCTGTACAGCACCTTATTCAGGAAGCGAAAGATGCCGGTCTCCAAGAACCGAAGATTCATGCATACGAATGTGATACATCATCTGAGGAGGGTGTCAAGTCGACCTGGGACAAGATTGTGAAAGAGTTCGGTAGAGTCGATATCCTAGTGACGAACGCCGGCATAACCGGGGGAGCACCTGCGGAAGACTACCCCTACGAGGACTTCAAGAAGATGATCGATGTCAATCTGACTGGCACCTTCCTCTTCGCTCGTACCGCTGGCAAGTGGTGGATCAACAACAAAATCGACGGCCGTGTCCTGATGGTATCATCCATGTCTGGATCCATCGTCAACAGGCCGCAGAAGCAGTGCGCATACAATGCCAGCAAGGCTGCATCTGCTCAGCTGATGAAGTCGCTTGCTTCTGAGTGGGCTCCTCATAATATTCGGGTCAATGCTTTGTCACCAGGATACATTCAGACGGAGGCGAATGAAGGCGAAGAGATGGAGAAGCTGAGCAAGGAGTGGATCAAGGACATTCCTATGGCGAGGATCGCGAAGCCGGAGGAGTTCAGAGGTGCTGCGGTTTGGCTTGTCAGTGATGCTAGCAGCTACGTTACTGGTAGTGAGATCATCGTGGATGGAGGTTACACGATCTGGTGAGCAAAGCAGCGATGTTGTCATGGAGGTAGTCCTGCGAGGCTCAGCTTCCAAAGAGGCAACGAGAGGACAAGGTTTACATTGTGAGATCCCGAAGATATCGCACACGTGCATGTGTGTACAGAGTTACAGCAAACGCGTGAAGGGCGGAGGACTTCAATGACAAGAATCATTCCGAATAGTGTTTTCCATCAATCCACCTATCAGCATCTGATAAGCAAACGCCTGCCAGTCCTCACCATCTCCAGATTCTGAATAACATTTCGACCCAATCCACTGACGGCCAAGTCTGCCACAAAGGCGCCCAGCTCTTCACCTTGAATGACTAGACGACTTCCGAACACAAACTCAGCCATCGTGTTGACGAACGTGTCGCCGCTCATAAGCACTCCACCAGGCCTGATAACATGAGCATCCCAAAAATCGCCATGGGCCTCTGCGAACTCAAGCGTCTTCGTCTGCAAAAGGCCCTTCATACGCCGCTGGCCACCAAGAAAGTACAACCATCGGGATTGGTCGGTCTCAGTGAATGCGCCACCGAGAGGAATGAATTTGAAGTTCGTTGCCTTAGCTTCCCGTGAGCGCGATTTGATAAGACGTTGTGCGAGGGGCTCCTGGAAAACCAAAGGTTACTTGAGGTTGATTGATTGATTGATTGATTGATTGATTGATTGATTGATTGATTGATTGATCTGGCTGCTGTAGTCCATGCGCTCTCAATTGTTTGGCCAACTATAGAGGCAACGCGTGGGTTGTGAGCAATGAAATGGGGTACCCATAGTTGCCCGAGGGGCTCGTAGTCACTGTTTATGTGCATGATTCGGGTGGCCATCTCTCGTACGCGTGGATGAGACGGGGGTTGTGTCACGGGTATATACTGTTCAGCTCCCAGTACCTGCTATCTACAGCGGTACTGTTCCTTTTTGGTCAGTGTAGCACAGTGGAGCTGAGCTGTATGCCTCACAGTAACGCGTTAGGTGGGGTGCGCGGGAACTATATGTGCGCGGAGAGTATATAGGCTAGCTTATGTACGCGTCTACACCTGGAACGCAACGCCTTCCCTCTTGATCAGACTCTTCCCACCACTCGCATACCCAGTCCCCTCACTCCTGATCTCTACCAGCCCCGGCTTTAGCCCCTTCTCTTTATTTTTCATCTTCTTCTTCCCATCATTCTCCTTCTCCTCCGGCACAGTCGTAAGATCCGCATCGCACACATAGCAATGTATGGTTTCAGGGTCCGGCCCTTCGTCGTGTACATCTCTGTGATGTCGATGCTCCGGCTTCAGGAATTTCTGAACGCAAGGCTTGCACAAGACGTGCCCACAAGGTATCGCGAGCATGGCTTTTGTGCTGTTTGATAGTGCTTTTTGACAGCTGGGGCATGTGCGCGCGGTCTTGCCTGGCTCTGCTGACTTTTCCTCGTGAAAGTTGACGCTCATCAGTGTCTTCAGCGACAGGTCGTGTGGGTGTTCCGGATCGCTTGATGGACATGTTGGGATCTGCTTTACCTTGCTGATGCTCTTGTGGTGAATCTCTGGTGTCTCTCCTGGTACCCAGAATGAAGGAAGTTGGCCTTTGGCGGCTTTGCGCTCATCTTGAAGCGTCTTCTTGGCTTTAATTCGCTCTTCAGATGCAATGCGCTTCAGCTCTTCTTCATCGATCTTGAATTTGCGTTTCGTCCCCTTGCTGCCTGTAGCTTCGTCTTGCTCGACCGTAATGTTCCCGCCTTCTCGACCAACCACTTTCGACCCAGCACCAACCTTGACTTCGAGACCCATCTGCACAGCTTCAAACTCATGCACAGCACGTAGTCGTGCCAGTTCATCTTCTCGTTCCTGCTGATCCACGTCTTCTAGCTTTTGCCGTTCAGCGACTTTCTCAAGGCGCTTTAATTCTTTCCGTTGAGCGAGGAGGTTGGTCATGGCGCATTCTCTACAAAATAGATCCCCTGATGGACAGCATACTGGGTCCACGGCGGAGAGAAGGCAAAGTTGACATGATCCAAATGGCAGAAAAGAATCGCGTGTTAGGCGCGATGCCTGCGAGCCCCATCGATCCTTCAAGGCATTGCGCTCGTGGGCCGAAAAGACTGAACTTGGCGGCGGCATGTTGAGATGGTTGACATTGATGTAACAAATCACGAGTGAAATCGCGAAAACGGAGCCAGTCGCGAGAAAGAGCGCCACACGTGGTGGCTGCGCAAAGCGCGTAAACCCTGATCGCTGCCAATTTTCTTGCGCCGCGGCACGTCACTGCGCAGGGCTTCGAGCCTGATCGGAAAGGCAAGCGAACTTGGGGAGCTCATCTGATTGAGTTATTCCTGCATGTCTATCTTTACCGCAACAACGAGCAATGCAACCAGAGGAGCGGCCTGAGGCTGCTGAAGCTCCCAGCGCGCCATGGCGGGCGGCGTCCATCTTCACTATGGGCGCGGTGGGCCTGCTGTGCAAGGGTTTCTTGTGTCTGAACAAGATCGAGACACATGGCATGGAGCGCTTCTTGCGGCTGTTGGATGAGAGGAAGGAGCCAAAGGAGAGAGAAAGAGGGCTGATTACTGGTATGCGACCATGATCGTGGTAGAAGAGAATACCATGAGGGCTAATCGGGCTGTAGTATCGAATCACATCTCCGTGTACGTACCGAGCGCAACGATCGTGCTCGAATATGACTAACGACAGTCGCTTTGTAGAATGGATGACCCTATACTATGGGGCACATTACCATTAGGCTACATGTTCAACCCGGACAACTTGCGCTGGGGGCTGGCAAGCTACGATCTATGCTTCACAAACAAGTATGCTACATTACCAACAAGCATATACACGATTGCTTACAGTATGGCAGAGGACTATCTACTTTCTTTACCTTCGGCCAGACCCTGCCCACCCATCGCAGCGCACACTCACAATTCGGCGGTCTCTTCCAACCCACCATAACGCAAGCGATTCGCCTTCTGTCGCGCGGCCCTTTCCTCAATGCCAACGACCCTCCTGAGAAGCCCACCACATCCCTTAATAACCCAGACCTCATCGATCCTTTCAGCAGCGGACACCTTACCTTCTCAACGAACGGCATCGACACATTTCCAGCACCCTCACAATATGTCAGCAGGCGACATGCATGGGTGCACATCTTCCCTGAAGGCATGATACACCAGTCAGAACAGAGGATAATGCGCTATTTCAAGTGGGGCGTATCACGCCTCGTTTTGGAGAGCGACCCCATGCCGGATGTTGTACCCATCTTCATTGAGGGATTCGACGACATCATGAACGAGGAGCGCACCTTCCCGCGCTTCGTACCACGGCCTTTCAAGAACGTCAGGGTGACGTTTGGCGAGAAGTTGAATACAGAGGAAGTGTTTGGGGACCTGCGCGCCAGGTGGAAGCAGCTGCGAGCGAATGAAGAACAGAAGAGCGGGACGCTGGACGTCGGCGTGCTGAACGAGGTGCTGAAGTACTCGGACGAGGCTGTCAGGATACGGATCGAATGCACGGATCGTATACGGAAGGCAGTGCTCAATATTAGGCGGCAGCGTGGCTACTCAGACGAAGACCCCAAGAACAACCTCGCGAGCACATGGCTCAGGGAAGGGCCCAATAGAGAAGGTCGCCAAGATGATAACAGTGTTACAAGAGAAGAATAAAGTATAGTGTAGGATATAATTGTATGTATAGCAGCATCCAAGCTCGTAGAGGGCCAAACATAGACGAAGGTTGTTGAGTCCGGGGTGCGGCTCGACAAAGCAGCGCGCAGCGTGTCAGATTAGATCAAGTTATGACCGTCAGCAATTACCTGAACCTGCTGGAAAGATCAACCACGACCGCAAGGCGGGTTTCATCAATGCACTGAAGGTGCGTAGGTACAGGCGCCGCAATGTTGTTACGCATCGCAGCGGTCTCTGGAGTGCTCGTGTCGTCATCCACTGCTGCAAACGCGCAGCTGGTGAAAGGAACGTGGAGGGCAAGTGTTTTCGTTCTCCAATGCTTGGCAGAGCTGTTCCTTCCACATAAAACCTGCAGCTGCCCCGCTTGAATCGACCGTGCCCTCCGTTTAGTCCTGTTCCTGCCTTCTGCCTGCCTCACCGCCTGCCTAATACATATCATATCAAGACATTTCCTTCGCAGTGGCTGCATCACCGTGCATGAGACCCGCCCCTGAGCTTTGATCGCACCGCAGCAGCTGTCCACGCGCAGTTGTTAAATACCCGGCCAATGGACTCTTGGGCCCCACAGTCCCCCGATTTGTCTTCCTACCACTCCGCCGACGCAGAGCCCGTACATTCCCAGCATCAGGGCTACAGAGGATCAGTCTCGCACGCCATTCCCCAGGACGCCCCACCCCTGTCTAGTCCTTCTCTGCAGACCAAGTCTGTGCCACCGTATCCGTCGTACGTGCCTTACAGCACGCGCAAGGAAGAAAACATGCAGGATGCAGACTATATACCAGACGCGTCGGTCGCGGTGCCCCAGATGCCTGAGATAGGCAATGGTTCCAGTGGAGGCTCCATGCTCCCGCCCAACGTCGACAGCATCATTATCAAGAACCACTTTCCCGTCGCGCGTATAAAGCGTATTATGCAGGCCGACGATGACGTTGGGAAAGTTGCGCAAGTTACACCAGTTGTTGTCTGTGAGTTCATCCGACGCACTTACTACGCGTATAAAGTTCCTAACAATACCGTAGCAAAAGCCCTCGAGCTCTTCATGATCTCCCTTGTCACCAAAGCCGCTGCCGAAGCCAAGCAGCGCAACTCGAAACGCGTCGGCGCCATCCATCTCAAGCAAGCCATCACCAAGAACGAGCAGTTCGACTTTCTCAACGACATCGTATCCAAAGTCGCCGACGCGCCCGAGAAGAGCGAGTCTGATGCCATGGACGAAGGCAAGAAGAAGAAGGCGCCGCGCGGGAAGAGAAAGAAGACCGACGATGACGACGACTTTTGATCTGTTCCAAGTGGAGATTGCAGCAAATCCTCTGAAGGCATATCAGATATTGCGGAGCTCTGTTCGCGCAGGATTGGATCGAGCCCAAAGTCGAGCCCAAAGCCAGACGCGCCGAACCCTCTCCCGCGCCTATCAAGCCTACTTATACGCTTCTTATATCTTCGCCGCCATCTGCCTCGTCCGGACAATTCACGGCGAAGTGTACGGACCGCAGGCTTTGTACATACGATGTGTGCGAAGGCCACTTGACAAACCCATGGGCACGACAAGACTAGGATATTGAACTCTTAATCCGCATATCGGCACATCACAGGAATGTGTCACTGCGACGAAGAAGGCCTTGATTGCTTGGACTGTTGTTGTCAGTCCAGCTGTATGGTGATGATACCAGTGAAACATAATGTCACCACTTACGCTACTTGTTCCCCGTCTCGATCATTTCGGGCGCAAACTGACTGACATCCTCCATTACTTTGCGCATAATCGACAACTGACCTACGTTAAACACCATCTCCGAATTTCTACCTACACACAACACCCAATGTCTGATTCGTTTGTCGATCATTGCGGCTAAACGAAATGCAAGTTGGAGTTGCGGCTCTTTAAGGCGAGCGACCAGGACTTGACCCGGTGTAATTTACCCGTCCTTCCCCATCGACCCCCGCATCCCGGTCGTAGCTCAGGCACAAGTTGCAAATCCGCCTGTCTTCAGCCAGGATCCTGGCTTAGAGTCAAATTGCATCACCAATTTCAATCTTAGCGTTCCTTCTCTCCGCAATGTCGCCCCTGGAAATGCTATAATAATCCCCCCCCCGCAACTGTTGAAAGACACTCATCAACCTTACTGCTGCGTCATCGAGATGTTATTTTCAAGGTTGATTTCCGTGTTGGCTGGAGCCGTGGTGCTCGTCCAAGGGCAAACTACTAATGGCGCTACCATACGTCCCAACCCTTCCAATGGACATTGGGTAGATGCGTGGGCCAGTATGCCGCAGCTCACGGAGCCCGCTAACCTGCCTCCAGCGCCATTTGTAAGAATATCACTATCTTCATTATCAAATAGTTCCCTGACTGATATGACAGAACCAAACTGGTGCCGTCTTCGTCAACTCCACGGTTCGGCAGACACTGTACATGACGACAGAAGCTTCACAGATACGCATCAAGATCTCGAACGTCTTCGGAGGCTCCAATTTACCCATCGCAGCAGTCACAGTTGCTCTGCCTGCCAACAACACAGCAGGCATTCACCAAATCCAGGCCAAGACCTTGCAGAAAGTCACCTTCTCCGGCAAAGACTCAATCAGCATCCCCAACGGAGCACTAGCCGTCTCCGACCCGCTCAACTTCCCCATCAAAGCTCAGCAAGTCATCACAGTGACCGCGTACCTCGCAGCCGGCCAAACGACGAATTCCATCACCAGCCACCCTGGAAGCAGAACAACCAGCTGGTGGCAGTTCGGCAACGCCGTTAATGCTGCACAACTTGCCATTACAGACCCCACCACCCAGTCAGCAGCACACTGGTACTTCCTTTCCAGCATCGAAGCATGGGTGCCAAAAAGGACTGGAAGTCTGTTGATTGTAGGAGACTCGATCACCGATGGTCGCGGCTCGGATACGAACAAGAATAACCGCTGGCCTGATCTTCTGCTCGCCCGCCTTCAGAAGGACGCTGCTACGAAGCATATCTCCATTGGCAACCTTGCTGCAGGTGGAAATCGCATCCTGGCTGATGGTCTGGGTCCGAATGCTTTTGGGCGCATTGATCGTGATGTACTTGCCCATCCGGGTGTGAAGTACGCAATGGTTTTTGAGGGCGTGAATGATATTGGCGGTGCACCGGCGACTGTGGATGCGCAGAACGCTGTGTACAACTCGCTCATTCAGGCTTACAAGCAGATGGCAACTTTGATCCGCGCACATGGTATCCCCGCCTTTGGTGCAACGATAACTCCATTCTCTGCGCCGAGTAACTTTACTGGGCAGCCGTACTCGAGCCCTGTTAGGGAGGCGACGAGGTAAGCTGCATTGTCTTTGTCAATGCGCTACTTGCTGACGAAGAACACAGGCAAAAGATCAATGACTTCATCCGCAATTCTGGAACGTTTGATGCGGTTGCAGACTTCGATAACTTCCTTGCTGATCCGAAGATTCCGAGTCAACTTGCTCCTCAATATGATTCGGGTGACTACTTGCACCCAGGCGTTGTAGGATACCAGCATTTGGCGAATGAGTTCCCTGTGGAGATCTTTGTGGAGTGGGAGGGTGGTGTTAATGGGTTTACCTAGTTTGTATACGCATATGCGGACATGTCGATTGGGTATAAGTCGATTTCTGACACGCAATGTAGAAATGATCAAGTCGCGCAGAAGAAGTTGCGAAGTGCCGAGCTTAAGTTGTTTGTCCGACTTAGATTGGTTCCTCGGCAGTTGGTGTACTAACGTTGTAGCGCAGTTCAAGCTGAAAGTGACATAGTCAACTCGTCAAATCAGCATGATTGCAGAGATATAATTGGTACTCAATGCGAAAGCTTCTCGACGGCATTCAAGATTTACTTATGGGTGACTTTTGTGTTGGGAAATAAAATGGTGCTGTTTTCCGGCCGGAAATGTCTGCATCGACGGATATAACCGACAATTTTTACCAACCACGCGTCAGCTACGTCACATTGAGCTATCAACAGCCCTGCATAACGGCGATGGTGCCGGAGTGATCCAGAGTTTAAGATCTTTGACAGCTGCACCATTTTGAAGCTCATTGCTTGCGCAAATGAACGTCGATAGACTCCAACATACCCCATTGTCCTAATCGCTGTCGCAATCACTGTGGCAATCAATACGCAGCACATTTGGAACAGAAGCAATAGCTGGAAATAAGGAAAGCACCACCAGGTTCAGACGCACATCGAGCACGTGCTCTTGCGACAGTTCAGACCGTTTTCACCATCGATTCACACGACACGCTTGGAGCCATTGCTTAAGAGGCACTATGTTTGAACTGCCACACGCCAATTCGGCAGCTCCAGTGGCGCAGGAGCATCGGGCTTCGTCACCGGCACTAGAGGAAACAGTTGAGCAAGAACGAAAGCCAAGGACCAGAAGAAGGAGGGGATCGAGCTCAGATTCATCAGATTCCGAGTTCGATGATGAAGATGAAAAGAATCAAGATGGCCATCGACCATCAAACAGAGAAGTCCGAAAGAGCATATCCAGATCGCGCAGTCGAGCGAGCTGGTCTCTGCCGCTCCAACAGCCTGTTGCGACAGCCACTGGAATTGGCGCAACTATCTCAAAGTCATTGTCACGACGCGATACAGCACTTTCCAGACTACGAACTCGAACGAGCACGGCACCTTTTTCACATCCTCTAGCTCACCAACAAACGACCGCGGATGTGCTCGTGGACTTTGACGGTCCCGACGATCCATATCGACCCATGAACTGGCCGACTAAGAAGAAGGTTCTTACCACCATGATGTACGGCATGACCACTATGACTGCGACATGGGCCTCATCTGCCTACAGCGCCGGCACGCGGCAGGTCGCCGAAGAATTCCACGTCGGGAATCAAGTTGCTGTACTGGGTACGACGCTGTTCTTGTTCGGCTTTGGAACAGGGCCACTTTTGTGGGCGCCTTTGTCTGAGGTCTTTGGCAGGAAGATAGCTGTCTTGACGCCTATGTGTGTAGCGATGTGCTTCAGCTTTGGAAGTGCGACGGCGAAGGACTTCCAGACGCTGATGCTTACGCGATTCTTCGGTGCTTTCTTTGCGAGTGCGCCGGTCACGAATACGGGTGGTGTGCTGGGTGATCTCTTCAGCCCTGCGTGGAGAGCACTTGCCCTGGCTGGCTATGCGATGGCCGTTGTTGGCGGTCCATGTTTAGGTAGGCATTCCTCCATTGTGAACCCAGAAGAGTTACTAACGCAGGGTTCAGGACCGATCGTATCTGCCGCCTTTGTCTCTAACCCTTCCCTCGGCTGGCGCTGGACCGAGTATTTCACTGGCATCATCCAAGGCGCCATCCTCCTGATCGATGTGATCTTCATCGACGAATGCTACCCACCCAAACTCCTCGTCTACAAGGCACGCCGCCTGCGCCACGAAACTGGAAATTGGGCGCTCCACGCTAAATTCGAAGAATGGGATGTCAGTTTCTCTCAGCTCTGTCGCAAGTTCTTGGTTCGACCTGTGCAGCTCCTCATGACACCGATCTGCTTCCTTGTAGCTCTGTACGCTAGTTTTTGTTACGGAATCCTCTACATGCAACTCGGAGGTATTCCCATCATTTTTGCCGAGATGCGAGGCTGGCATGCTGTGTCGTCCACATTGCCATTCCTGGGCATCTTCCTCGGCGCGTGTTTCGGCTGCGCGATAAATTCATATAACCAGACGCTGTACAACAAGGCCTATCACGCAGCTGGCGACCGCGCGGTACCAGAAAAACGTCTGCCGCCCATGATGCTTGGGTCGGTTCTCTTCGCTACTGGGCAATTCATCATAGGATGGACGGCTGACCCGCGGTTTCCATGGATTGCACCGGTCATTGGTCTCGTCATGCTGGGTACTGGGTTCTTCACCATCTTCCAGGCGGCGCTCAACTATCTTGTCGACACTTTCACAGAGTATGCTGCGTCAGCAGTTGCGGCGAACACCTTCCTCAGGAGTTGTTTTGCAGGTGCTTTCCCTTTGGTTGTCTCGCCATTGTACCACAACATTGGTGTTGGACCGGCGAGTAGCATCACTGGTGGGTTTGCGGCCCTCTTGATACCAGTGCCCTTCGTGTTTTACATATATGGTAAGCGTATAAGGAGACGAAGCAAATGGTCAAGAAAAAGTGTTTTTGACTAAGTCAGATTAGCTGTGGACTTGATGAGAAGATAAATCAAGAACTAATTAACGTGTTTCCCCACCGAGCGGCCACCTCCCACCGAGCGGCCACCCCTCACCAACATCGTGACTATTACAGACTATTACAGCTACGCTACAACAGTGCGCAAGAACGTACTATAGCCTACAGTACTATTCAGAAGTGTCGCTATCATCTAGATCTACAATTTCTGCAGTGCAGGTTCATGCGTTGTGGCCAGTCTTGCCACAACGTCCGCAGTTGTCACGGTATCCTCTCCAGATCCCCTGACAATATCCGGATCCGCTCCATACTGTCCCTGACCGTACGCACCAAATCCCCAGCGTCCTTACACACCTCTGAAGCGGACGTACAACCTCCGGTCACCTCCGGAGCGGGCCTGCAACCTCCGAAGCGGGAGTATTAGGATTCTGCAAGCCCCGCTCCGGGACTTGCAACCCC